CTATTATTCAACGGTCACGGACTGACTACCAACTAGCTTATCAAGTACGGGGTGGGCGTAGAAAAATCCTTGATTGCTGTTACTTTGACCAGTATAGCTTGTTAGCAAATCTCCTGTTCCATGAGCTGGATGGCAACGACGAAAAAGCATAAAAGAAAATGTAGAGCTTAATCAATTTACCCCTAGTGAGCAATGCAACAGGCGCTGTTATAGATGTACGTTTCTTATTAACCCTTACACCGCAAGTTTCTCTGACCCAATTCGACCCCATACTGAGCACGGATCGCGCTGATGTTCTACCGATGTCATCAGAGGAGACGCTGCATGTCCTACCGAGCCCACGCGACGCTCTACGCTCCCTAGACAAAACATTCTCGACACCTATTGCATTATGTTCTGCCCTACTACTCAGCATCTCGCCGACGATCTACCACACTGTACAATGCGAAACGCATCGTTTGGGCCTATGGCCATTGTGTCAATCAGGCATATTTGAGTAAACTGTACAGAGAGGAACGCGCTGTGCTGCGTGTCATTTCCTGTGCTTAAGCTAGACGGTGGAATCATCTGTAACGTGCGGTGACTATCTGCCTGCCCAGTCAAACAGTAATAGCTGTAGGAACACAGATCGCAGGCCGTGGCAGGGCTGTGGACGAAAAGTGTGGAGCACCCCAATGATTGACGTAGACCGCGCTCCGGCGGCCACAGCAGTTGCAGCTAACGATAAGACAATCCCGAATCGTTTTACACTATAAGCATGGACGATTTACGTGGTAGCAGTACATCTGCAGTAGCCACTGTTCGAAAAGGAAATCGAAGACACCAATAGCTATTTCGTACAGTAACACGTACTATACGGTAGTTTATGTGTTCCATTTTTTTAGACGTTGTTGTCGGCGCTGAACGTGATATATGCAGTAATGGCAAACCCGTCACCGAAGTCCTAACAACGCGCCCCGGACACTTCAGTCGACTAATCTCAGTGGCTGAATGAAAAACGCGTATCTCAAACAATTACGCCTCGGGAACATTTTAAAATGTATCAGTTCGTGCGTGTACTAACCGTGCCGAATGCTGAGCACTCCGGAGTATTATAGGATATCAGTCAGTATAATATCCTAAAACAACAGTATTGAGTACTACTTGACTTGCAACCTGGTTTAACCTTCCACCTCGTCTAAAAGGCTATGGTCACGTTCACTAAAAAATAATGTTACTCTCCGTTAATAGAACAGTCCGAGATGTAAGCACTTCTTGCATCGAAAGGTTCCCTGCAGATGTCAAGGTACATTACCCATTCCATTAAGTAATGGACGGTGTAGGCGCTACAGAATTTCTAGAAAGCTTTGAGTTGCCGAGACGGAAGTGACGTCTGGCCTACATTGAAGATAATATACGTCACTACCAGCAAGAAATTCGCCTGGATAACACCGTCGTCATAGACGAGAAGTATTCGTGATCATTACAACTTGTCCCTTCGTCTGATGTCTTAACATCTACTCATTTTCTTCACGGCCCTCAACTTCAGCTTCATCCCACCAACAATGAACTGCCGTTTCGACGAAGGCTTTATTCAGTGCTGTCACGGATCTTCGATAAATTCCTGGAGCGCTGCCGAAATAAAGCCAAATTTAATCACTGGGTGTTTGTTTATAACTACAAACGATAGCGTGATTCTGAATTTCTTGATTTTTGATAACATTCAACAAGCTTAAGAGTCGTAGTGAAATAGATAAAAACTTTGTGCAAATATTTCTCAAAGCTCGGGTGCTAAGGGTGTATAGATCAAAAGCTGGTCAAATGTTTCGCCCCACTGAAGAGCTCTTACCAATTGGTCTGAGCTTTTTCGTTTCTCGATAAGATACAATTGCAAGCTTATTTTCTAATCTAGTATTAGTAGATTGGTGTAGTAACGATATATACTTATGTAGCTACATAGTATGCCTTGTGTTAATACGGTACAACGTTTCATTATATATCATGGTTATGTTGGAGTCACCCACAGCATATCGAAAAACAATTGTAACTACCCTTTGAAACTGAAAATCTAGACAACTAGGTGTTTACAAGAGATAGCTATTGTTTCTGGTATAAAACTACTTCCATGAGTAGTTCAGAGCTAAGCTCTGATTCCTCAGGCCCTATACCCTTGCCTACTACTATCCTAAAATAAAACCATTAATAGTACGCTCCGTTAAAGAAAAGGCTTTCAGGAATATCGATACAGACACTCAATCAGTACGTCTGCAGTGAGTTTCTAATAAAGGGTTTAGCAGCTCTCAACGCAACGCAGCTCCATGTCGCGAGTCGGCTCGTCGAATACGATTTGCCGTCTTTTGCCTTGTGTACCGCCATCGGAACAGGCCTGGAGGCACCGGCTGTGTCACTAGTGATTGCTTAAATAAGGCCCTATCCTGGTCCTTATGTTGTATCAAAAAATGAACGTGTCTCTAGGTGGTGTTTCTAATTACTATCAGGATAGGTTATCCTTGTACGAGCCGAACCGGTCGACATAAAGATCATTTTGTCTGCCCAAAAAGACAATTTTCACTACATCACTAGTGCACTCTCACTGAATAAAGTTAGCAGAGTGATCTTTATTCCGAGAGCGTGAAATTAGCTGGCCAGCCGTTTGATGCAACGTTACCGTTAGTTCCGGGCGGAATAATTCAAACAATTTTTTCTACCCTACATAATTCAAATGTGTTCTATACGTGTTAACGCATACTTTCAAAGCTGTGTTTCTTTAAATCACCTAGGCCTTGTCCGTCTAAAGTACGCCATTGGCGCGTCATATTTACCAAGCATACGGAAGTAAGGATGAGTTAGAAGTAGGCTAACAATGAACTGGGCAGAACGGTAGTGTCTGGTTAATAGACGGCAGATTTACAATTAAAACAGATAAAATAGACTTACTTTCTTTTGTAAGCCCATCTTGTCCCCTTCCAGAGATGGGAGCCTAGAAAAAAATGAAATTTGGCGTGTTGATATTCGATCGTGTAAACTGAAGCACACGTAGATAATTTTCTGCTAATATGCAGTTTTGAACGCCGTCCGATAAGTTCGTAAATCGACATCACCGAAGGCGCTATGTTTTATAGAATAATAGAATATTGTATAACATAGCTTTTCAGCAAATCGGTACAAATGACATTTATTTACCTTAAAATGTAAGAAATATTTAAACCTTTCCTAGATTATTACTTAAGAAATGTTTTGAACATAAATGTATGCTTATATTTCTGGTTTCTTAAAATTTGTTGCCGTACACACGTATGTTAGGCTCTGAGACCCTAGGCCTGAAATCTGATTCGAGCTTGTTCGACACTACTACCGAAGCCCTAGTTTGTGGCTACGGAGGTCCCACTTAGAAACTGTGTGCATTTGAATGTCCGAAAACGATTCTAATTAGAAAAAGGTCTCTAGACAGCGTCATTTTTAAGCTACTGGAACTATATTAACAAATGGCATAATATTTTTCCAAGTTTTTAGTATTATAGCCTACGGTGGGCACGGGTCTCAACGAATCAACTCGAACTTCGAATGAATTCCGAGTGCAAACAATTTCAGGTGAATATAAACGATATTTAATCATCGTTACTGGGTCGTACTGAAGTGGAATATAATTACAAAATATATACAAAAATACACGCACACTCGGGGGTGTCTGATCCCTACAAGGGCCATGAGCAATGGGATAGTTCGATTTGGTGGCCATTATCTTGGTCGAACAGAGATATCATTATCTGTTCATTTTAATGAATCTGTTATAGGTGTACTAATGAAATGTACGTGGTGTCCGATGGCGGCATTTTTGAAACTCAAAATTTTCTTTATAAACAAGAGCGTGTAGATAACACGTATTCAATGAATGCTAGCACACGTCGGTCCTCCACTGTGACTATTCGACCTGATTTTAACTAACGCATATTACAATTGGTCAACAGATTTACTATAATATCCTTATTATATAGCATTCTTAGGAAGTCTACGAATTATATCAGCTGTTTTATCGAAGCTGTTCTATTGCTGTGTGAGCGCTCCAGCTAAAACAGCATATTAGCCCTCTTGAAAGCGGCCAGAACCAAAGGCATCTCCTTCGTTCAAAGACATCGCTGGCTTGGCGCATTCGAAAGAGAATGTTTTTGTTGTAGATTGCCCCGCTCTTGCACTTCAACAAATCCAATAAACGAATCTTTGAAGCTAATGTTATTATTAGACCAAATAATTTGTTAGGTTGAAGTCTGATTCAGCCGACGACGATGGCTCGAATTGAACTTAACATATGTCTTGACATGGGACATGTCCAAATGGTAAAATAGGTAATGCTTTGGGTATTAAGATGCCGTATCATAGATACTAACGCCGTTACTATTATAGTTCCCCTCTAACATATCAAGTAATAGGTATTTACAATTGTAAAAAGTTGCAATCTTTTGTTTGCAGATTAGCTTACAATGGCAGGCCGACAAAACGTTACTCGAAGGTTTTAACTACATACACTCGTTGATCAGTATCAGAAACACGCTACGATCTATACATGTATCTATATCTCGCGGCCTCCAACATGATAGGACCAAATCGACGCTTAAGGCTTAGTACACTATACCACTTTGTTCGTGGGTATCCGGAAAACTAGGTGAAATTAGAGAAAAAAGCTTATAGGCAAATAGGCTTCTCAAAAAAACGTCTAGAGCTTCATCATAACGACGTGCACAACTGTATGCATATTAGATTTATATAATGACTATCCGCAAAAGAGCGACTACATAGCTGTTTTTAATTTAGGAAGTCGACGAACGAACCTGGCTCAGATTTTGACGATAGCAAACACAAACAAAACAAACTTAGTAAAAAGCATACCAAGGGTTTATGATACAGTTGGTTATAAACTGCTAGTTGATCATCAACGATTCGGACTAGTGCCCTCCTTAGTAAATCCTACCGTCTCCGGCTATTAATTGACCGTATATTGGTAAAAACCTTAAAACCTCGTTAGGGTAATATTCACATAAATTCAAACCAAACGCTATATAATATCTACTATTAATAATAATAATAATAAATAATTGTTCTCCGACAAACAATTTAATTGGAATAATTTACTCCACTATCGTGTTGCCTATAAGTTCCGTTAAGGATTTCTCATATAGAACGATGACAAAAAAAGCAACAGATATAGTTGATCGTTTACTATATTATATGTGACACGCGTATTGTAAAACTCTTGTAGTAAACTATCGTTTAGTTCTTGGATAAACGCATTTGGCGAGTTCAGTCGGTAAACGTGTTTTTACAGTTTGCTTTTCTACCACTGCCACTTCCCACCGTCGGGCTGTGTTCAGGCCATCTATGCAATAAAATCGGATGGTGAAGAAGGCCCTTGCTTGCCTACTCTGCTACTTCTTGTATACATATAGCTTCGAAGTAGCCACCTAGTTAACTCACGCCGGTGTCGCAACGCACCCACCAATAGAGCGTCGGGACGTAGGAAAAGTTTATAATAAAACCATCTTCATGACGACTGCCGCTACGTCAACGATGTCTAAAGGCCATATGATCATGACCAACAATGCTACTGCGGCCGGCACTCCTACTTCTAAATACAATTACTACGACATGGAAGCAACCGTAGCGAAGTTACGACGGCTGACTAAGGCGGCAATGGCTCGCTTGGCGACGAGCTGCCGTCTGGCTGTAACACCCATGAGAGGGTGACCTATCTCGAATCTAAATAACCTAAAGCTAGACGCTTTGCTCTGCCACCACTAGAGCAGCTGCCAAAACGATATAGTTACACGTAATTATTGACGGAGGTGACTCACTGATCTTGGCATAACGTAGAAGCATAGGTATTCGCTCCTAGATTTTGGGCGTACAAGTTTGACGTTCAGGGATACATGAAATCTATTGTATTCATGCAGTCTGTTCCCAGATCAATTAAACGCCATCTCGGTCGAATGTCCAGTCGCCACTTCGTCGTCACTTGAAATGAAGATAATTTCTTCGCCTGCAGGACCGATGTCTTCTCTATGTGATACTCGCATGTGCGATCGATTTTTGCCGCCAAGGAATCCATTCACAGAAGTGTTTACTAAATATTTCAAACACTGAGAATTCCAATGATTGAATACCATCTGTCACAAATGGCTTCTTGACGAGAGTCCGAAAAAGACGTCCGGCCGATGGAGCCTCAAATCAGGGCTTCTCTTTCAAAAAATCCCTAATACGGACACGTTTGAGGCGACTTGTGAAGGGCCAAGGGCACATTGCTTTGTGTCGAACGTGAAGGCTGAAAGGAAAATATGAAAACGGACTATGAGTTTTTGGATTGAGCGGGAAACTCGGATTGGTCTCAGGCACGCAACTCGGCCCGATTCGTTCGGCAGTTCTTTTTCTATTGAATCAGCTTATTCATTTAAGTTCTAGCTCGCTTGTGACTACGTTAAATAGAACTTTTCATCCACTTGATTCGGATAAACGCGCACGTTTGCGCACAATAGCTTAATGTTCGTGACTCATGTGACGTCTTTTCATGCCAACAGCTCTTCGAGAACCTCTTCAACTCCACAACACCATATGATTTCACGCACTTCATGAAAGAACGAGTTGTTCTTATTGAAATGTTTACTTAGCACGATTTAGAAACCCTATTACTTTTAGCGGACGCGTACACGCTCGGCTCTTTTGACCCACACACAGATACTTGCTTGCTTCAACTGAAGGTGCGCCTCATGCATATTGCATGTGGGGTTCAGCTGAGTACTATATATGAATTTATTGCGTTTCCTTTTATCGACCTACTATTAAGTTTAATACAGCGGAGCGTAATGATGATATGAATGGCAATGAGTAAAACAAGGTTCCGGAAATGATGTCCGCATGTTAATGAAGACGCAACTTCGTTCTATTTTTAGTTTCCTTCTTATAGTATGGCATTTGAATGCGACAACAAAACATTCATTTGGACAATTCTACGCTGTCGTCCAGCTGAGATAAACAAAACACAACGCAGTAAGAGTTCGTCGTGATACATTCGACGTATGCGTCTGTCTCGGACCCCCACAACAAAATAGCAGACGGTTTCGCTTACATTCAGTATGTCGACGTGTGACGATTTTATATCTTACTTAGTAGCAGGTAGCGAACGGATACGAATTGCACCGCCTGGCCTGACTCGAATCAGCTCGGCCTGGTATAACTCCTCCCTCGTTTGTAAGCCTTCCAACGACGGACGTTGACAACGTCCATATTAAATAATACAAGCCGTCCTGCCGTGCCTTCATCCGATGTCACCGCGTGACTTCCGCTACAATTTCCGCTCTACCCTTCTAAACATCCCAACTCCACTCGGAGCCCTTTCTAGCCCCCTTCAACGAGGCCATTCTCCCCTATTTCAAACATAACCGAGCCAAAATGGCACTCTCATCCTAATATCGCTTGCTATCGGCCAAGTAAACACTTCGTCGGCTATAGAGACGGCAACAAGCAAATACCAGTTTATATTACACCTATTGTATCAGTTTTAAAAAACTTGCTTGATATCGGCTTACTTCTAAGTGGCGCGACGGAGTGTGCCGAGACGCACATGTCTACAGCCAGTAATTGGCCACTGTTGCTCAGTCTCATAAATCTACGGTTTAGGCAATGAAGCACTGCCTGTACATTATGCAATCGTCTGTTACGGCACGGGTTAGCTTGCTGGTACGACCTATGAACGACTTGCAGCAAATAGTCCGCCGAGTCAGCTTATCGATCTTCTTTATAGCTACCATTCAATACACAACACATACTGCATACTAACTTCTCTTCTATTGGCGAAATTCGATTTTGCAGTATCTGCCCATGTAGCAGGACTAACATTATACAGCAGTCGATTCCAAATACTACTCGTCTATAGTTTGTAAAAATTTACTCCATATTGCTATTTCCTCATGAGTTCCCCTCGACGGTAACAGGTCGGCTCCTCGGTAGTTTAAATACTAGATACAGTAAAGGCAAATAACGTTGGCACAAAAAAAAATTGCGAAGGTAGGGGAAAACGTAATAAACGGAGGGAACCGCTATCGAAAATTGATTTGCTTAATTAATTAATAACGGAACCCTCGACAACTCGTGTGGTTTCCCTGATTCTGGTATAAACAATTAACGTAAGTTTATCATGATCCTGATTATTAAACATCCGATATTGCGCCTTCTCGATAGCGTGCACTACAGCCCTGACAACTAGCTTCAATTAAAAAATTCAACATGTGACGTAACAAACACGAAAATACCATGGCCTTGTTCAGCATAGCATATCCGAGATTCTAATTGCAGCAAGCAAGTATGAGACCTATATGATGCGCCTCAAAAGTTCTGAAGGTTTGGTAGTATACCTGTCCAAGACAAGCATACCGATCTTTACCGACGGCCTGATCCGTATAGCTTAACGCCTCCATATAGCCTAACCACCATCTGGCTCTTCGGAGCCCCCCGTAACAACAAATAGGTTCTTCGGTGTTGTCAAGAGGGCATTTGGATCGCCTAAGGCAGTATATTAACGATTCTTATAGCGAGTAAGCTTATCAACAGAGCCTGAACTACTAAGCTCCATTTATCTGGTAGATGAATGGCGAACATCGTGTAAAGTGTTAGCAAAATATCGAATTCCAGGCCATGAATGTCCTGGAACATTACGATTGATTCTTTGATTTCGCTCCCATCGTAGAAGGCTCTTGCGAATTATTGTAGTATCGCATCTGTCAATTGAATGTATTAATATTATTACTTTCGAGCAAAAGCTGATAGTTTTCGAATCCTCAGCGCTTTCGCATTTCTCGGGGCATCAGGAAATCAGATAGTAACCTAAAAAAGGGGGCACCTCAGAGACATAACTGCAGTTGTTGCAGGTGTCTCCAGTTTAAGGTGTCTTGCAGTCGAAAATGGCCATACCTGTAGAAGTAAATTCATAGAGAGTTTTTTAATCAAATGACCGCGTTCATTTCAGAATACGTTTAGTTTTAGTGTTCTTACTTACAAAATGACCCTTTCCACTTAGCAAACGCTCCATCCTCTCGAAGCTCCGTTAACAAGCCCCTGGAAAGGAAGAAGAATTACTATAAAAATACGACTCGTTTTGATAGAACACGTAAATTAAAGTTATTAGTATTTAAGGCAATAGAATACTGGAGGGTACGCTTGTGCGAGCTGCCGATTTTTCTAACGCGTGTCTTTCTCGTTGCCGTCACAACCTTCAGGGGGCCTTCGCTGGGCTTAGCTGGTTAGCTAACCAGTGAGCATCCGCCTCGTTTCCCTATGTTTTAGTGAAATCGAACCAACGTTCGACCAATAGGTCTGTGTACTATGTACATTATGAAATTGGCCATACGAATGAGCGAATTGGACTCCCCTCACTTGTTCTTATCTCGCACCGTGACTCGTGTCCGTTGTTCCAACTCGCGGTGGCGGCTGGCTAGCGTGAGTTCTAACAGAGCTAGATCTCAACGGCCGTCCTGAAGCCATGACGGACCGGACGGACGGCTGCTTGAATAAGACGACGACGACGACGACTAAAGCTGGACTACAAGCATACAATGTAGAAGATTCAAACATTTCGCCCGAAACGTACCCAAGTACTGTAAATGGTTTCTACCCGATTGTCAAAAAAACAAAACTAGGCACAGCGACTAGATGAAATCACTTAGTGAAGGTATTGCTTCATAACAGCGACGTATCTGGGCTAACTACAGTTGCTGCCTGAACAGGCCCAGAGGCATTTTTTTTTCTTATATCCCTGACAGGCCATCTATGAGCGCCGTGGATGGGTAGATAGGGAGTGAGAAGGAGAACGGAAAACGGAAACGCTTCGGACGTGATCGCTAAAACGGTATTTCGCTGTGCAATTCGCGACTATTCTTCTTCGAAAGATAGCTAGATGGAAGAAGAAAGCTAGCCGACTCTGACAACTACAAGAACCGAAACTGCTGCCACTAACAGTAAAGCTAGCCAACTTCTACCACTATTGCTATGCGAAAAAAAAGCGACTACAGAGTAGTTGTTATGGCGCCCTTATGTGAAGTTTTGCTTCCAGCCATAGATAATGCACCATGCATTTAAACCGTATCCGTTAGAGATAACATTGGCCGCTTTGAAATTCAGACGATATAATTGCTGCTGACCTACCGTAATGTTACGACGGTTATGTGTTCGCTGAAGGTTATAATTATAGTCTTGCTTATGTTGATGTCAGGTTTACAGGAAACTGAACCTGTTGACTTCGAATTACTAATAAATGTGCAAGTTGATCTGCAGTTGTAGCGGAGTCAAGAGGGTAACTGTTCATCATCCATTGTTCGAATCTCTATATAACACTGGGTATGAAAGTAACAGTCAGCGACGTTAGCTACTACCACATTTTGTCTTAGCTGTGCACCTTAAAATTATGAAAAGACCTATAATCCTACCTGTTCCGCGCACTGTGTTGTGTTTATTTTATTGCTTAGTATAGTATCCTGTACAATTAGATCTTATGACCGAAAAACGGCTTATCTAACACGGTCTTCTTGATAACTTTCTCGATGTGACATGCGAAGCTCATAGACGGTAGATCATCTATGGACTGAACACAAATGTGCGCCATCTGACAGCTGTTACCAGAATGGGTTCAAAGTTTTAGCGCTAAAGGTCTTTGTTTGAAGCACAAACCATGCACCAGGCAATCACAAAAATCACGTGACCATGAACCACACGTCCTATTCGAGGCTCCGCTACCTGAAAAGCTCTGTGCATATCACGACTTGCATACATTTTAGCGCAAATAAATACTAGCGGATCTATCGAAAGTAAACGCCTGAAGCATTTTTAACCGTTTGATAATATGCCAGCTAAGCTCAAATAAGCTTTAGCGTGGACAACTCGTCAGATTTGCTGGCGTATGGAAAAGCTACTTAGCTATAAGCTTTAGAGACACCGTCGAATGACTGTGAATACAAGTCGTAATTGAAAACTCAACTCGTCCGACCGATCAAACAAGCTGACATTATAAAGAGGAAAAATAAATTTTCAGCCCAATTTTTATTTCGAAGTTTGCTTTACTGGCTTTCAGCTATTCCGATTCATGTGGCACGATTAAGGCGGCAAGATATTCAAATGCGAAACAGAGATCCGAAAACTGGTCTGTAGATAGGTCATATCTATGGATGCGTTCTTTACTAGCCTTAAAATCCGTTTCTTGCACAAAGGGCGAGCGAAGGCCGCAAAGGGCCAAACTAATTAATTCGGCAGGGGAGGTTACTGCCTCCACAGAAAAAAAAATAAGTTAGCAATTGAGAATTGAAAAAGGGAATTACTTTTTTTTTTTTTTTCACCTACCTAATATATATATAGTGATTTTCAAATGATAATACAGAAATGAGTTATCTCAAATTTGCAATACATGATGCAAGCTCTCAAAAATCGGAAGGTCAAAGTTTCAGAAATTGCTAAAGTATTAGCAGGGAACGGTGTAAAAGTTGCACGGCGGTGGCCTGAAATGTTTCCACTAAAATTAACTATCACTGCAGGCGACTGGTTTCTATCAAACCCCGGATACATTTTTTCCAGCACTTATCCGAAACACAATATTAAGGAGCTACCTTCACGGCTTGGCCTATTGAGAACATTTGCATCTCTCATGCTTGTGAGAAGGATGTAGCTTTTTACTAACGACTCAGCAACCTAAAAAGCACATTCCCTCCAATTTCCATCAATTTTCTTGACTATACACCTTTCGCGTCGAATTGTTATAGCAGGAAAATGGCCCCTTTTTCCAATAGTTCGCTCGGATTTTTAGTTTTCCTACCTAATTGAATAACTAACTGTTTCGTTGAAAATGCCGGCAACGCAATAACTTGCCTTTGACATATATTTGTATTTCTCCTACAATTTATTTATTTTATTTACAATTTACTAAGCAAAAAAAATTAAGTATAGGCGGAATAAGCTCAAGTTTGTTCGTTTGTGCCCCATCCTGCATTGATACCACACTGAATAATGTCAACATAGCATGGCGAATTACTATTGTAATCAGCCTAGTCAATACTTTTGGCACCCCTAAAATATATATCTAAATTTTTATATATCTTTATATCTCATCGTTTGCTTTAAATGGGAGCCGTTGCAATAACAAGTTATTATTGCGTTCCATCAGATGCAAAACAAAACGATCGGCTTAGTTAACCGTAGTGTTTTCTGTGGTTCCATCCAAGAAGAGGCTTTATCTTTTTGGAAAGAAATTAAAAAAAAAAAAAAAGGAACGAAGATGATGGTCGAAGTGAAAACAGTGGAAAAACTCTGTAAATATCAGCCAAATAACACATGAGGGTAGCCTACATCCACCGACGGTTAAGGCGGTACCTGAGCGTTACAACGGTTGGAAAGAAGTACCCGTTTTTCATGTAAGAGTTGTTGCTCTTCAGTACCTATTTTACTGAACGCCATATTCATAGCGTGGGAGATGTTTTGCAGCAAACTCTGCCATGTCGTTCATAGCCAGCTTTGTTTATCTCTTTTCCCTCGGTGAAGGCGAACGACAACGAGCCATTATCGTCTTCTAGTTAGCTAGCTTAATCGTTTGGTGCATCAGCTTAAAAATTTGGTGCATTTTTTCTGTCTCAGTGGCAGCTGCTGACGACATCTCGGCAAATAAGGTAAGACTTCGTCATTTGATAAACCTATGGCTATAGAAATCGAATAAGTTCATTAGGGGAACATTCACTGCTCGTTCTTGTGACAAAAAACTATCTGTAGCTATTATCAGTCGCCAGTTACGTTTGTTGGGAGCTATATATAAATGCACAACCTGGGGCGTCGAGCTTGAAAGCAGATCCGACTTGCTCTAGTCGTAATAGGATCGTAGTGAAATTGCACAGGCTAGAATTAAGTAAAAGTGGGAGTGGACATGACATGAAAAATAAAAGTACCGTGCATTAACACTCTAGTGTTTGTCTATATCTTTTCTTTAATATAAAGTCTATTTACTTTTATAAATCATCTGAATTGGAGAAACCTTAGTTAAATACACCTCGGCTAGACCTTCTGGTTAGGAGAGCCCGCGCTGCTAAATCAAAACGACAATTCAGCGCACTTGTTTGCACAGTAGAAATAGTCGAAAGCCTTGAAAAAATAAAACCTCTACGTTTTTATGCCGCTAGCAAAATTATGATACTACAAGCAGAGCTCCTGTTCACCGCGTACTGTTTACATAACCTGTCTTTAGCCCTTTTTTTGCGATTTGAATATAAATCTTAAAAACTATTTTTTTTCCAAGTTTCGACAATAATTAGCATCATTTTGCGTCCTAACGGCTGCACTCGGTTGTTTTTGCAGTCGACAGAACAAGTGCTATAGCTGCAGATTGATGATCAAAACAATGACGCTACGTCAGCATTGATGGAACAGTTGCTCACTGTGTTCGTTCGACGTTGTCGCCTCAAGGAGCTGCAACGACGTCAGATTGCGGCATAGCGCCGTACCAGGGTAAGGGCAGAAGGCGGGCGGAGAAGGGCACAGATTCATCGTCTACTGTGGGATCGGTCAGGACAAAATGGTAAACGACGCCAAATTCTTTTCTTAATAGGCCCTAAACAAGCGGCAAGCTGCTGCTCGCTCAATGTCGACACTAGGGAGGACGTCACTGGATATAGCTGGAGTAAAATTTTGCCCACCCTCAAATAACTTTAACGCTTCGCCCTTTATCCGTCTTATGTACTCTTTTCTTTTGCTGTTGCCAGCCCCATCTCTCAACCAGCAGAACTGGTGGCAGCCTCTGCCTTCGTGACGTTTACGAGAACACGAAATGCATCTCTGATACAAGTAAGGGTTTTGAAAGGAAGAGAAGCTAAGATAACTTAAAACGGCTGCTTCTGCTGGTAAGAAGGCCGTGGCTGCTGCTACAAGAGGAGCAGTAGTAGTACCATCCGCTATAAGATAACAGCACCGCAAGGACAGCGACGCGTCTGCCTGGCGAAAATGAGAGACCAATTCCCATTTCGGTAAACACTCAGCAGGAGTACGCTGTCGCTGGGCGTCACCGTCATCGCCATCAGTACCATCCAGTCGCTAGATTGTGTCGACGCTAAGCATTTGAGAAACCACGGCAGGACGCTTTGTAAGGCGCGTCATGTCATCGTCATATGAGAAAATAGAGCTTTTGTATTGGGCGAAGGGTGGGTAAATGTGCACTATCTTCTCTTGACTCTCGTGCATATTACAAGACGTGTGTATAAACGGTAAACAACGAGCGACCGGTGCACATGAAGGGTTTGCTTTTACCTTGACTCGACCGGCGTACGTGCCAGTCGTTCTTGGCTGTATCAAGTAAGCGAGCGCGCTACTTTCTTGCTTGGTCGTGTCGGCGGCCGAGCGCATAAGGCGGCATAACTCAACGGTATAAAAGGACGGGAGTGAGTTACCGTAGTTTGATAATGGTAGCAGTGACTCGCTAGATAATACGAAGGGAGCGGCAGAGTAATGAATGCAGTTGCTGCTGATGCTGTTGCTAACGCTGTTAGCGGCGGTCTGACAGAGCGCTGCAACTCAGGATAAGGGTGCGGGGAAGCCTTGGAGCGAAATGGCAAAAAGAATGGGAAACAATGGCTTGGATCCGCACACTCGGACCGAAGCAAGAAAGTCCTCTTTTGTTTCTGTAACCAAGAAGATATCCGATCCTCTTCTTGGGCCCCGGTCCCCCTATACCCGCGATAGCCGCAGGGGACTATGAAGAACGCGAAGGCGAAGGCCCGGACTGCTCTCAGGCACACGGACAAATACGCTAGTATTCTTCCTATGACTAAAGAAGAACTCACACTGATCTTCTCGCAAAAAGAAGAGCAGGCTTGTGTGCTATTCGACGCCGAGAATGGCTCGATATATATCTGCTAGTTCATTGGCAAGGGGGACGACACGCGTACGTAGAACGCCAGCGGAGCTGGTCAGCCATGGATCAACATGGGCTTCCCAGCCATGGACTGGGAGGACAGCCGCAGCAGATTAAAAGCTAGGACCAGACTAAGAGGTTATACAAGGTTAAGCAATTGAGACAGCCTGCTGTAGGGAAGGAGGTCTCGAAGAGCAAACAAAAGAAGACCTGCTTGCAGTCGTGTGAACACAATACCACTCCCGCTACTGCAGTACCGACGGACGACCGCTAGCCCGGTCTGTCTTAACAGGATGAGCACGGGCGGTCGCAAATAACCCGCCGAGTCCAACAGCCGTATGGCTAATAAAATACAATAGAAGAGGAAAAGTTGCACAACATTGTAATATAATCCATAGAGATAGGGCTTGCAATTATTGTGGCCAATACCATAAGCAGACCTAATAACACCAAAAAAGGTTCCTGTGATAGTTAATTAGGTAGGATGAAGCGCAATAAATGAACGCGTGCTGTGTGTGGCCATGCCAAGTAAATAACTGGCAAACCGCGCGTATTTGAAATAACCAGCTCTTTTTAAACACAGAAAACGGAGAGTAGGATGCTCGAAGCGGACGCGCCCAAATCAATCGATTGTACCTGTTTAGAAATCCATTACCAAAATTAACTTAACGGGATTAATAAATTAACGGAAGAATAAATAACAGTAGTGATATTCCTGTTTCGTTATTGGATTTACGTTTGCCCCCTACCGCTGGCACTGAATAACTCATTTATACAGCATATTTTTATTTATCCAATATTATGCATGTTAGAGTTAACAAACGTTCCCTAGCCATATTAAATGAATACTATCCATTTCGCAGCCCGGAACAAAACAAATATTCAGTCAATGTTACCTTTAAAGGTGAGTTTGATAGCAAATACATTGCCTTCTAGTTGAATACGCCTAAAAGGACCAAATTACTTTTTTATTGTTTGGTATTATGGCTACGACCGTCCAGCATCGATGCCAGACTAAAGCCCATTTGTGACCCGACATTATTTTACGAATCGAAAACAAACTCTTAAACTAGGGATCGGTAGCAGACGGTATTTAGCAAATAGTTAAATTAAATCTCTAGTTATCTATGATTATATGTTAATTGAGTAGGCTGACGAACTTAGAAACAAGGATATCCTTTAACGCCAAACGTAAACGTTTAATGATTAAGACCTCGTTACTTAGAGCTAAAGGCGCCGAGTGAATCTTAGTAAAGATACTAGGAAAAGAGGCGTTCAGCCAAGAAGTAGCTTGTCATTGGGGCGGTTTCATTACAGAAGTTGAAGGAGATTGAGGATCACAGAGGAAATGCCTACAGCTCAAGCTTTCAGATAGAAGAGTGAATTGTTATGACTACATAAGATTTTGAGCAAAACATAGCAGGGGCAAGGTCCTCCCTGCCAGCTAAATATAGGATTTTTCGCCACGATAACGCCTGGTCTGCACTGAGTTTGGGATCTCTAGAATAGCGGACGTAGGCCTGCCTTTACTGCTGCTTTTAGCGCGAAAATTGCGTATATTAGGTAAGAAAATAAATACCAGCACCAACTGTTGTTGTTGTTGTTGTTGTTGTGTTAGAATATGAAAATCAATCGTCTTCTTCGAGACAATTCTTGATCTCTGTTTATATTTTTTTTTACAAGGTCTTTACCTTCAGTATTGGTTATTTAAGCATATTGTGATTTTTTTACTATAAAAACCGTTTCTATCAATAATAGAAGAAACAGCCGTATTTATACGTTTGTAGCATTATCTCAAGAGAACGGCGTTATGATATTATGCATGTGACCACTGTGATAATTCGCTGATGTCTTATGTTAAATGCAGAAGTAAGTTAGTGCTTGACCTGTAAGTACTTCGGTAGTAAAACCGATTTCCATTTAGATTGAAATTAGACCAGCTGTCTGTCTATAGTTTTTCCGTGCACAAGCTCAAGGCAGTGTTCGATTTCTCCTTTCCAGGCACAACAGGCCCAATGTTTCACTCTAAACCCTTTACCCTTGCTGCGATCTAACACATTGTTACACGTTGCTTGTTCTGTATTTTTTCATATAAATAAGCGCTTAATCTACACAGAAAAATGTGACTAGGTAAGTGAGTCAGACATTTCGCATCCGAGATAATTAGGTTCCGACCGAATCGTTTTTAAAATTATGCATAGTATAGTCTAGAAATCAATTTACGCAGTTCATGTATTTCAAAAGCAGCACATGTTCTTTCTATACATTACTATAACTGTTTCAACGAACATGTAATATAAATGTAATATAAAAAAAATGTAAATATGTAATTTCTTCCGCACAAATTGACCCGTACGTTTTTTTTCATCATTTCATTTGTCATCAGAAAAAACGTAGCAATTCTTTTTTTAAAACACAATGATGCACCGCTACATATGTTACAATAACTGTATCATGTACTGAACGACCGTTACCAAAATCATCGAAGGCTACTTGCAACATCACACACGCACATACCATTCCCCAGCCACGATGTCAAGACCAGCAAATCCGGGGAGCAAATTAAGGTTTCAGCCAATTACGGGCTGAGCTACCTATCTTTGGGCAAATAGAGACGTACCGGACGACACGAAGACACATGATGACACTAAGTACACTAAACGCCGTATTTCTCCATTGTATACCCTCGTTTCGCCTCTTCTGCTTACGCTTGGTACAATATAGACGCCGTATGTCATCGTTCCCTTCAAACACAATGTGGCTTTGGGAAAAGCAAAGGAAAAACTGGTCAGCCGCGTAGCCAGCTGGTTGGGAAGCTTGCTATTTGTCCAAAGCAGGCTAGGAATGAGCTCTTCCAAACTACTTTACCTTGGAAAGTCATCGTTTTTGAGGAACGCGCATTCTTCTACGGCTTGGCCAGTAATAGTAATTATAACTGCCGTCATTTCAACGGTTGCTAGAATCTATTGTTACAAAGCTACACTAATGCTATTTCCGTTTAATAATAATAGAGTCAATCAAATGATGTTGCTGCTTGCAAGAACGAAAAAGAAGAACAGAAACAATATTTGGCCTTCTAAGCCTTCTAAAAGCATGTAAGGTACGCTCCTTATTTCACCTTCTTGGTCTCACTGTGCTGACCTAACTGGCGATAAATACCACTTATTTTTGCCTCGAGCTATACGATACGCATTAGGCACATCAACTAAAAAACTTAATTTGTCCTTAAACCTTGAATTTGAAACATCACAAAGAAGGCAAGAAGGAAAAAGCAAAGAAATCTGCCAAATTAACACAGGTAGTACATTTCACCATTTAGGCCTTGTGAGCACCTATTTCGATTATCGACAGATACTTCACTGCACTATGATCACATATAGCAAATATTTAGATAATTTCAGTCGGGCAATCTTTCGATATGCCTACGTATAGATGAGCATCTATTTTCTACATAGATGAAAATTTGTCTATATAGAAAATAAATGCTTACGAAATATGCGTACGAAACATTCAGATATTACTAGCAAATTGTGCCATATGCGCTATCGTCCGTGGTGACTTGCTTATGAAAAGGCCATGTAGCTGTGCTTCGAACAGCACAAGGCTATATATAGGCTGCCGAAGCGTGCCCTGCTTTGGCCGATTCGAAAATCGATAGTTCTTAGCTCATTGGTATTTTTCTCACCATTGTAGACTCGTCGCTCGCGTCAAATTCGGGTTAGTGTTGATGACGTTGGTGATCGTTGTCTCTTGGCCAGCCAATTGCGGTCAAATTTTCCGTTTCTCCAATAGGCACCCACACCTTCTTCAATCGTCTTCAAACGTGATATGTTCTCACAAACCAATAGACGCCTTTATAGACTACGCCTTTTCCCTAGTCTATCAACAGCCGATGGGCTTTTTGCTAATCTGCAGTGTGGAATCCTCGTACAGGTATGATCTGCCTAAATACTGCCTAAATAAAATCTATTAAGCTTTGCATTAACGCTACATATAACGGCACGCATGAGAGCGTAGGTACTTACGGCTATACTAAGCTAATTAAGTCTGGGGCCTCATTTAGACAAAGACAAGGTTTTATGCCATATACACTTGCTATACAAATCAGCTGTTCTTTTACACATCAAATAGATATGATATAGAAGCTGATCGGTAATCCCACTACTTAACTAGCTGTTACCCGAAAATATCTCAGGCTCTAATCATGACTGAAGTTTCTAGATGAGGCTTTCGCAGCTTCACTTTGATCGCCACAGGTGCTAGTGAATGAGATTTGCTCTGCATTAACTAACGGAACATGTTTACTACAGACGTGTAACACACTGGCCTAATATTTGTTTTTGGCTTTAGCGAATGCTTTTCCATCAAGACACGCCCATGGCTGCTGATGTGAGAAAACAAAGAGAGGACGAAAAGAGAACGTACCGTCCTTGTAGACCCAAATTCATAGGTATTACAAAATGGGCAAGTCTGACAGTTACCTGATTTGGTAGCCTTGTAGAAATATAGCAAATGACCACTTTAGAGCACCAGAGAACAACGCTTTCAAAATTCAACAAAACTCCAAACCACATTACAACATAACTGATTAAGTTGTTTAGCACAATTTAGTAAAATGGTCTACGACACCCTCGGTAGCGAAAATGATCGCATAGCGATTACTCAAAATTGTGGACTCCGGCGGCAGACCGTCTGTATAATATTTGACATTGTGCTGGACTCTCAGATCCATCGAATTATGCTGTGTCATGCTGTTTTATGAGATTAGAAAAACGAAATAGAGACAAATGTAGTTTGGTCAAGTGGAATTTAGCCCAAGGCCCCTCTCTTCCAGAGCCCCTGGCTCAGACCAGTTCCGACGCAGAGCGAGATACTCGAGACAATCGTAGAAGTCATCATTTGGTCAGCATCAATCCTCTTGACGACGACGATGACGACCACCTGTCGCCGAAGGGGAGACATTTGAAAGGAGAACGTTGTCCTCTACTCACACTTCTCTTCCCATGGGACTATACGATGTCGCAAAGGTATTTGCGTGCGAATCATTCGGCCAGGATCGACATCGGAGAGTAGCTGCACTCAATGAATATTGGTGCTGCCGTCGGTCGGAAGGAAGAACATAATGAAAGGCAAGCCAACAATGACCATGCGTCAATCGCTGGCTAACAACGCTCGGAGTTGGTCAGTAGGTATCTGATTTATTTTGAATCCATGTCACTGTATAGGCAACTACATTTCTGGGTCATGATTTATAAAATCATAATAGATTTAACTTGGGACATATATTGTATGTGTCTAGAGCTGCACACATTTGCAGCTCAAGAGATATCTATAACCCAACTGAAAAATCGGACATTGTTGTGACTTTAAGAAAATATCTCAGACGAGCGTAATTATTAAACGGATCATGTCACATTGTTCTGATCCGTTGTAAACGGTTAATTACAATCTAGTATTAGTTACTCCACTAGTTTTCGTATAAAAGCATCACAAGTAATTACCTGAAAAGGAGCGTCGACTCATCAGTATTAACCTACGTATATATAGCTAGTTCGTTACGGATATATAAACTCACACATGAAAGCGTTTGACACTACGTGCGAGGTATTTATTTAAGTACGTTAAATAAAAGAACTTTCATACTGTACAAATAACATTGAAAAATTCCATCCTTCTATTGTGTATTGCCTTACAAGGTATTTTAGCACAAAGCTTATATTTGAGTGCCTACGATCTTGGAAATACTATAAGCTGACGATGTTTCAATGAAATCAAAAGTTACCTTTTTTTCTTACCATTTACGTAACCCCGTACATAAAGCACCTTATATACAAAATAATGCTTTTTAACTCTACTATATTTTCACTATATCTAGCCAAGTCTATCGGTCTTTTAACATTTCACCTCATATACGTTACGTCAGTATAATACTTAAATACCAGGCGTAAAAAAATCATCTGAACGACCTCTGTGATTCATATTATTAAAATTTTTTATTGTTCTAAGCAAATAATTAGTGGGTGATGTAACTTCACAGAACCCGTTTCACCGACGACCTACTTTCGGTCGTCATTCTGCTACCTTTCAAACCTACCTTGCTCTTTACACTTTAAGATAAGATTTCGGACGAAAACCACAACTTGCTAAGAGCTTATTCTCTTTTTATACAGAGTGATCGAAAAATCGAGTTACTTCAATAAAATTAAGCGACCCTATAATATATAAAACAGCGTCCGTGCTTTGGTCACAACATGTGTAGAGAAATATTTAGCCTTCGGTTCTTTCAAGCAGACACACCATTAAATAGGCTGTTGTTGTTCTGGTTACGCTGAGTAAAAGAAAATTGACAATATAAAGTATGCTTTCCCTAGCGTTATTTACAAACCAAATAACTGTGTAATCCAGGGTCAAATTTTACTCGACAGTTGATAACGCATTATGTAGAATTATAATCTATACACGTACATAGATTTTTGATATACAAATAAAAAAAACTAGGAAATTTACATTAAAGAACAACTGGAATCGATACACGGCCTTTGAGGCACGCAGCGTAGAATTACAGGCGCCTAGGACATGTATCTTTGCTTAGTACCATAGAACCGAAATTTACAAAGGCAGTGTTTATTTGATACTATTTATACAAAATGTAGACACGTATGTAATAACACGCCTCACGTTTTTCGTCAAATACATTTATAATTTGAGTACGGTATATAAATGCAAATCACCCATTGATCGCGTCGACCGGTGTCTAAGTAACGAATGATCTCCCTGATATAACCTTTTGCCGAGGATAAGTCAAGACAAAATCTAATGTTTAAAATATATTATTTTCCCTCATTCGTTCGGTTGCTTTCTTTCCGATATCTGCAGGTGAAGAAAAAAATGCGTCAGTGAGACTAGGCACGATATCCCACTATTTCTTTCGACCTACGTACTCGTCCTCTAACATCCATCTGTAAAAAGACATCAGGACGGGATACCCCATGGACAGTGAGGTCAAGTGTGAGATAGCGGCTGCTATACAGATAGGTACGTCGACTTAAGGGGGTTGATGATGTGCAAACGAACGAACGAACAGGACTACAATGACATTGCCGCCTGTTCGCTGCAAAAGACAAGTGCGGGGGTGGGCAAGAGTTACGTCGATCTTTACCTGCTGTAGAAAGCCTGCTCGGGCAAGCAGAACACGCTGGCTGCTTGACTGACTGTCATAGCGTCAGAAACGCACAAGTTTCGCGCTAACATATGGCGAAGAACATTAGCAGCAGCAGAAGCACCTCAATCGTTGCGGTGCTGCAAGATTCGTCTTGGTTTGGCTTGGTTCATCTTCCTTTAGTCGTTTTTCTTCTCGTACGCGAGACAAAGTTGCATTGCCCTTTAGCTGCCCCCTCAAACATGCCCCGAACCGGCCGTAGTTGTTTCGTTCTTTTTTTGCATAAGCAAGGAGGGTAGTGAGTGACTGTAGGACGAATACAAACCACCCGGTCAGATTGCTGTTGTTGTTGGACAGAAACAGTGACATCAGCAACTATTTCTGAAAAACAGGATACGGGCAACGGCAGAGGCATGTCTCTTCGCCGCTTTTATTACAATAGCAGCATGGAGATTCGGTGTGATGCGCTGGCTCTGCATATCCTACCACCATCGCTGCCGATGCTTCCGCTACAGAAAAGCACTGTCGAGGCAGCAGGCCCTAGTAACTACGCGCCAGGCTGGCAAGTCGCTAGTGTACAAGGCAGACAGGCCGCCTTGCTGGCATAGACGAGGCAATGCATTTTAATGACTTTAAGATGCCTCTAGAGCCGCTCCCACTTTCGCAGCCAGAGTCATCTCGTCGCCTCTTGGTGCTCAGCTCCTCGATTTCTGCAACGTTCCAGTGGCAGCGGCAGTGACGGCAGTAGCAGCAGCAGCAGCATCGCGTCCTCGTTTCTGACCTGACCCAACCATCGGCCGGATTCGTTTCGTTCCATTGCTTAGAAGCCCAGGATCGTGAGACACACAAGCAAAACTCGCAGCCTTTCTCTAAGCAGCAGGTCCCCAACTCCAACCAAAGCTCCTGGTATCATAGTTACACTATACGTTGTCATGGTCTCCCATGCTACCGAGCCATCGACCCGTACAAGACACGAGAGCGCCCAAAGGAGAAATATATGAGGCGGGCCCACCAGTGAAAATGATATTATCGAATATTGGTGGTGATGATAATAATAATAATAACAACAGTAAATATATTTTGTAACCTTCTAGTAAGTGTATGCAGCAACGAGTGGATGGAAAAAGGAAGTGCAGTAACAAAATGTAACTGATCAAATACACTTTGTTTCCATGTTAAAGACGTATTTACTCTGCCCGTTTAATCAAATGACTCGACGACGAGGCAAATCGCAAGGAACTTTCTGGACACTTTAAAGCCGTAGCTTGTTGAAAGATAACTCAATCTAAATCGTGTCATTTTGTCTGCCATATTATATAATACACCAGAGGAAACTACGGAACGCAAAACACTAGTAGAGTGACTCACCGATTAATTCAATTGCCATCGTTTTTGTCGCATCCAGACTCCGTCTTCCGGCGGTGAATCGAGGTCTGCTAATGGAAGAAGCAGGTATCAGGTGGTAAACGACTGTCTTAGCGCGTCGTTTACTGATATTCATACAATGAAACTATTTACCAATAGCTCAGCAAATGTGAACGACATCATTCTTGTGACGCTTATAGAGACGATGACATGCTTAATAAACAGCTACCTTAACACATTTATTGAAAGAGCTCAATTCCACATTATATGTACACGGCATTTTTATGTTACCATTTATTTTAAAAAAGTAAATTTCTGATTTGTCATAAGAATTATACATTACCACCAGCGGGCAAAGAACTTCTTCCCAGCTACACATTTACTTTGCTACATGCGCGACACCGTTGAATGAGAGGTAACTGCCTATATCTTCGTCCACATCACGGTCACGAGCATTTAAATGCATCGACTACTTAACTTAAACGCGACCTTGAATCCGCAGAAGATCTCTGTGTTCTGAGTTTCACGTCAGGTCTCATCGTTAGGCGTTCGATCGGACAGACGGCTGGCTCCTAGCACGAAACGAAGTTTGTTGATGGCCGAGTTCAAACCTAGAACATTACGCGTCCCTGAGATTAGGTGACAAGTAAGTTAGTCACTAATCCACCACGAGAACTCGCTATTCAATCTCAGTAAATCAAAACCGTCGTTGTACACCATTAGCACCAAGACTCAGCTTCCCTTCAAGCTGTAACCTCGAATTGAGCTGCACTGTCGATATCCAAAGAACAACAAAGCGTGCTTAAGACAGAAATAATCAAGGGAAATAAACTTCCAGCTGAGATGCTTTACAGGGCTCAACTTCTATTTACATACGAATAGTTGCAGTCAAGCCCACTTTACAGAGCTGTACTTACTTTTATGCTATTACCATGCCTTTTATGTTTACTTTTACGCTATTATCACTATAGGGTATCATCTTACACTTCCTTTTCGCATATATATATATATATATATGTTAATAGGTGCATCTAAATCCGATTTTTTTTTCGGTTGTTTCTGAGTCTAAGCCACTCCAACGCAACGCTGCATGCGCTTGAAATATCATTCCTTTATTCAGTATAACCATCATTCACCGCGATTACACTTCATTTTAATATTTAATTCGGAATATTGCTTCTTTATCCCGCGAAGAACATTTTTATATTAATTGTGCGTCAAGCGATATTGCTAGGTCTGAACTCTAGCGGAACTCAATTTTTGGCTAACAGCAGCAGCAGCACAAACGTCTTAAAGATGCAAGGGCTTGTGACGGCCAGTAAATTAAAAAAAGCAAATGCAAAAAGTCTTAATAAACTAACTATTGAAGGTAACCGGAATGACCTAAATAACAATTGACATTTCGCTCTTCAAAACAGCCGCTAATTTCTGTACAAAAAAGCAGGTGTAGAAAAAACGTTTTTTGTCCCACTTTAATGAATTTAGCGTTGTTTGTTGATGGAGGCTTGTTTCTTCACCATAGCATGGTTACTCACGGGTGCTGTGCTTGCTAGGCTTTAGCTAATAAAGAAAATTTCTTTTCGGCGTGCTGAGTAGAACCGAGTCCCGAAATGAACACACCGTCTTGGGAACAATACTCTTTTAATCTTTCTTTTTTTACTGTCAATGTGCTGTCATATTTCTCCTTCCTTTGTCTCATTGTTTTCCGTCTCGAGATCCCCTAACGAGAGCAGGCCGGCTTCTTGCGTTCTTACGAGAGTGCGTAATTTTTTTTCGGCTAATGTCTTTCTTGTCTTACAGCGTTGTCAGTGTTATTGTTGCTGGTGTTCACGATGGGCACAAATAAAACTCTCGTTCGTGGCACGAATGCTATTCCTATCGAGTGTTACAAGCCATCCGCTGTCAGTGCAAGACGGATACAGGGCAGTTAAGCCGGACCATTTGCAGCATTCCTCTCTATTCCGCTGGCTACTTATACAGATAAAGAGAAAAGAACAGCGGGAAAGAGACCGGAGCGCGAGGGGCGATTAACGTGAGCGTCTATGTCCTCCCTCTGTTTCACACATTTGAAATTCCTGAAACCATCGTAACACTAACGAAATCAAATTTTTCGAAAAATCACTCCCTCTTCAACAAAACGGATTTAAACGGAGCTGTACGTTCCGTGCGAATCTCTTTAAAAACAATCTCTGTTTGTCCTTACAAGATACAGTTAGTGCATACTGGCATTCACAAGCTCGTCCAGACAGTTTCTGAAACCATTTTGTATCAAATGTACTATTGGAAATTTTATTCATCAGATTTTGTAAAAGACGGTCTATCGGTGTAAAGTCTGGAGCATCCGATAGGTTCAAAAAAAACCCCACTCAAGTTCCTACAGGACGACTTTGACGGCCTTTGTTATGAGTGGCCTAACATCGTCCCGGGAAACGAACTTTGCCTTGTCTATTGGGTCTTTCCTATTGGGCAGTTTTGTTTATTCGATGATCAATTAGGCCATATACAGATCTATGTTGACCGTTTCATTTTTCTCTAGCGTTTCTCAATGTATAGGATTCTTATAACCTCGCCAAACACAAACCACAAGCTCTTCGGGATTGAAATCTGGCTTAAATCTAAGTTCAGGCGTGTCTCTTTGAACTACATGTTCCTAGTTAGTAAGGATTCAGGATATATATTTGTGTGTAAACCTTACAGATTCGGGATGTCTGATGATACGTCTCCTAGGCCAATTTACAAATTCTTGTCCGACAGTTAACTTTCAAAAGGTTTCTTTAGGTTGTTCTTACCGACTTCACGTGGCCGACATAGGCGACGTATGTCTTGTAATTCCAAATTTGAGTAGTTCTTTCAAGCACGGAGCCCACGATATACTCAGCCTAAATATTTCAAGCCGCTTTTGTAGCTTTTTGGCATTAGCAAAAAGAGAGATACGCTGGGGGGGAAGGCCAACTTCTGATGAGTTGTCTATCATTATAGGATACGTTGAAGGCCATCCCGACACAAATATCGTTAATATAGAGAACTCTATAGCCGAATTAGAAAAATTGGCGTATCATAATGATTTTGAGTAATGTTAGTTTCTTTATTGAAGATTAACTCGTGTGACAGTCGGAACAGACTAAAAAAATGTCATCTTTTTAGATATTAGAGTTCAAGTCTTTTGGAGCACGTCAGAACTTCCGCGTCTGAAGTCTCTTTAGACTCTACTACTATCGGGGAAGCCATGAGGTGTGCACTCAGCCTCGAAGTCACGTGGGTCTCCATGGTGCCTTCGGTATTGTCCAAGCCGGGACGAACTAAGGTTGAAAAGCATGTGAGGCGCAAAAGGAACGTGTACTCTTTAGTACTGTTCGCATCACGAAAAGGCTGAACGTGAATTTTTGAGTCGCAATTTGATTCAATGGGTATCATAAGGCAATTGTTGACTACGTCGTAAAATTTTAGGAACTGTGACAGAGAAATTGAGCGATGAGGCGATAACCTTTTGTAATTCAATGATGAAGCTTGCGGTCACATGAATTTGCGAATTTATATGAGCGACACTTCACGAAGTTTATGTACGTTGTATTTACACATTCATAGTTACTGAAGAACAAGGGAAGGGGCAGTCCATTACCGAGTTGTAACGGCGAAACCATGGTTCCACGCTCATTTTTTGGTAGCTGAGTTTGTCGGTTGGGCTACCCAGCTGGGTAAAATACAATAAAATGTCGAGGTTGTATTTTTTTTTCTAAACCCGTTTCCTTCAAATCAAAACGGTATTGAGACTCTTAATAAAGAGACAACTATCGAATTTTCAACTAAGGCATTTACGCAAGTAGGCCTTCCATCTTCCCTGTGCCCAGAGAAAAAGAACGCGCTTTAGCTAAATAGAATACTGAAAAGGCATCTGATCTCTTACTTTGACCAGATTTTTGTTGCTTATTTTTATTTGTATGTTAGAGTTTACATTCGTAATCGAATTTTCAGTTCGGAAGCAAGAACTGAAAAAATCCATCAGCATTGTTCAGGATGTTCGAAATAAGCTGTTTCTTCAAAACAAAGAGGCCAAGATGCAAGGCCCTCATAAGTACGGGCCTACTCTTCTAAACTACAGTAATCAGGAGTGGGGAGGCTAGATACCGTTTCAGCCATTGGTGAAATATAGGGATTGAACGACTCAGGAATCGAACTAGCGACAAGTTTCAACAACCTGCTCGGTATACCGTGATGTATCAATGATATTTTTTTGTTTCCTTGCAGGTCATTGTAGTGCTCTAATTCTGAAAAATCAATATTACCGCAGCCGTCAGGCGTGCGGAGTGTCCAATAAAAAATATATGGGTAAATGATGATGATTTACATGTGTTTATCAGTGTTTCCTTCGGTACACAAACGAATGGAAAATATATTTGAATAGAAAGAGAGCATGCCTAATTGGAAAAACAGCGCCACGCATGAAGGACAGTCGCCTACTTTTATATCTGAAGATCCAAGCTTATTAACTTACTTATCAAATCTCGTACACAATCCGTACTATTCATCAATGTCGGACCTTACCCAACAAGTTCCTGTGATTTTTGTCAATTTAACCAAAAATGAGTTTAGAATGCCTAGTCTGAATTCGACATCTGACTTCAAACTCGCATAAGTTCCTGGTGCACTACCCCAGTTAGCAGGTTGCAGCGATTATCCTTATTGCTATTGTTACCTTCATTCTCTTTCGTTTCCTAATCTTCTTTAGTTAACTTTGGTTAATTTACTACATTATATTATTATCTAACTTCAGCAATTAGATCACATTGCTTTAACAATTTTGTAACTTTGATTTTTCGATATTTGGTTATTCCACTAATTTATTATCGTAACTATACTGTAGCCCTGTTCAAGATGTTCTACGCAATTGTCTTGATCATTTCGTACACTCATCGTTATAAGTCGTTACTTCTTGCAATTATTCAGCTATTTTGAAGCCTTAGTTTTGTAATTTCATACTAATGTTAGGCCGCTTGAGAAAGAAGAAACGAATGGTTTTTAGAAATTATCGCTGATTTTCTGGAGAAAATACTACTAGTGAGCTCATGGTTATTAACATGATGATTAAGTAGTTTCGAGAGCCCAACCTCCCTTTTGTACCTCGGTTAAAGAACTCCGAAAATACGCCATTTTCACACCATGATGGTTCACAAATTCACAATCACCGTAAAAAAAATTACCTAAAAGTGGCATATATGTAACAGAGTCTACAAGTAAGGTATCCGTTTTTAGTATGAAAAAGAATTTGTTTGTTCCGGCGCTTTTATTGCACGTTTCCTCTTCAAGCCAAATTTACACGCAAAGAATTGCAAACGTAGAGCAGTTTTCGGGTTGATAGACACATATATACGCACAAATAAATTGCATGATGGTACGAAATTGCACAGTACTGACGGAGAGCTTCAAATATTCGCAGTCGGCTCGATTGTAACATATTACCCTCGGTACTTAAATAGTAAGCTGCGTCTTCCAATAAGATTGGGGAATTCTTGATAGTCCTTTCCTCCTAGGTTTGTATTCACTGAAATTTCAAGGACAAATCGGTAATATGGCTTTTTGCCGTTTCGGTGTCAAAAAAGCTGATTTCCTCAATCTACTTGTTTATTATAACAATCTTGTTGGTTCCAAATACATGTACTGCTAGGAGATATGGCATAATTATCTAACGGATCATATTGGCGGAGCGCAGAACAGATTCATACGTAGTGCCAGAAATTTGTGGTGCACAGGCCCATAATACAATTTTACGAGACATATCACATATGGTAGAGAAATTCCTAGCCGCTGTTTCCAACAATAATCGCAATCTCCGACGTAACCGAACCATCATCAAGATGAATTGAAGTTGCTCGTGCCGTGTTCAACGATTATAAATGGATGTACGAAAATTCTGCTTTAAAGCTAAAGCGGAGCGGTCGCAGCGGCGTTAATATGAGCTGGCTACATACTCCTAGCTTGACTTTGTCTGAATATTGGATGGCTGAACATAGCCATTAGTTGACAGATAGAAACGATATACCATAATAATAATCTGGTTTTAAACAATCGTAAAGGCAGCATTCACACTCCTGGAGCAGTCGCGTTCATAGAGATAATATAAAACAGAAGCCATATTACTTATTGACAGAAAAAAAAAACGAGAATTTTAACATCAACCTAAAGGGATATGTAGTCCGATCAGAAAAGATGCTCTAGTACCCGCGAACGAAACCTGACCAGGGCTTAATTAGAATCTTAGAGATGGAGAATATGGTGAAAAATGCAGCCTTGGCCGGACAAAGCCTCAGCAGGCTTATAGTTAGAGGTACAGAACCAAGTGGGAGAAGGAGAAAGCTGCTTGTACTCAAGGGCAGACTCCATACTTCTTTACACGGCTACCGCTTAGGCAAAAACCATGAAAACAAACAGGAGCAAGGAACATTCAAAAAAAAAGACAGCGCGTGTTTGCTCTTCGGGCAAATGGAGCCTTCCTAACGATCTTCACCTCTGCCGTTATGCTGGTAAGCACAATGATACCACGACACCACAATGGTGCCATGAGACACCATAGTCAACAAGCGGGAAGAAATGTGTTAAATGCGAGAAAAGGCAACATGGATGGGAAAACATATTAGCGGCCGCTGCCTGGACTATAATGCTGATACTTGAAATTAGAGAGTAGTATGGAAAGAAGTGACCCACCTGCTGACCTAGGTCCTTACTGGTCACGAATATTTCCAAGTATATATTAATGGATTGGAAGAAATGCCAAGTAACCCGCACATCACATGAAACCCTGGAATATGCGACGACATAACTTACACTTTAAAACATTGCATACTCTTTGAAGAAGAACAGGCAGAAGTTGATAGAAGTTGCATGGGTCGCCCATTTAAGCCCTACGTTATGCTAAAATGAATGCCTTAGAATGAGCAGAATTGGACTATAATCCAATTCATATATATATATATATGATCTTCATTGCTGCTGCTACGGTAGCTTACAAAGGCTGCTAACAGAGAATGCCAGGAAATATAGGTCTGTGTCGATCGATTGCATCGAAAGAAAGCTCATGAAATTTTGAACTTTACGACATATACAAAGCACTATAAAAACACTCGACTTACAAGATTTTAGATGAGTTATATTATTTCCTGAGAATATTACGCCGCAATAAAATTATGACTGGTAAATTTTGTTACAAGTACCTGCTTACTGGATTTGATCGAGAATGATCATAACATGTCGCTTTTTGATCTACCCTCCTGTGCATCAGGACTTATCGCTTCATACAATACTCCTTGCATCCTTGTATCCTTGACCTCCACATTTCTTTCTGCTTGATATCCTGCAAACTCCAGACGCGGTTGAAAGCGATGGCGTAAAGTAAAGAATTACTTTATTCAAAACGTCAAACATCCATAAATCTCTTCCACTTCATGCGTAATGTAGACTTGAAGTAAGTATGTTGTATAGTAAATGCAACCATTATAATTACCATATATATGTACCATAATAGCATATATGTCTTTTTACCAAATAATTTAACCCAAATAAATGTGTAAATTATGTCTATGAGGGCTAGGATATGAGAGAAGCTCTGAAACTCCGAGAAGGACTCAGCTGCAATTATTAAATAGTCGTTCGTTGACAGAAATATAATCGTTTCTCATACATGGTCGTCTTTGTGTTTTGCACATTATAATGGTTAAGCAATTGTAATGTAAATTTAAATTTTCTAACGGAAGTATTAGTTTTACAAAATATAAAAAGTCTCCTTATCGAATCATTAAACGGCAGCTTAGTTATCGCGAGAGAATTCCTTAAGCCGAGTTTAAATAATGTCAATTATATTTTCTCTTTTTTTTTAAATTTTATTTCAAAATTATGTGAATGAAAAATCATCTATGTGAATATAGAGAATAGAGGACATTTTATGTGAATCGAATATTAATGAGACAACGTCTGGGCTAGATAGGGCTACGAATAATGCTTGCGATCTCTTTCTGCACCATCCAGAATATACGAGATGTATACATTCGTTGCAATAGGGCCAGCCGCTTTACAAATGTATTAAAAAGTACAATTATGTTTATCTCTATATAATACTAAAAGGCTGTGTCTGTTGTCCCCAGATCGCTCATGCAGAATGGCCTTTTTGAACTGACTGAGAAAAGGAGAATAACTGTATGGAAGAATGAAAGAACATGTGATATACTAGAAATTTGCTAAGTTCTTAAAGTATTCAATGAGGCGTAACGTTGAATCTTGGGGATAACTTCTGATTTTTCACATTCCTACCATTTAGCTTCAAAAGTTTTGACTCTTGCCAGAACGACTGGGACTTGGTGAAATACAGCTTATATTTAATTGGATCCCCACCCTTTTCCGAGGGTGGATGATTGTTCTCATAGGGTGTACTGCTTACTAAATTGATTTCTGAAATGGTCGAATCACATTAAAACAGACTAACAAAACATCTATAAATAAGGCTAACGCACTAAGTAGGCCAGTGGGATAGCTGTCGGTGCATACGGTAGTTTGCATTAGGCTGGACGTAATTTTGACCAATAAATGTACTTAAACAATATATGGAAAAGTTCTCAATCAATTTATTATGTATTACAGTTCGTAATGATAATGCAATGCGGCAGAAGATTTTCAAACAAAACAATCATTGTTTCTATAAACTGTCCAATTAAATTACAATAGTGCAGTGTTCCCCTTTTAAGCAATATTAGCTTTTAAGCGGTCACAACAACCTCAAGCAGACGACGTTTACGCATCTTCGCAACTAACACTGGTCCAGGTTAACCAAAGGCACGGTTCAAAAAACTTGTCTATTTGACGCTACGTAGGATCTCGAACCCACTATGCCAAACCAGAAGAAAACCTCTTTACCTGAGCCCAGTCAGTTTACTGAGACGATCAAAGTGCAAAGCAATTGGCTACACTTGAATGCAGCAGTCTTTTGCGTAGTAATCTAATACAATGGGGTTAAAAAGAGAATTAGTGGATGGGACTTGGGGAAAAGTATGGAACGTTCTATGTATTATATTACACCGCCCAAGATATTGAAAGTCTCCTTCTTCGACACTATTCATGACAGACAATGGGCGAAAGAAATAAAGAAAAAAATTCAGATCTACAATAGTAAGAATCTCGTGCGGCTAGCAATTTCATGATTGTTCAAAACTCGCTGTCTCAGGTGGTTGATTCGCGGCTCTAGGATAGGATCTGTAAACTAGACACAAAGCACTCTGCGGCGCCTGCAGTAGATCTTACAATGTTTTCTCGAAACCTCTTGACAGCAATTACTTACCGATCCTAGTGTCAGGATATTATAAGTATTTAGGTTCTTAAGAACCTGTACTCCTAAATCACGAATTTGTAGGAATGTACCATCTAATGGAAGCTAGAATTTTTCAAACTAACCGGTCCAATTCAAGGTGGATTGTTAACGGCTCCACGGCAAGAGTATACCTTGAAGAACGGTGTCACAAATCGTCTTTCGCGGAGCGCGCCACTCGGGAGACGTCATGTTTCTGTCTCAGGTCAGGCAGACGTTTGTTTTAGTTATATTATTATTCCAAAATAAATGCAAACTCCTTAGTAAAAAATATTGTTAGTCATCCTTAGATTTTAATTATGATTATACTAGATTGTGCAATAGGTAATGGCGGATATTTCGATGTTCTCCTAATTTGACCTTTGTTTATTCAGTTTTATATGCATTATAAAAGTACTTTTTCTCTTTCCTGAACCCGTGGTGATTTCATTGTGCAGTCAACAAAATTTTACCTTGAGTTCAGAATCCAAGGATGGGCGCTTCAGGTGCATTTTCAGCATCTGCTCTCTTCCGTTTTTTGCGGAGGCCATAACGCTGCTTAAGCAACTTAGAATATATATACCGCGTGTAACGAAAACTCTTGAAAATAACTGAGAGGGCTGCTTAAGATAATTTGCTAAGTTCAAACATGGAATCTTAGATCTGGAGACTGTGCCTTATTTCAATCGGCCGTCCGAAAAGTGTTGAATGGCAAAATAACTTATTGACAAGAAAGACTGCAAACACTCAAAGATCCTCTAGCATATCGAATGTATAGAATTTTATCAAAACTCGCTGTGCCCCATAGATTGGGTGAAGCACATAAAAACAACTTCTTGTTCTATGGAGCAAACAAAGAAATTGATAGCCACGAAAGATAGCCTAAACGCAGAGTTAAATCAGATCTTCATCCTTTTCCAAATCCATTATTTGCGTTTGATGGAACCGAAATAGTCTTACATACCACAGATTGCTTGCCGAGTATATGGCGGTAAACGGGAATCTGTATTTCGCCAAACTGCAGCGAGGAAATCAGGCTGTTCAACAAAAGAGACCTTATGAGCAAGGTAATGTCACCGCTCTCCTACACATGGTAAAGGTCGAGAAAACTAAGAACTCGAATGAGAAATCCTATTGCACCCACCATATCCTTAAATTTTGCACCATCAAACCACGATCGTTTCGGATACCTAGCAAGTGAAATTCGTACATTTGACAGTGCCAAGGATCTCGAAAACCGCCTGAGCGTGTTATACGACGCAAGAACTGAATATTTCTGGCGAGGCAGAATAAATAAATTGGTTAGGAGCTAGAAAAACATCACAGAGAGTGACCTCAAAATATTGGATAATACTGGAATAATGCAACATTAGTAAACGTTTGACGGTATATATATATATATATAATAAAGACGTGAATATTTAAATATTGTTCTATACGTCCCGATACTATTCGGGCAAAACCTATTTTATGTGACTAACGTGTAGTGCTTAAACTCGACAGGTGGACCTAGTTCCGACGACACAATTGCCCACTTATTCTCTATTTCTCTTATATTTCACTCTGAACTGACCCAAATTTTTATTGAACGGTACTACCAATATAAGTTTTTCCAAAGCACACACGGTCAATGAAGTTGAACTTACTCGTTACAAGAAGTTCTCGTACACATTGTTGCATCGTCCATATCAAAGAAAACAATACTAACTATTTAGCATCACCATCATCATCAGCAATAAAAGTGCATATTAATCTACGTGAGCCCACCAAGTGTGTACAGTTCCTCTGCAATATCACGGCTTTTTACAATAATGCTAAGGCAATCTTTCTTCAAAACAGACTCGAAGCTGAGGCGCTACGATGACGAAATTTCGCTCCCCCAACCTACCTCTCCCGTTCCCATTTGTGTTTAATGGGAGTACTTTTGTTTTACGTTCACCATTAAATTTTAGTACTTATCTATTACTTATTGTATATTCCAAATCTAGAGAATACACATGCTGGTCCCAAGGGTACTTAGCCCCAAACTGACAACGACGCAGAATTCATTTATATGCAGCACCGTATCGATTCGCAGAGATAAAGTTATGTTAACCTATTCCTTTTTCACTACTTCTTTTTGAATGAGTCATCTACGGCGGTAGTGCTCTTCCTCTAATCATCTGGGTCGCCCATATCGCACTTTGTGTGCGGCGTAGACGACTACTCCGAACCAGTACTTCGACCTGTTCTAAAATCAATACCTAGCGTAACAACGAGAAATGTAGCCAAAACTTATGTCATTCTTCATAGCAAGATGTTGAGCGCACTTCTTCGACAATAATGGATTATGACATTGATAGACTCACGGCAAGGTAAGCCATGATTACCTATCTGTAGCAGCTGGCATACTGTTGGTTCAATGACTTTTTTTGAGAAATGAGTCAACAGTTTCTGTGCCACCATATAGGGCTAGAAAAGCCTATATTTTTCCAACATCCAGCATAAATATTACGATATCTGTTTGTCAGTCTTAAGTGAACGATGAGAGGAAAAATACCATTCCAGACTTTTGATGGCAGAATGAAATACGTAGAACGTCACTACAGGCACTGATGGGTCATAAGTAAAAGGGAATTTGGATGTGCTTTGGAATGCCTAGCACAACCAGGACATATAGTAAAAATACTTATAAATTAGCGGAATTCACTACATATTCATATAGCGGAATAAATACATAGTCTGGAAGATATCTTTTCTAATACGTATGAAGACATTGCTCGGTTTATGGCTGAGTTGGTAGCAAAGCTTATAGATAAGCCAATTTTTCATTAACTGATTCTGCACATGTTCGAAAAAACTTTTTACGGAGCCAATTCTTTCAGCATAATATAATATCATTTGAAGCTCGTGTTATTAAATTAAAGCGAAGCATTGAATGAGGAAAAAAGCGAAAATTCGTTTCTCGCTAACCATGTCCATGACAGATGAAAACATCTGTGTTGTATTCTTAGAAACAGTTCGCACAACTACTATCAGCATAAACGCTACTATAGTACTCTGTCACCACCCATCTTCTCTAATCGTCAAGTCTAGTCATTTGTTGCCTCGTTGTATTAAACATTTTAGTTTGATTGTCTCACTAACAAACTGGCGTTCCGATGAAGGCTTTCTTCCCCATTACTTTCACCAATCATCGGAAGGTTCCACCACCACTCACCTTTTAGCACCAGAAATAGTCAGAAATAGAAGATTTTTTTGCTTTGGTTTTATTTCAATTTATGGTCGTAGATAGCTAAAAACATGATATATTAATTTTATTTGTTGGAAGTATGTAGTTCAATCGTTCAATCGAATTTCGAGACTGAAACAGGTCCGAAAATCCTAGTATTACACTGATGAATCGATTTTTATCGCCTGGTGCTGTTTTTGGCATACGCGCAGACTCGAGTTACTGGGCTACACACTAGCTCGCTGTCCTCTCAACATATTCCTCGGCAGATCGACACGTTGCTTAGCCAATTTCTACAGATTCAATTCATTCATCGTTTAGATATCTAGATCTGTTTTATCGTAGAAATATTGTCCACGTCGATAACGTTGTGCCCACTTGGCCCCTAACAATGGCGCTTCTGTGATTGTAGAAACATTTCGGGTTTTACTTCCGGCACTGCCATTCAGCATTGCTTCAAACTCCCGACCCTTCCAAGACGAGACAGTGTCGACGGTCAGCTCCCCGTTTAAATTATTTCACATGTGCATAGCACTACAAGGCAAACGCGTTACAACTGAACTACTTATTCGTTGTCTGTACCATGCACAATTCACTTTTGCGTACTAGCTGAACAAAGTAGTACTATATGTTATAAGAGAAGGAAAAGGCTTGCGCCACCGAATTAATCCGTTAAACCATTTTCCCAGAGCAATGTAATTCTGAGTGAAGGCTACCATCCCTCGAAGTTAAACTATATATATAATACAAACCGACTATAATACAAACTATATATAATCTATGGCGCACTCATTTCTCGGTCATTGTGCTTATTACCACCGTGCTTCTCTTTGAACCGAGCAAATCAGTTATTTTTGTTTCATCGAGCATCCAGGCCCAGCAAAAGGTACTCCAAAAAGCCTCCAAAACTGTTTCTGTAGGCGCCTTTCATTCAGAGCTTTTTTTTTTTACCAATTCTTATTTTTCCTTTATTTTTGATTTTCTCTTTCTATTTTACCTATTGTGGGTTTATACAATGTGAGTAGCTGTTCCCTACACCTTTTGGGTAGTATTTGCAGGTAAAATCATTGTTTTATAAAGCTCTCATAATTTGCAAGAAACTAAATTAAAAATTAACTCTTTTGAATTATCCACAGAAATTCGTTATTAGCATTTTAACTCTGATTCTCTTTCAATCGAGGTATTTTTCGGTTCCTTTAATTTTAAGAAAAGCCATCTCGACTACATTTATTTTCCATAATATTGTTCGTGGTATGTTTAACGAGGACGCTGTGCCGTTAGTTCTGCAACGTTTCACTATTTTTAGACCTGGATCATGGGCACATTTTGAATCTGATTACGTTTCATAGGGTGGCCTAAGTCTGGCCGTCACACGTACGACGATGTATTCAACTGCAATCGATGCCGATTTTATCTCCTGCCATTAGCCATCTAAATAATATCTTGCCTATATCCATAAAAATTTTCTTTACTTCGCTTTTCCTGCACTTAATGTGCAACGTCGAACAGGTAGCGTGCTTCGATGACAAGCATCCAAAGAATTAGGCTTCATCGAAAGCCAGCGTATTGTTTGTTGCCTAAGAAAATTGTAGCTTCCCACTTGGTGTGGCACTAGCTGCCACCCGTTCGCCTCAGACAATATGTCATTTGATTTCTAATTACCAATTAAATTTTTGATAATGAAAAGATGAACTTGCTAGGCAAATTTTCCACCACCATACCATAAAATTTTTGACAAGACTAAACAACTTATTGATGAGAATTCTCAAATGCTGCATCGACACCCCACTATCGCAAAAAAAAGAAGAAGTGAGAAATTATCGTGAAAGAGGCTGGAGTAACTTCAATGCATCCGTCAACAGCCTAAGTGAAATGGTGTTTTATTTCGGCTGTCATTGGAGTTGGCCAGAACTGGCGCCACAACAAGACATTTTAATACGCTAATAAAATAAAAACTTATTAAGTTTTGTTAAAAAAGATTAATTGTGAAATAAGTTTCACGGTACATACGATACTGTTATCATTGCGACTGCATTCATTTTTTTTTTTATTTAAGCTTTATTTTTAAGATAAGAGGATCCCAAAAAGACCCTTATGACTCCAAGAAAAAAGACATTATGAACCTTACGCGTATTTTAATTATTCGAACTAAAAATTTTCCGAGTCTCAGCAATAGCATAAATTTGTCAGTTATGAACATCATAACCATTAGTACTGCGAAAGTGTTTCAGTATTAAATGCTATCTTGAACAACTAGCGAGCGCTAGTTTTGCGCAGCACTAACATGCTTTGACATGAGCAAAAAAAAAGTATGTTATTTCGTAAATATCGGGTAATTAAACATGTGTAATAAAAACGTTTCGAACTGATGACGCTGTGTCGCTGTAGACATCTCGTTGATAACTGTGGTATTTGAGACCGATCCCGTCGCAGGCTCGTCAAGAGGCTGTGATATGAAGTTCACTGTCGGGGCGGCTGAGCGTTCTGCCACTGAGGTACCTGATGAAAGCCACCAAACTGTGATGATCAGCACAAAAACGCTAGACCTCTCTCGTATGGTGGTTATCAAAAAAGACAAAGCGACACGAAAACCAGCCTTGTTACATAGTCACAGCCACTCAAGAGCAGGCGCCTGAGAAACACGCTTTACAGCGACCACAGAAAACAGTTTCATAAATGTCTTTCCAAACCCTAGTTGTTGCCTTCATTGAAGGAGTTTTTTCGCGCGAAAGAATATCTAGACACTATTGGAGACGACGGTAGGGGATGAAAAGGCTGATCTCGAAGGCTCATCAAAGGTGGCTGTGATGTGAATGATCAAAGGCCATTAGGCAACACTTCACAACCACTTGATGGCCGCCGAGAACCGCTGCATGTGGTGAATGAGAGTGGCAGACGGAAGTGTTGATGTGCACGTCGGATATGTTCGAACCTATTTCGAAGAAAAAAGGTACCGGAGCTTGCTGATCTCAAATCAGTCAGGAACAACTATAATGGCAGAAATAAAATCGGCATTATCATTTGACTGCGCTTAATGCTTAGATAGGGTATGATGTTTAAGATTGGGCCGTAATATTATTCAACTTCGCAATCAACGGAGTAGTTACGGATGGATAAAAAAGTATGGCCCATTTACCAAAGGTATTCGTCTGTTGGTTTGTTTTCCCTAAAAATATCTACGCACTTGCTTCGCTCCATTTTTGCGAGCGGACGACGCAATTTCACTTCGGAGTATATTACGTCGTATATACCGTAACCTGATGATTTCTAATGGCAATTTTCTTTTCCTTTTTACTTTGTTGTCATTATCACATCGACAGAATACCACAATGGTAGAATTAATATCACCGCCAGCGCTGAGTTCAAGCCTCATGAATTGCCTTTTACCTAATACGAACTGGAGAAACGATAACTTTAGCTATATATATTTCTATCAACAAACAGGTGAAATTCCACGAGCATACCTTTTATAGATATACTAATAATAGATTACCGTCATACTACTCTTCCTTGTTCGTGCCTCACCTGCATATAAACTGACGTCCGATGAATGACGTAATCGATGGTAGGTGCTCAGCCGACTCGAGTCAATAGGAGTTGTGGAAATATCGACATTTGGGTCGGGCACTGATGCTGCAACCCGACCCACCAGTGTGCTCCTTACAGGCATTAAGGATGACGCATTCCTAATCATCAGGATTCCCCAAAAGCCGCACGTTCATACGTTGCCGACCACGCTTTTCATCTCACGACCCGCTGGTCAAATAAATCTAACAACTCAATAACTGTAGCAAGTAGAATCACTACCAATCATCGTGGTCTCGCCCGGTGTAATAATCGAAGATCTGTCTCCGTCTAGGCGCGCAAATTACGTAACGTGAGCAATACTGCTTTTGCTGTGGTCGCTCCTCTCAGAAAATCCTCGCTATCAGTTCATGTTTACATTCGATAGCTGCTAACGTGGTGTGCATACACGACCCATGAGGGCGGCGCGAGGGCGCATGTTGGTAGAGCGTTCTTACCTACTCATGTTCGTTTTTTTCACTTTACGCCTAGTTTCAATGCCATATATTCCTTAACTGATGCTCGCTTCGAAACACCCCCAAGAAAATAACCCGAAATATGCAATGCGAAGTCGTGTGTAGAAGTCGTCGAAAAAGCAATTTAATACTAGACCAGCCATTACAGGTACATAATTGGATAATTTGGCACAGAAGTAGAGTTTCCTGCATGAATAGAGAATTGACGCCTTCGAACAATACCATAGAACCAAAATAGCCAACGAATTTTGCCAATAAAGTCTTAATGACCATTGTGATGTACAACCGCCAAATGAGTAAATGGGGTCCAATGGCGGACACAGAGGCCGCCATCACCGCCTCGTGAGAACGGTAATCACTATCCGATAATATTTTTACGTCTCGATTGGTCGATACAAAAAGTGGCACGCACGTAGCTAGAGCACATCAGTCGCTCTTATTAAAAATCCCACAATACACGCAAATCTAAGCTATAAAAAACTCACGATTTACTTACTTTTCCCAATGGCGCACAGAAGAATTCAGCGACCAGCTCAACGACGTTGCTGCCTCGCCACTGGCGTCTAACCAACCACGCCATGCCGTGGTGATCAGAATAGTAGAATAACACAAACTGTGTCTGCTGCTGATGAAACGCGTTGTTAAAAACTGTGATTCTTCCTGGCTACAATGTCGCATTGACGGGCGGTTCTCAGGGAGGAGCGCGCGAAATTTAAATACAACACTCCACTAATGCTATCCTTACCGCGCCCTAGATCTGTGTTCTCATGACAGTGCAATTATAATGTACTTGCATAATAAAGTTTAGGACACGCAAAGTGATCTAGGCTCGAAATCGGCGGATAGACATACTTTGTTTCGTGCTGGGGGCCAGCCTTCTGAAGTAAAGCTTAACCAAGGCAGTGGCAAAAATAAACTTTTAAACATCTATTTGTGCACCATGTAAAACATTATCAACCATGCATAATTGGGATGGAACCATAATTTATCGTGATGCTTCTAGTAATAGATATAGAGTATAAAGGTGCATACGTATTTTTGAATAAGCATATAAAACAATCGAATGTCTTATTTCTTCATTCTACATTTATTACAAAATATTGCTTTTTTTTCGGTCGAGCGGGCTTAAGATATAGGCAGAATAAGAAAACTACCGAAGTCAATATATATGAATTTCAGTCCTCAAAAATCTCAGAAATGTTTGATCACAAGAGAATAATTTTTCAAGTATTGTCTTTTTAAGTTTGACCTATTTCCTTTGGCATCTATCTTCTTTCTTAAATTTTAGACGCTTTAATTAATATAATCTGATTGAGAAAAGCTGTTATTTACCCCAAGTTTTAGTCTACTCCCTACGGTAATTATCAATAATGCGGCAACGATTACATGCTATATATCTTCTTATCTGTATATCTATCATTTAGTAGTACTGAACATATCTAGATTTCTTTATTGACATTGGGTACTCTAGTTGATATACAACAGTTGATATACTCATAACAGTATGTCCATATAGAGCATTTGAGAAGAACTAATCTTTGCTGTAAAAACTTTTTTTTTTTAGCTTTTATATATCTTTTATATAGTGAAATTAAGCTAGTCGTATAAGCAAAGGTAGCGAATAAGGGCAATATCAGGCAATTAAATCAATTGATTATCAGTCGGTTGCCAAATCCTCTTGGCAGTGTATGGGGAGTTTATAAAAAGTCAGTTGTAATTAAACTAATGCGTCATGGTTTGCCGCACAAAAGTCATAACATTATATATATATTGTCATAAACACTGTTCAATGAACTAGAACTTCCTGTTTGCTCTTTCTTTTCAGGGTGTAATTAGTTGGCAATAATGAGTGATCTAAGACTAATTTCTGTACAAAAAAAATCATTTTTAATACGCTATTGGAAGTGTGAACTGTACCAACCAAAAAAGCTGAAGTTATTGCGAAACGTCTTAAAAATCCGAAGATTATCAAGTCATCACATATAGGCGATCAGCTAAACAAGTGTCTGTCGCATTTTATGACATTGTAAATGAAAAAGTTACAGTCCAGTGCTGCATGCTATCAGCGAAAATACTTCCGACTGGAACGCTCTAGCGAAGGGAGCTTGAGAAATCTAAACAGGATTCATATTTTTTGTTCGAAATTCTTTGAAACGATGAAGCTGCATTCTAATTAAATTGCAAGTGACCTTATTGCAATTCCACATGCTACACATGAAGACTATGCAAATTTAGTAGAACTTACAATGTGGCGAGATACTTCAAGCAAAGTATTAATTTAATCATTCTTTTTTTTACAGTACAGTTATTGGTGACAATTACTTGAATTTACTGAAGAAATCTGTTTTACCACGTATCTGGGAGGACTTCGGTAAAGATGATAGTTTTTTCTACAGCACGATGAACCGCTTGCACATTATCATCTTGACGAGAATCATTAAAATAAGTGACGTAGACAACGAGGCCTTACAGAATAACCTACTTATTTACTAAACCTGATGCCAATGGAGTTTTTTTATGCGGGTACCTTACATATAGTCTACGCTAAAAGACCGGCGGAACATCAACCTTTAAAAGCCAAAATTAAGTCAAAACGCACCACTACTTCAACTGAAATGTTTATCGAAGTTTGTGAATTAATAGCCCATCGTTATAAACAATGACAATTCGTCATGGTAAGCAACTATCATCTAATCTATCCGAGCCAAACGAACCGCTACCAAAACTAAAATTTTCCTTTTTTATTCCCGAAATCGATGGTCTCGTTATTGCGTGTCTCGTTCTCACGCAGCTTTTGAAGAATACGAAACGGACTTCCATTAAATGAACTAAAAATTCTCATTAGGTCTACACTACAGGGCTTTAAAATTAATTAGAATGGCTTACAATCCCATTTTTAATGCACGCGGGCTTCTAAAACAAACATTTATAGTTTCTTTTTAGACTACATAATATCAATTACCAGTAAGTTCGTTCAGATGAGCTGTACTGATCATCCTTTTTTGAATTTTTTTGCGCTTTTTGATTTTTCCGTTGTTTGGAATTCGTGCAGTTTTAAGACGCTTGATCTTTCATTGTCGTAAAATTTACTTCCATTGACATTTTATATATGTATCGCATTTGAGTGACACTTAACTGATCCCACTACCGCTTGATGCACGGTTGCTGTTAAATGAATTGCAGATTGACGAAAGAATGTTTTGAGAATAAAATTTCTTGTCAGTGGTTGAAGTTGCACGCTGGTAATGTTAAACATTAGCATCAACAATGACATCTCTATCATATATGGGAAGTTTCATTTAAATATCTGTTGTTATTTACAGACTTTGAAGTAAAGCGTATAAAAGTAGTTTGGATGCGCCTAAAAAAATTTTATCATACGTATGTTAGGATTTTTTTATAGAAATATTCAAGAAGTTTCTTTTGCAAGATTACACGTATAGCAAATTAAAGGAATTGGCATCAAACAAAACTAGACTTCTTAATAAATATTTTATCGTCTGTTATAGCCTAATACTACCCTTTGCGAATATTCTGCGTGCGATTATAATCCCAAACTATTGATATAGAGAAGACAACTTTATTGGTGTCCACGTTTCTTTAGTAAAGATCTAATTACAATTTAGTAGTAACGTATTAAGGTATATCATAGCATATAGCTATCTATTTATTGATTTATATTTTATTTAAAACTATACAACCTCCAAGGTTTCCTCCTTGTATTACGCTCGACGTCCGGTCTGTTATATTTTCCCATTTGTAAGTTGTATTGTAATCACTGCAAATACGCTGAGGCTATTTATTTATCTATTACACTACCTACTCGTATGTAGCGACTATATATGTAAGAAAAGAAGACCGCTTCCTTTTAGGCCAGTTAACTCCGACAAGGTCCAATTTTGCGCTGTTTTCCCATTGTGCTTTATAAGCATCGCTCTATCGTGCTTAGGCACGCTTATACATATCCAAACCAACTAAATTTGTCCATTGTGTTCATAGTTATAAACTGCAGTTGTACCTTATGAACTAACCTGATAAGTATATTATCAGTCAATGGTCATTAAACCGGCGGTAGAAATAGCCTTCAACGGCCCTGAGCTAATGCTAAATTTTGTTGATAACAATCTCTTGGTGCAACAATTAGAAATGTTATTAAACTGAACAATAGTACGGCTGATCTTGTCAATAGTTTCGTGTTTAGTATTACTTTCGGTAACAGTTATATCAAGTAAGAGTTCATGCTGTCACATTCTATTTTTCTATCTCCCTCTAATTATTCATTTCGCCTATATTTTTTTTCTGTTTTTTTTACCATATGTCATGTTATATCAGCATATATCACAATAATAACGCGACCGATGCCGCATTGAAGTCGACTAGAAAATAGATTATTTCCATCTATTATGTTCCGGATTTTCATATTTAATGAGTGTTTTTGGGGGTGCATTTACACTAAAAGCAAAGCAACCGGCTTCAAAGTCTTATTTCGAAATTTTTTTTTCTCGAAAAAAATTTATGGAGAAGTCACGTGCTAGCTATCTGGGCAATAAAGTTTTTTTCAATATTCATATGGCTGCTTGATTTATGAAGTTTCTAATTGAAAAAAAAGAACTTTTAAAGGCATTCTTTCACGAGTTGTTTGCTACGATATAACTGTATTAAATAAGCTCCAGCGCATACCGTCTTAAAGCGCGTGTTCATACATCTGAACATCGAGGTTTGCAGGGCGTTATGTTGCCATACATTAGATTACGATAAGCCAGATCGTTTGCATTAGATCGCGTATTAATAAAAAGCATCTTCTCCAACCAGCCCTTGTCAACTTGTTTGACATTTTTTTCTATTCGTAATTGCGTCTATAAGTGCTATTTTTCTCTGAAGTAGAAATAGATATGCAAAGCAGCATTGCTCAAATCCCTGCTATATAATTTAACTTCGATGTTCTTCTAAAAAACATCAGTTAAGGGGGCGGTGTAGTTGAAGAATTTTCTACTTTATAACCTAGATGCAAAAAATCATACATCATATTTCTTAAGCACTTTGATACGATGTTTATCATGCGTAGAGAAGCTCTGTAATTAAGATACAGATCTCCTGCCAATACCACATATCCGTGAATAATTACTGAGGTGATATTATCGGCTACCTAAAAATTAACCATTAGGGACGAAAGGTCCTAAAACGACTGAATACGAGGCGTCGGTCTTCCAGACAAAAAAAAACGACCAAAAAATGAACACTTGGTCTACTCGGCAAATACTCTTGTAGCTATCGAAAGTGGTAGAAGAGATCCTTATCTCTAGTGTCCTTATGACCAATGATAGCGGTTAATACATTATCTGCTAACCACTCATCTGATTAATTATCTCACATACAGGCGTTCACACACGAGCCTGCACGCCTCAATTATAAAACACAGCGAACGACAGTGGTTGACTATCAGCAGTTGTTGCAGAAACAGTTTTTCACGATACCTTTTTTTGCATATTCGCCGCCTTTCATGCAGTAATTAGGTAGTTTTCTAACCCCTCCGACATCCATGCAATTTGTTCATGACCCATTCTTCTAACTCCTATCCCTGTTATCATTATCAACAATAATAATTTTACTGGTATATGCACTATCCACATCTCATTAGCATGTGCACATCACACTTAACCGTCACCAGCGGTAACTTTCGTTATTATTATTACTGTTATCATCTTCGTCATTATTATTTCCATTATCATCATCATATTATTACTACTACTACTACAAGTACTGCTTTTATGATATCTCTTTATATCTCTCGCTCTGCGTCGTGCACACTAATCTTTGCTTTTTTCGTCCATATAACAGGAGCAACACTTTTGAATCTTGCAAATAAGCTTTTTCTCTCTCGCTGTCATTACGAGGACTACAACAACGTCGTATCATCACGACAATGTAGTTACGAATTGTTACATACATGTTGCAACGGCCAGGTTCCTAATAACTTAATGCAGTAAAAGAATTTCTTTCCACATCCAACCAACCTCCTCATCATGCTGAATCTCTAAATGTCGTTCCTTGTCTTTAGGCCTTGTAACTTCTCAAGTCATTGTACCCTACTAGATGGTCATTTCATCTTGATTTTATTTCCTAATTAGGTCAGGGTACACAGTTTGTTAGATAGTGCAAAAACCGCACAGTGATGTCAGCGAATGCTCAACAGTTGACAACTATTGGTGCCCCATAGGTTGGCGCTAGACTTTTCTTTCTTGTCTCCAGCCACCTCTAATTTGCATTTTGAGTGTTGGGATCGCGATTTGTAGAAATACAGGCTACAGTAGACAGATACAAAGGAGTACTTTTGCTTTACTCCGTACCTATTGTTGCGGCGCATTGTTGTTATCAGGAATTAGACTGACGAGAAAGGCGTGCAAAAGACTGGCTGCTGCTGCAAGTGGACTCTGGGGCGGAGTGGCGTTTGAAGCGGCAGCAACAGCTGGGCCATCACCACCCATCGCGCGCGGATTCTCACCGTCCATCGCTGCCTGAAGTCTCTCAATATCTAAAATTTAAAAAAAAAGCTTGTGCTTTTTTATGTTTGTAAACTATGGTACGCATAATTGAAATTTGATAATGTTTACCGCTGAATCGCTCGAAAGCATTGTACTCAAAGAATGCAACGTGATGACTCGATAGTGTATAATTAAGACACTCCTTGTAAAGGAATGTGCCTTTAAAAACCACTTTCCAAAATTCAAATATACGAGTGCCCAGGAAACTAGTTTCGTAAAGAAAATCAGTGAAAACATATGAATATCCATGATTCAGAATGTCTACTTGGATAAAAATAGAAAAAAAAATGAATATTGTCTATAAGTGTTTCTCTTAATATTTTTTGCACCTTCTCTTTGCTGTTGAGCTGCAGCAGGATTATTGTTCTCCACATGCGCGCCGTCTCGATCAGCAACAAGCGGTGCTGCTTGCACATCGGCCGCTGGCTGCTGTGGTGGATTTGCTGCTGCTTGTTGTTGTTGAGCCTGAGCTGGGGCGACCACAACCGGTTGTTGCGGTGCCGCTGCCTGTGGCTGTGGAGCCTGCGGTTGGATGTTAGGTAGTGCAAGTAGACCTTGTTGGTAAAGGTAGAGCAACATACCTAACCCTGTGACAAGGACAAAACGTTCCAACGACGAATAAAAGTAAACGAAGGTAGCGAACACAGCGGCTCGGATGGCTACATACATAACATCAAGCCAATCACGATTTGCGTTTCCCGCTCCCCATACATTAGCATCCTGTAAAAAAACAAGCATAAGAGTCTTTTGTTATTATTATAACGATGTTCAGAGTGTAAAGTCTCGCCTTGAACTGAGAAATCCAACCAATACAGTTTATACAATGCAGTGATAATGCTATTGAATATCAGAATGTAATAAAGTATTCAACAATTTAGGGTTTGTTATAAAAAAATATCAGCTATCAATTTTCTGTTATTAGCGCCTTATACGTTTAACGACGTTTTAGGTTGCCAGGCCTACTATACCAGCAAGCAATTTCATTAACTAAAGCAATATGCAAAATATTGGAGTTCTAAAAAAAGTGAGCTTTAATTGAAGAAAGAATCTGTTTTGCAAAATGATTTCGTCGAAAACTATGTGTGTGGTGTATTTTAATGATGAAAAATAACAATGTGTATAAAAGAAAAGAAGCGTTATATTAGAGTTCTTTTAAGATAACATTCTTACCTCATCATTGGCTCGTTGATTATTCACATTATTACCATTATTATTGTTATTGTTGTTATTGTTCTGGTTATTGTTGTTGTTGAGCTGTTGTTGTATACCAGTAACGTTGTTGACGTTATTGTTTAAGGTCACCTGACTGGCACCCGATGCGGCGGCAGCTATCTGGGCCAATAAATGTTGTTGTTGCTGGCCTAACTGAAACGCGTGCGGATTGAAACTATAGCGAATCGAGGGGGCGGGACTAGATCCCAAAATAATGGCTTGTTGATGAGCAACTCTGAAATGTCGTCGTTATTTGTAATAGAAAAAGAAATTAACTACAGAATTTTTTCACTCAATATAAAGCACATTGAATCCACCACAATGATAATAATAATAAATTGTTTGCGCGTGCGTGCATTACACAGATGTGATTTAACACGAACGACGTGTGTGAGTCTTTACGAAGAGATCCAATATTTTGTTGGGTTCGAATAGACAAATAGATGCTTTACTCGTGTAGTGGTTAGGCAAAGAAAAAATAGATCTGATTGACCTCTAGAGGCTAACAATACTTACAGTTGTTGATAGTATTGAGCATACAGGTTCTGCAGAGCAAGCACGTGGGCCGAATAGACGTCCGGTCGGAGAGACTCCATCTCATATTGGATCATTGGCCCTCGATACCGAAGTTCTGTACGCAGACGTATCAGACAAACATAATGCACCACAGTTACACAAATTTTGTGATATTACGGGTAAATCATAAGACCACAACGAGATATATTGTCCCGTTAAACATAGTCCATTTGCATAAGTTGGAAACACGACAACAACAATAAAAGTTCTATCTTCCGTTTAAGCTTAAGCGTGGCGTAATGCGCCACAAGTATTTTACACTGACCATTAACACCTTCAGCGGCAACACCGGTTGTGGCAAGTACTTGCTCTTGAATTGACTCGTTAGAAACATGTTGTCCGGGAACCGATGAACGAGATCGGCTCCCTGATGTGTTGTCATTCAATGACGTGCCTTGCGGGGGTCGACAAACTAAATGAACGGTGTGTTGTGAGCAAGACCCATCTTGTCGAAGGATCTAAAATTAAAACATGATTGACGTAAACAATTGATATTATTCATTTTATGAATGTGGATAACAACGATTGCTAATTGGAGTTTGTTGGCTGGATTTAAACTTGTTAGCTGGACCTTTAGAGCCGTAACATTTCATACTGACGTGAATATTCTATGAAACAAATTTGGTAGGAAAAAATCACAGTCATAGTGAACGTTCCCGACTAAGCTAGGGAAATAAATATATCTACCTTGTAATAATCACACCACCAGTATTACTCGCATGGTACCGATTCATCGGCTTACTTGTAAGCGCAGAAAATGCCCAATGTAGATACAAGAAGTTGATTAGTGTTTAGGGTGCCCATCTAATTTTTTGTTATTTAATGGTCATTGAAGTGCTACCGGACTGGCAGCCTGGAAATCAATTTTACATGTTCTCGTCGATCATAAAATTATACTTAGGTCGGGCTTAATATATTGATTTTAATGTGGAGTAAACCGCGGTTGGTTACTTGAAAAAGCTAGATAGGCTAGTATCTTAATGAACGCTCGTCGAAACTGTGTTTGTAAAACGTCAGAAAACAAAACAAAAGTATCCCCAATACCTGTCTAGTAACTACGCACTGACTGTTCATGCGCTTCAACTACTAACCTCACGAAGAAGCAAGTTGTCTTCAAGTAGTTGTCCCGAATAAATTAACTTCTGATCTGCCGGCACCTAGAAGAAGAACAAATAATGTATATAAAATATCTAAATATCAAAAACAAAAAAAATAAGCCTGATATGTGCCAGCTTGGAAAATATCAGCCCTTATGTGCACAAAATATTTAAATACAGCGAGCCAAGGAATAATTTAGACGGCTTAGACAAATCAAGTAAACTAAAATACCGCTAAATGCAAAAATGTTTTAGTTCAATGGAAAAATAAGTCAGTAAAAACGTCATCGGCCCACTAGGAACTGAAAATCTCAGTGTCATGAAACTAGTATCATCCTGTGCCAAGCAAATTCTATCATTTCATTTAACTAAATATTCGGCATTGCAGCTCTGTATCGCAAAGGGTCAATTTACTCGATGGGGTACAAAAATTGTTGGCGGAAAAGGCAAGAATCTAGGAACATTTGGAATTTCCTTGATCTAAACAAAAAATGTTACCCCATTGGCGGAAACCAATTTATACTCCATCACGTGATCTGATAAAAAGATCTATACCGGGTTGCCTTGATAGCTTTGCTGAAGATGTAATTTAAGACGAAGGACGCTCCATGTTTGAGGGCACTCTACTCGGAAATCCTGAAACGCAAATAAAGATGATCATTTGGAAATGGTGGACAGAAAGGCAAGACCAATTGTCCACTCTATGTTCACGCTATGCTTCTCGTTAATTTTAAGACTTTGCTACAGAGTTATACACTACAATGCACAACACCTAAAATCATAAGCGTAACAATCTCTGAGCAGAATCTACGGTTAAGTAACAGTGAGCTACCAGATAAGAGATCTTAAGTAGCTAGTTGCATTGCTAGCATTAATTTTTTTTTTAAATCAACGTGATGTGACAGTTAATTTGCTGTAGGTGAAAGTGACCCTAGACGTGTCTAATTCCATAATTAGATCATATATTAGAGAACATTACGTTTACAGTTACCTGCGTTTCCTGATTAGGTGCGCGAACCACAACGACCAAGTAATCATCGCCTGCTGAGGATTCCGAGGTGGTCGCCAAAGAAGATGGGGGGTCCGGCATGATTGTCGTTAAACCGCTTAAACAGCGCCAATCCTAGAATTGCCACTTCTTTTTTCAATAAACGACCGAAAATAAATATTAGCTGAAATGCAAATTGAAGGCATTATTAATTATATTTCTCACACTTGCTTTATTTTAATGCAGGGATTAATCATCAACTAACTGAGATTATCTTTCCGTATTACGCTAACCATTAACAGTAAGCAGCAAGCCCTTATAACAAGTGATATAGGACACTATTAAATTCCAGGAAGTTCATTGTCAATACCACAGGAAAAATGCGAGGTACTAATGAGAATATTTTGAAAAATATCATGTCTTTACAGCTCCAGCAAAAGGAATATCATTTGTAAATACACCTCTCTACAATTGTTGTGGTCAACAGACTTGGGTATATTTATATGCATACTACCTGTTATTGTTAGATGCGACGATAGAAAACGTATTGCATAAAGCATTCATCAAAACAACATGCTCTCGATAACCGTTTCAATGGGGTCCACGTATTCAAACTATAGATAGTGCTCGACATATAGTATGGTAGGTAATATTATTAGAATATTACTTCGTTGGCTTCTCTCGGCTCATATGACCCTCGCCATCTAGTGCGGCACAGTAAATAACCAGTACATCCTACATTTCGCTTACAGCGACCATAAATCATTCAGTAGTCGAGTCGATGTCACTGGTTGTAATATTAAGGGCAAAAACAGTGTAGGAATGAGATATCGTCACATGGTACGAAAGTTGGTCGAACATCGTAAGGCATTATCGTATCAACCACCCATACTGAAGAAAATTCCCTTTTGATAACATACGCACTAGCCTCGTTCGGCAATGTTTGACATTCCTTGAGATAAGGCTTGTCTTTGTCCGCTTCGACGCTACAGAAAGCAACTCAAATATGTTTATCGTTAGCAGCTTATTTGGCTTCTTGTTTGTTTTTGCTTGGCTCTCTCAAAGATCATGATAGCCGTAGTAGTTAATGGTAGAGAACGCCATTTAGTTCACGCAAGCATACCAATAAACCAACATCATCAAACTATTGGCCAACGCCATGGTGTGCTGAATAAGCTAAGGTGTCATTACGTACGCCAGGTTTGCCGCTTTCGCTTGCGAACTCCTTCCGCCCCACATCAGGTTCATTAACGTAAGGCTCACAAATATACTGTCGTTATAAAATGGAAATAAACGGATACGGTCGTATCAAGACAAGTTTCTCGCCATGTCACGGTAACTGCGATCGACAATTTTCACGATTATCGTGTCGCCTGCGACTATTATTTCAAAGAGTAAACGTGTATTCCTTAAGAAAATATCTGACTATAATTATTAAAACAACAAGTGAAGTGTAAATGTCATAGCTTACGAATCCCTAAGAATAGAAGGTAAACACACAGATACAGCCTACGGCATTATCGGCGCCTTATAGAAATCGGGGCAAGGCCAACCCTTTTTTAAAAGCTGCTTCACGCAATAATAATAATATAATATCTCTCTCGCAATAATGTCTAACGACATGTGTCACCTATTTCAAATTTCGAAAGATTACGCTCTATTCTCGCAACAGTGCCGTGGTACCGTGATCGCCTGCTTAATTAATAATTAATTAACATTCGAAATATGTGAAGTGGTTGAAAGTCGAAATTGTCGAACACTGTTTCGGACCAGGAATGGTATTTTGAAGGGATACAAGGGTACTAGATGTAAAATCTAAAACATGTGTACATGAGGCTCTAAGCGATATTGATTAAAGGAATAACATTCTGCGGAGAACCAGTGTAGCTTTTTCATTGCGGAGCTTGCAATTTAAATAAGATAACTGAACAATAATGGCCATTTTTTAAAATCTGCTCATGCTTGCGCAAATATTGAGAGCGATCACAAGGCCCAGTTATGTTTTATCAAAAATAAGCACCTCTCCATGTATGTTCCAGGTTAGATGACATTAAATGGTTTGAATTCGCAAGTAGAATAGGAATGCGTGGCTGCATATTTGCAGTTGCTGTTTATTTAGCCGTAAGCAAATTTTGTTCATGGTTGTATTTCGTGCATAGCAGAAACGTAAAAGGTAAGAAAAAGAAATAATTGTAAATTACCCTTGATGTTGTAGAAAATCCGATCGACTTCGTTGACTACCAGCTGGAGGAATCCTCGAAGCTTTCCGAATTAGTTTATAAACACAGAAGTGAATAACTATCTTGTGGCTGCCCAACAACTTGTCGCTTTATTAATGCCCCCTATCCACTACGCGGCCGTTCCCTCGAGTTCACTTTCCTGTCATAAGCTTTCCATAATCGACAGTCATTACCTGACGGCTAATTATGCCGCAAGCTAGACCCCATATCTTACTTGTCGCTTCCTCTTCTCTGAGGTGTGTAACTGCAGTAAATTATTATTACCTGTCTTTGGTAGGCTCTCTTCTACCCAGTTCGTAACGCGTATCCGTATGACGCAGCCTACTTTGGGCTTCAGCGCACCGACGTCTTACCACCGCAGGAGCGCAACACCCTGGTAACACCCGTCGATCGAAATCGAGAACGACATTGGGCGCACCTGGTACATTTCTGTAAGGCCACTGTTAGTGCGGATGCGAACGCTAGGCAGCATCACATTATATGGGCCGTAGGGGAGCCTGCACTGAAGCTTTTGTTAGCCGCAATCGTTAACAGGTTTCTCTAAAGAGCACTTTTTTCATTCCATCAGATAAATGCCAACCTAAATCTTGTTCTAAAAAGATTATATAGCTAGCAAAAGCACTTAATTTTACAAACTGCTCATCCATTATATCTTCAAATGGCATTACAGTATTCCAGGATAGGTAATCTAAAAGAAGATGCTTAAAGATGTATCCAATACTATTTTTGTTCAACATTTGAATGGCTTTTGTGTATGCTTTTTATTGATAGACAACGGATTGTAGGAATCAGTATACATTTGTTGAGAGCCAGTTGCCTGCGGCAATACCGAGCTTACGGTGAAATATCTACGTAGCAAAAAACTCGTATTCTTCTTTGTTAGCATTAAAATCCCTCAATGGCAATATCTTTGTTTTCGCTTGGCTGTTAAACAAACTAAAAGAGGAAGGTAAATATGGGTTATCACCTGAAATGCTAGCTGGGAGCAACCATGAGCCTCAAGGATTAACCAAAAAACAAAATTTTAGCCTGCACAAATACGATTCAGCAGACATTACTGAAACACAAAGGCAGTTAGGAAATAGAGGCTTTGTTTACGTGCGGTTCTGCCTTCACGGCAGATAGATCATCTAAACGTTGGTCACTTCACATAATTGATTCCATCTTGCTGTTAATCAAGTAATGACGCGCTGAATGGCATATCAGAACACTAAACTACCCCTTTAGACGAGCATACGTATATTTTACTTATATAAAGTAAAATATACATATGGTCATTATTTTTTTCACTTACTTTTTGAATTACGGCTCGATAAGATTAATCTTACAAAATGTCAAGACCAAATGATTCAGTAAAAGGATTGTTACCCATGAAATTGGCTAATAATAAGTTCCGTCTGTGCTCAAAGATATATTGTTTATTATTTAATAATATCATCTATTAGTTAATTTCTGTAAAAAAATTACGAGCTCTGCCATTCAAACAGCTTTCTCTAAATACACGAATTGTGTAAAGGCACCTTGACGGAATTATGTTTTATGTGGACCTAACTAAAAGTTGCGTGCACAGTAAGAAGGCCATTTAATTAGCTAATAACGGATGTTGCGACACTATTTTTATACATATTTTTGTAAGGTTTTATAATTTTATTTTTATAATTTTGAAAGGCATAGGCGATAAAGCTTAACATACATCCAACATATTCGTTACTTTAATTTCATATACTTTGATGCTTCAAGTTGTTTTCATGTGCGCTTCGAGGAACAAGCTGGTGTTCGTAAGAGATAGAATTTTTATTAGCAGTACTTGAATAAAAAAAATCGATGAGTAAATATATTTTAGAGATAGCATTGGTTATAACTTCGTTTCATTAGACGTCCTATTTCCTACATATATCAGTCGATTCTAAATTATTATTACGACAACCTCTGAACAGAACCGAAACGAAAGAATGATTCTATTGATAATAGTGTCATGCGTTGTTCAGCCATTGATGATCATGCGACGCTGAAATGTGTGCGCACCTTTCAATAAAGTAAACGTTTGCCTTGCTTTGTTTTGTGGCTTACCACAACTGATTCACTTGAGGAACAACTCTACTGTCACCGAACAACTGACGGCTTTTGAGAACCTGTTGCCTAGTCAGCAACCATGCTATTACAATGCTGTAACACACAGAACTTAGTTTTACCGAGGCAAGGATGTCGACAATGAAATTCAGTATCTAAAGACTCGCGAGCAAATTAATTCCATATGAAGAAACGCACAATTAAATCATTGTTCGAGTTCGTCTGCAGTTCCAACATGGAAGGTCACAGCCACCAGGTGGTACAATATGCCCAACCTCTACATCGTATGCCCATGGAAACAGCAACTAGAGATTTCTACAATGAAATGCGGTTAACCTAACAGAGTAACACACGTTCAAGTATAAATGGAAATCGGTAGACAACCGACCATAATAATTCTAAGCTTCCATTCGAAGCGCAAAAAAGCTTTTAATATACTGAGAACTTTTGGTACGTTGTAGAATGGGCAGCGAAAATGCGTAATTCGACAAAAAATCGATGCAAAATTAAGTGTACTTGTGCAACGCTGGAACACTGATACATGGACGTTAATCAAGATACCTTCGCGAAAGTTACGATGGATCTCTGCAAGCCAACCAGGTTCGATTGCAGGCCAACCAGCCGACCAACTGATCGATACCCGTATCACGTGTGACCCACAAGCTATTGCCGAATCTCACTTATTTTATCATTAATCTTTAGAAGCCATAGCTTCAGATTGACCCTTATCGCTTTGACCCAATATGGTCTGGCACTAACAAATATTTCCCGCCTGAGGACGACGACAAAAACAATAGCTTTAACATCGATATAGTAATACTTATCGCTATATACTATTCTATAGATAGGTTATCGTACCACCAAATAATTACACGTAATCCTATTGTAATCTAGACAGCAAAAATTCTTGCATGCTTTGCTCACAGAACGGGCAGTCGGGCAAGTCGACTGCCTATGCCTGAGCATGCCGAGGATTCTTTGAGAAATTAAACGCTTATAGATGGGCTTTGCTACGCCCCTCATTAAATCGAAGGAAGTTCACAAACAAAGTAAGCTTGAAGCCTTTCTAACAGAATCCTTGCTAGTGAATTTCTGTATCTCTGCTATTTGTTCTGTGTTTTCGTACCGTTGTGAAAGAATTCGTTGACAAATAGCCGTAAGAAGAATCACACAATAGGGTTGAGTGTAAGTGTCTTCTATTGAGCACGATAACACGAAATATATTTAACTAGCGATAAAAAAAACAACACTCACAAATGTCAGACAATCTCTTTGCACCAATACAACCCAGTCTCTCTAAGATCTATTGGATAGACATTGGACACGATAGCAAACAATGACAGGTCCAGGACACAGGTGTTGTCTGCTAAACGTAAACACAGTTGGCGCATGGTGATTGGTCAAGGCAATGGGTGAAAGGTCATTGCGAGGAGACTGAATCATCAGTCACCGGTTAGGTTTAAATTTTGCGCGAATCTACGCCGGAACCACCAAAACTTGAACGGCCGCAGGAGTTACACGAGGCCCTGTGATGCGATTGTTTCGAAAGTGGCACGCGAGGGCAGACACTTAAGCACAAACCATTGTAAAGGTTCACTCTGTCATGTAATCGATGTCAGTTTTGATACCTGGTTTAAAATTATGAGAACTAGAATTCCACAAATACTTATGACAACATTCCTACATTGATTCGGACCAATTACCTTAAAAAAAAAAGTATACTCAATGCAAGCGTTTTGACGTTTTGGAATTAACATTAACAATATTGAAATTATCTTTTGGAACTGGAATAACCGTATCTTTGTAGACACAGTGAATAAGATACGTGTTAGAAAGTGAAATTAGAGCCGTCCTACCTTAATTTCCAGAAGCAAATTAATTGGTAGCTACGTGAATTGGTAGCTACGTATGATTACCAATTTATCCCATGCTACTGTTTTAAAGGCTTGCATTTTCCTGTTGAAATACTGATGCGATAGTCTTTTAATTCTTTTTTAAATAGATAAGTTGAGTTTCGCGTTTGGAGGAAAGAACACAGTTGGAGTCGCACCATCGTTCATGCATCATCGAGCTCCGCGTGATCTGTATCAAGATCAGCTGTTTAGAATGATCCAGCGCCCTCTCATGATTGTGAAATAAAATTGGTATCCGCCATACATGGGCTCTCCCAATATTGTACCTTTCTACAATTTCTTACTTCAAAGGACAGCCTCTATGGGCAATTGTTGATTATTAAAATAAAATAGCAGTGTTTCGTTAGACTTCGCGGATAACAGTAATAGCAATGTATATAGGGATGTGCATAAACGGATACTTCACAGACACCATAGTCCGCGAAACAAGTATGTGGTGATAGACTGTGAATGAACTAGTGAAGAGGCCCTGCGTTGTATAGAACTAGTGCACTGTTTACATATGACATTGTCAATTTTTCAATAATCGATCGATTATGGTTACCCTTCTGCTGAGTTGTAACTGATAGTTTGCTTATGTTTATCTTGAAAAACACTAACTAGAGAATTCTTGTCACTTACTAGTTATTTCAGCCATTGCTTTTTGATTTGGATAATCATTTTGGCTTCGGGCCGCAGGTGTATTTTGAGTGCATCCTGTCTGAGGTATAGATTCCTGTAGATTCTCATACATAAAATTGTAAATGGCTTCACATGGGTCTGCCCTAGAAGATGAGCTATCTTCTCAGTTGCGCGCTCGGTACTGCTCAGTTCCTCGAGAATGGTTAAAAGGATTTGTTGCTCAACATCCGCTTAGCACAGGTGATGAGTGCTATCAAACGGTAAGTAGCTCTCTGTGTAAATCAGTAACTTTCTCATCGATACAAAGGTTCATAAAAATTAAATTAGGTGTCGTTTGCTATTTTCAAACATAGATGTGGCCTACTTAATGCATGTTGATACAGTGCAATCCGTCTATTTAGTAGAGTCTTAATTTTTTAATTGTGCTGCAGTGTCTTTATTTTGTTCTAATATTATTAAAAGTACTATTAACCGATTATGATTTTTAATTTCAACAATATACAATCATGAATTTCCGTTTGGCTTTTGTTTAGCTAGCTGTAGATCGAAAAGAGTTTTCGCGGTAGTAGGGCCCAAACATAATACCTAGGCAAGTCTAGGCATAGTGTATCAGCATTTAGCTTATTGTGTGAAATGGACACCTAGACCTACCGGACGTATGGGTATGAAAGAGTGATGTGAATACATGATACAGTTAGCTGTAGCTTACTACATGTATTTATGCATCATGATCATCATTTAGCTTTGTCATAATGCAACAGAAGTGAACTCTGTTTCTAGAACGGCTCAGCTAAATAAAGGCATTTGAACTAGACAACGAAGTTAGACTGATGGAAGTATCCAATAAAGATGCTAGCTTCGTTTTTGTTATTTCTTTATGCATTTCTAGCGATCGTTTTTATGAAAACAAGTGCTCGTATGTACCTCTTGTCAAATCAGAAGTTGGCCCATTAGGAGCCTAACCTGTATGGGTCTTGTTAGACCTATCTGGGGATTTTCTAACAGACCTATTAAACTGCATGACAACTATCTACGCAGCTGTTAATCTTGATTTAAGTTTATTTTTTTTTTAATTTTATGTTTTCCCAATTACTTATTTTTTTTATACGATTGCAGTTGTTAAACACGGATCTTTCACGTGTCGGACTGTTCTCACTACCAAATAACATCTTCGTAAGTAAAAAACGCCGAGTTTTGTCCACAATAATTTGATATTTAGCGTGCAAATTTTTCAAATCTGTTATCTTTGTCTTCTACTTCTTTGTGACTTTGACTTTTATGTCGTCAAAAACCACCTATGTTGACTTAAAACGATCTTCTTAGTGTAGTAGTAGAGTTTCGCCAGGTTAAATTGAGTAAAAGCAACAAAGTCTAGTAACATTTGTTTTTCACACGAACCCCCCTTAGTGGCTCTAACGATATTCGGCTGATCGCACTACTCTCGGCCAGAGACTACTACATACGTCCTGGGACCGTTTACAGGGGAGTTTAACGATATTGATCAGGTTATTCAAATTCTACTGACAGCATTATGACGTCTGGCACAGCGGTGTACCTGTAGTTAAGCGATGGGGTGTCAGTTTAACAAAGAGAGATAACCCATTCGGCGTCTCCGATCTGCTTTCCGTACACAATAAAAGACTTTAGGTATCTTATCTTTTCCTATTTTCAGTTCAAGTGAATTTGATATTTATAATGTATTACAAAACGTTTGTATTTGCAGCCGATAAAAGCTCGAGGCGTGCTCCAAAATTGTTTGCTAGTTCAAGTGGTTTCTGTTTTAGACGTAGGCGCATCGGCCTATTCTCAGCTGTGTCATCTCGAAGGAACCCTCAACATCAATAATGAGGCGAGTAAAATCCTTTCAAAAATTTTCGGAAGATCCATAAAACGATTAAATCTGTTCGACTTAAGCTATATGTTCTTTGGAAGCAAATATGAAATCGAAATGTATAATGAACATTAGGTTTCTTTAAAGAAATTATGCTGACCTACATGAGTAAGTTTGTCGCATTTACTACGCTGGACATAGGTATCAGCTGATGAAACTGGGAACGTGGAACGGGAAACAATACGTCGCGGGAGAAGGTTCGTAGTGACTTCCCAAACCACTTTAAAACTTCCAGTAAAAAAATTCACCATAGGGTCAAAACTTATCGCAAACGCCGATTGCAGTTTTGCAGTTTAGTGTTTCAGATGCGTTTGGGTGTTTAGAACGTCTGTATGCAGAAATCATTTTCACGAGTATTCTACATGGAACAAATAATTTTTATCTTAGTTCGTAATTTTGTGTGCCATTTTTCATAGTCTTCTCACAACTATCGGCTTATGCATGTCAACACAAATTAACTTCTTTCCTGTTTTAGACATCTATTTGCGTATAACCCTCTTTTGTATACGTATATTACAGGTGCCTATTACTTAAACTTAGTGACGGACGATGTACAATCCGTGCCATTGAATTTGAGCCAGTTGATTGTCTCGCAGAAGATATACCGCGCGGATCAAAGCTCCTGCTCAGGTCACCTAGCTTAAGCAGCATTTTAATACAGATTTAGGTATTCTAAGAAACACCAGTTTTATATATATATATATATAATGTAGGTTTTTCGAGGAAGATACTCAAATTCGTGGCCCTCGCTCACAATATTGTTTCGTCATCGAAATTCGACTAAAAATTACTTATGATACAATCTCTGTACGGGCAATTATGTATCCTTCGTTTTGCTCAAAGTCGATGGCCTATGTTATCGCAAATGTCCATATAGGTTCTAACACATGATGCTAAGATTTCGATGATACAATGCGGAAGATCAATTCACTTTTAAGGCTCAAAATTTTGTCAAACGTCTACAGTAGTTCCACTAGTTTAATTTAAAATTCTGTTGTTTTGAAAAGGGAAATATTCGTTGATAATTTGGCCCCAATAAACCTTAATTATTACTTTTTTACGCCTTTCGCTTTGAGTTTAATTTTCCCAGATTCAAATATATACATATGTATATAACTATTTCATGTCTCGATTCATGTTCTGACAGAGGTCCGTTGGAGATCCGACGCAGCATAATATTTCTTCGTGCAGGAGCAGTGGAATTTCTTGGTGGTAGTTCTCTTGAAAACTCAGCTCTAGATGGACAAGGTTCACAACATCAGGCACGTGGTTTTTCTTAAGTGTTCGTAGGTTATGCGTATGTTTATTTAGTTGATTAACCGTAGGTTCTATTACTAATGATATGCTATTCAATTTCGTGCTTTTTGCTCAGATCCACGTTAGTATCTATGATGTGTAATACGCTCCTTAGAGGCCTTATTAAATGAAACATGCGCAATATTTTATCCTGCATTATGCTACATTTGAGTCAATCTCATCTAGTGTCGAACATATATTCATTAGTTCAAAAAGATATATGTAAGAAATGCAAACATTTTGGCGCGAGAAGAGCGCATGAACTCCACTCTATGGAATAACACACGTTGGAATACTACGCTGCGTTTCCCGTTGTTTCACAGAATTTCGATGCAGACCAGCTGCTAATTCGAACACGGGAGTTAAAAGAAGCCCTTGAAGACCAACGGGTTAAACAGAATGGTGCAAATTCTCTGGAGAAAGAAGAAACGTCATAAGCTGGTTGTTTAGGTTGAGTAACATTTTGCTGTGGTAACGATGAAGATACCGTTGTCTATATCTAAATAATGAGTTTGCATATACAGGATGATATTTGACTAGGTTTATTAATAACAAATCTTTAATTTTTAGAAATTTTATATCGGTGTTATAATTTGGCTATTTATCATACAACTATTGGCATGCTAGTGTTATAAAAACGCTTGAGGACTCATAATGCCATCCAAATTATGTAAAGACAATTCGGTGAGCGGGTTGGTAAAAGGATTTCTCCTTTAAAGACTCTATTTTAGAATGGAAGGGTGACAAACTATAAGCATCATTGCCACTCAGATGTGCATGACGCCCGCTTGTTTTTAAATGCTAGATAAAATTCAGTTGAATCATATTAAATCACTTTTTTTATATGGTAGTTTACACATCAAGGTCGTAACATTCAAAATACATTGAGGAAGGCCTGCATAATTCTACTATTTAATATATATGGTTAGAGATTTACGTAGACGTATGTGATTGGCCCAGCATGAATGAAGATCACTATAACAGACACTAGACTTGTGCCGTGTAATGATTTAACAGGAAAACATAGGTTTCTTCTTACACTCGATGGTAAACTTCATGGAACCCCCCATATACCCTTTGAATTTAGTCGTACGCTTTAATGTATGGGTATTTAACCGCTCGATTGGCCACACTTGTTAGCCGAGGCGTTTATTTTCATTCCATTATTTTTAATTATAATATTGAATGTCACAGCGTATGACATATGAATGAATTGAATATATTAGGTTGGTAAGCGTGCAAGTGTTGAATATGTGGATGTCGTCTAACGAAGAAGCGGTTAATCCCTCATCGCCGGTTTTTAATATTAGATTTGAAAGAACGTTTTCGCGTTCTTCACTGAATAATAAAGGTCACATTGTTTTATTGTTCCTGTGGAAATAGTGTAAACTGTTATTAAACTTTTGTCGTTGTTCATGACTTTCTTCCACCTACCACCAAATAATGTATGCCGTTTTGCCAAAAAATTGAGGATTTCACCTGGAATAAGTTTTCCAATCACATTTCGGCTTGTCGATTTAAATCGAAGGTAAGACGACGAGTGTGATTGCCCAGTAAACGGAAAACGTGAAAATTCTTCAGCACAAGATCCGAAGAACATAGAGTACAATGAAGATGCCTTTTCAATGTCCTTGAAGGAGGTTTTTGGTGATGTTTGATGCGTGTGGTTTTGACGTGTCATATCTGTTCTCTAGAATAGTCTGGCATACTCGATGCAACTGAGCTAAAAAACACGTGCCAGTCAAGTGTCTGGCTCGTAAGGAGCAGTTCCTAGTGGACTGGGCCCTCACATTTCTATTAAATGCAAAGCATAATCTTCTTTGAATGAAGATTTGGTTAAATTCAGTGCGCAATATATGGAGACAGCGTTTAGCCGTAATTTCTTGTTCAATTTAGGAAGTTCACGAGGTAGCCAACCTCGGAGTTTTAATTTAAACGCAAGGAACCTAAGGTGGTTAATGATGGTTGTGCTGCCATATAGCCAATTCCGAATTGTTTCTTGGCCGTTGTCGTTCACAAATATTTCAGATGGTAACCGCCAAACTCGGTCGATTGTCCAAAGCTGAAAACATCTTTTAGGTTCTGAGTACTGTTTTCAAGCTTAGCAAAGCACTGTTGAGCAGTTTTTTTAGGGGTAGCGTCGTTACCGTACCCAAGGCAAATGCTTCGCAGGCTTTTTCGACAGATTTTAGGCTTCGGCGAAATGCATAGTGCAGAAGATTTAAAAAATGCCCTTTTTGGAACATCCATTTTTGAAGAGTTCTCTCACACTACAGTACCATACAATTCAAGCAGGGCGAGCGTGTTCGAATGGTATACCAGAAGAAAACAACAACAATTAGCAATAGTTAGAAAGTTAGCTTTTTTCTACCAGTTGACCATTATTGGGAAAATGAATATCTAGAAAATAAAAATAAAGATTAGAATAATAACTTCTATCAGCACCGTTTATTATGTCCAACGATAGTATATTATATATAAAAGGTAAATTGTATAGTGGCGTTATGTAAAATCCCACGGATGTAATTTTGCATGCATGATATTCTATGACATTGTTTTACGAATGGCGTTCGATTAAATCATCAACTTATGTAAGAATAAATTCTATTACTGAAACACGAACAGACAAGTACGCTAACGCCTGAAAAGCAGCAGCAAGATAGCGCTTAGAGTGGTTTAAACAACTGTCGCGTTTTTCGCGCCGGTCGTAGCGGCAAGTCGTTTCCGTTTATTCCGGTTATTGGGGATCCAACAGACAACATAGTAAATCCCGAAATCGCGTGTTGACGTAACTCTTGGTTCCTCAATTTTCCCCCTAAGCAGGATTAGTCATCGCATAAATTCGGTAGAAATCTGGATCTGCATCGCTCATTTTTAGTTTGTGTCTGTGAAGACCTCTGTGTCGTTTTGGTTGTGTGTTCGCCAAACGACTGCCCGCTTGAGGTCGAATTTATTCCCAGGTAAGTCGCAAAACCTCAAAGCTAAAATGAAAGAAATCTGTTGCGGTAGCAAACCATTCTTTTCCGGCGGAATTGCATGGCTTCGATTTTTCGTAGCATACTCATTTGGAATCCAAATCTGTTGGTGCAAATTTTGAAGACAGCCAATGCTTGCTGAAAGTGCCGTCTCGTAGAAAATCAGACAAAATTGTCAATGTACGAAAGGAGGTCTATTAACACCTGTTGCTTTTTAACCTAGCTTGCAAGGTCGTCGATAACTACTGATGATTATGGTAGCGGATTTAGATTGTCGCTTTAAACCAAGTTTAAGGTAAGCCTTAAACTTAAAAAAAGTGGTCGAGCTTTGTAACTTCATCGGCTAGAATAACGTCGTTTACCTGAAGGATACCCGCAAACAGCTCCACGATGTCTTGGGGAGCTCACGTGCGAACCAGCCTAAAAATTACGGTTTCTCTAAAATCAGTGTCAAATGCAGAATAAAGCTCAAGAATACTGAGTACAAGTATTAGCGCTTGCTGCTATGGGTGCGCTGAATACGTTCCAGGAACATCGGACTACCAGAGTAAGTGAATTGCTGTGGCCGAAGAGTTTGCTGCTTTCATAGAATAGGACCAATAAGCGCGTAGTTCTGACAGTTGCGATTCGACAGGAGCTGAAATAAAAGTTTAAAGCAATAGCATATTTTAGATATGATTCGCCATTTACTTGAAGACTCTTTCAAAGAATCTGTTTCAAAAACATTTGGAGAAAGGACAGCTCAGGCTGCTAGGACACCGCCACGAGATGCCAGGTATGCGCAGTCGACGAAAGCAGGATTTTCTTGAGATGTTATTTTGCGTTAATCGCATCATTAATTAGAGAAATCCTTGTTGAAAGAGAAAAAAAAAACAGAAAATTTCGAAAGTGATGACCGGCGGAACTTAGGAATGTTGATGGTTTCTAGCTGAACTCCCATGAAAGTAGGACATTGGAACTCACTACCTTCATGCTGTAGCAAAATAGCTAACCAAAATAAAAGCGTATTTTTAAACGTGTTCATTACTATGAATTCAACGGTTGCAGTACACACTGACTAGATCTTTCTTAATACAACTGCCTAAATATTAGATCTGGGAGATATCGACACACAACGTAACTCTGGCTTCATGCCACCTGCCGTTGGGCACCTGACGGAACCAGTCGTTATTACGAATTGCTGGAGTATTCAAATTTCTGCCCATTAAGACACCCTGACAATAACAAGCAACATGTAACGATCGTAAATTACATTTTTAGAGTGTTTTTATAAGTAACAAAAGCTTTGAAAAATTAAGACAGCCAGAATTTATCGTAAGTCAACCCGTGCTATTCGGAGTTGTCGACATTCTGGTCATAAATCATTATGTCTATGAGGTCGCGAGAATGATACAGACTCATGTTCTTATTTCCGATAGTACTCTAAATATATAGATATATATATATTGATTTTAACAATTGTACTGTTCCCAGTCGTTTGTTAGCGCAGCTTGTTAATGAATAAACTAGATATTGCGTACCGCACACGTTGGTAAGACTAGGCTAAACTATAACTGTTTTTAGAAATAAGATCAATAAATAGATAAAAATTTGGCTCAAATACAGAAATGGGTGCTTCCGCGTAGAAAAGAAGATGATCCGCCGCATGGCCGCTGTTCGAAAGTGAAAGAACCTAGGCGTTATTGACTTTCTTTAGATTTAATAATATCTTCCCTTTTTTCGTTTTAATTGCACGTCTGAAATTGGCATTTGCTGTCTATATTTCAACTTGAAACCACCTAGTCTATGAGAAACTAGTGTGTCTAGTTTCGAGAACGTATTCGTCAGTCGTCTCGAATCACGTGGCCGTAGCAAGTGCAATCTTTCGCTTAGCCCTGACTTAAAGCGATTTTTGCAGCTCTCTTGGTGTGGATGTGACGCTAGCTAGCATAAAGTTAAACTTGTTTTCCGAATTAGCAACAGGCTCCATACTTAATAATGACTCGTCAATTTTTCGCAAATTGTTTCTGTGTGTTTTCTGCACACACGAACGATTTTTGCATGTTTCACCATTAACTGCCTATTACCATAAACGATCATGTGCGACGATTTACCAGACTACTTTCCTAGGAGATCACTGGTTATCTGCAGACATATTTTATGCAAGATTTTCGAGATAATTACAGCGTACTGGAACCTGGTTACATCGCTTTGTAGAGCCAAAGCTTTACATAAAGGATCCTAAAGCTTTTTTTTTTTTCGTTTTGTGAATTAATGGCTGAGAATTTATACCAAAATGGCTTTTCCGGCAGTCGACGATTCACTGGTGACTACTATTATAGAAAAAACGACGATATCTCTAGGTTACTTTAGAACACAGTTTTTGAGGGAATTCACTTCGACGCTATCCATTAAATTTCTACAGACCGACATTAATGACATCGGCTTCGTTCCTGAACGAGTGTTAAAAAAGCCGACAACGCTGATCAAAAATTGAGTGTCACCTTTGACAACCCTGCAGTCCTTAAAAAGCTAGCCCGTGTAACCGGCGAGCTCTGAGCTATTATCTTTAAAAGACCTTTTGAGTAAAGGATCATATTCTGCTTTTCGGGAAGGTGATGCGACCACCATCTGCAAAAAATGACAGCGCTCGACTTATTATCGTTCAGTTGTTCAGAAGTCTCCTATTTGCATTGTCGTAGAAAACATCGTAAATCACATATCTGCACACCTATACTAACTATCAGGCTCAAATCTAGCTCGGTTCACCAAAAGGAATAAGTAATGGAGGTGGGCCACAATTGGGCATTCGTTAAGAATCATCAACATGCATGCTTCTATTTGAAGCTTCCCATATGAAATATAAAACACACATTGATTATTTAAGAATTTACACGAAGATAAACAAGGCAGAATTTGTACATGCGGTCCGGAAAGCGCTCCAGTGTTATCATGAACATGAGATAGCAAAATTGTATTGCCTATATCCAAATATGCTTTACTAATACCATACTGGATAACGCTATTAATCGTACAGATGATCAAATGCAGTGTGTACCGGCATATCAAAGTTTAGGTATAATTTTTGATGTCGATTATGAAGTTGAAAAGTTATGTTGTTTGGTGTTCAGCATCACGACTGTGCAACCCTATTTTTCGGACTCGTATCTTATGGTGAATATTAAGTAGTTGAATATTTGTAATTACATAGTTGTTCGTAAATAATAATATTGCTCGTAGGTATGGTCGTCATTTCAGTATTAAGATATGAATAGTTCTTAAAATCCTCAAGACAGCTTTTAAAAATGCGTAATATCGAGATTTGGTAAAGATTTGGAGAAGCAACGTATTTATCTATGAAAAAATGATCTGCAGATCCTTTGCAAATTACATAACTCCTTTAACTATTTCTTTGAAATCATTGGAAAAAATCTACGCAGCGGTGTACCCATCAGCCCTAGGTGTAATCATCGTTGGTAGTGTTGGCAAGTCTTGTTCATGGCAAGATTAATCTACGAAGAGCATGTTCTATATAGTTCTAATAATAAAATTCTTTTAGTGTATTTGTTGGCCGGAACTTCACCGTTTCTATTTAAGAGAAGTGAAACGTTTGTTTTACGCGAAGCAGCATCATTATGGTCTGACACAGGTTAAAGGAGGCAGTTGTGTATCTTTCGTTCCTTATAACGCCAGTAATATCTGATCGTTGAACACGTACAAACAGAAGTAGCTGTCACATAGTAACTAGGCTCGTGGTTAATACGCCAGACGCAAGCTTCATTTGTAAATACTATGTAACTAAATACCGCAAATGTCATTCCGGGAAGCCCAATTAAATCAGATTAGTAAATCAGTTAGCTAGCTCCAACATTTAACTTTTTAAAGTGTAATACAAGTTTTTGTAGTGGTTACATGTGCCAGTGTGCTCATACTTGTACTCGTTTTACTTCGTATAATTCAAATCAATAAATATGATTCAGGTTTTATCGTAATCTGGATATAAATTAGTCTGAAATGGTTCATGTCTTTGCGATAATCTCTTAATGATAATAAACAGGATAAATGCCGCTTATTCTTATGATCATCCGTCAAGTATGCCAACTCTAGCTCTAACATTCCACAACTTACGTGAACTTTTGTAAGATTTTTTTAAAGAACTAACTAATCAATGGGTGATAAACTTGGTCATTTCAAGTACCGTAGCGTTATAATGCTAAATTGTGCATTACTACCTACCGTAGTAAATTGTTGCCTCAATGATTTTCCCTTGCTATCAATGTTTTTGAGAAAAACTGACAACTTGTTTCGAGGCTGGCGTTACGCATAAATTCGTGAGATTCAAAATAAGTTATGCTCACCAAACTTAGCAGTAACGAACACGGATGCAAAAGGGTTTGTTGGGCACTACAAAACATAGTAGTCATGCGATTCGCGATATCACATAAGTATATTTAGGTCAACCTTCGGCCACGGACGATCCTGTTCAGGAAAATGCATTTCTTTCGTGTAATCTTTTATTAATTACAAATGTGGATTGGGGATCTTCACATTATCGTATGATGTATTAGTTGCTGGTCAACGCATAATTTTGTGGTGCTTCTGACGTTACGCTCAAATGATGTATTATTAGACTAAATATTATTTAATGATAATGGCCAGTGATAGTAGCAGCAATAACGGACTGAGGTAGCATAGAACACGTGTTTTGCGACACTATAATAACAATTATGCTGACTATCATTAACAAAGCATTGGTAAAGCATTATTAGTATAGCTAGATAAGTGTGCTCCAAACAAATTAAATAACTTTTGTTGTGCAGTCGCTATTCTTTTCAGCGTCTGAATTCAGTATTTCACGAATAGACATATTCGCAAATTTGGTGGAAATATTTATATATATATTGTTAGTCGTTGGCTATCTATGCTTAACAAAAGAGATACAATTTAAAACTATATTACTTAACAAAAGAAATTGATGATTATTATAATCTAGCCTACTGCCTTTAATTTGTAGGTGCAAACTACCTAAAAAATTAATTAATAGTTTGGCTTTAGTTCGGCTAGGCCAGAAATTCGAACAAAAAAGCGCTTTAGTGTATGCCCATAGACGTGTGAGTTTAAGTGCCGCGGAACACCTTAGTTATCTGCCGAGTCGAAAAGTCTCAGCTTAATAAATACAGGAATGTCTTCGTGTTTAATACAATATGTAAAAGTTTAACAAAATTAAAAAATGCGCCCTCGTCGCACCGCAATAAACCGAACATAATCTTACAGAATGTGTGCGGAGATAGGGGCAGGCAGGTGCCAGTGTTCCGGGAAGAGCGATTCGACGTAATAATAATGTTGGCAGCGCGGGCCACCTCCCACCTGCCATATTCGGAAATACCACCCATTCCATCTACACCCGAGGGAAAGAAGGAGGAGCGAACAACCCCCAAATGGCCCTGGTCAAGACGGCGGCTTACTAGTTTCCTGTCTGCCCCGCTAGTACCAGCCCTTTCTCGCATTCGGAAAAGTTCGACTTGTTGTGCACCGGCCGCGCCCCGTATCCAAATGTCATGCTGACTTCTGATACTTTGGTGATGAAAGCGTGTCCCGAAGCCTACATCTAAACGGCCGGGCTACGTCCTGCAGTCTCAACTAGTTAGTCTCTATCGTCCTACCGCTAGAAACGGAAATTGTCGCCAGTAGTTACTAGATATTTGCAAAAATGCGCGAAATCGGCCAGCCTACCTCGCGGCGCTGATGGATGCACTGGAGGCCGATGCCACTGATTGGTCAGAGTGAGCGTCGACGTCACGAATCAATTTTAGTTCGGAAAACTGGCCGGACTATATCGTATTTTGTGCCCAGCTACCGCTATATAGTCGACGCCAAAACTCTTGACTGTCTTCAGATTTTTACGCACTGTGCAACGCGTTCGCGTTGATCGAAAACTGACATCCGTCCGCCCTTGGCCGTTGATCTCTGCTGGCAGCTGCTTCTCCTCGTGGACTATCGATGGTCGTCGAAAATACAACATTGAGCCGCCAGGGCGACAAACCGTCCGACGGCAGACTCAGCAGCGGTAGCAGCCGTGCTTACAGCAGCCGTAACCAAGCATTAGCGGCTGCAGAGTCGCTCAGTATTATGCGACCAGCCACGGCCGTGTAAGTTGATTCGGTCGTGTTGGACAGAGTTGCGATCAACTAAGTGGTGTGGGGTGTGTGTGTGTGTATGTGTGTGTGTACATAGGTGTCATCAGTGGGATCAGCACACCCGCCGCCAGACACCCAACTGAAGAAAGCTGCTAGTAGTGCTGCTGGTCTGAGGGCAACAGCACAACTCCGCTGTATCTATTTGCTGCCACCACATTCGAGACTTGAGATGCTGCGAACACTGCAAACACGGTCATGGGTCCTGCGGTGGTAGTATGATGGTGTCCGGCCATTAAGAATACGTCCACATCTCACGTCTTTTTGATAGAGCAGACATTCGTTCTAACAGACAGAGAGGCGCCTTGGTAACCCCACCCCCGTCTCCTGCGATCCCCGGCTCCCTGCCGCCCCCACACTCCACGATAGCCCCGTCTCCCAAAAACCGCAGGAAGACAGCAGCAGCAGGCTAACCAGCCAGTCTGCCAGCCACTAATTCACTCCCTGCAAGATTGTGCCGATCTCCGGAGCAGCAACAACAGCAGCGGTGTGCTATCAGCCTGGGCCCGGTCCAACCAACGTGACCGTCTCGTGAGTTTTGTGCATTATGGTGATATTTTTCACTCTGCTTGTGTGTATTCGACCGGACTAACCAGCGGTTGTTATTGTTTTTCCACACGTTACTACGGCTAGCTGAAGTTTAGTGATGCAACACAAGACGAACAGCTTGTTCTTCGATGTGAAGCTCATGTAGAAATAACGAAAAAAAAATAAAAGGAAAATTATTGCATCCTTCTACCCCCCCCCCCCCCCCCCAACGCCGCGGTCGCGTACGACAGTTGAAAGCCAGAAACTTAACGGCAGTAGGTAGGAGGTAGCGACGGCAGCTGTAGGCTGCTCGAAGCAGCTGTAGCTGCAGTAGTGGCCGAACTGAGGTGACGAGCCGTGCCCTCCAGCCAGACATGAGCGGGCGCGGCCTCCGCAGCGGTTCTGGCCTATAGCGCGGCCTGGCCCATCATCCATCGAGTGAGGAAAACATTTACAGCAGGAAACAACGGGAGCCAGGTAAATGTCATGAATAGCTCAATCAAGCCAGCGAATAACTAGCGACCCGATAAAGCAGACCAGAAAGCGCCACGCAAGTCGGTGGCGACGACGACGACGACAACAACAGAACTGGAAACAGCGAGCCCAAACTGAGTCGGTGCTGCTGGTCCATCAGCATTCAGTCGATGCAGTCCGTGCCGAGCAGATCATCAAAATCAAAGGATCATCAAACGCCAATTCGTAATCAATGATAATCATAATATCTACAATTACTGATAACAAACATCGGTAAGCATCCGTGAGGAGTTGACACCGGGGGGCCAGGGTGCAGTAGCAGTCGGCAGGAAGACAAGCAGCCGTACTTGTGTGCAGACGTCAGTGCCTGGTTGTGTAGGGCGGGAGTTACCAAACGCACCGTCTGTCGCCTTAACACCGAACTGTAGCCAAACGGTATATTCATCGAGTTGGACAAAAAAACAACAACAACGTCGACGACGGAAGACTGCACCGAACAGGAAACCGACAGCACGGTGTAACGCAAGAACGACAGCAGCAGCAGTAGCAAAAAACATTCACCAACTGATAAGCCACCGACGGCAAACGCACACAGACACACGAGCAGCGCAAGTGTTTTTGGCCGTGGTGGTGGTCGTTGTTGTAAGCAGCAGCAGCAGCGGCGGCAGCAGCTGGCCGCTCAAGTGCTGCTGCTGCTGTTGTCATCGTTTGTATAAAAGTCTTGCTAGTGCTCTTGGTGGCAATGGTAATAATCATGTAATAGCATATATGCACATATGTGTGTACATATACACTATAACAATATATCGAGTTGTGGCGCCGCTAGTGCTAGCGCCGGCGACAAGAACACCGCTGCGGAGCGAACAACATTAATAAACATCAACAGTATTTATTGAGTAAGCACAGCGCGAGAAAACGTGTTGTTGTTGTTGTTGTTGCTGCTGCTGCTGCTGCTGCTGCTGCTGCTGCGATCAGCGTGTTTGATTTATTTTGCTGGGTCTTCTACTAGTGTTATTTCTGCCAGGTGCTGCAAGCGAGCGAGCGAGCGAGCGTGGCGCGCCGGCTAGAGTTATCTCGTTGCTGTTCGCTAAAAGCGACAGCAACGACCAGCAGCAGTAGCTGTCTTCGTCATCTCTTGTCTTGTCGCCAGCGCGGGTCAGGCGACGAGGGGCTGCGGGCCTTCTTGTGGCCTGCGGTAGCAGCGGATAGTGGCTGTGTGTGTGGGGGGTGCTGCTGCTGCTGCTGCTGCTGTTGTTGGGCTGTAGCCGTGCTGTTCCTCGTGCAGTGCCGCCCACTGGGGTGTGTTCCCTGACCGCTCTGCTCTGCTGCAGTAGCAGCAGCAGCAGCAGTCGTCGTTGTTGTTGTAGTAGTAGTAGTTGTCGTCGCCCTCGTGAACAAGCAAAAGTTGTATGTGGTGATTACCAGAATCAACTTGCTGGTCAATAGTTGTCGTGCAGCTGTGTGCTGTGGCGTGCAGGTGCGAAGGCATTGTGTGTACTCTCGCAGAGCCCCGCCTTGTTGCCCATTACCAGTTATCATCACTACCACCATCATCACGATCCCATATGTGCCTCCGCTGCGAGCGCGGCGGTAAGTGCGACTCCTTACCGCAGCAGCAGCACCAGCATCGCATCGAAGCCGGCCGGCAACGAACTGTCGAGTAACATTGCCAGCTGAAGAACGTCGACGTTGAACTGCGTGGCGTCCGCGGTGCTGCCAGTCGCGATAGAAGGAAAACAGCAGCAAGATAACGACTACAAACAATATTTACAGGCTTAAACGACAACAAAGACTGTGAAAAAAAAACCGATAGATATCAACATTGAACGGAAACATTCTCCAGGGCTCAGGACTATAGAGAGAAAGTGCGACCTCGACGGACCACGCACGAGCTACGGGTCATCGGCTGGCCGACCGATTGACAATTGACGAGTTATTGGTCAGTGGGCGTGTTCGTCTATGCTCATGTGTTACCCTGCATACTTCGACTACCCCCAGTGTTCTCTGTCCCCCTCATACCTATTGGTAGTGTCGTATTGAATCCTGTTGTGCTCCACGTCGTCGTTATCGTACGGCGTGCAACGTGTGCAAGCGGTGTGTAGCTGGACTAGTGTGTGGTTACTGCTGCTGCTGCTGCTGCTGCTGCTGCTGCTACTGCTGCTGCTGCGACAACAACTAATATTTGATTATCATAGCCTTTGTCCCTGTCCTGAGAAAGCTTCTTTGTTATCGCTACTATTATTAGTGCAGCATTGCAATAGTGTGATGGCAATGAGTTGAGAGATCCGTTTTAGCTAGTGCCTGCCTACATTTGAACGGAACTGTATCACACACGCGTTAGTACATCGGACACGTCGCTGGCCTACGTGCTGTATAACTGCTAATACCAGCTGAGGTTCATCGCCACGTGACGACTACGTTCCGCCACACCGTCTGTTGGCCAACAATAGCGACTAGGATATTATCGGTTCGTGTTCGTTCATTGGCACTCAGCTGACCCCATCTCTATACCTATACCTTTCTGTCATCGTTTTAGCCCAGCCGCCATTCGTCGTGGTCGTACTTTTGTACACGCGAGCGAATCAGCATCGTTTCGAACAACAACAAACGAAACAACAGCAGAAATAGCACAGCATAAGTAGCACCAGCCGCAGCAGTAACAACAAAGACAACAATAACTGCGACAGCAGCAATACTGATTCGTTTGTGCTTTCGAAAAAAAGTGACCTTTGTTCTGTTTCGGCCATTACTATGCTTTGGAATTGTTTACCGTAGTCGAGTGTTTGCTATTTGCGGCTACTGCCGCCGGCTACAGCACCGCTGCTGCTGCTGTTACTGCTGGTAGGGGCGGCTGCGCTAGTAGCTTTGGTGAGAGGCCAGTGAAGGAAAAAAAAACAGGAACAGCATCTTAGAATCGTGTGAGAGACGCGTGGCTGGCCGATCGGTTGACTCGGTGGTGTTTTCATAGTTTCTTAGCAGCAAGTGCTTCAGAGCGTTAGGTGTCGCCCGCGTAGATCAGTAGTAGTATTAGCGACCCGCAGTGGCCCTACTCGTTGTTCTGTCCGGCCGCTCCGCGTGGCATCAGGTCAGATCCATGGTGGCATTGTCCGACGGGGCGTGCACCTTCGTGCAGCAGCGGCAGCGGCAGTAAAAGGTTCACGGCAGTCTCATTGCTTGCGCTCGTCGACGCTCCCTCAAAAACAGCTGACGAGCAGTAAGAGTCGCGAGGCTACCGGCGAGCATCACCTGAATAAAACTGACTGAAGATATCACCAGAAGTGTTGAAGCAGCGCCCCTGCTGCTCCTGTTTTCTGTTGTTGTTGTTGTTGTTGTTGTTGATCTAATAGTCATCGGCTACACTGCCACTGATTTGGCCACAGAAACTTTCCCTTTTTCTACTACTAGAACCGTTGTTCATTCTCAGTGATCACGTCCTCGCCGCTAGCTCCGTATCCGCGCGGAGGTACTGCTCTGCATAGGTTGCCGAAGGCACTGGAGTCGTCAAGCGCCGCTGAATCTGCAGGGCTGTGCCAGGCCGGTGCGAACGCCAGCTGCGTAGGCAGCGCCGAACTGCTGCAGTCCGGTGCAGGAGGCGAGGACGCGCCCGAGCACGAGCGGGAGCGCCGGCTCGCCAAAAGGATGCGCATGATGGACACTTCATCATCACCCACCCGCCAGTCATCACTCGGCGAGGACTCAGCGCCCAGCTCGCAGACAACAACAACAGCATCGGTGACAGCAGCGGCGGTCGTGGGTGTGGGCATTGCCCCCCCACTAACAACAGTGGGCTCCGGGTGCGTGGTCGGCACCCCGGCAGTCGCCCTCCCCGGCAGCGGTGCGCTCGGCTCGGCAAATCCCAGTTCCGGGGCAAGTAGTCAGCCCGGCGGAGGCAATACTGGGGGCAGCGGGACGGGAGCCGGCACATACCACTTCAAGATTCTCGTACCGTCGGTGGCCGCCGGCGCAATCATTGGAAAAGGCGGAGAGACGATCGCGGCATTGCAGAAGGAGTGTGGCGCACGGGTCAAAATGTCCAAGTCAAACGATTTCTACCCGGGCACAAGCGAACGTGTCTGTTTAATCACGGGCTCTGTCGAGGGGATTATGCGCATACATAACTTTGTCATGGATAAGATCAAGGTAACCTTGTCAAGCCAGAGTTAGATGTATTTGTGGACATAGACGTTTTTTTGTTATTGTTGTCGGCTTCTGCGTGATCGTGGCAGCTATCTTCCCCCACACGCCTTCCCGCCTGCTAGATAGTTTTTCTGAGCAGTCACAGTAGCAGGCCGCTAACGCAATGATGAACAGAGAACGGTTGAGTGCTGTTGATATATGATTACATGCATTACGTCTTAGCATTATCGATATTATTTATGACCATTCACATCACTGTTGATGATATTGATTAGAAACAAAATGTTCGCTAGCGTTTCTTTCATTCTTTATTTTTGGTGGAAAGCCACAATTCACTAATTATGTGTTATGATTACCCATGGTTAACTAATATTATCGACAATGTACTCGGTCAAGTTACTTTGATTTAGCTTCCCGCTGTACTATTACCATATAATTGAAGTCTGTTACAAATACTGAATATCAAATGTCAATAATTCAAATAGTCCCTAACTTTTTATGGAGATCCCAGTAACCTTCGTTGTACACTTTGACATGCTTCAATTTTGTTATTTGATCATTGTATGTTGTCTCTTTGTCGTTTGGTGGACGTTTCGGCCGCCATTTCCGAACTACAGGAAAAACCGGACCCAAATGCACGGATCGCTATCGACTTCGATCATAAGCAGACGGCGGAGCGCGAGAAGCAGGTGAAGATTCTGGTGCCCAACTCGACGGCCGGCATGATTATCGGCAAGGGAGGTAGTTATATTAAGCAGATCAAGGAAGAGAGTGGCGCCTATGTGCAGCTCTCGCAAAAGAGTCGCGACCACGCCCTGGCCGAGCGCTCAATCACAGTTATAGGGGAACTGGAGCCGACGCGCAAGGCCGTCGAGCTCGTGCTTGCCAAGATCGTCGAAGACCCGCAGAGCGGATCGTGCCTCAACGTGTCATACGCCGAAGTGCAGGGTCCTGTGGCGAACTTCAATCCAACAGGTTCGCCATATGCCAATCCCGCCAGTATATCAACTGGTGGTGGCCTTCAAGGCATACCTGGCGTCACAGGGGTTGGAATCCTCCAGCACAGTCCGCCCGGTCAACAAGCAGGCCAGGCCGGTCTAGCTGGATCCGCTGGCTGTGGTGGTGGGGGTGGGGGTGGATATAATTCGAACGGGTCCGGTAGCTCGCTGAGCCCCACCGCACAGATACAGCAGCACTACGCTTCGCATGCCCATGCACATGTCAGTGGCTACCCTGGCAGCGGCCAGAGCGGCCACCCGTTGGCCAATCAGAGTCTAGATAGCCTCAAGCTGATTCTCCGCCAGAATGGCTTTGCAGAACAGGCGACTTCAGAGATTCTCGCTGCATTCGGCGTGTTAGCCAACTATGGCTTGCTCGGTCCGAACGTGACGGGTCAGCTTCTCAATGGTCAGGCTCTGAATGTTACAGCAGTCCAACATTCGTTGTACTCGTCGGCAGATACGCCTTCCTTATTCGGCCCGATCGGCAGCCTGTCGGGATTTGCTTCACCCACCAACCGTCCGCCAATTGATGGCATGGGAGCGGGTCCGTACGATCCGTTTCGACGTGCGGTCACTCCGCCGCCACTAACGACACCACCTCCACCACCTCCACCGGGATCGGCGTCGTCGCACGCGTCTCAGCAGCACACCCCACAGGGGACGACCCATGCCCCTGCCAGCGCCCAACAGACGCCACAGCAGATTGTCAATAACAATTCGTTTGGTTTAGGAACTGCGGGGGGCGCAGCTGCATCGACGCCATTGAGTGGCGGCGGCAGTCTACGAAAATCGCCGACGCCAGCGGGTGAAACTAGCGGTAAGGGAGGACCTGTCGAAGCTATTCAGAAAGACATCGAAGTCGGTGAGAACATTGTCGGCGCCATCCTCGGCCCGGGAGGAAAATCGCTCGTAGAAATTCAACGGTTTTCAGGTGCCTCGATCCAGATCTCGAAGAAAGGAATCTTTGCTCCGGGCACTCGCAATCGTATCGTGACGATCACCGGTAGCCCGAACGCTGTAGCTACCGCACAGTACCTCATTCAACAGCACGTCGCCGAGGAGGAATCGAAGCGCTCGCAACAAAACGTAATGGGCGCGGTTCTTCGTTAGGGTATCATTATTATCATTTACGATGCCACATGACCTAAAACAACAGCAACAAAACTATTAACAAACAGCAAAGCTACAAAATACATACCCCCAGCAACAGCAGCATCTACTGCAGTGAAAGTAAATCATGAGCGTGACACAAACTATCGTTACATCTGTCGACAACAACAACAAGAATGTTAGAGACAGGCGGCGACGACGACAAAAAGATTATGTATAATATTACCAACAACATTTGCAGAATAAGGACGAGTACGGCAGCCGTAGTAACAATAAATTTAACGAACCACGTTCATAAGTGGTTACATTAATTGCACGTTCCATAGGGGATGAATGCAATGGGATTGATTACCTGCCAAACTGCAACGTCTACGGCCCAACACGGTTCAGTATGGGCCGTGTGGCCTGCAGCCTATTAAACGTGGAACATTATATACAGATAGACACATACAGATATAAACATCTATACTGATTATATATACCTTAAGACACATTTACACCAAAAAGAGAAATACATTAACAGGAGTATAATGATGACCTATGACGCAGTTATTACCCATGCATTGGCACGGTGTTTGACTACAGTCAGTGGTCAATTAGTACCCATTGTCATGTAATGATGTTATAATATATCTTTGCCGCCTTAATGAAAAAGGAAAAGAACATAAGGAATAGGAAAAAGAAACTAAAGAAGGGAAAAACAGAATGGAAGAAACAAGTAAATGAAAGTAGGATAATGCAGCGATTGTGTGCGCTCCACTTTGCTAAACAGATGCAGCGGTGAGAACTGCGGTTGCTAGCTGAGAGTCGAACCGTAATTATGATATTATTTCCAGGAATAAGTTAAAACGAAATGAAAAACAAGTAAATATTGCTAGCTTATCTTATTATATCACCAAGTTGGAATTGTGCAGAAGAACGATTTAGGGATGGAAGATAAGGAAATGGATAAAAGTGGGAGTCACTTTTACTTCAGGTCATGTCAGGTTCGTCGTTCCGGTCGGACGACGCACTCGTAGGTGAGCTAACCATTGACTGTACCAGATAGTGGGTAGATGATCAATGTAAAATGAACCCAGGCCAATATCATGATTTCATGTCGGCTCTTCTGTACAAAACAATAATATTTGACGATACACACATACGATGAGTGAGAGCAAGAGAAGTGAGTGCGTGCGACACGGCCAATGACAAATATATACGATATGCTAAAGCGACGTGGGCTTCATTACGAAGCCTCAACGAAGCTGAGCGTCGTGAACAACAAAAGCCAACAGCTACTGCTATTACTGCTACTACCACAACTACTATGAATGAGTCAATGCTGATGGTTATTAATTAGGGTTATTATAGTAATTTTTATAATTATTATGCTTACTGCTAAACTCATAGGGATAGCAAAGTGAGGCTGATAAACACGGAGTGGTAATGAGTGATTTATCGTGAGCAGTGGTGATGGGCTCTAGCGAGTATAGATATTAGTTACGGACTGGTAGAGGAGCATGCGGGAATAAAGCTATATGTCTACTGAGAGAATGATGATTACGAGCGAGGTGAGAGAGAGAGTGTGTGTGTGTGAGAGAGAGAGAGAGAGAGACGATTGTGCGAGCATGGTGAGGTAATGGTGTCAGAAATGAAATTGTAGCAAGACAAAAGGTGCTTGCTTGAGGTATTGTACAGGTCAATGTCGAAGTTTATCAGTGACGAAGTCGCCGATGACGATGATGAAATGGTTACAACCGGTGAGAATGGCAACAAAAGAATTGAAAAATTGTGATACGGGATACTTGTAGTTTGTTTTGGCTGCGAGTTGATCTTACCTCTGGTCCCGCCTGTCTGCTCTGCGTAGATCTACTAACTACAGCAGCAATGAAAACTGCAACGTTGAAATAAACAGAAAAAACGACACGTATAATATTTAACCTGATCGTTAAAAGCAACGGCCCGGCCGCAGGTTAGCGAGATCAACCGCTGACCGAATGGCGGAAGCGCGATTCAAGTAGATCAATATAATCCCGAAATTTTAATACTGGAGTTCTAGAAAGCAAACGACACAAGTGGAGATCATAAAATGTATTTGCGGATGAAAAACGTTCCGGAATCGCGCAGAGACTGACATGCGAATGAAAGATCTAACAAATAATTACTCTGAAAAGTGGAACAGTAGAGAAAATAACACCACCTGAGGTGCGGATTATGTAATATGTCCGTTGTCGACGAAGCAAATCTTGGGCGAAGGCATGATATAATCAAATTTAAACGACTTGAACAATTTTGTCTTTGCTAAGTGAAAAACTATAAAGCAAGCGAATTTGTCGGAACACGACCAGTAGCAAAACAAAGAACATGCTGCGCAGACCAATCATACAAACATAAGAAGACGAAGTTAGATTGACGATGACACTTTATGCCGTTATTTTGAAACGCAAATGAGGCCCAAATAGAGACGCGAAAAGCAAGTCCCAATGGAAACAACAGTACTTGTCGAACAGAATAATTGATTGCCGAGAATCATCGGTACATTGGCGATAATGTGTAAAGGATCATCAACGGAAGCAATCTAATAATAACGTCACCCATAGCGCGAACGATGATGCTGATCACAGAACGAAGAGTGAATTTAATCGACGAAGAAACCTAAAATGTTAGTGCGATAATAATATGCTGATGATGATTATAGTGCCGATAAACTTAGCACGCCATTAAGCGATATATATTAGGAGGACGATTTAGCAAACAAAAAACATCAACAAATAATGATAACGCCTGCACGTGGCTATGTATGCGTGGATCGTCCACACTTAACTATGTTAATGATGATGGGGTGTATGCGTGGACGTGTGCCTGTTGGTTTTTAAGTTCTTGTTGTTTTTCATTGTTTTCATTTTTCATCCTTTTTCATTATTATCGTTATTATTATTATTATTATTGTATGCTTTTTTTCTCGTTTTTTACGATAAAGATGATTTCTACACAGTACATTCATATGCATAAAGAAGGTTTTTTGGCGTCTTCTGCTAAGAAAAAGCAAAGCAAGGTGTTAATAGAGCGACTTTTTACGTATCTCCCCAGCGACGACGTCTCGTGGGAAGACAGTGTCACGAAAGCTTGCGTAGAAGGGATTAATAAATAAGCGTAATCGTGATCTAGATATAATAAGAATAATAATATTAATAATCGAGGTAATAATAATGTGACGCAAACAAAGTGAAGATACGGTGGAAAGAGTGAGGCTAGATCTTCAAGGTGACGATGAAATGTGCAGAAAAATGAGCGGTGAAGTAAAAACTGAAGAACTGAAAAAATGTAACAAACACATCATTAAGCAACAGCAGCCATTACACGGGTCGACGGCAACAGTTAAAAGTAAAAGGAAAGAGGAGGAAATCGTTGCCATGAAACAAATAACCTAAATTAGCCACATACACACAGGGGCAACCAATATACAAGATCAGCAATCACCCCAAAACTATGCTTCTCAATTATTCAAAATAGTCAAACTCGGATTTCGAGTTACATATGTAGTAATGATAATAATAATAATAATAATAATAATATTATTATTAAAAAGAAACGATGTGTCATGTATACATTAGACATCTCTATATGCGTTATCGCATGTGCGTGCTTTCTAATTTAATCTTAATATAATGAGAGGTCTAATTTTCAATAAAAATTGAGTAAAGCTTGCATCTTTTTAGGATCATGGGTACGTTGAAAGCACAGGATGAAATTGCGTTCGGGTGATTTTAGACAAAAACTGTTTAATTCAAACACAGATTACAGATAAAGCCAACGGAAAAAGGCAAAAGTGTGAGAAAAACGAGACAAATATCTGATTTTGATTGGTTATTTGTTGTTGTATTGTGCGATTAATATTATTCCGGTTCTGCTGTAGTAGTTTTAGCTGTAGGACCAAATTAAGGGCAACATTAACACCTATAGGAATATTTCAACGAAATACTGAATGTGCAAATTTACGTATGATGATGAAAATGCTAAAAAGTCTTCCTGGCCCCTTTGCCCTACAAAACAACTACAACAACAGCAAAAAGAAACTACTAATATTATCATATAAACACGCTACAGCTACAGACACGTGGTAAAACTACATTAATAATTAATATCTGTGGTCATTTTCACTGATTTTATCAACAACGCGATGATGGTGGTTATAATGATGATTACGAGTAAAGAAAAAACAGTTCGAGTTGTACAATTCATGCATTTTACTGTATTCTTTATTTTAATGGAGTTATATTCTTTACATAATTAATGATTATATTATTTTATTGTCACCACTTTCACTAATATACAACTGAATTAATAAGTGACAGCTAAAGTTTGCCACACTATTTTTTTAACAGGCCGATCGACATTTGTCGGTCAACCTGATCGCATAGTTAGCCCCTTTTATAAGCATATAGAATAAAGATTTAGCTTGTTAGGATTTGCCTAAGTTGTGGGCGTAGCGCTTATATTAGTTTTTCTTTTTTAAAGATTTCTGGCTGAAAATATTGTTTTATATAACGGGGTATTTTTGTTCCTGGCAAGGTTGCAGCAGCAGGTACTGTTTAAGCTGTTTATAGAAAGTCTTGTCAATGAGCGATTTCAGTTGCGTTCTAATATCTCGTGGCGCCCCACTTTTTGGTTCGTCGCGTCGATGTCATGCAGTGTTGATTGTATTTGTGAAACTAAAGTATAGCAATGTGTCTCGTAACAACGGAGCTTGAGTGCCAAAAGTCAGTATAAAACGTTCCAAAGTATAACAATATGAATCGCTTTAATTACTTCGTATTTGTAAAATAGAACTATCATACATCCTATGGGCTGTCGTTTCTTCGATGTGCTTAATATGCAGGTGCTTCGTAAACCGATATAGGTAGTCATGGTACCCATTAGGACCATGTGAGCAGTTCTCGATTGTCGAAGCAAGGATTCTCAGTTATAGCAACACAGGACATCTAGCACATTAATTGCTTCACATTAATTAACGTCTTCCTCCAGCTTACAAGTAGAAAAGTTGTTTTTCGGGATTTTCAGTCAGTAAAAGCATTGGCAAGATATTCATTTATGTCATTAAAGCTTACCATGCCACTGTCGGCCATTAAATCTTCATGTCGTCAAAGGCTAAACTTTGTTGCCACCTGTTCATTCATGTGACTTGGGCCGATACTTGAGACAAATTGAGATAGGTCAAATTGTGGCCCGTCTTTTACAGGATGTTTTAAGTTTATCTATCTAATATGGTAACTAAAAATTCAGCTTTAATACTCCTACGAACACCACATGATGGGGTGGCACATGGGTGTACATTCCTGCTTGTCACCCCATCATATTTCGAATATACAAAAAACACAATTGGAATATTGAAAGTAGCTGGCTTGCACGGCCGATTTCCAATTACACTTACCGTTTATAGCTAACAATCTACAGAAAGAGGAGGACAAATTGTTATTGTTTCAGTCGGCGAGGCGTTCAAGTCTAAAACACACAATATTTAGTTGATCATTATTTTGAAGTTGTTTTTTTTAATCTGCAGGTGGACGCATGACCCTTCCGAGAAGTTGGCGAAACTAAATGCACTACCTTGGTTCCGTTGGGTTCAATTTCGTGAGCACCTCGGAAATCCCAATGTTTTTCTCCTACCAGACATACACACTCGTACTGACATCGAACAACTACTCACGATTAGTAGCGGAAGTATAAAGCGTTAGATGTTTTACTTTTCATAGGTGTTACAAAATCCGTATCGTAACTTGACAAAAAATTACGGAAAATTTAAAAAGGAAAGTAAGAGCATTGATCTGCTCAATTGAATAACGATAAATATGATTGCAGTAACACTAAGTTTTGATATTGGAATAATATACGACGACCTTGCACTAGTACAGTACTGGGCTAATCGAGTGACAATTCTACAAAACTATTAAAGTCATGAGAATAGAAGGATTCAATGATTTAATTTGTCGCCTATCAATGTGATTAATACTGCCATAACCAGGCTGACTATTAGACGCCTCAATCTGCCTATTATATTGTAATATTTTAGCCATCAGCTATCTATGATAATTCGTAGTCTAATGAGTAAACTAAGTTGACTGAAGGAAAAGTGTAAACTAAATATCTTACAAGAGGCACGAGGTATAGTATTCAATTTTGGCCATACATCGGAGAACTCGCTGCTACACTTGAGTTTTTCGGAAGGGCATACGGGAAGATAAAAAAAAATTGCATTGCGTGAAATGACCTGACGTCAGCGAGTAGCACTCATGTGTCCGACGGCTTAGCTCACAGCCGACATTATGCCTTTTTTTATTGTTGCGCAGCGAGAAATACTCAAGGAAAGTCCTGCTCCTTGCGAAAACAGGAGTTTACTTACTTACAAACAGGGCCAAGTCTTCTAAAAGGACACACTGCTTCGCCCGACATCAACATCACGCTAGTCACAATAACAATCAAAACAATTTCATAAAACATGCCGTCTATATTTCTGAAAAAAGCAGTTGGCAAAAAAATAAAATGGGGGCCGTATAAACCGAATGGTCATGACGTATGCTAAAATGCTTATGAAAAACACATGACCATTTTACAAGTTGATACTTTATAGCTCTTAGTAAGTCGTTCTTAATCGAGCTTGACGTGCTACTGCTATAATGGAAGTTATTAACGAGGATAGTTTTAAATGCCGGTTCGAGCTTGTATGTGCTCAATATGTGTAATAGTTAACTGCCTTATATAATGAGGGTAAGCGCAAATGCCCGATTTAGTAGTGGGCTTTTATCTTAAAACAGTGACATTAATCGTTTGGGCAACGAAGCATTTCATGTAATAGAAAATTTTGAAAGCACGAGGTGAAGAAATAAAACGAGATTATGTTCGTAAAGTATTACTCAGTTTCTGAGTTAATTGCCTAATCACAATTTACCCTTAAGAATGTTAAAGGAGACCCTTCTAAAAGCTTAAATAAGTAAATACGATGGTCACTAACATGACCTTGGGAAACGCTCAACGGAGGTGTCCGTCGCCACGCACGTAATAGGAAAAAATTATTTACAACAAACAACTTTATCCAATGTGCCTCCAACACCTGTTGAATTTTAATTATAGTACATTTTTGCATAATCCTATGACATTATCAATCGTATGCCGATCGTATAGACCTTTTTATGGCTTAGTAACTGGGAGTCAACACCCGATAGAAGCAAACATGATGAAAATATACAAATACCTACAAAAAAAGTTCGTGCTATTCTACAAGCAACAGCGTGAGGATGTATCAAATGTTCCTTTACGCGCAGATGGAATGATTTTGATAGGACTTTGGAGAGCCTTGGGTACAACACAAATCGTGAGATCCTAGTTCGTTACCTTACGTGCGCAATTTCATTGTTCGTTTTAATGGTTAGTGCAATACAAGTGCTTTTCATTATCGATCAACGTTTTCACAATGGCGCGTTCACTTTTCACATATTTGGTGAAAACGTGAATTATCTGGACTTATCACAGAGCCTTAGATTCGTGAAATATATAGTTAAGCATCTGAGAGCATCATATGTCATGCTAGTCGGACATAGAGGAAACAATCTTTGAGTTAATAAAGAGTTTGGATTAATTAAAAAGCCTTAAACACATATTTAATATCTCCACAATGACAGGACGACACTATAAGCAAACGAAAAGCCTCAGTGTAGCAAATAGATATGAACGATTTCATTTAGGATGAATGAAAGTTAACACATAATTGATAGCTTCCTTACTTATTATGTATTGTCCAACGCAAAAGGATCACAGAACACGTATGCCCATCATGAAGACGCGTAAAAATAAATAAGATTGTAATAGCACTACAAGTTATATAAGAATCTACAACGATTTCTATTTTATAGCACTGTATGAATAGAAGGAGCATGAGTATTTTGTTTTCGATTTAGTATTTTTGGTGTTTATGCTTATATGATGGGTATATCAGCAAAAACTTGATGCCGTTAGGAACTTAACCGAAGTGGGTCTTGTTGGATTCATCACGTCTCATTTTTTAATGCATTATTTTTTCTTTGTTCCTTATTTTTTTTGATTATTAATATCCTATGATAAATTTTGCAGAGCTAAGATTTGTACCAATGTGGCAGCATGCTTATTTATTACGCAGTCGAATCTACCCAGACCACGCCGCCCCATACAATATACGTATGCATCAAGTCAAAGATGCAATACGTTATAAGTACTACATTTAATAATAATTATGATAACATTTATATACAGTCATGATTACATAGTGAAGGGCACGATGCTTAATGGTAACTGGTAATTTTGCCAACGACCATTTAGCGAGACATCAGAGAACGAAATACACCTCTACTGTATAAAAAAATTGCTGCTTTCTGTATATACGTGGTATGCAAACAAGAGTGTGAGATTACATGCTTACTAATCTCGAAGTTCTTAATCAGCTATGATACCTTTTTGTACCGATAAAAGAAGTGTACAATAGGGCTGACTGCCGAATCCGAAAATTCCATTCAAGTATGCATTACTTGGGGGCATTTTCCGGCTTCAGGGGAGTAGTCATACAGGCGACGGTTGAGTCATAACTTGAATTGAATATAAATCAGCCACATATCTCCCGCGCGGATCGTAATTACTAAGGTTTGTTACGGCATCCAATAGCACGTGCATACGAAATCTCGGCTGAGATTCCAACTCTCGGCGATGCTGAGAATAACGTAAGATGTAAGGATGCTAAGATTTTACTAAAAAAATAGATGGGCTTGCCATATCTGTTTCGGGTTGCTCGCCATTGACTAAGACTGACGCGGCGCCACAGTAATCTCAGTACTAAGTGGAAATGACACTGAATGGAAATTCCACCCTAGTTGGTTTTATTCTTTGAACGGGTAGGAATAACAAAATGGCAACACTAGCAGCTATAAACAGTTATACGGTAATAGCACATCAGAAATAGCAAACTACTACCTATGGCTTAAAGATATTAGATTTAGTCATCTACTTCCACCACAGCTTTTCGGCCGTATCTCAGGTCCTCTTTCATGTTGTAATAACTTAGGTCTCAACATGGATCGAAGTGGAAACGGACCTTAGCTGATTTGAACTTATGAGTGAATACGAGCAGCGACGGTCGAACGAAACCAATAAAATTATTGATAATATATGGTATCACATCTAGAAAATATGGGTGGTAGATACCTGCTGCTACTTCAGAGTCACTTACTGACATCATAATTAAATTCCCTTATAAAGTGCAGCACCAAAAACCCAAGGCGAACGAGGACCATTTAAGTCCAGAAGAACCTTCTTTTAGCAATGGTACTCAAGTACTTTCACTATGAACTTTATCACCGTAATAATATGCGTTACCAATAACGCTATATAATTCACCTGATCGATATCAGCAGGTAATTAATCCTTATCCTCCCCTCCCGTGTATCCCTTTTCTGTATGTGAAATACATAGCAAGTACATCGAACCCGTACATATTTACATATATTCATCTTGCAGCACATATGTCTGTAAACAACGCTAAAAACTGTTCGCCCTACTACGACTGAAAAGCCATATATATAATGTAAGAAATGGTGCCCGAGGGCAGATGCTCTGTTTATTATACTAAGTACATAAAGAAAAAGGGAAATGAGAAAGAATGAGCACATGGTTGAAGTTTTCACGGTACAACCATGTTTAATCGCATGTAGGTAATGACGTTGATGATGATAATAATAATAACGATAATCGAGTGAAAGTGATGCCCTGTTCTTGAGTAGATGCCCTCATAGAATTACTGAAGACGGAACACTTATTATTAGACAGAACCGAATGTAACTGAATATAAGGGTAGTGTGTAAATGCAGCCAAGTTATCTAATCTATACACGCATAAGCTACGATCCAGGGGGTGTATGAGAAGTATCAATAGCTAATCTAAAACAACTGATAATATACTATATGATAGCGCAACGTTTACGTTATTGAGTACTATTATTACTATGATCATACATAATTACCATTATTACTAAGATACATTAATATAATAATAAATACTACAATAAAGAGGAAGAAAGAGTGCAACTGTAGGAGATAACTAAGTAAAGTAGAAGCGTTGTATATGAATGATTTGACTCACTCCTTTTTTGCACTAACTATAACAGCCAGTTGTATGCTGCATTGATTTATTATATTTGTTTAACCGGGCTGGTGAGATTGATTTTTCGTCGTGGAAAATGTAGACAGCATCACAAACCAGTAACAGCATGTAATACAATTGACTTACCGTATGAACATGCTCATATATGAGCCTTCAACAACGTTAGTTAAATACTCTCTCTCTTTAAATTAACCATTAATTAAGCATAACTATTACACGTACTGGCGGTAGTAATAGTATTATTGTAAGATCTAGTTAGAACAACAGTACACCATATGGCTATTCTTAGGATATACCAACAAATACTTACAACAGAGATTATTAATATTGGTGGTCAGTAATTAATCTACTATTGACTCGAATAGGATATGTTAGGCATAGGAGAAATTAGCCCAGATTGCCTCGTATACAGCATTACGGCAATATATGTTATGTTGTATAAGGTCAGATACGAAATTATTGAAATTACTGTAGTAGAATGCACTCTGTTTGAATCTGAACGTACATTACCTTTAGTTCAGTCAAAGAATGTATACAACAAAGCCTAGACGGGCATCAATGCTATACGTGTATCCAATCCAACCACTTACCATCTACTCAGCTCACTGAGCACTGAATCTATTTTGCGTCATAGAACGACCTCCAGACCGAGATGATAGTTCCCAAAGGTACAAGTAAAAATCACTTAATTTGTCCAGGCTGAGTACTTTTGTGGTGCTACTGCTGATAGGTGGACTTAGCGCTCTTCTTGCAAAATTATTCTTCAGCAATCTTCTTCGATTATGATTTTCTTTGCCTATAAGTTGAAGGCCTAATATGAAAAAAAAGAGTCCGGATGTTGACCTTGTAGACAAGTACCAATACTGAAAGGCCTAACCTTTGACAGTAGCCTATTCAAGGAAAAACCAGTTGTGTATGTGTTACCGGGTAAACGTGTGACGTAATATTTCATAGAAACGTGTGATATTCAGATAACAAACACAACTATGTAGACAGCCATTTGGCTTTTTCTATAGATGGAATGCTTATAATATCTTCAATTTCTTAATTATTTCAATTATCCAAACCCCCTTAGTTTATTGAGTTCCCAATAGCTGTAGAGGCCGCTTCAAAGAATTCGTGACTTAGTGTTACCTAGTTCCTCTGTGTCCAGCAATACGGACGTCCGTTTAAGAAGGTTGTCGCATATATAGAATTATTGTTCAGCACGACTCAAAGATTTCTACGCGGGATACACAAAAGATTGCAATGACGTTACCCATCCGATATTATAGCCGCACTGCAACGACACGATGGCTTAATGGGAGTAATCACTACCAGAAATGCGGTAAATCGTCTGCCTTACATATAAACTAGTGATACCGTGAATCATAGACAAGGGTCAAGTTAAGTATGTACTTATATTTGATGTTACATAGGTAAAGATATCTCTTTACTTGAAAGCTCCAGCCTTGTAAACTCAATTATTAGGTGTCCTAATTACTAATTCGTCATGAAACTGAATCATCTTATATTATATTAGTGTTTCAGTTATTGATTTCCGAAAACTATAAAGGCCTGTTTCAGTTCAGACTTCATATATTATATAGAGAATAGCTTCATTGATGCATCGTTTATTTTGTTGAACAGTAAATGCCTTTACGCAGTGCTACGTTAACTTCCCTGCTGCAATGAGGATGACAGTAGACTACATAGTAATAATTTATGTTAGTCATTATATCTGGATTGCGGCAGAGACATATGTTTCATGCTAAATGCAGCAAAAACCGTAGAGCATTTTATTGTCAGAATCAGATCACCGTATTTGCTTGTTAAATCAAATTCATTCCTTTCAGATAATTATAATATCAGTATTTTTCGAGGATTGGTTTTTCTGTGCCTTTCATCGCGCGAAAGAAGCACACAAGTTGGCGATTACTGCCGCTGGTGCCTTTGGACAACGTTATATCTGATCCAAATCCTTATGGCTCAGTAGCACAGCCTGCTCAAAAACGTAAACTCCTGTACCGTACCCTTTTTCCTTATCATAAAAATAGTGATTTCAGTGCAGACTTGTAGATCTATCGGAAGATTCGGAAGGACCTCACTATTATTGCGTAAATTTTTTTTCAATTTTTCCACTTGCCAACTATGCACTTCCCTTACATTTGTTACATTACTTCCATTACATACACAGGACGAAAATAAATACGATCGACGCTGATTGTCGTAAACATAATGCTAGCGATAAAAAAAGGTACTTTTGGACTTGAACTACTTTCATGGTCAACACGGTAGGCTAGACTTTAACTTAAAGTTGTAGGATTAGTAGGATCTTTCAGTATAAACCTAATACAAAAGGAGTCACTTTTATTTTATCACTTTCTATTTAAAGGCTATTAGCTGTTGTTGCGTTCCACTCCATTTTGATACGATGATCGTACTCGTTACCTCCACTGCTATTGATATTATTCACCCTTTATACTATTATTAATCGACAAGAATCATACTGTCACGATTAATGAAGGAATGACTGAGTTAAGATAATGGCGATGATCGTATATATATACATCTTCGTCAATCACCATGAAGGTCGTGTACATCATATGTAGGATGTATTTAAGGATGATCATAATGATGCTGGTGGTTATGACAATAAAGATAAGACACAGTGAATGGCAGCAGACGAACGATATTTCAGAGTAATGCTCTAGCACCGCTGTCGCTGACGTCCATACGTTTTGGAAAAATAGCACTTACCGTAATGACAATTTGTCTTACTACAACAATAATCGGTAAAAGCAATGTGCGTGCGAACATATGTGCAAAGCAAAAGAGCTCTGTCTCGGGATTTTTATGAAGTCGAGTGCTCGTACGAACGAGATTTTTATCGAAAATAATGGTGACGGTGTTTCATTGATTGCTAGAATATAAAAGATTAAATAGGCCGGTTGGCATTTTGATTGTTCAACTGTGCCCAAACCTCTCTCTTCGAGAACGTCCGAAATTCTTATGCAGAAGTGATGGACTATTATAGCAAAAAGAGCTAGGTTATCCATGACAAAAGCAGAAATGTGAGGAGATTCTATGTCAGATCTTGAATATACTTTATGAACAGCCAAGTTTTGCTGCAATACCTCTATTAAAAGGTAGATCCTGTTTCCGTCGAAGTGATGCCTTGTACCTTGACCCTATTAAATTTAAGCTAATATCAGTCTCTGTTCTAGTCTTACATTGCAAAATCCGTTGAAACTTTTTGTCACGCGTAGCCGAATATTAGACAAATATGGCGCTGGAGTTCATGGCGTTCGAGCCAATTAATATTAGCTAGTGGTTCCGAGCCTCGGTGCAAGTCTCAATTTAACTTGAGAGAAGCGATACGAAACTAGCGTAGGGACGAACAACTGGAAGAGATTTATTACAAGTAATTCTATTGATAATTCTACCGATAGAAAATATGAACAGGATAGATATTTCCGAATATACTATTAATATATTATTGACAAAGGTAAATAGCATTATAATAATTATTCTGACGATCTCGATGCTGAGCGATAATGGAGCCTTAACTGACTGACTGAGGTCTATATAACAGAAAGAGGAAACAATATGATTGTGGTAAATTTGTGATGACTACGACGGCTACAGAGAAGAGAAAATAAAACGTAATTTGTGTGGCCCATAGATCCGAACGGACCTCAGTGATCTACTGCCATTTCAAACGTTAGGGAGAAAGAGATAGCGAGAGAGAGAAAGAGAGTGAGAGTAACAATACACCAAAGCAACAAAAGTGACAGCAACAAAAATATAACGATAATAATTATGATCACGACGGTGGTGACGATGAACACAAAAATAACAAATAAAAAACAAAGGAAGACAAGAACACTAGCAGCGATTCGTGTCTTCATTGTACTCATGATATCATATTTGTCAGTATAATGTATAGTACAGAAGAATAGTTAAAAGTAAGATAGTTTTACTTTGTAAAGCAACGTCACAACGGTAAAGTACATATTTGTTATTTTTTAATTCGGAAGGAAATTCAGTGCTTGGCTTCAAGTCAAGAAATTACACTGAACGACTGAGGGAGATAACTAATGGAAATGTTAAGATTGATACAGAACAGAATGAACTTATTTTGTGATTTAATTACCTTGAATAAGCGCACCAGATGACAACACACACGGCCCTCGTGTAGCTTTAATTTCGTCTGTTGAAAACACTAAGAATAAATCAGTCCCGGTTAATAAGAGACATTATAAAAACTATGAAAGATAATGGATTAGACCGCACAATATATTTTTATAAAATTCAAACCTATATTCAGCAAGGCCGTTGCCAGAACAGAGCTAACAGAGTAAAGATATAGAAACCTCTTCATTTAAAACTCACCATTTATTTTCTAAAGGACAACAATATAGAGACACGGTTTCCTTGTATTAATCGAGTTCATCATATATGAATTATATGCAACACCCTCCTGGTATAAATTAAGTGGAAACTTCCGCTGACATTTTTCCATATTGTCTAGACCTATCCTGCAACTCTTCCTGGGTAAACGCTAACGTTCATCATTATTTAGGCATCTAGTCAAAATAGGTTTATCATATAAAGGTAGTTAGTATAAAAAGGCTAACTTAAACCGCCGAAGGCACTGGGCTAGTTTATGACTGAATGACATATTGGCTTGTGATTGTCGGTCTACGTATAGGCATGATCTTGACAGGCGGATGCCGTTTAATTTTTCGTCCGCAGTATCCATCCTTGCGATGCCAAAAGCCACTTCTTGGACGATGACCCAATCGACGAAGTCGATTAGGACTTCCAATTGGGTAAAATGTCGCCATGCGGTCCGCGTTTGACACCTGCCCCACAACGGCCAAGCAATGCTCTGACAGAGCCATCGTACGCGAGCTCGGAAGCTCAACGACAACTCGACCTGACACTTTCCTTTGGATGCGGCCACTCGCGCCAGCAGCTCGGCAGATGTGAGCGCCTGTTCCCGGGAAGTACTCAATGCAGTGTACTTGCGTACCAACAGGCAGAGCTCCAAGTGGGTGCGCGTCCCCAATACGGGCGCGAACAGGCATACGAGGCAACTCACGAGTCGTTCGAAGGATCTAATCAAAAAAATAAACAAGCATGAGACATGACATTTCAACAATGTGGAATAAGTAACTAAATATAGAGGCAAAGTTCTCTTACTTATCGTGCATGTATATGCATTCATTTCACCGCTTCTTGTCAAAGGCGTAGTCTTAGTCGGTTATATAGAAAATAACAAGCTGTAAATTATTAACTCGAGCCTGCATTCGATATCTGCTTCGCAAATTTTTATCAAATTTTGAAAGGCCCGGGTTACCTTTTCTAACTTTCGTTATTTACATTTTCTTCATTCTCTGTTTTTAACACTGTAGAAAGACACGTAAAAAGGAGTTTGTAAGTAACTAATTAGATTCACCACTTGTTGCTAAGAAAGAGCATTGTAATAGATTGTTGAAACATTTATTTACACAGATTTGAAATGAAAGTATGTATTAAATATTAAGTAAACGAGGACAATATTTCATCTTTTATTGTAAAGAAGGAAAGTTGGCCTTGACGCTTACTCATCTATTCAACAATAATACAGCATCGTTTTCGGGAATAGTAAATACGTATCATTCGACGTAATAGGATAAATCTATATTTCCATGTAGCTCACCGTGACAGCTTACCTGCCCCACTTGAATACCCTCAGTGGCTATTATCCAGCGTTTTTTCTCACCATGAGCAACAAGCGCCAGTTTAGCAGTTTGTAAGTCGTCATTTTTAATTTCATAGACTTTTTCCTCGAGAAAGCCTTCTGTCGGACCTGTGCCACAAATGAAGAATCAAGAGTTCAAACGAGTAAGTGCATTAGTTCCAAAATTCTCACATAAAGAAATGCCCAGAAACTATGCACAGCTCCTCCAAGCGGCCCAGGACATTTTGTCATCGTATGCCAATCCAGTTTATAAAATTGTCTCACATATCTCTTTTGTTATCGATCCTTCAAATGCTCCCTTTATCTGCTTACCATCTCGCATGAAATCGACCCAGTGCGCGAATCTCTGGTAGCCACCACCTATCGTACGAACCACAACTCTCCCGGTTTCAGGATCCCGTCCACCTAATTTCTTAAGGCGCACAGGTTCCGTTGTGTACTCCTAAATTAAAACCGATATAAGCCAATAGTGTTTTAATTACTTTAATAATACCGGTTTACTTACAACAAATTATTACAAACGTGTGTTTGTCTCTATCCGCTCGTGTATCCACCTAAAATACTTTAGGTCGTATCATTTAAACTTAATTTTTCCAGGCTGGTGGGATTCCATCTTGGAGTTTGCTGTGCAATTACTTTTTGACTAACTGTTAAGAATTTCGGAATTGTTCATACGGGAGATTGTTTGTTTCCTAAACACTACAAAATAGGGCAGACATTTAGATGCTACACATTTTTGCTCTTAGGTTGCAATGGTGATTTTTGTAGAAGTGATTGAGGATTTGTAATATATGATGATTAGAGAGTTTGAAAACATTTTAGCTGTACTGGGTCAACAAGATCGCTGATACAGAGATGATGGTGTTGTAACCTCAGCTAGAAATCGGGTTAATAAGGATTTAATAGATAAATTGGCGTGAACTGCCTAAAAAAATTATTTTTATAAATGTGGAACAAAACTTAAGTGGTAACGTATTTACTAAACTTTCAAGGCGTGAAATGGTCTAGGTTTGAACGCAGACGTAGACACACTTCATTTTGTGTTATGAACCAGCAGTCTGTAACAATGCTTCTGCAGTGCCGGAAACAAGAATCGAAATATGTATATATCTAGGTACAGTAAAACTTGATCAGGGTTATATTTCAAAGTTGCAAGCCAAAATCATTTGTTTTCTTAATTAGCCGCATACATAAGCAGTATGCAGTGAGTAGCACAACAGAATTATATATATTATGTAGCAGGGCAACTAGCAGGAAACACAGACTGGGTTATATTTAACTAACTCCTGAAATAGGGTAATGAGAAAATTGTACCCAGACAGTCACAGAACCCTCGATCTAAAATAATAAATTCACTGGACCTCGAAAACGAATTATTGTAACCACACGGCTGGTCACCAGACCAAAAGCAATGCGACCATGTCTTAATAAACTGCCAGAGCCAGGGAAATTGCAGAGCAGTAGTTCATGTTAGATTAAATACCACACCAGTCAGATTTGTTAATATCAAAACTGGCTTATAAAATAACTGCAGCAAAGAAGTAAGTATACCAAAAATGGTGGCGTGACAAGTGGCGAAATCGGAATTGTTAAATTAGAGGCAAAATTGGCGCGGAGTAAATCCCGCGGCGTAAATATGATGACGAAAAATTCTGTTTTTATCGATAACTGCCTACCTGTGGCTTGATAAGTCGATACCCGTACTTGTTAGGCTCTGGTCTAACAATACCTTTGACGAGTGGTCTGGGATACCCTCGAATACGTCGTGAAGCTTTCATAGTTTTCGTTCTCACCTATGTATATAACATGCAGAGCAATAAATTTAGCAGTGGTAATTACTCTGATAAAAATGATCTCGGGATTTACTCACGGAACACACTCTATACGACTCGAACGTAGAAAAAAGTGGGAATAAAAAATAAATTGCACACTCCATGTAACGACAGAAATCTATTTTTTATTTGGCCACAACTAACAATTCATTCTAAAAATTCGTTATAGGCATTTCTTACACCACAAAGTGACCATAATAGGCTCAATATTGCATATACATTAATATGATCACCATTTAAAAATATCTCTAGTTGCGCTCAACTCTTGAGTACGTACGTGCCTTCCAGTTCCTTTATGCGCTTATGAAACATACTAACATAATTTCGTTGACAAATATTATTTTCCAAAGAAACCGAAAACTCCACAAACCTGTTTCAAAAGTATTTGGTTATTCATGGGGTAGAGAGGTGTATGAATGGCGGCTACTGCAGGCGCAATTCCAATAGACGGAAATCGGGCCCCAAGGCAAAGACCGCGCATGAGTGCAGTTAGAGCGCCTGCCATGACGGACAACGGGCGTCCGGTTAAGGACTAGCAAATTATATTTGCGATGTTAAACTAGACAGTACGTTTAGTTCCCTATTAGTAACACCACTTTAGCATAACCTCCCTACGAATCCTTAACTATCCTTTCCAAATACTGGTAAAGCTATTGTACATTCGCCTTGACCAACAGCATTTTAAAATGCTTTCAAAAACACTATTCTTGCAACGATAATAGTTAAATCCAGCAAACTGTACTAAGAACTGTTAGAGCCGCGCGTTCTATTTGTTGCACGCGACAACAAAACAACCAGTGATTTGGATGTATGGATTAATGGATGGATGAATCTTAAGCTGTTAATGCATCTTATTAGCCATAATTAGCTGGAGCTAGGAAGATAGACAACCTAATGACTGAATAATCAACAGTTAGTACGATAGCCTACTTTATAAGTCAGTGTAATATCAAAGAAAGCTTGTCAATGATAGACTGAAGTAATGTACTCAGGGGCCTTTACCGCAACAAGTACAAAGAGGTGTCAACCTTTCTGAAAAACTTTTAACATTTTGTTAATTCAGTTGCTAGTTATAATAAAAAAGAAAAAAAAGAAACTACCAACTGGAAATATCAAGTTTCAAAAAAAGAAAAAATGTACAGTCGTTTTTTTAGGTTTTGGGCGAAAACAGAGATCGACACATGTATGTCCACATTTGCCTGTGAGAATGCAGCGACATGCAGAGATTGTCACGAAATTCAAAAGGAAGAATAGGAAATTTCTAAATTATTCAAACGTATATGAAACAAATCCATTTTATGTTGAGGTTGAGGTGGGTGAGACGGCGCACTCCACACGTTTTTCTAGGTAGATATGTCCTCTGGTAGAAGTGATTTTATAACTAAATTAATAAATAACAACTTCAAATAAATATGAGCATTCATACAAACATGTTATTGACATTGTTAGTTTCTAGCTGAAACTAGTAGGTAGAGTAGGTGCATACCTGATATCAGTACTCCGTAAGTTGAAAATTTAGTTGATTTTCATGGAGCGTTGGATAGAATGATACATGCCTCTCATGTTACTGTCAGTCAATCGTGAAATCATGTGTTACTACATGTATTACATGCATCTCTTCACCGTAGATTGTTGGGTGTTCAATTTTAGGCATATAGCAAATCAGCTTTTCTTTGGACTTCGTATCGTCATGAAAACTAAGCGAATTTTTTATTTGTTCGAGCCGTGAGAAAATATGTCATCTTTAATTTCTCTTTGATTATTTTTCCCTCACCTATAAACAAACGTTTTCAATTTAGCCAAAATGGATTATCTAAATGTTAGATAAGGTATGGTCTCTCTATAGGTTGTAAGTTTTTTTATAGTTTAAAAAATAAATTCAACACTAGCTTTGTTATTCCTTGGTTAAGCGTTTATTTTTTGCTAATGGGTCTCCAAAAAAACATTAACATATGGCCATTTCTGGTTTAAAATTCAGTATTAACAAAAGTAAGTTTAAGATATTGTCACCATGCTGTTTCAAAAGTCTGTTGGAAAAAATCCAAGTTTATCCGGCAAGCCCCACAAACCGGTTAGTTAGCAATCGATGGAAGGACACATGCATATAGTATTTCACATCGAGGCTGACACTCCGCAATGTAAGCCTACCCTTGGCGGGCTTCGACGGCACACTGAAGTATACATGGTTTTGCCGTAAGCCTTTTTTGGACGACTTCCATAATAATGCCTTGGAATAGTTCACGTCTGTCAAGATTTAATATACAAGAGATAAAAGCTAAAAATCAGCCGCGAATAACAAAAAACTTGGTTTTTAAATCTTTGTGATCAACGCTCGCGTCCGTGTGAACATTGTTAATAATGCCTCCGAGATTATTCAGTTAGCTTTTACCGCTTGCATAACGACGTTTATCCACCAATCTCATACATGTCCTGTAAGCTTGGTGAGGCCCTTACTTGTCGATATCATGTCATGAATTGACGCAACGACAATTCCCGCCATAAAACTCCTTCCACCGTTGTCGTCTGCTAAGCAGCTTCATGAAGAACCATCCCTGAGTTGTGTTGTTGTTAATATTGTTGTTCTTATAATGGAACTACTGCTTATGATTTTGTTGGTTGCAGGGGGCGATCTATCATCATAAAATTATGTGGATGGTACGCTTGATACGCCCTACCGGGACGCTGCGGGTGACACTGTTCGGTAGCAGACGACATCGTATCGATATCATCATCATCGGTATTTCGTCTCTTCATTGTCATTCCTCTCCTCCCCGCTAATGTCTCGCAGCGCTCCGCCGCTGTGTCTATGTTCTACCATCACCAACTATCGGGACAGACGACAAAGCGGGCTATTGTGTCCTGCATGGATAACAAAGTTTTGAAAAGCCAAGCCGGAACCCACTAACGATGACAACGTACGGCCAGTGTTGGTGTAACGGGGAATGAGGGACGTCTGTTGCCTACAGCGTGAGAGTGGTTAGAGTACTCACTGCTAGTGGTAGCGTGGAGTACCTCATCGAGACATATTTGTTTGTGAGTGGATGTGTTTTGTGTAGAGTGTCTGGCTATTTCTATAAGCGTCAAGCAGGCCGAGTAGGTGCTATCCGTCGTCGCCGGATTTAGCCGCTATTTTGAGTCGAAAAGTGCTAGGACGAGTGGCCGCTGTGCGTAAGTATTGGTTGATTGGGAGTGTTGGTTAGTTGATGATAGAGGGGTGTTTGTCGACAGAGGGTTGTAGTACTGGTGTTGTTTCTTTAACTGCTACAACTGCAGCCGCAGCTCCTCTCGATTGAGTTAATTTGTTCGAACGGCACAAAGAAAACAACGTTCTGTATCGGTGTTCAGCCTGCCGCTGGGTGCTACGGACTGCCGCTGTATTTGTGTTATTAGTGTTTAATTGTGCTCGCAATAGCAGCGGTTTGGTGGTGGTGCCGTCATTCGATGTGTTCGCCGCCCTCCTGCCTACTACATCGATAGCGGCTGTAGCCCCGTAGATGCTGCCGCTGCTGCTACTACTACTCTTACGATATAGCCGTTCGTATCCTGGAAATGTGCCGTGAGTGGTGGTAGTGTAATGCCCGTTTGTGCCGCTGCAAACTTTGGTGGATGGGAATAGCAAATGCTGTCCGCGACGGCGACGTTTACGTCTCGATTTGTCTGTTGTTCTCTCTTGCCGTACTGCCGTTGGTTGTGACTACGTGCCGCTCGATCACAACTTGCGACGAAGCACCGACTAGGTACGTTTTTTCGCAATAAGGAACACAAACGAGTGGGAGTACGTAGAAGCGGGGAAACGGACAGCAGTCTCAGCGGTTGCCACTGTTGCTGCTGTTGTTGTAGTAGTAATAGTAGCGGCAGTAAGCTAGCTAGTGAACGCATGTGTCAGTCGTGTCACCAGACCAGCAGGCTTGCTGCCGACCGCCGGCCGCTCGAAACGACGACGACGACGACGACCAGGCCATCGTCTAGCCGGTGACCAGCGAGCAAACGGGCAAAGAGCCGCTCCAGCAAGAAACGGAGCCTAGCTACACAACAGCTCAGCTCTATCGTTCGGTCATTTTGTTCGTTCGTTCGTTCGTTCGTTCGTTCGTCCGTTCGTTGGACTACGAACTGCTGTAGCTACGGCTGTTCACCACTGCTGCTGCTGCTGCTGCTGCTGCTGCTGCTGCTTCTCATTAGGCCTAGTGTTTATGTATCTGTCTGTTAAGTGTATCGGCTTGTTTCATCATACGTGAGTTGTAATGGAAAGTATTGAAGTTGGTGAAGAATACGTGTGAGGTGTGCAACGACAAACATATCCGCAAGACAGCATAACACGTGAGTGAGTAAGACTAAAAGGCTTGTTTCGTAGACGGAAAATATATAAGGCGACAACGAAACCGTGAGATCATTGGCCAAAAGGAATAGTGTAACCGACGGACAACAGTCAGTGGCTGTGTGTGCCGGATTAGCGACGAACAGAGCCATACATTTGCGAAGGCGTACCTACGACATGCATGTTATATATGTCCAACGAGATGATAGTACACCAGTAAACAAGACGCAGTTCGTCGGCAGTGCTGGTGTAAGCGAAGGCCTGGGTTGGCAAGTGACGTTTTCGGGATAAGAGGCAGACATGTGAATTGGCAGTGCTAGCAGGGTAACTTGTTTACAATGCCCCTTCTTAGCCAAGTAACCTTACAATTGGAAGTTGAACGAGCGGTATTAAGTAGTGAACCTGACGTGATCGACTACTTTTCGAACAGTGTGTCAGTGCTGCAGCACGGTTCTAGTATTAGGGTAAAAGTAGTTCGCCCAGAGATGAAATAACAACATCGTACCCGGCAGTGTTGTTTCCTTGTCAACAAGCTCCATATCTGTCCTGTCTGTCTGTCTGTCTGTCTGTCTGTATATATGTATGTATGTATGTCTGTCTGTCTGTCTGTCTATCACGTCCTATCTGCCTCGCTCGTTTGTTCATTCGAACCAGGTATTAGAGGCCAGTTGTTAGTGAGGTATCGTAGGTGGGCGAGTGCTATAATCCATGTCCTACTGTTGTTACTGTTTTGGACGTTGCTGAGCTGCATTCGGCCAGCTGTATTTACAGCCAGTGACAGTCATGGCTGCTCTATTAAGAGTGCGCAGGTTCATCTGGTTAACTGGTCCCCGGCCTTTAATCTGATTAATTGTAGTGAAAGCCGTGGAACTTGTTTATCTTTCGATCTGACTAAGTATAGAGTGGTGACTGTATCCCATAAACATAACGCTCGTTTGTGTGGTTTATATCAGTAAAAAAACTGAGCCATGACCTCTAACTTATATTGGTTACGGTTTATTATTATTATTATTAAGGAACTGAAAAGAAAGGATTGTTGTTACTATAACTGAGTACGAAATGTTTTAAGCTTTTACATTCAGTACTCGTATTCAAAATTCACACGCCATTGCTGCTATAACCGCTATAATAAAATGCAATATTTTGTACTGTTGCTATTATTGCAAGGAATGGTAATTGTTTGGTGGAGATTCGTACCACTTTTTTTCCAATCATTCATTTAACCATTTTTTTGAGGGAGTTTATTTTTGATTTCTTTTTAGGATCGATATATCAGTGTATAAATGTCAATGTTTGTGCCATATTTGTATCGTTGCTGTCGTCTGTTATCGTTAGCTATTACTTGCTCTTCGAATATCGCTATACATCTTTATCTGTCCGCCTATGATCTCCGCCTATGAATCCGTATTCGTCGTGGCCTACCAAGCGTGGCGTAGTAAATGCTCTATGGGGTTGATGGTGCTGTTGTGTGGTTGATGGTATTATGATGCTGTTGTGTGGTTGATGGTATTATGATGCTGCTGCTGGCTTGTATTGAAGCTAGTAGCATACAGGCCTCGTTGATTATGTCAGCGAAAACAAAAAGCCCCTAATGCTGCTGCGGCCGGCGTTTTCTGTCATTGTTGTTGTTCTGACGACGATGACGGTTGATATACGTTCCTTGACGATTGCAACTTCAACGACTCATATGTGTCGGATCGAAGAACGATGCTGTTTCTGCTGGCGATAATTATTAACATTAGCGCTAGTACAAGTATTTTACGCAATAAAGATCACCTCTGTCTGACAAAATCCCTGACGGCGATTCCGGTTGCAAAAGTCAAAGCAGTAACTGAAAACAGTATTGATTACTGGTCCAGTCTAGTTAAACTTTGCTAGAAGTTGCTCAATTGCAGGAACAGTAACATGGTCGATTGATGCTACTCTTACTGCCGTTCCAGTCGACATCGACTCCGCCGTCGTTGTCATTGTAGGCGGGAGATGACGTTACGCAGCAACAGCACTAGCCGCAGGCGCATGTCGCTGCTGTTGCCGTTTCGGGAACAGCGGACGTCTTCCGCTCTGAATCGGTTCTGCTGTCGGCCTGTGCGTTCTTTCGTTTGTTGGTTTGGCCGCGATGTTCGTGTTCGCTTTCAACGAGACCGTGCTGCTGACGATGACGATCGCTATTGTTGAGCTGGATCACCTCTTGTTCCGTCTCTCCTTCCTACCAGTCTCACTAAGTTGGTTCACTATCGTCTATATCATTAAAGACGACCAGATGCTTCCATCCACCTGCTTATTCGGTATAAGAATATAGCTTAGACCACTGCCGCTCTTTCACTTTATATATACATACATATATGATGCCGTTTAGAACGAGTTAAACCGTTTGATTCTCGTGATTTTTATGTTGTGAGCTCTATTAGTAGGTAAGAATGAGGCATGGCATGGGGTGCCGTCGCGTGTTCTGTGCTCCTATATATAAAAGCATTTGTCTTGGTGGAGGCTTTGGGGTGACCACCACCATTCCGTGGTTAGCTAATGCCGCCTCCTTACGGCGGTGAAGGCGGCAAGCGACTGTAGCTATAGGAGCTATCGAGTGCCATGGTCACTGATCTGCTGGCACTGGTGCTCCATCGGCTTATTCACCACGAGCACCCCCACTGTGAGCTCCATTGGTGACCCTGCTGACTGCAGCAATGACCGTGGTGATGACGGTGCTCCACTTTCTCCTCGTTGTCGTCGTCGCCGACGACAAGGTAAGGTAATGGAACCAAATAGAATCACCATCACCTGAGAAGGGCTTAATAGGGTACCACAACGCCACGTGTATTTCCTTTTTTCGTGTATGTGTGGGGGTGTTAGTCTCTCAGTCGACCTCTCTATTTCCTCTGTGTATTGTCGGTTTATGTGAAACTACTGCTGCTACGGATATGAGCAGACACAGCGCGAGAAAAGCACTTCCTTGGGTGAAGTGATGACAAATGTGATCATACTGTTGTTACTTACGAGGAGAAGCTATGACAAAAAAATTGGCACAAAAATAAAATAAGCATATTTGTTATAAAACTTATGTAAATCTAGACTAATATGCTCTGTCGAAATTAGAACCCTGGTTACACTAAAGCGAATCTAAAGCGAACAGTCTCAAATACAAACGATTAAAATGTTGAGCAAAAACAACAAATAGCCCTTATTCCATCAAGTCGTAATCGATGGACCACGCTGCTCTATACTTGTATTTCTTGTACTTCTATATATATATATATATATAGCTCTGCCGTTTTTATAGATTATAGAAATTGTTGTGTTTCTACTGTAAGTAGAATTTTTTTACCTGTGTGTACTCTATCATAGTTAGTGTTCAATGAAAGGAAGCGCTGAGCATCGATCCTAAATGTGAGATCCTAAGAAGAGAGACAGAATTATTATAGCGTGTTCATAGCACAGAACTATCGAAGGTCAAGGATAAGATTAAAGGCTTCGACACTTCATAGATACACAAATACCCGTTATGCTACGTAGTGGACTGGGAAAAAAGGAAACTCATCTCAGGTTCCGCTACAGAAGGACAACGTAAATCTGAGTTGCGCACAGACAGACTCAGGAGAGAATATCAGAAAAAAAGAAGTTGTTTTAAGCTTTAAGTTAAAGCGGCATTATTCGTTTTAGTCGAAAAATTTTCATCATCAATAGAAAACCTATAAAGCTTCTTAGCTTTCCTTCAAATTAATTAGACCAATGATTAATTACAATGAGACCGTCCTAACGCTGCATCCAACATTACCATTATTTTTTGTTGAGAACAGCTTCTTATCAGTTGTTTCAGCTGCCTGGTTTGCCATTCGCTGCTTTATACTTTGTTATTTGACGCTGTCGCAGCTGGCGCCGTGACGACAGCGCGGCAGCGCGAGGGTATTATTGACTTGCTAGAATCGTTGCTGTCAGCGAACGCCGGGTGGTAAGGGAGACCTATTGTACCAACGATTCATTGGTGCAATTATTTCTTTCAGGCGCTTTCTTACCACAGCAACAACATCAAGTCACTAATGGCCATTTTGGTGGAAGTTTGCCGCCATCAGAAAATGTCAGTTAATGATTAGGGCTTAGATCATTCGAAAATCGAAGAAGGCAACCAGCAATGTTGTCTTTTCATCGTGAAAGAGCAGAAGAAATCGGAGGGCACTTATAAAAATAAAAAGCATATGATACGGTGCGACTTAGGATCTATATGTAGTTGAGAAAATGAAATCTTTTGTCGCCTCATTGCGTAAAATACCAACAGCAGGTAGCACCTTCTATATTATGTGTTTTTAACGCATTCCTATTAAACCTAAACAAAAAGCAAACTGGAGCGAAATATTTTATCATGACTGCATTTTTATATGGAAATTAGCCATATCTATCGAATCATTGTAAAATAATCTGTTATAACATCGTTTGTAAATTTGTACGCTTTTTAGATTTAAAGTTGGACAGTTGTTGGACTAATATTTGCTTTTTTTTGACCATATTAGCTAATAATTCAAGATAACTATATGTAAAGATACAAAAGCTAAATCATGGTTCGTGACCTGAGCGGACGTATTTTAAATTTCTTATTCTTCGAAGCTTCGTTGTTTCAAGCAAGCCAAATCATGCATTTGCTACTAGAGAACCATTTCCCATGAACTTAATCAAAATGTAAATACTTTATTAAGATATTATCAAAAGGTTGTAGTAGGATTCCTTCTTGCCTCGACTAAATCATATATTGCAACAAAAACTGACCTAGTATAGGTCAAGTACATGCATGTCTTACACAGAACTACTGACAAACCAAACATATGCAACTGTCGGTGTCAAAGCGTCTACCGGCCGTTCACAAATAAGACGTCAACGTGCTTTGTATGCTTACCTGGTAAGTGGCGGCTTGGCTTACGGCATCACTAGACTATCGCAATATTTGTGCAGTAAAATAATACCTATTTATATTTTCGTTCCGTGCAGAGACAAATTAGTGAGACTGACATCGACTGCAGCCAGGGATGTTATAATACATCGTACCTTGTGTCTTGCTTGCTGCCAGTTTGATGTTTATCTTTGCATATAACAACTGAAAATTTCCCAGCTGATTCTATAATTGAAATTCGAATTTCGCAGATCGTATGGGACTGCAGGTCACCACAGTTCGTATAGTTTGGAAAATACAAGTACGTCATTACTACTTTTGGTAGCAGCTAAAAGAGAATGCAGCCAAGAGACTAGTCAATTCGAGGATGGACAAACTGTCGCCAGCGTCAGCCAGTGCGCGTAGTAGGTCAAACTTCTGTGTCTGCCATACTATGCTGAGCCGCTTTCAACTTAACAATCCTAGACAACAGCAGCCAGATCTGGTGCATTGACGTTGCACCGAAGAATGAAATGGTAAAGGATGCAAATAGTCTGATGGTACCCATCGTAGAGTTGGGAGCCTTGAACTGATTGATGTTAAAAGAATACAATGGATAAATCTTCGTTTAAATAAGATCACGTTAAACTTGACAGGGGGACGATGTTCCTGAGTACGAATTTACTAACGAGCTCCTGTATTGACTTAACGGAACACTGCGCTATTACGGACCACGCGAGCCCAGGCAACTACTGTACTAAAGTAAAAGTACTGAAGCGCTTTTACTTCGTCCGTGAAATGTGACAGCTCTGTGAGTAGGGTGCCGAACGTGGCTTCCGAGCGTCTACCCCCATTCAAGGAGCCGTGCAATTCCAAGAACGACTGGTTGCAAAGAATGCCGAGGTGCATACGCGCAAGGCTCGACAAGTGGTTTCAGCAAAGGAAAGAGATTCGGTTTAAGCTAACATAACAAGCGCCACAGTGTTCAAAGAGCGGGACGAAAGTAGTATAAGTTATCGGATAACCTGGTTACACCAAACCTTGGCCTGCTCTCAAGTGGGTGTCATTGCAAAACTGGAGGTTTGGCATTTGTAAAGGACTAGCGATTGTCCTAGACCGTATGTCGGGATACATAAGTAGTTATTAATAATAATTCTTAAGTACTCTATTTGTTATTGCCACGTGTGGACGAGGTATGAAGCGAATAAATAGCATTTTGCCGATAGTAGTATATAAGTCAAAAGGTGTAATAAAAAGCGATGTTACAGCGCCCAGCTCACACTTTGCATATCGGTTTTTATTGCATTCGCTAGAGTACTACAAACATGGCAATTGCCCTGCAACAATTGTCTCTCAATTCGTTCTTACCACGGAACCCACGGAATGGGACCCGAGTAGATTTTGTCTGCCACCTGCCTCTTTGTACCTCGGAACCTCGGAATCGAATTGTCTAATTCATTTTTCTTTTCCTTATTCTCTCTTACATTTTCAGCTTGTACGGAGGAAACGCCGCGGGGTAGGGCCGGCACCCCCGCGGAGAACGCTAACGCAGTGCTCGTGAGAGCGTGTCGAGTTTCGAGACATCAGGCGACATTTCACTTGTCACGAGCAAGCGGCGTCCCCTCGAATGCGGACGAACGACAAATCGCATTAGATCATATCATTAATTTTATATGGAGAGCAGTAGTTACATGTACAACATCAATGTCATAATTGAAATTTAGTATCGGAGATTGGCCGTGTTGGTAACGGTTGCCAAAATCATCCATCGAAAAGGTAGACGTAAAGCCACGTAAGGTATATCGACCTCGAATTCTTTCGGACTTCGCCGTCATCTCAGCAAAGCTATATGGTCCTCAAGCATCTTTAAACAGATCAAGGAGCTGGGACTACTAAAGAAGCTCGGCGAAAGCGCAGCATCGGAGTGCGTCGGAGGTGTGCGGTGGTGGCCCAGGCCGATAGGAGTGGTCCGGGATGCAGACAATCAAGTGTGTTGTGGTGGGCGATGGAGCTGTGGGAAAGACCTGTCTGCTCATATCATATACCACCAACAAATTTCCTTCAGAATATGTTCCAACCGTTTTCGACAACTATGCTGTCACTGTTATGATTGGTGGGGAACCATATACGTTAGGCCTGTTTGATACAGCCGGTAAGTATAACATATAAAGAATCCTTTGGTTTATTAATATTGGTAATAATGGCAGAGGCCGAGGGATCGCACGGTTTCGTCGAAACCTGATGGGTAAAAGCACATGTTAGCTAAATTGATCTGTTGGATAGAATCTCGCAAAATTTCTACATATCGCTGAACCCATTTACTGGCGATCTGTTCTCTTCTAGCGAAAACTGGCACAAAACGTCAATAGTGGTTATACTGATATGTTCACTAAAGAAGAAATGCTCCATGATAGATTAGTAGCAACGTGTTTGCGTAGGTATCCTAGGCAGTGGACAGAATCATCCTATTGGGGGCTAGCCATTTGATATAACGGCGGATCCTGACAAAAAGAGGATTTCATTTTGGTAGTTGTAGTCATCCTTAAGGTAATCCTAACTGTACATATATGGGTGTATAGGATGGGTATCGTGCGATGCCAGCTTCATTATGTAATTGTGAAGATATATTTAGTTAGCAAAAATTCAAATTCAAAGACTCATACAAGTAATTTCTACCCTGGGATACCCCTACTTGTCTTTATTTTTGTTCATAACTGCTCTGCGTAAGATCCAAGAAACGCGCCTGCTGATTATTTTACGCAAGATTATGACTCACTAGTAAAATTTGTTTCTCACAAGCTTTCGAATACTATCGTATGAACAAAATGGCTAGAGGCGCAACGATACACAGTTGCCAATATTCCATCACGAATTTTTTGTGCTGACCTTTCCCAAGTAGTTCACACAACGGTTTTTGTATGGTTCCATTTTAAACGAGGATCAGACCATTGACTAAATAAATTCACACCTTAAGAAAGTTGTGACAATGTGTAATAAATGATAAAAGTCACCGCATTTAATAAACGATCTACATTCCGAAGTAGCTATCGGTTAGTGATGCACAGTAATCCTCACAGTTCTACTGTAAATACGCATATGACGATGCAAATTGCCACCTTAACGCCTTACTGGCATTTACTGATTAAGCTATGGCTAGCAACAAGCTGATAATGGGGTCTTTCGTTCATACGAATTTTAGCAGCGAACAAATTCATTATATATTGACTGTTACCCTTAAGGACTTTTTGCTATTCTCGACCAATTTATTTATTCCTTCTCGTTGGAAACTTTCACATCTGGTGTTGTTTAGACTTTATTCACTTAAATATACTGCTACGGATTGAATTAATGTGTGACCGGGTTATTTTTTAAGTGGATTAATTAGTCAGTGAATCTGTCAGCGTGAGGTGTCGAGAATATGATGAATGCAAACGAATTTTCCATTCAGGATCCTGCAGGCCGATTTTAACTATTTTTGCAGCTACACACTGTTTTTGGGAAAAACGTCGCTCGTCTACCGGGCCTTTCATGCCTCGTTCATTCCATGGAATTGGGCTAAATATAAACTTTTGTTGACCATCTTGATCTTCTTGTCAAGCACTTTCAAAGATATAAAATTTCTCTAGCCTTTTGCGATTGAAATTTGACTAAAGTATGCACTTCCGCTACTTATTCTTTTCTCCGCTTTTTGTTGATGTGGAAACACCACTCCCCGTCATTCGTATACTATGTCGAAACCTGTCATCGTGGCTGCTCGTTGTCTGACGAACACAAAAATATTAAAAAGGTTTTACTGCGCTCTTTATTCAGATTATGAGGCTTCCGAACACCTAATTTTTAACTCACCCATAAGTTCAAAATGCCTGCCGACTGTCATATGACTACTGTTTGATTTCTTCGCTAATTCCTTAGTGGGCCATCTTCCTTCAACAATGCATTCAATAGGTCTTCATCAACTTCCAGTAGCCCACTGGAGTGTAATGCTTTTTTTTAACTCGACGCTATCATGAATAAATCTTGCAAACTACTATTAAGCAGTGCTCCTCGAATTAATAGAGTCCACAATGTACGCAGCACACGTATCATAGGCTACTTCGACAGCTTTTTGATGAAATGGGGCGCAATAAATAGATTATGGGTATAAAAAGGATATGTTGGTTTCATTAGAAATTATTGGAGCTTAAACTCTGCGTAAAATTCCATTCACTGAAGGCCGATTTTATAAAGAGACAGAAAAAGCATTTTTGATTGTACGCAGAAACAAAAACGTAAAAAGGAATGGGAATTTAAAGAAAAATCCCGCTTACTTCTTAAAGTTTATGGGTGTATTATCGTTAGAGTAAAGGCAAACAACAGTTATTACACATGTTCAGATATTATGAGACGAAACGAGCAGCTTGTTGTCGCGAAGAAATTCACCTAATTTGTTCAATAATTCCGTAATTAATTATAATAGCATATTCTTTCTCTCTAAAGACTTGATGTTGACTGATGTTACACATTACAGGTCAGGAGGATTACGACCGGCTCCGCCCTCTCTCGTATCCGCAAACAGATGTTTTTCTCGTTTGTTTTTCGGTAGTCAGTCCAAGTTCATACGAAAATGTGCGCGAAAAATGGGTCCCCGAAATCACGCACCATTGCGCCAAAACGCCTTTCCTGCTGGTAAGTAAATTAATTCAAATAGAGTTTACAAGGTGCAATTAATTTAAACTATCACATACCATATTGTTTATGCTTACTTTCATTTTTCGCGTGTCAGTCTTCGTGTGTCGGTGTATTATAATGGTGTTATCACTATTTAATTGAAATCTGACTCTGAAGCAAATATCTAGGTATTCGTATTAATTATGGAATTCTTGCTTCTTATACAAAATTACAGGTGGGCACGCAGATTGATCTACGGGACGACCAAGGCACGCTGGAGAAGTTAGCCAAAAATAAACAGAAGCCTGTGTGCGCTGAACACGGGGATAAACTAGCCAAGGACCTGCGCGCCGTCAAATATGTCGAGTGCTCAGCCCTTACCCAAGTATGCATCCATCGTATTACTTAGTTTTTATGGCCCATCCTTATTAGGCATATTAACAAGTATCTTTAAGATAGTTCGAGAAAGTTGTTTCTGTAACTATGCATACTCATTGTTCTACTTATTATGCAAATAATTACAAACGTCTTCGCTTTCTATTTGTAGCTATTTTTGAATGAACTTTACCATTTATCAGTGAGCTTCGATATATGATACATCACGTGGAAACAACCGTTAAGCACTTTTTCTAATCTTTACGCCTTGTTTTTCTTTGCCAATTTGCAGAAAGGGCTGAAGAATGTATTTGATGAAGCAATTTTGGCGGCACTTGAACCGCCAGAAACGAAGCCTAAACGAAAGTGCGTACTTCTTTGAATAAGACTTATAGATAGGAAGAGCCCTTCTACCCTCTCAGACACAGGGAACTAAGGACGAAAGGAAGACGTGTGTGAAGAATATCGTTCCGCCTCCACAATTTTCACGCCCTCATACATTCACCCAACTCCCCATTGCCCCGTTACGTCTGCTGTAACGAAAACATCCAGCCTCGCCATCCTTGCCTTCGGATGATGAGCACGTTAGCTGTTTGAAAGTACTAGCAACAACAGAAGCCAACATTCAATAGCTTACATGGCAAAACCAATTGCAAGCAACAAACGGCACACAGCCAACAAGTTAGATACGTTTGATTTCGGCCTTAACACATGACCTTTAAGACAAACATAATCGGTGTCTGGAACGTCATATTAAGTAACGCACACACACACACACATGAAGGACAGTTTGGCTGAAATGCTCTCGGTGGAGCGACTGTCACTTCAGTCCATCGAACTATTGCATATGTTTATCGATTACTTGAGTACTACACATGAAACAACGTCTCCATGTAACAACGCCATTCGCGTCGTTACATGGCGCGTTAACCCGTTAAACTGAGCAACAAGTGTGCTGTATCACGGTGCGATGATTTTTCGCGGCAAATAACTTACGTATGTATGACGTGTTATTACGTTATTGGCCGTGCGTAGAGCTGGCAGTAGACTATTACCAAACAAAAAAAATATATATATGCGTGTGTGTAGGATGGTGTGAGGCAGAAGTAAGATAATAACGAGTTAGTTGTTCCTTATTCGTATATAAAGCATGCTATAGAACATCTAGTTACTGCCAAAACAATACCCGAGGTCCTAAGGACGTACATCAGTACGCGTAATCGAAATTTTGGACGTGAAAGTAACCCACCGGCATATTCATCACATTTATATAGCTAGCAAGAATTACCAAATCAATAACAAAAAAGAATAACATGAAAAGGGAACCCTCGACAATAACATGCATAGAATCATAATTGCTATATTGAGAATATTTTTTTTTCATAAGAAGCTAAACAGCATCACGCAGTACTATTACCTAGTTCGAGTGCTTCAGTTGAATTCAGTTTTAGTGATAAGCCTTTGGGAATAACAAGTCAGTGGCGGAAATCGACTCGCCTACGGTTTCATGCGTTTATGGAAGAAAAGAGACGTTGTCTTATGTAAGTACCTATTGCTGTTCGCTAGTAGGTTAAAATGCTGATAGTAGAAGCAGTTTAAAAATGCCTAACACTGATTTGTTGAGACATACTGAAGTAAATATTTGCCGCCGAAATTAGTTGCCGTTATTAGTATTGTTTTTGGTTGTCGTCGACATAATAGCAAAGGTTCTGTTGAGAAAGGCTAATGGCTAAAGCGTTTAGCTCCAGAAAGTCACGAGCACTGGCTGGAACATTTTCTATTTATAAAATTATATTGTCTATCGATTAATAATAAGATTGGAAATAATGGACTGCGCCGCGGAATCTTACCTATTATAGAGATCCGCTATACTAGCATTGTTACTACTACTAATAATAATGATGCTAATGGTATCCTGAGCGTCAGCCTAACCAAAATTAAACCATATAAATAGTGAAGGGACATATATAAAGAGGCTAATTTTTTAAGTATAGTTAGTATCAAGTGTTGTACCCTGTTGACACTGTTGAGTGGTATCATGTTCTAGTTACACAGATAATTATGATGATTATTATATGATTGACGACGATGGCGACGATAATAATAACATCTATCGTTGCTGATAGCTGTCTATGATATTTGGTTAGGCAACAAAAATCGGAAATTATGGTATATGCAGCACGTTGTATTACGATTATTACCATTAATAAGAATAATTAGGTAGTATTAGGTTCTTATTATCATTATGACTTTTTTAATGAGTGACCGCTGGGGGTAGTCGTAAAATAAAAAAAAAAACATAAAACTCAGCCCTTAGTCATCAGATACCATACAAAAAATATTTATTATTGATTGCCAAATCGTAATTTTACGAATTTCGCTTGAACGACGCCTTTTTGAACTGACGACAAGAGATGAACAGCACCACCATCTACAACAATAATCAACATGGTAGGACATGAACTCCTTGTTCTATTACCTTGCGATAAATAACATACGGAGCTTGCTCGTTGACATTTGCATCGATAGAGGCTTTCTGGTATACAGACACACTTATTATGAATTCATGCTAGCGGTAAAACGAAACCTTCGAGTTGTAATATTTTCGAATTTAATATAACGTTCCCCTAATCATTTAGTAGTTTCAGATTATTTAGAGGGCTTGTAAAGGATCTTTCGATGGATGTAACATCAAGAACAAGAGGCATGATTAAGTTTTCGATAGCAATAAGTCAATCATTATTATTATCAAATAGGAACCGTGTGAAGCGCTTGAGTAGAAATTCCTGCAGACAGCAGATGCTGCTAAACTAGAATAAAAGGCAGAAGCCAGTAGAAGCCGATGAAACTCAGTTACAAAAAAGTTGCGAGATTAAATCAGAGTTGAGAATGAAACATTTGGATGGATGGGTCTGCCGCCTTTTCCTATGGTCACTGGCACCAGAACATAGTACATACAACTATTTGTGCATAGTATCGATTGACTGAATGAGGGGAAACTTAAATGGGATGTAAGCAGAGCTTTTTTTGTCTGAAGCTAAAACGAAGAACGAGAGCCACTGTTTGATTATTGGAAGGCTGAACATAAATTACCTAGTCGGCTGAGCGTCAACAGTAACAAATAAGAACACAAATTATAAAGTCCACGGTCTCCCAATTAGATCCCAACCAGCAGAGACACCTGAGTTTATAAGCACGAATGGCATAAGAACAACATACAAATAGTGGGTACGGCGAATGTGAGTGAATAGAATAAAGAAGTTTCAAAACGGAAATAATTATAAGCAACTAATTAATTAAAGAGTCTTTTAATAAATAAAAGTGTTTCCTATTTGCATGATGCATGTCGTGTCTCATCCACAAAAATGTTAAGTCGTACTGTGAAGTGGAATTCTTCTATCAAATGGATTCGGTTACTTTTAATAGGAAATTAGGGAACAGTTTAGCTACCTGGATACGGTGAGTGCCAGAGCAATCCACTCAACAGACAGGCAGATACGAGTGTACGTTATTTCCGTACTAGTACACCGTGTATGACTCTCGCGTACCTCTTTATAACATCATGATTAATAATAAAATAAATAATTATAAATACATTACTTACGTTACGTCAAACTTCAAAGAGGAAAAAAATGTAGTGTGCAAACCTCTGTCGCTCGGCACCATCGGCTATAAAAACGCGTCTCGAGTTCAACGTTCTGTACCTAAGCATTCCTTCAGACAGATGGCTTTTCCAACATTAAGCAATGTGTATTTATCCTTGGCTTCGAATTCGGACCACTACGTGCCCTCAGATCTAACAGGCAAACTCTTTACACCGCACTATCATGAGGGTACCGTTGGCAGCACTGCTACTACCATTTGTACTTGATAATAACGACAGACTGTAACAGCGCTAACAGTAGTTGTACGCTAGCAAAGAATAACTTTAACAGCAGCAGAGAGACAGAACAAATGTAGTAATAACCTAATATATATATATATATATATATATATATATATATATATATATATGTGTGTGCGTGTGCGTGTGTGTTTGTGTGCGAAAAAAAACAACGCGGGCAGGAGAGTACCCAGCAGGTAAAGAATGCTTGTATGATGTCGACGAACTGAAAAAGGATTGATTGGTCGTATTAACAGTGACGCGACTGATCCTGATTACGAATAATGGATTGAACTAGATGATCTAGGAGAATGTGTAATAGCGAAAAATATGTAAACGCAAGACAGGAGAAGTATACAGATGGGCGAAGTGCGAGGGACGTCGGCGCCGACAAGTGGGGGGTCACAGCAGATGCCAACATGGGAAAATCGGGTGAGAACGAAAACATTGCCATTTTCACGAACGGCCAGCGTGTCATGAAAAAAGGCCAATAGGGACCTAAATAGAGTTGATAAGATATAGAAAACCGAACAGCTGCCTAGTAAATGCTTAGAGAGACTTTAACGGCAGTAAAATGGGCAAAGACAGAACTAGTGGAAAAGAGACCGGTAAGAGGGATACAACAAGAGGGGTGCAGCAAATAGGGGCAGGATGGGGACACAAATAGATCACAAATAGATGCGGGAGGTGGATGGTGCCCCATTTGACAGAGACACAAAAACGAAAACAAGCGAAACAGTATGACACTATGCTAAATCACGACGAGCAGTAAACGAAGACCGAAGAAAGTTGAAAAGAACGGAACAAAGATAAATGTATGTGTATTGTTATTAGAATTTTATGGTAAAAACAAGGTGCGATTCAAAGAATGTGGATGACCGAGAGAAGAGCACTGGAATGATGAAAAAGTGATGGTAACAAAATGATGAAAATCACCTTATGATAATAATTATCTTAATAATGAAGATGATGATGAAAAGAGGAAATGAAGCATGGGGTAACAGAGCATAGTACTTTACCCCAAAATGATGATGACGACGTTCGAAAAAGATCAAGGTAATGACATTGATTAAATAAAGATATCGACAATAACGATAATAATAATAATCTAAGACACAATGATGGAATGTCCTCTTTTTATAAGTGATTCAAGTAATGGAGTATAGGAGATGAAAGATAATGCTGATAATAATAAACATTTAAGTACAGCGAAGAAACGAAAGGAACGGGGCCACATGAGAAAAAGAAGACAAAAATCAGAGAATGGCGAAAACTTGACAGTAATAGAACGACAAAATTAAAGATCGTATATATATATATATATATATATATATATATATATATATATATAGAGAGAGAGAGAGAGAGAGAGAGAGAGAGAGAGGTGATCTACAGAAAGGCTGATTATACGAAGTCTGCTACTTTTAAATGAAGGACCTGTAAAGTAAAAAAATAAGACAATAATACTATAAGGCCGACAATAGCAAGCAACAGGCCAAATATCAGCATTCAGTACATTGCCGTACATATTCTACAGCGACAAAGAGAAGCAAAACCGTCAACATCAACCAGCGTAAAAATAATTGAAATACCAGAAATGAAGTGGCCATGATGTTTGACTACTGACAACATTAAAGCAGAAAATCAGCGATGGTAACGAATACAAAAAGTCGGAAAAAGCGATGTATAAAAAGAAAGAAAAACTGACAAAGTTGTCGAAAGACACCGATGGATGAAATGATCGAGTTGTGCTACATTTGGTTTAATATGATAAATAACACGTTTCGCCGACGGGTGAAAAAGACTTTTTTACGTTAGTTAGCGATATTTTAATTCAATAGTTATCTAGTTACGTCATTTTGTCTTTATCCTATAGATATACATATTGAGGTGGACTAGTTTACTTTCGTTGCTGGCTAGAGGAACCGAGCGTCTGACAGCATTTTTGCCCCATGCTTATAGAGATGTAAATGCGCATTTGTTCATACATTTACCTTATAATAATAAATCCATTACAATATATATATATATTATATGTATATTGTAATGGATTTATATACATATACAGAGACAATTTTTTCCAATTTACTAGCTGAAGATTAAAGAGGTGTCGTCTTAATCCACAGAAATTAATTAGTTTCTGTCAGAGAACAGAATTGTGATAACCCCTATTCTGGAAGTGAGTTACGAAATATTCCATTGAATTAAAAGCATGTAAAATATAAAGGCCAATATTATTATCATTAATGATGAATAATAAAATGTTTTCCACATGCTGGGGTAAAATGAGCATAAAAGTTGCTATTTCCACTTTGTTTAAGCGGACGCATTATTTGGCCATTGATTAACAAGTCCTTAATAGTTCAGGTTATAAACATTTGAGCTCCGCTGGTCTGAATGTATATTCATTAGCATGAAATAAAACTCAAGTAACTGTACATTCAAAAACCTGGAGGGCTTTGAAGCTACGTATAAGCCTAGTGTTCGTGCGAGAACGACAAAGTAATTTCTTGTCAAAGAACATAATTATTATTATTATAATTATATCAGTTCTTTTCGTAGAGTATCCAAGGGAACATTTGGTAACCGTTTCCATGGCATTCATATCATGTAAAAAATTGTTACGGGTTAGACTTCCGTCATGTCAGTCCCAAACGGGCCGATGGAATGGCCTTTTTACTGTGCTACCGACCAGTAGCTTCCGTTTAGATTACGTACAAAAACCTATCAGAAGAATTCCAAACTCGCAAACGTAGACCCCTGCTTTAGTGTCGGATATAAAGTCTGCTTAGGGACATCTACTTTTAATACAAATAGGCTTGCGTACGTCAAAAGGTTAAGCATGGAAGCATATAAAAGCACTAGATAAATATAAGAATTCTTAACTTTTGGACCTTTTGTCGTGACTGAGACGGTATAAATAATAAGCGTTTCTTGCATAAAATGTTGGTCCTGAAGGTTTTCATATGGCAGATCCTACAATTAAAAAAGATCATACCAACATAAAAGCAATCACTTTTTTTTCTTGTTTTTCTTACTGCCGACAAATTCATATAGATACAAGCGTATCATCTAAACGTAATAATTATTCGTCCTGCCGATACATCCGTCTTTGCTAATTGGGAGGTTTAGTACGAAGATTAATAATTTATGCGGGACACTGCTAAATATTAAGACGAATACTCGGTCGATATACGTTCATTTACCCTACCAAGCATCATATGGGATGATGATACGAAAAGAATGATTGCCACTCAGTTATATAGACGAGTGCTATATCTTTACAAATCTTCTTCCAGACGATCCCAGTCGTAAGCATCAGAGATGCAAATCGATGAGGCGGTCATGTGCGATATAAAAGAGAATTCCATATTACTCCACGTTAGGGCCGCCGTTGTTTCAGAAGGCTGGTTACCGCTGACGGGATATAGTCGAAGTGGCCCGAATAGCGCTCTCTAAATCGCATAAACAGAACAATAAACGAAATAAAATTTATATAATATCAGTTTCAGTTGTTATTTTTATTCGTTCCACATGTAGATTACAAGCATACAAGGAGACGATTTCAGTGTGCTCTAGGGATCATGCCAACTTACAGGAGCTTAATCTTTCTAGCGAATATCTCGTACATTTTTCACCTGTATCGCTTCTCGAATTTCTGGGTTTAGGTGCTAGCCTTGTAAAACAAATATAAAAAAAAAAAAAATAGCTTAGAAATTCGCATCAAATAAACTGGAAAATATATTTGATCATTGTTTCTGTCGTTCGTATGATTTAGCACAACGATTGTTCAAAACACCGATGCTGTTAAGGGTCTGTGAGAGTCTAGAGTCAACTGAAACTAAGTGGCATAGGATGGGCTCATGGAAAAACCCTTATATTATATTTCATTGCATTTGCGTAAAGGATAGGCTTGGTTTCAAATGCTTTTCACGTTCCAGAAATTGCGGTGATGAAGTAATATTTGTATCCCGGTGTCAAAACGTGATCCTGATGAATGTTGCCGTCCAGAATAAAAGGACCATAACAAAGTTTGCCTCCTGTCTATAATGGATTAATGAAAAAATTAATATAATTACAGATATGGAGAAAATTTTCTATTCCGGAGTCGAGACTGCTGCCTTAAAGTGGCATAGCCTTCTGTTAAGTGGTGACCAACCACTGCGCAATGGTAACACAGATGATAACTTTTCGAGAAATTCAAGCATACCTGACCAATGTACTCGAACTTATGCCCATAAAGGCCATTAAATAATACCGCGGTCTTATAAGTGAGATTCATCGATTCCGTCATGTTGTCAATAAGATTCCCGAAAACGCCAATTACCCGGATGCTCCACTCAAGTTTTTGTACTAGAATCGACAAGGGCGGTAACCGCGCATATTCGAAATAAATATAATAGAAATAGAAAAAAAAACAACTATAAACACATTCAGAAGATATAATTAAATTGCTGGCACCGTATTCTCCAGTCAATCTTTCTTCGTTCAATAGTGTAGTAAAAAGCCAGCAAAAGGGGATTAAATGAGAAAAAAATAGAACACAGCGCTGCATTCGTGCACAGACGTCAGAGTCTTGTCATCGGTACTACTATCGAATTACTAATCACAACCAATATCCCATCAGCAGATATAAAACAAGAACCGCACCTTTCTTTCCGTATCCCGGTTTGGAACCACTAAGTGGAACTCATGTTGAGCTCATGCTCACGAGAGCACTTTAGTCTTCAGCAAACCTCAGTTATGTACAGAATTGTGAACACAAAACAATCGTACGTGTGGTTGTCAAGTTGCGAACCATTATTTCTGGCTATTCACTGTGACACATTTAGCAATCAAACGGTTAATTGATCGTGATATATTCAGTTCTCTTTATATGTTTCGACATTCGGCACATCTGCAGCCGACACTCAAGACCAATGATACCTCACAGACATCAATTACAATGATGCGATTTGTTCGAACCTTTAAATAAACACTTGAGAATATTGGAGAAGTTTTTGAAATTGTAAATGGCTAACTCGGGAAGAAATTGTATTCATTGGAGTTACCAACAGAAGTTACGATACAACTTTCTTGATAGAATGAAGGTACCTTTACCACCTTTTTAGTGTAACAAGCTTTCTAATAAGGGCAAGTATTGGCGTGCATTTCAAACAGTGTACCTTCAGTCTGCTAGGATGTCGTCATGTGGACATCAAATCCAAGTCTGCAAAGTAAGGTGATGATGAACATCTCACATAGCCACAACCGAAGGCTTTCTCTTTGCATTAAAAATGCATAGACCGCTGCTTTTAATACCGGAAACATTTTATACATAATACAATAATATAATGACTTCTATTGCAAATCAGTAATTATTGGGATTATTTTTCATATATGACACAAGGTCGTAAGATATTATTGGTTAACACCTTATATTCAAGATCAAGCAAAAGCAAACTTTGTTTTTCAGCTGATTTTAAACGTTTCAGACATTCGAAAGAGACTAATTACTATTACAAAAATAATTTATTCTTTTAGCTTCTTTTCTCGTTTGAACATCAGATGGATCTGTTAACGAACAAATGAGGCATACGTAAAGGTGGTCCGTCGATAAATCCATCTTCATGCTCCTGTTAGTTGTTTTGAATCGTTCGTCTTCCGCCCATGTTATATAATTCCAAAATGGTGTAATACGATAAAGCGAGGTTTGGACAGAATTTATATTTATTGTCTATCAAAGGTCGCCCAGGCCATGAAAGCCACATGAGACATCCCGCAGCCTGTCATAGAACAAGACCAGCCTTATGTTGGCCTTTTTCTCCACAGACACTTTCTGTCGATTACCCGACCCTGTTGAATGACATGAGTCGAGCCCCGTCTTCATGCGCCATTCTATTGCTCTAAATAAAAAGCTCTTAGTGAAACAGCCCATTTCAATATGACGAAATTTTTCAATACAAGTCGTACAGGGTTTAGGTACCTATTCTATGTCTGTTGTGTATCATGTTGTTACAAAACATTGTCGTCTCTGGTACCAGTTTTATAGAAAAAAAATTTTTCCCTCAAACAAGCATATGCATATGTTCAAGCGATTGGCAATGACGCTTCTAAATGTGCGCATGACCTGGCTTCCTGCTTGTAAAATCTTTCCTACTGTGCAAAGGTGATTCAAGGTAGTGTCGACTGATATACAAGGTACTGTGGGCTCGTAAAACTGATTACGCCGCTGTTTATCATCGTCTGCTTCTCGCGGCCGTCCGGAACATTGCTCGTGATTCACATCGATATCGATTTCTGCACCTATAAATGGCGGAAACAAAATTTAGCAAACGTTGCCATTTTTTCTAACTTGACACACACGATACAATTCTCGTTTTCACTGCTGCACTTATGCAATATTCAATTCGCGGTTTTTCTATCTCATGTTTTGTTAGCACAGAAAACTGGCATCAGCGAGTCTGGCCAAAATGTGAACATTGGAAAAGACCCAGATTCACCTAGAGGTAAAGCATATTAATCCTCAAAACGAACTACTAGACGACCGAATGCCAGACGAATGGCAGAACGAATGAAACGTGGTGTCCAACATGAAATTATGGTTACAAATAAAGAGAGAGAATTTAACTTTTTATCTAATTCAGTTTTTGGACTTCTTCAAAGCTATCTACATTTGTAGGGCCCCATTAGACTCCTGCGTGCTATAGCTGAAAGCTTCAAAGTAACCTCCCATCACACCCGTGCCTACTGCGATGCGTTGAAGCATACATGACGTCGTAGAGCCTTATTATGGCTAGACAACGATACTCTTATAATCTTAAAAAAATTTGAAATCAATCGAGTAAATAAAATGTGCAGCTAGCAAAATTTCAAGGGTTCTGAAAGTACTTTCTGACCGTAATACAGTGTAATACACATTTGCCCTTAAGGTAATTATTGCTACTAATGATGCAAGGTTAACTAACGATAAATGCCACTGTAAAAAAATAATTGCAGTTATCGGTTCAGCGAGTGCAAGTTCAGGTGGACGTACACAGATCTTACTATAAATGATAGTTCTATTATGTTTAATACGATTCAGAAATTATAGAGTAGTTCCAAGCATAAATATTTACAATAAATGGTATCTTCCCCGCTAGTTTCACAGTATCACGACGGCCATACGTCGCTTTGAAGGCCGCTCTATTAATATATTTCAGCATCTTCAATGTCTTGTGATTTTTGACTTGGTAAATAAACTCCACGCGACAAAATACGAACATCTGCAGAGGAAAGGTTCACTGAAAATTTCAGTTACAGAATATTGTATTACGAAACCTATTTTCCGATTTAATCGTCACTGCTGTTCAAAGTTCCAGATACGGTAATGTCGAACATTTTCTAAATTGTGATTTATTTCGCTATGTAGTTTCGTGCTTATACTTTTTTTTCTTCATTTTTGGAATTAGCGTTTCCTAACCGCCTCGGCGGCAACGTGTCTTGAAATAGCGTTTGATGGACATCGAAACATACACACGTTAGCTCGTGTACATGCGAAAACGAATGCTAGAGTATCATCTCCGGAATCATTTGGTATTTATTCACTTCACCACGATTTCGATTGACGTTCAACTACTAGATCTCGATTTGGGGTTGCGTCAAAACTAAATGCAAATTACAACGATAGTATCGTACAGGATGACGCTCTGAAGACAAAAGGGAATTGACTCCGCACACATTAGTTGTACACTCGATTCGGGTAAGCTGGCGAGCTTCTGCAGCTCAAGATAAGTTCTGATAGCTTTTGTCAAGTACATAGAATCCATTTGCATGAGATCAGCCATCTGGCAAACGCTAGGCAGCAAAGTGATAGCCACGGCTTTCAATAGGTGTGCCCCACTTATTAGAAGAAGGAGAGAACTGGGCGGCAGCGTCAACGGCTCTGTGTGGGGTAGTTATCCAAGCTTGGCTCAGTAGCAGTATTCAAAACGACTATTAAATATATCTTTAAAGAGTAATGATGTTGGATAATACTGTACGTTCCGTAGGAATTATAAAAACGTGTGAAAATGAGTGTGCCGTTTTATGTATCTCTGCGTGATCAAGTTCGTCAATAGAAAATAGACAGCGAATAGAGTTGATTTGAAGTAATTTTGCATCATTTGTCTTCTTAACCTAGTCCTAGGCAGTGCACAGAGGTGTTCGGTGAACACAAAGCATACGTGGTCGTTAGATATGGCGTTGATTTCATGATGCTCAAACCACGCTTGTCAATGTTTCTTTTCAATGTAATAGAAGGAAGGGACGAAGACAAAATAAGGGTGTGAAGATTAACGCAGCCAATTTTGAAAATGGTTGAGGGTTTCTATGTACAGAACGAATTAATAAATCATCTATAAAAAAAAAAAAAGGCAATTGTTTAATGTAAAGGAAGAAATAGGTATAATTTTCCACGACTAGAATTGAGGATAGAGACATTGTTGGGTTTTCCATAGCTATGAAAAGTTAACGATGCTTCCCATTGTGTTGCATTTTTCTATGTGTCCAAATCATTCCATGAAGGTAATCATATGTTTGTTTTTATATTGTTTTGATAAAATTGCCTTAGTACTAATTGCTGACTTTGATTGATATGTTTGAAGGCGTTTTACAGCAGAGTAGTTAAAAAGTCTAATGTTCATTTTCAAAGCTTTTACTGAGTACATACATATGCCATAATAGCTTCGAGTCTTAATATACCTGTAGTATTTTTTTATCTATTTATACTTATTTACAAATAATATCTATTATAGAGATAACATAACTTGACAATCAGTTGTTGGATAGTTGATTGTCAAATATAGAGAACTGAACGCTTTTCCAAGCATTGGAAGCTTGTTCATTATTCGGTATAATGTACTCTTGTACCGTTGCGGACCATGTCTTCCTTTGCATGTTTTCTGTCTTCATGAATTAGTAGTGTATCACATTCATGCTCTTTAAAGGGTTCGGTTCTTCGCATAGCGTTTTATCGCAGTTTATTAAGTATAATAGGCCAATAGCAGTATTATTTCCTCCGTAGCACTCTTCGGATAGAAAAATTGATACTTTATTTCGTTTATGTAAACAGCTGTGGCACCATTTTTTCGTATATAGATTTTTACTATCATTTAACATAAACTGACCGATGAGACATAACGCCGTTATTTGCCTGTCCGATGACAGCACTCCGTCTTGTAACTTCGTCCCAAGAAAACAGACATGGTCCTAATTGAAGGTGTGACCTAAGGACAGAAGTGTTTTGCTATTAGATCGAGTGCATCGTTCTCACAGCGAGGCTATCGATGATGTGAATGATGTAGCTCGGTCTCGACCCCAACGCATATCCAGTTCTTCGTCTACGCTAAACTCCTGAAACCGATTGAAGCAGGAAGTCCTTATGGATATTACTTAAAAATTAGGTTTCGTTGTATTTTTAAAAAAGACCTTTTTTCACAAATTTATTATCATATTTTAAAAGACTTAAGGTTTACGTATCAAGTGAAGGCAGTCATATAACGAAGGCGGTCACGCTCGCTTCAGACATGTTTCGCCAGGTCGACCAAATTTTCGCTTCTGAGATAATGGCGCCTAAAGAACTGAAAATAATAAACTTTACTTGGTACTTAGGTAAAGGTTCTCTTTTTGCTAGCCCTAGCTAGGCGTATTCTCCACATATATACTCCCAGCTTGGCATTGGTAGCATTTCTACTATAGTAAGAGACATCTTTATTTTCCCCGTCAGGCCTCTAACAGCCTGATTGAGTCTCTAGTCGTGTCCATCATTTTTCCTGTGCCACAAGCTCATACCCTCTGTATCGTAGTGACTTCTGCCTTCAGTTGCGCATAGGTTGCTTTTTCTCTTTCACATGTTTAACCTTTATCCCATTTCAGCTTTGCACATCAACTCCTTGCTGTGAAGACTGTTTCTCTTCGACAGAAAGAGACCCTCGTAGAAACGTTCTTTACGCGGAAGTCAACATCAGCATGCACGACTTATCCAACACTTTCTTTGCGATACCAGCCACCATCATAAGCAGTGGTGCTTGGTTTGGATCAATACCTCCAGGTCTGCTATAGTAATGGGTCCATGGTCTCTTAACGAATACGATTTAAGTCTTAAGGCCAACTTTTTGAACATCAAAACATGAAAATAAAGTTTTTTCTTGTCATAGAATTCTTTGTCGGCAAAAATAACTGAAAATCTTACTTGAATCGGTTGCCACGAACCAAATGCATATATCTTAGCCACTAAAAGGCTAGTTCTGCGGGTGGGTCCCAAAATGCCTTCTCAGAAGGCTTGTATCGGGCTGACCCTTTTGTAGGTCGCTAGAGTTTTCTGTTTAGAAGTTCCACGCGGAAGACGGAGCCGAGTAAGTAAATGCTTTTGCCTCTAGGAGACAACATTTGGCTTTGCCCTTAAAGCATAATGTAATTTGGTCGGTCATAAGCTAAGGCCGGCAACTTATTTCGCATTTTCCACATTTGAAAACCACGCCGCATCAGCCTTTGAACACAACAAGCCGGCTACAAGTGCCTTGTGCCCTAATTATCAAAACGCGCAAGTGTATGTTCCTATGAAAATTGTGTTACGTAAACGAGTGCCGTAGTCTGTATTGTATGACGAACCGTCCCGAGAAACGTGATGACAGTCGCCACCATTATGGTGGAGGCCACGTGGTCACAATGTAGAAATTTAAACAAATCGCTTAGAGTTAGATAGCCAAGCCAACCGTAGTATCTATTTTTGTGAAGTTTATTATCACTTATATCACATTTGAATAGATGTGATATCGGTGACAGAAGATATGATGCTTTTCAGAGACGTCTTATCCTCCTATACGACCCTTATATGGCTATGTTCAAAATGTCTTTTTCGAACTTTACCAACTCTCAGAACTCATCCGGTGTACGTGTCGAGCAGTTAAACCGATGCGGAACATGTCCGTTCATTAATATGAAGCATTTATGCAGTATGAGTGATTAGTATTGCAGACGGATAGACAAAGAAGTGGCGGCTGTGCTTGGACTAGATCGACATATTTGACACACCTTAGCGTTCACGAATTTTGGATGTTTTCATCAAAAGTAACAGTGCAATATGCCCCTGTCATACCCATTGGTCGAGTTGAAGGGCATTCGGCGACTCCTCATTGTCAAACCACAGTGCGATGATATAAAGTATTGCGCACACAAGCAATACAGCTGCCATTAAATACATAATGGGATCAAACGAACCGATCGTATACTGGAAATAACCTGCAAACAAATATACAGTGAAGTTCGTAACGCCTCATGGTAAGTAGTTCGCCCCCATCAGCGCGATTTCTTTCAGGCAACTTAAACTAAATGAATGTGTCAGGGGCCGACAAATCATATCTATTTTAATTATTAATCCATTTGTTGTGCTACATATTTGTCCGTCAGAGTAGTTTGTTATTAGTTTCTTTTATACTATGATTCGTTAATAGTTGTTCGGTTCAGCCTTCGCCCAATCGTTATGGTCTCTGTAGCATCTAGTAATTGGTTCGAGTCCGTCATCCGACAATTTAGTTATTTAAACGAGTGGCCATTTTCTATCTAATTCTAGCAATAATATTGTTCAGTGTATGATTGGTTAATTCAGTCATCTGTATTTATTTATTAAGTGTGTATATGAGAAGAGCGATCGACGGCTGAACGAGAGTATGAATTTAGTTGTTATGGTAGAGCCTATGAAATAGTGTTAAAGTGAAGACTTTTCAGGAAGAGTTGTTTTGTTGTCAGCTGTGTGAATGGCATCGAATATGCGCAAATAAGGATCAATAATAGTATGCGGGACGATTATCTTCTTGTGCAATATTCACCCGTCTTCATTGTTGCTCAGTTATGTACTCTGCCTGCCCTGTGTAACCTCCCAACAGTTTTTTTGAATTGGATTTTAGCAGGAGTGAGTGTATATATTATTACACTATAGTGAAGCATTCATTTTTCGATTTTGCTTCATTTCTGTCGTCCTTTTAATTTTATGACTATTTATTTAAATAGAAGGTTCCTGCATTTTTACTCGTATCGTTCTAAACAGAGTTCTCATTTGCCAAATTAGTCACAGTAATTTACTCGAATACCTTATTTGGATCTATTAGCTTTGTTTTTTTTTATTAGAATAACAATAACCTTAACAACAAATGCATAGGACAGCATAGCAGTGACTCAAATACGTTTCAAATGGTAGTAATATACAAAGAAAAATATGAAAATGGCCGATAAAATAATTGAGCTACACTTCCTCGTTTAAGTTTGGGGTTAAGTATCTGCCCTCAATGCATGATAACCCTCTATATTATTGTACGTACACAAATACAGGGATAGGATGGCTAGAGTCGCCTAGATTCTTGACACCGATGATAAACCCGTGCGCAAAAAAGGGTAATAATTATGATATTTTAAGTTATGGTAACAATAAAAGCCGTGTTACTTGTCAAAGCGCGAACGGATCAAATAAGGCAAAGGAAGCACCAGATTTTTCACCTTCAACATATTCTTCGATTCACTTTTTTCCTAACGGTTGTTCGCTCCGTAGTTGATTTACGAATATTAAAATCTTTTCTATAATTCAATGAAGAATACCTATATCTATAGGTAATACGATTTGTATACATGCATTGGAGCTCTTCTTAACTCCTAGAAATAAATGCAAGTCCAAGGACGAACCAATCATTGGCGGACGAGTAAGGGCCAATATGCCTCCGAAAAAGAAATACCATCCAGATGACAGGGCAAGAAGCTTAAAGCCAAGCCGGTTCCTTGTAATACCTGAAAGTAATTGTTTTTCGCTTAACGGCTCTTGGCTCAGTGAAATATATATATATATATATATATATATATATATATATATAGTAGTATTGTTATGCAGCGATGAAAGGGTGCAACAGCATTGAATAGCTACTTACTAGTAAACAAAATCACGGACGACCCAAGTAGCCATCCAATAAGCGTGACCAGGAAGCACAAGGTTATTGGATGAGAAAATGTTCCCAGCCCAATAAGGCCGACAGATAGCAATGTGTAGTTAATCAACATCAGATGTTCTCGACTTATAAATTCTGCAAACACAAGAAGCCATGGGTGTTATGTATATTCCATTGAGATGACCCATTTAACGTAGAGCTCATTGGTTTTTTTACGGGTGTCACACCAGATATGTGACGCGTTTCCGCGTAGTGCTGCAGTTGTAACGTGCTTGTTTACAAAGCTTACACACCTATGAGGCGATTTGGGTTAGGAATCCGAGCGTAGACATGCTTCCCTCTTTCTTTCAGTAAAAGTCAGCAATACGCAAAGTAACGATGAAAATGTATGGTTACTATGATCTTGGCTCCTGCCAAACCCGTTCAGATTGTTCGTATTAATAAGTATTTTCAGAAATCTCACATAATCGTACCGAACTCGTAGAGGAAGGAGCAGCTGAGAGTCGATTACAGAAAACATATTCTGATGGCCTTCCATCTACGTTCCAAATTTTATGTCCGGCATCGCTGTGACATTGCGTTAGACGGTTGGCATGAAAAGAAGTGCGTCTATGCTCGAATTCGAACCGAACTCATGTGTACCTAAGATTAGCAGGCAAATACGTTACCCACTAAGCTGTCACGGGGAAATCTTTAACGGCCTGACTGACACTAACCAAGCCTTAAATGCGTACGTAATCTTTAAATAGGAATAGTCAACAGCTTCAGTATGAATGTTTCTAAAACTTTACTGTACCTTTATCAGTTATCCAACCAGAACAAATTCTGCCCAAGAGATCTCCGAAAGCAAGCAATGCGACGAGGCGCCCAGCAACATCTGACGTTACTTTCTTATCGCGTGCCAAAGCCACGATGAGGTTGAGGAGAGTCGTGTTAACGAAAATAAACCCCACGGTTACTGCCAACAAGGCATAAAACCTTTACAAAGAGTTTTAAAAATAAGGTGAATCTTAGTGTTAACTGTAACGGTGCCTAGTTGGACGATATCACAAAACCTAGTCTTAGATCTTGAGGAACGTTGTCACAGTCAGTGTATAGATGTGTTCGAAACATATATAGGTGCGTATCTTTCATTAAGGTACTCGTCATTCCTTATCAAGGTTTTGTAGATTATAAAACAGATGAAAAATTTTACAGCAAGCAGCGTAAATAACCATCTAAGCCGTAAGAGCGTAAAGGTGTCTGGAGGCTTGCCAGAGCGTTCGGAGTTCCTTTTTCGACCAGTTCTCTCGACCATGTACGACAATACAGCATCGCCAGCTTCAGCGATCCGCGGCGTGTCACGGCAAACCTTCCATTGAGAAAACAAACACCTGTTTAAATTTTTTTACACAGGCGTATGAGGGACGTTACGATAAAGTCAATTTACCCTAAGGTGAAATCGGGGCCATCATATATATTTCTTCATTCATTTTTCTATTTAATGTATGCACTCCTACTACTTCTTAACTTATTATTTCGCTGTTGTAGAAGCCTAGCCTACGAGCGTCAAGTGTTGAAGGGTTGACATCATGTTGAAATTTGCACAATTTCGTTATAAAGAAATTGCCGAGCTTTTGGAAAAAGGCTAATCTATGGGTGACTCTCTGCGATTAGCGTAGAAGATTCACTTTCATCACACTTCACAGCCCGATGCAGGAATGGGTCGTTGTCATAACGTGAGAGCCAAAAGAAGCTAGCGTCTCTACAAATCATTTGTCATTAATTCGATTTAGGCAAACAGATATAGTAACTTTACGTGGACCAAATCTGACTACTAAAAACTATAACACTGAAGCTGTTCGGATCCCGCCACAGCTCTGAGTACCCTATTATTGATCTGCGAGGATCTATCTATACTGCTGTAGTTCCAAGATGAAGCGCAGTTTGTAAACGTGTCGAATTTTCAGATTTTACATGGCTTGCTGCTATTCGCCTGCTGAAAGCCTGAGTCGAGTGAACACTCTTGTTTCTCTGAAAGAGCATACCTTAAGGATAAAGAAAGGTTCTATGAAATGTCGAGCCGCTGTTCACTACGCTATTTTGAAGTAGCAAATCCTTTTCACACACGTCACACTGACCGATAAATATAATACAACATACATAAACAGTATGGCGTGTTTAAATTAGGGATTTCTTATGCGTCGTTTGTAACAAAAACATATCTCGACATATTTTTTTGCCTTTGATAGTCATGTTCACCATGCACTCAGACTACAGCTTCAATTTAGGACGTAAATGCTAACTAGTAATTTTCAAAACATTCTTTTATTGACGAATAGCTTTTGTACCAGTGTCCGTGCATAAGCTTTTGAAGTGTCACTTATGTACGTTACATAAAAGTGTCCCAACGAAATTAAATTTCGAGCTGATAACAGGCCAAAGGTCCCAAAAATGAAAGGACTGAAACGGTCAGAACTTGCGCAAAGGCTCAAAAAAGCTAAGCGTTAAGGATTATCTGACCAATAAAATTAGCAATATACAAAACAACACATTTCTGTATCAAGAACCTAAGTGTACTAAAAATAATTTTTTGGGCCATTCTTATAAATGTTCGTATCCTTTAAATTTATTTAGGATTTTCCAGTTCGCTCCATAAAAGCCTTTCCAGAATTCGCGTGGAAACCGTCGATTTCGGGCTAAAAAATTTCAGTGTAGATTTATCAAAAACAGAAGGACTAGGTAAAAGCGAATTTTGACTTGAACGCTAAACACGATGCATTGTTGTTGGCCATGACAAGTGCGTTGGTTTGTCTACCTGCTGCCAAAAGTAGCTGATAAACATGCCGGCTACGACAAACCGCTCGTCAGAATTTTCCAAAACTTTAACATAATAGTATACAACATAATAGTATATAACATAGTAATATAATGTATTCAACCTATCACAGTAGAAAAGAAGACTGTGGGCTATATACGGTAAGTCTGGGAAATCGTGATTAGCTTGGCGGCAAACCATTTAGCCGATGTGACGCAAATTTGGTATGCGGTAATGTGGGCATGTGCAAGATGTGCAATTAAACGGAAAATGAAAATTTGAAAGCGAGTAGGTACCTTATTTCTTCTAAGTTGTCTCAAAACCATTTTTGGTACTTTCTTCTTGGTGTGGTAGTCTGTGTAACCGGTTCGCCCAGCCGATGTCTTACTAGATGTAAGTGCTGTAAACGATGCACTCTGTAATGACGAGGCCGTAAACGTAACGTAAATATTAATAAATGGGAAATAACTTAATTTCGATAGATATAAACGCATAACGATCCTATCAGTGACTTTTCAGCATTAAAAGGCGACGATATAGAATCGTTAGTTAAAAAACAGCATCCGAACAGCGTCGTATATATATAAGCGGTTTTGTCGCTGCCGCTTCATAAGGACAAGGTTTTGATCACTAATATATACATATTTATAAAGCTGCTTTCGTTGCAACCATTCGTAGCGCTAGTGATGCCACGTAACGGTTTATGTGGTCGCTCTCGTCGAAGCAAAGGACGACGGAAGGAGAACTTGGTTACGAACAACTAGTTTTGGAGGAAGGAGCTTTAACAGAGGAGAAAAATCACAAAAATGTTTTACGAGAAGCCAACGAGCTAGATGCAAACCATAAATGCTACAGGACAAAAAAGCGCCGTATCTTTATGATAACACAGGATGGGGAAGCACAAGGGCTGTGGCTTGTTCGTGAAATTCTTTTTTTCGGTTCTCGGCCTCGGAGTACCTCACAGCTTCCGACTATTGAGCTTCTTGGAAGACTGCTACAGCTACGCTCGGCTTAATAGCCCGCTCTCCGCATGTGTGTTTTGGCTAGCAATGGTAGCATTTTTCTTCTCTTAACGGATACACATTCGATGTTATATAGAGCAGCAGCGTCGACCATCTGGCTCATTCGTATAAGCAGAAGTGTAAGCAATATTAAAGCATTGATTGTGCTCTAGGCTTAAATGACCCACGGCATTTGCGCGATGCGTTCAGACCGACGTGACAGGCATACGTACATGAGATTGTCTCTCTGATGCGTTAAAGACAGAAGGCGCATTTCATTGCGGTAAATCGGTTGCGAAATGCCGCTATCTTGCTAAAATCCAGTCCACTATGCATTACGCACTGACGACATAAAAAACAAAGGTTTCATACCAAGATGGAGTGCCTGGCGTTATGTCGTAAAACATAGGCCAAATAACGAAGAAGCTATCTCTAAAACTAAAGACAAAAAAAAATGTAAGGGTCGTAATTTAGGTAATTTGCTCAAGCTAGACAGATAATGCCCTGTGAACTCAGACACCTTGGTCTGAAGTTTCACTGACATGTTTGTTTTGGGTCATGATCTCTATGAGACTGCCATCGCCTCCCTCAACCTAGGACGAAGCAACGACGATACAGTACCGCTTACTAAAGCAGGACTTCATGATTCAGGATGTCCTTCTGACTTTTGAAGCGCAACACTGAGAGCTCTTAAATCGGACGCTGTTTGAAGTGAACATCTTAAAGACGGCCTTGTTTTAACGCCCTGTTTTCTGTTGGTGTGTGACGAATGTATGCGTTCTGGACAGGTGCCACCCTTTTAGTTGTTTCGAAAATAAAGAAAGGCCCAATGCGATCCTCTTTGTGGCTAAGAAATCCAAAGAACAGCGTCTGCTGCAGGCTGCTATTTTACCCGAAAAGTCAAGGAGCTGGGCACCTTTTTAAAGAAACGAACACCATTTCTAAAAGGCAACAAGAGTTCAAAAAGTGGCGTTCCTAAGCAACGGCGTCTGGATTCGTGTAGGACGGGAATCGAAGATTACAGATTGAGGAATAGCATTTATATGCTGTGTTCATTGGCCTTAAGGTTGCCTTCGATATCGTACTAAGATATATAGCCTTAGTTTTTCTAACGGCTGTAGAAGTTCCCTTTAATATAGAGAGCCTACAAGTGGCAGTCATTTACGACGGAGTAGCAAAGCTCGCTGCCGTCTCAGCGATTACAGACATCTCACAAAGTGGCAACCTGAGGCTTCCCCTATGCTCGGCTTTGCTCAAGGTTCTCCCTGAAAGAATTCTGGACTACAAAAATCTCGTGTTGGTGTTCCAATACGCAAGCGTTGTGGGAGCTTAGTAAGTGTTACCAATCTAGGGCTGACAGCCAATCTTGCCAAGACGGAGGAGATTAGATTTACGCAGAAGGGGTAAAGTTGTTAAAAGTAACACTTTTTACCTAACAGGTGCTCCTGATTTACGTCGATAAGTTCCCTTACCTATGATTGTTCATCTCCTTCCATGCCAAATAAAGGTACATAAAGGCCGTGTCGAATACGGCACCTTTAAAACACCTACCGACCTACCTAACAGCCGCGACCCATTTATGTGACTCCAAGAATAGATCCCGTAGCAGCGTATGAATAGATATCATACGGAATCGTGCCAAGGTGTCCGATTAGTTAAATTCAGTAAAAGCATATAACCTAAAGCAGGTAATGGAGTTTTTAGTGCGCAAGATCAGCTTGCTTCCCTTGTTGCAAGTACTTTTTTATTCTAAGAAGATCCAAAGTGCCGACCTAGACTGCCGAAGATAATTACGAAAAAAAATTTAGGAAAGATAAGTTTGTGGAAACAGAGGCCGAACCAGTATCGGACCAAGGAATAAGTCTACGCGGAAACATCTGCACAGAGTGAGCCCACATACTTTCCATCAGGCCGCTTAGTTCCTCAATGTATCTTCGCTGGACAGCTTGACCGACCAGTAACAACCACTGCATACCCGAATGACTTGATGACCTTAAGACATTAAGTTATATTATACTTTAGGTAAGTCTCCAGTTCTTTTATGCAGTTCCTTTTAAAAAAAATAAGCATATATCTTCGTCTGTCTGAAATCACTCTAATGATAACAAAATGTCTCTGAACCTTTACGTGGGAAACAACAATGTATGATAGAAGGTATACCGAAACAATTCTTAGAATGATTATGTTAGAAATGTTCGTCGAGAATCCATTTTCCTCCTATATTGTCATTGTTCGAAAAACAAAATGCTCGCATTCGTTCCCAACTCTAAGATGCTGATCTTAAGAATCATTATGTTGAACTCAATTTGAACTTGAAAACTTGAAAAAGCGCATAGTTTTCGTACCGAATAAACCAACGATATCTATATTATCTATAACGTGCTATACTAAAAGCGTGTGCTAATATGATGGTCTGCCTGTTCGATTCAAAATCGACATTTTAAAGTGGTCGCGGAGTCTGATTGTTGGTGATTCGCTAGAACTTCATCGTAAATTAGCCCTAAATCCAATGTTTTAAGTATTTTAAGCATCTTGAAAAATTAATTTCATTTCAGTGTAAATATTTGGTAAGTTCTCAGCGGTTGTGGATGGAATTGGCACATAAGCACGGGGTGAAGCTCGCAGTAGACGCTCTAATCTAACGAAAGCTGTGGATATGGAAACTACAGATTGGATAATAGATCTACGGACAGTGTGTGAACCTGACAAAAGTCCGTCTCCCTATTAGGGTCATGGGTTCGCGAAGGAATGGCCAACAACTGGGTCAAAAGGATATCTGTTATGAAGAAAGACAACGGAACCCACTTCCAGTTGTATTTAGGTGAAATCTGTATAAAAGTTTCTAATAAAAATGAATTTGCGTGACTACATTCAGTCATTGCTTGTTTACATCATTTTGAAGTTGTTCGCGATCAAATGGCCGCCCTGCTATCATGAGATCGCTCCTACCTTGCCACAAATCTTCTATAGCTTGGTGAGACATATACGTTCGAATAACGCACTTGCCTTTGACATTGGTAGGTGTACCGGCTTTTTGGTTATCGTGCCCCTCTGCGTTTGGTCTGTTTGTTCTTCTGGGGGTCCAATTGTTTTGATTAGTAATGCGGCAGGGATAGATTGAGCAGTGAGACCAGATAGCAATAAAAGACTCCATTGCAAACCAAATTCGTCTAAAATTGCCTGAAATATGCAATCAGGAAGAGCTGTTATAGTTGTTAGCGGCAATTGAAAATGCGTCTTTTGCATTAAAAACGTTTCAAAACAGTGTGGCTTTACACAGGCTAAATCCGCTTGATTTTCTTTGTTTATTCGTTTTAAAAAATGAGAAATATTTCTAAATAAAAGTTCGCTAATGAGGGCCATGCCTTCAAGCAAATTGAATACTCTAAATCTTATATTCGTGAGGTCGGAGATATGAACGGGTCCGTTATCCTGTTGCATGACCATCGTCTTGGTGATCCGGGAATTACACTACCACCACTTAATTTCAGAGCAAAAAGTCGGTATCCCTCTACCACTTGTCAAATAAAATCGTCTTGTACCCATTGCGGAAAGCAATGGCCACAATTTCTCTTAAGATTATTTTCATCGCGACTGGCACAGTTTTTCAGTCCGGACATAAATCATTGCCCCGAGTAGGCATCTACACGGAAGGATATAGTTTACATTGATATTCACAAATTTGTGCAAGTAATCAATCCAATTCTTCTCCATTAATAGATTTATAATTCGGTTTGAACTGAAAGGGTAAAATAATAACTACACTAAAGCGAGTAGTTGCGTTTCAAAGTCTGGAAAAATCTGCTACATAGATCGAAGACACTTCTTCATAATGCTGCAACGTATCTGTTTACGAGCTGATGCATGAGTATAAGACGCATTTACGGCAGCGACACAATGTTTGTGAACGTTCTAGGATATAGTTCACCTCCAACAATGGCTTCTTCGAGACTGACGCCAGAAGATAGCTTTGCCATAACCAGGATGATCCCAGCAGTATATCCGATTCTTTCGTTATCAATGAGGATAAGAGATCAATGGGTACAGAACCTCCCGCATAGCTACAAGTGCAAAATGCTCGGATATTAATAACAGGAAAAACAGCTGCATGTATATTTCTTTATGTCTAAAGAACGTAAGTATTATAAAATTTCGTTCTCAAAAGCCTAATGGGTGATCTCAGTGACAGTACAACTCTGCTTACTTGCATTACTAGAGTTAACGCCATTGAGACAATAGCAGGTCCAGATAGAAACACTCCAATGGCAGTCGTTTGATAGCGATCAAAATAACGGGTCACGAGGACGCTACCTAATGTCAACGGAAAAGCCGAGCATACTCCTGCAATAATTAAACATTGAGGTATTTACTTCTTTTCTATATATATATATATATATATATATATATATATATATATATATTCTTCTATGCCATCATTTATGCTAAATAAGTATTCCATATATAGTTCGTCATTATTAAAATGGACCGATACTCTTCTTATTAGTAAACATATTTTCAGTAAAAGCGTAAGTTTAACTTTACATGGTAAAAGTACGCACAAATTACGTGCACTTTTTACCATGCAATAGCTCAAGGCACAGCGAAGAGAGTTGTTCATGTTGTAACTGAACAATAACAAATTAATAGCGAATTTCTTAATAAAATTATCTTCAACGATAAAGTCAATTTTTATTCTTATGGTTTTGTAAATAAACTAAATTATGGCTTTTGGATTACCGAAAATGTGCGTGCGTTTCATGACAATATCGCGGGTCCCAAACGTATCAATATTTGTTCTTGATTTCGTGCTGAAGACATTATTCGGCTATTTTTTCCGAAGCCGCAGGAAATACACAAACAATCAATATTTTTTTTTTATCTCGACACAAGTGGTCCCCACAAAACGGTTCCTTCTGCTGTACTTCACGTGAAACAATAGCGTTATCGCAAAGGAAGTTCCTTGGTCATGTAACTTACCGTTTGGACGATTGGCTTCCGATTTAACACCTTCGGAGTTTTTATCTGTGAGGCTTGTGAAGTTAAAAAAAATATGTTAACAAGCCTATGACCACTCAAGCCTTGAAAGAAAAAAGTAGATACTGTATCACTGAGATTCAGCTACCATTACCCCCAAACCTTAATTTAAATTTTAGTCAAAAGAACGTAAATATCACAGCAAAGCCGAGAAAGTCATTTACCAGATGTGTGGTTCCGCGCGAAATTTTGACAGTTTGACCTTATGATAAAATCAGAATTTCGGTATTATGGTAAAAAAAACTCTATTTTATTCGAGATTTAAATTTTTCGTCCTATATGTATAACGGTCGAGAAGGAGCGATGAACAGCAGCTAAATTGGACACCGTCGGGGTATAAAAGCAATAGCGCAACGGACAGCGTATTGTCCGCGAAATTTAGGGGTATATGACGGTCTAGATACGAATACGGGCGTAGACAAACTTCGTTTCATCTCGCGAGCTAGATCCATCAAGTAATGCCTACCAGTTTAAATAACGAACGTAAAATACGAAAAATATTTTACCATATAAAAGCCCTAGCCACTAGAAAACCTATTGGCAGTCTTCGATTAACGCCTAGGCTTTCAGAATATTGTGGCAGCAGCGAAGCTCGCATCCGACCAGGCTTATGAAGGTGACCAAACCACGAGACTCGGGGACGGATATGATCCGTCCGTCCGACTGTCGTCCAACTTCAAAGGATGTGGCACGAGACCGAGAGTGTTGAAATCGCGAGTCTGATCACCGCAAGAAGTCCGGTTAGACCAGTCAGCCTCCTTCGGGACAAGCGGTAGTACCGGAAATGGCGTCAGGCTGTGGCCTATGTGGTCTTGCGCTGAAGCTAAGAGCGGAAGACTCAGCCGTAATGGGCTATGTTAAGAATAAAAAAGAAGAAAAAAATAAACTAGAAGACGGCACACGCCTGTGTGCCGTAGGGCAGGCAAACAGTGATATACGAAGTCGACGGAACCCTGAAGGCTTCAAGAAGGATAAGCGTCTGGCCCGTGCGACGATGGACGAAGGTGTGGGGGCGCCAGGACTTTTAAAAAAACTGCGACGACGGCGCGCGACCGGTAGGAAGGGAGCCAGTTGGACGGCGCCGCAACGAGGACACGAGAGAATTAAAAGATTAGTGCACGCGACTGCTATGCATTCGCATATCTGGCAGCATAGTGTAAAAAAAGAAGGTACCGACAAAAAAAAACTGTGTTTTTTTTGCGTGTGAAAATTCCTGTACGTCTGCTCTCTAATGGTGGCGCGATTAATTTAAAAACTTTGTCCGTAATTCATCCGTGCCCCTAGGTGATCGACTGTATGTATGTAAACCATCAGCAAATTATAAATCTATTCCTGGGAAAAAAAAGCAGCAGATTACTTTGCGTATTCAGTAAGTCTACTAAAATATCAGTTATTCTAAATTCACTGTTAAAAAGAACCGAATACTCCGTGTACTCAGTTTATCAATAAAAAAAAATTAGCGCAATAATCTACCGATGAAAACTCTGAAACTTATGTACTCAAGTTTTTCCAGAGTGCCACTAACGATTTCAGCTATACGTGTTCGGCGTTTTCGTAAAATAAAGATGTTTTTGCCTTGTGTATTCTTTTGAATCTTCCGTTTAGTTTATGTAATATCCTAATAATTGAGTTGTACGCACTTTATTTGATCGCCTTACTTATGGAAACTAGCGGAAAGTTATTTAGGTGTCCCGTATCGAAACCGTAAACTGATCTGAACAAACTACAATTACACCGAAATTATTTAATTTAGATACAAGTAACCAAACAATATTAATTTTGTCCCAGTTTCTCTAGAATACATATTTGCTGATTAAGCTGGAAAAATTTTCCAACGTAATCGACAATGACTATTCATAATACAATCACGGATTTACCTACGTTCTTTTTTTCATATACGTGAACTCGTCCGTAATGTACTACCGTCGTTTTCCAAAAGCACCTAGCATTTGTACGGTGCATGACTTTGTTTTCATGCTTGTCAGCTTTTGTTGTAAAATTCAAAGGGTTAGTTTAGAGGGCAATTAGATAAACCATAAACCAACCTTGCATAAGACCAAGCGTCAGCGTGATTTCCCAAATGTTTCGAGCATAACTGGCCAGCACGACTGATAGTGTACCTGAGCACGAGGAAAATATGAATAAGGTGGGGATTGATACATACATACTAGCGGCACCGACCGCTGGACCTGAGAAATTACCAAAAGCGAAAATAAAGTTCACAGAAGTTATTGTTTATCAACAAGTTAAGAGCTTCACGCAGTGTACTCACTTCTGGATGTTTCGATGATTAATAAAAACGGCTGATTACGATCGCTGTTATGATCCTTTAGAAAAGCTAACGAATACAAAAATTCTTAGTAAATTCAATTTGATCTTCTTCTAGTTTGTCAACATCTTCGTATAGGGTTCCAACCTGGTTTGTAAACTTTTGAGCTTTGAAAAGAGAAAGAATAATTAAAGAATATTTTTGCAAAACATCTAGCAATTTTAGTCCAAATTATAAGACAAATATGATATTTGAACTTGGCTTCAAACAGAGTTGCGGTTTGCCTTATGGTCAGGTGTACCCATCGAAGCAAACGACCGCTTCTATTTATTTAGTCTTAGATTGACCATAAGAACGAATCGGACTTCATTCGGTAGTGCGAGACAATTTATATGCACAAATACCTACCCAAAACAGATGACGCAGCGCAAAAGATGACGATCGGCCACGACGCATTTTCGGCACTCACGCCTAACTGGTCAATAAGTGCAACGTAAATTAGGCCCGCACATCGGAAAGTCCAGACACTACACGACATCAGCAGGGAAGTGGCTAATGCTAATATCAAACACCAAGTGACCTATTTTGAATGTGATACTTTTTCTGGTATAAACATAACCATTTACTTAATCAGAACTAATAAAAACAAGCTAAGCCTACAGATCAGATGAAGACATGTATTGCAATTCCTCGGTCGTAATCTTAAAAGTAGCAGTGAATGACACGAAAGTCTTCTTCCTAATTTCCTTCCAGATCCTGTATATACAACTAACTCTTTCTGCTAGCGCTCACAGCCAAGAAATAAACTATCGCCGATATATGAACAGACTGTCTACTATAGCTAAACTGTTGAACAGCGCAGAACCAACGGCCCGTTATGAAACTCTAATCATAATCATAATTTCCAAAAAGTAACTTAATCTGGTCCGACGACCAGTTTAGCTATAGGTCATCAAATGAAGAAAAAAAGTAGATAGATAGACTAACCGGATATCAACCGAAGATTTTAAAATTGAATCCAGTAAAGACGAACTATACATAATACCTCTAACACAAAACATATGCTTTCACGTACCTACGATCCAACTCTGACGGCTGTCAATTTTTATACCCATTGCACTGCTCAGTAAGAGGGTAAGGTATGATCTGAAACAAAGAAGGATCGTCTCAATCGTCGTTGAATACATGAGAAGTGAGAGTCACTTTGAGAAGCGTCGACGAGAACCAGAATAAATCGTGAAATTCCACAGTTACATTATTGCTCAGTATTTTGGTGGGAACTGAAATGTTATTTGTGGAACGAAACATCGATATTCATAGAATAGCTTTCGTGTAAATCGTCTGTCAGGTGTTTTCATATCTTACCTGTAGGATTTATATTTCTAGGAGACTACTACCATCTTTCCCACCAAACTCCTTGTCCTGTTTTCCACCGTTTCTTGAAATGTGAGTAACTGCACATATGAAGACACAAACTTCTTCAATCAGTAAACCTCAATCAGCTTATGACAGGTCCTTTGCTATCGTTTCGTAAAATCAATTTCAGATTAGGATTAACCTTTAGCGTTGTCGAAATTAACAGCGCAACACAAAAATTACGTGTTTTTTTGTCAGATAAGCCGTTGTTCTGACAGGTCCTGGAATTCGTACTCGAAATTCAATTTTAGAAGAAATTTTGCTTCGTATTCTTGCTATCGTTACGCATAAGAAAAATCTCCTTTATACTAAAAAGTGGTGGCCATTATATGGACGCAGCTCCTAGGAAAGCAACTAAGTGTAACCACGTGTACCCTCCTCTATTGTATATCTGATCAAAAGATTGTTAACTACGATCAAGATGGTACTGAAAGTGCGAAAAGCACGAGTAGAATCTTAAAGCGCAAGAATGGCCCAACGAACCGACCCCGTGGAAGACCGGCTATGTTTGCGGGATATTTTTGCTGCCTGAAAACGCCTCGTTATGCAAAAGCAGACGATCCCTTTTCTCCCCTTGCCCGGCGATCCTTTAGCGCTGTTACGTGAGTTGATTTCTTTAAACGAGGTGAAGAGTGATGTTGAGCATCAGCAGTAAAATACCCGTGTTATAGCAGTTCTACAACGTTAATGAGCTAAGACCTATAGTGAGCTCTGTTTAAGAATCCACCGAGTATCGAGTTGACTTTAGTTTCCCTTTGCCACTTGGCTTGAGTACATGTAAACATCGACTGGTTAAAAGGAAGCTTATGCAAAATAAAAGAGTACAGCTTGGCCAAAAACGATATCCAGGTACTAAAAGCTTCGCTATACACGTAATGCGTAATCCGTTACTATCGATGTTCGTATATACACGCAGTCCTCGAGGTCTGCGGTTGCCTTAACGTAACTACTGGAACTTTGTACTCTGTTGAAAGTCTGAAGAAACGTCAGCTCTCGTTGACTCTTACAAGTCATACGTAAAAGCTAACTAGTCGATACGTAGATGAGGAGATCCCGTATTTCTTACACGAACACGTTAGCTATCGATAATTACGAGTTTATCCATTGGCGTAGTTTTGTTCGACCAGGACGCTCAGCTAAGTCGTTCGTTTTTTATTATAGTTGAACGTACGATATTATTATATGAAAACAGACACTCGCTCTACCCGTGGTCACGAGACAGTGCGCGTACACCATGTCGTCCAACATAAGTGTAAATGATTCGATAGAAGGTTGTGAAATACATGAAGCCGATGGTCGTCCAAAGACCAAAAATCTATGTCCGCTTAGAGCAAAAGCAAAAAAAGAGTAATACCACTATTGTAATGGCGGACATCTGAAAGCATCTGCGGTAACCGCGACGGTTCTCAGAGTGCTCACTTGGCAAAAGTGTAATATTTTGAGCATTCTCCTAGATATGCAATTGATAAAGAGGAAGAATGTTAAACGATGGATTATTTTGCTTTCTTAAATATTTTCTTAGGTATTTTCTAATATATCTTTTAGGATTCTTGAAGGTCTTAATGATCTTTCAATAGTGGCCTTAATTGCCGCTCTATGCTGTTCTTAAAAGAAACCAGATGTAGGCCAGTGGTAACTTGAACGATTTTAGGTATAGCAACCAAACAACCAAGAGAACGACTACGCAGGTGCGTACGAACAGCATTTTTTTGCCTATACGAACTGTACTATTATTGTTTCATGATATTTTTGTTTACTACGTTTAATAATAATGAACGCTTTTTGAGTATGTTACGCCATTATAACGTTGCTATAGCCACGAGAAGTTCACGTAACAGGATGATCCCCCGCAATCCTAAATATGCGGTATTTTCTGCACAGAATGAGAGGTATCAAGCTTGTATGTGTAAATATTCACAGAAAGCTGTTCGACTGCCTAAAACGTTTTTAAGCACTATATCTTTTGCAGTGCGTTTTCGTATGAGTCATTTAACACACTCAAACACGAGTTCTTCTCAGAGTGTTCTTAGCTGGATAGAGAGGCTGAGATTAGTACCGATCTCTGAGGTAAGTTGCCGTCCGAATGTACAATTGACTGTCATACGATCCTAACAACAATATCGACCATACTTCATCACCATTACTTAGTTAATCAGTGCATTACTACAAAGTTACATTTTCGATGAAGCATCAAACTATTAAGAAGATGGCCTGCGTCGTAAACCAGAACGATCTGACTAGTAGTGGGTATTTTTCAAGGCTAATATATTATTACCTGACGAATGTCTCAGTCCCGATTGTCCCGATGGCTAACTATTTAGCTTGTATATACCTGCCATAGCAACATCAGTATACACCACTACACGGTTCATTTTCGATCATTATATATAAATGCGTCCTAGCGTTTTTTCATCTGCTCTGCACTAGCAATATGCATCCAATCAATTTATATTCATTATTATATTTTTATTATATTATAAACTCTCTACTCTATTATATAATTAAAGTTTCTACATTATAATAGGTAAAATATACAGAAAATCCTAATAACATAGAGCACGTTTCAATGACGAATATCAACTATCAGAGCACATTGAAACACCTTGTCACGTGTCAAAAAAAATCAAAAAGCTTCAGTCGAATCTTCAAAACGGGCTCAGTCGAATTTTCTATTACTCTGACAATAAATGTGTTTGTTTTATTAGTTTATGGAAAATAGCTTGAAAACGGGCTGCGATTTCTCTGTAATACATTTGGTCATACTTGCTTCACATATGTATTATGGGGGAAAAAAGGTATATTCACATTAAAAGGAAGATACCTGCCATTAGATGCAGGAAGCATTGGTTGCGATCCAAAAACAATGGTCGAACAATTAAATAACCATCTGCAAGTTTCAAGCATTAATTTTTGTTCAACATCTATTGTAGTATATATTTTTGGTCATAATCTATCATGAAATGAAATTGCAATAAACTCAACAAAACCCATAAGGCTAGAACAAATTGGGCAATCAGTAAGTAAGGATTTTTGGGTCGCTCTTACGTTAGTTTGTACGCTTTGTATATGTGCTCGCATATACCTCATGACAATATGTGCTTGTGATCGCTTTACGAAATTTATGAAGGCATTACAGGCTGCTTAATATTGCTAAGTGGATAGAATCACGCTGCACAATAAATATGCTGACGGTAGTACTAGCTAACACGAGAGTAGGGGCATGCGGCGTATGGAAGCATGAACTACGATATAGAAAAAAATGACCTTCCCAATTTACGTATTCTTACGGTGAATTACCCTGCCTCGTTTCGAGGGTGGTCATATCAAAGAAACGCAGTAAATACAAGTGCCATCATGTACCAAATTGTCTCTCTTCCTTTAAAAAGGCTCATTTAAGATTGAGCTGCTGCCAGTAGCGCAACATAGATATGAGGATCCAGAACAAGTCTTCCTATTTCGCGCACATTGTCTCAACGAAAAAGATTAGAAAGGAAAGGTAAACCGTCTTGATCGCGTCTTAGCCAGCCACTGCCTATAACTACGCGTGAGTTGTATCGTTAACAGCGGCCATGCAGAGAAGTAACAGCGCAAAAACCGTTGTTGATGGTCATATCAAGGCTTACGTTTCGGATTCCCATAGAAGTGCGCCTATAAAAACGCAGACATTTACATCGGAGTGTCTGTTCATTCAACGCATACATAAGATTCGAGCCGATTCACAGTTGTGTCTCTGTAAGTTTTGAGGTCTCACAAATAAAAACATGTTGAGCTATACTCTATCTTGGCGTGTTATCCCTTATAAAGTCCTCACTCGTGTCTCTACACGAGCTATGACAAAATACTCTGCTCTACGATAATTTTTATAAATAATGCTCGCTTGCATTATAGTAGACCGGTATTAAAACCAGATACAAATCATAAAATGTTGTATACTGATTAATGCATAAGCCTGTATAAGAGCTTTGGGTTCTCTTAGCCTCATAGAAAATTCTATAATTTAAGTCTAATTATAAGAAATAATATATTTTGAATTAATTTTAACAACCATCATTCACATTTAAGCTTTAAATACTAATTATTCGATCAGCTTCGTTGTTGTGTTGCAGAATATGTTAACGACGGTATAACACCAAGGACACAATATGTGATTAGTAAATAAATTATGCCGGGCATATTATGTCAAACATTAGCACAAAACGTGTGAGCAATTAGTACAAATTGAAAACCAAAAACAATGATTAATTTTTCTTTTAATAATCTATAACATAGACAATAAGCCCCTAGCACATTGAGCTTTCGTGGAATTAAATTTACAATATTGTTGTCCTTAAGTGCAATGTTTAGAAGAGCAAATTTATTGGACTTTTTTCATAAAGCTTCTGGTGATTAAAATCAGAATATGATAATTTTAAATGATCTGCAAAAAGTTCGTAATCTTGTATGCTACGACTTGGGGCGTAGTTGGTCATACTTAAGATAAGATCTCTCGTGTTTAAAGCAGAATCACAAGAGGCGTGAGAAAATCACGAATGTTACGTGTACCAAAAAAGGGGCTTAACCTTGCTAGTTAAAAATGAGGAGTGCAGGACCCTTACTAATATCATTCGTAAGGTAACTGGAATGCAAATAGATCGCTGATCTCACTCCAAGCCGATAAACAGTTATTCTGTGACAAAACAAAACATAAAGGAGTTGATAAAGACAATGCTCAAACTATAAGACGACACAGAAATTACAGCCTTGAAGCATAGATTTAGGAAAACGGACTGGTATTCTTTAGTCATGGTCCCTGCCAACATGACAACGGTGCTTAGGACGACCATCAAACTAGAATCAGCACATGAAAACAAAAAAAAAATATTCGGATGATCTGCTGTTTTAAATTTCACAAACCGAACCACAGGGCACAGAACTGCAAGGAGAACAGAGCAGTGGCCGGGGACATTGCTATAACTGCGGCAGCTCTCATCTTCTCGTTGGCAGTTGCAAAGCGAAGCGATCTAACTGCAGTTTATGAAAAACGGAGAGACACAAATAGACTGCGGCGTCACAAATACTCGCACCGCTGCGGGGGCCAAACTCTAACGACTAGGTGGCAGACCGCAGTCTCACAACGATCGACAACAGCGCCACACTAGGTTTTTCAAGAATAAGTTTCGAAACCTTTTGAGAATATCGAAATTATTCATAGACCTCCCCAAATCAAAAAACAAGCCTTTTGCCTACGTGATGGATCGGAAGGTGAGAGATAATTGAATAAATTAAGTTATCGCACATACATTATGCTCCTTGTAGACGTGCAACTTGCAAGAAACTCACCGTCTCAAAGAGGGATTTGGTAGCAATTAGCATTTGACATGAAAAAGCTAAACCGTTTAACATTTGGGTTAGACATTAACAGTAGCTGTAGTTAAGGTGACAAGGCTAACGAAGAACCACATTTAAGAAACATTCTTTCGGAGGCGTGTAGAAAAATTGATTCGAGAAGGCCTAGCCATAAAAGAACAAAAAGGGGTCAGAAGAGCGAAGATAAAAAGAACTGCTAAGTCCATTCAAAAAAGGAAAATAAAACAAAAGCAAAAAAAACTTAGAATGGCAAAATTGAATATAAGCAAATCAGGAAAGCAAAGGAAAAGCCAAGAAAAGTAATACAAGTCGATACGTGTAAGCTTTGGTGCCATATTGTGATGAATGAGCTAAAAATGTGATTCCCTAAACTACCACCTGACGCCATAAGGGAGGCAGTCCAATCGCTGTTTCTGACGCAAGACGCCTGAAAACAGAGACGCGTATAACGTCATTAACAAAGACAAAAGTCACTATAGGAAAGGCAGAGAAAGCAATAAAAAGATTAGCGCCAGAGAAGGCACCAGAATTTGACGGCGTGCTTCCGGGCGCGCTCAAACTCTTAGCGTCTGGGAAATCAGAAATTTTCTAAATCTGACAAAAGCCGGAGCGAATTCTGATCGCCAAACTGGGTGGTTCCGATATGTTTGTATAAGTAATAAAAGTCATCCTGGTGGAAAGACCATCGGAAGAAGTTCAACAAAAGTAGGCATTGTCAAACTTTTATTATAATTTCAGAAATGGGGGATCCAGGAACGGAAGTATAAACATTTCAATTCAGGATGTGGCAAACATGCAAGACATAAGGAATTCTATCCTCGGAACATAATGAATTTTATCCTTTTTGTACTCGGAGACGTCAAGAACGCTTTTAACACGATAGCTGGAAAGTAGTCATGAAGACATTGGCATGTAATGGCGTTTTACCTTACGTGTGCCCAATGCTATTGTTCTATTTGGAAGAAAGGTCATTAAAAACGGGAGGGCAGTATCGGCTAGTTGCTGCTGGGATTCTGCAAGGCTCAGTTTTCGTACGAACACTGTAGAATCTAAACTGTAATGGAGTGATACAGCTGTCTGATTTTCCTAAATGGTAACGCATGCTAACGATCTGATGCTGATTGTTATTGCGCATAACAAAGATCTTTTTTGGAAAAGAGAGCAGATGAGGCCCGTACCTAAGTAAATTAATAAATGATGAAACTCCACCTTAGCAAGGGCCTCCTTCTCCATTATTTCCGCATAAGGGCGAGACGCTCTTCGTACCAGACATGAAAAAAGTTAGGAAGGAACTCATGCTGTAAGAGGCATCCATATACATATACAGGACAAAGAGCAACATTTGGGACTCATTTTAGACACAAGACTTACTGGCTCGACGCACGTTGGATATAAGGAAGTAAAGGCCCATCAGATAAGCGTTAAATTCGCTTCAAAATTCTTTCGAGAGTCGGAGGAGCTAAAGAACACGCCAGGTAAGTGTTTACTATAAGAAGAAAAATCTACTGTGCTTTATACCTATCCCGCGCATTAGCCCTAGCGCCAAAGAAGAACAGACCTGCCCTCCCTTCGACACAGGGAGCAGCCGCCATTTTAGCGGCCAAGGCTTGCAGAATGACTTCAACGGAAACAATACTGGTAATTAGAAAAATAATACCATGCGATCTCCCGGCATACGGACGAGGCAAGAGCACTGAATGAGAAATGAAATCCTAGCAAGAAAATTTATTATAAACAAAGAAAGCAGGAACTGGATTACCCGAATTCCATATTATAGGAGGTATATAAAGGCTGAGTGGATTAAGAATACTGATTTCGAACTTGGCCAATTTGTAGGACAGACTCTTCAGGAAAATATCGTACGAGCTTCTCCCTATACATCGATGATTTCAAACATAAATACAGTGCAGGTTATTGAAATGTTTGTCAACGCCTATATCTTATGCAACTCGGAGCATACGAACGATGTGGCTTAGATTATTGAAAAATGCCGCAGCTCAAAAAAGGACCGCACACCTGCAATTACCACAAGTGGACACATAAACATTCTTTCGTGAATGATAAAGACTAAGGAAAGGTGGAACAGGAGGAGCGCAGGTGTCTGGAAGGTGATCCTCAAAAAAGGATCCTGAGAGGCAAAGAAGAGAAAATGAGATAAACTGGGCGGCCGGGTCAACAATTGTCTTGTCTAATGCCTAACGAGGATCTTACAGCTTCTGTAATAACTAAGATCTCATTGAATGAGTCATATATTGAAGTGATTCTAACGCGATCTTCAGTGCGCTCGCCTTTTGGAGAATTAAAGAGAGTCATTCATTTGGTCGGGACTGCTGTTCGGTGATCATTGGAGTAGTAGACTTGAATTTCCATGCAATGTACGTTAATGTATTCCTATAAATCCTTCAAATAATAAACAATATCACTTATCAGTAATTTTAGAAAAATTTAAGACAAAAAGCCGGCAGAGTGCAAAGTAATAGGTTTTCTTTATTAAAAATTACCTCCAATATTCAGTCCGGACATACTCATATATACAGTATAGCACAGTGCACACTCTATCCAATACAGTTAGCCAGAATTATTTGTTTACACTAAAGTTATTTCCATCAGAAACGAACGTTTTAATAATAAGCTCTTTTCTTGATCATGTACTGTTATTTATCACATGTACCATCAGAGCGGTGACACTTTTCCTCGTATTTACGATCCATTTACCATTTATTTTATTACCAGACTTTATATATTTGAGCGCAAATTATATAGGTTTGTATTGCTGTTTTTTGTTATTTTTTGGTTTATTTTTATTGTTACAAACTAATTGCCTTCATTCACCTGTTGATTGTGTGAAATTGGACAACGTTCACATCTGTGACTATTTTTACTATGTATGTACATGTTCACTCATAATAGTATTTATTGCTTTTCGTGCTAACAGTTAGCTTTACAGGATAAAATACTCCTCATACATCATTGATTACCCGGAATAAATCGAATTACCCGAAATGAATGATGCATTAGTTGGTTATTGATTTTTTTCTCGGAAATCGTATAGTGCAGTGGCCCATCGCCGAGCTACGATCATTGTGGAGTGGGTATCATATCAGTTGGCGTAACTCTGTCTATTATGACTTTCCTTTTCCTTTTCTCTTCTCACAAAATGCGTTAACCATGGCACTACAACCAACAATATAGGCGCATATATAAGCTGCAAAGATGCTTACAGATGTCAATATTGTTCTGGCCGATAACAGTATAGTAAATAGAACATTTAAATTCAGACAAACTTTGGCGGGCGGTTCGTCGAAGCAGGGATGCGTTTACTCGTTATTCTTGGTAAAGGAAGAAAGCTACTTCTTTTTGGAACAAATCGTACTTATCAAGGCAAAAAACATTATGGACCTTTTTTTTTTAGATTTAGACCAAGGTCAGCTATTATTTAAGCTAAGTAAACTTCCACTAGGATTAAAAATCTCCTTTTCACCCGAAATCGATACTCTATATTATAGATCAATCCAAGGAAGACTTTCATGAAGCCTGTTGGAGGATTTCTAGTAAAGTTTAAATTTAAAGGGCTTAAAAATGAATTAAATGGCTCAAAAAATCATCTTTAATGGCCTGAGTCTTTCATACAAAGATTATCGGCGATTTCGGAGTGGAAAATATCAATCTCTTATTATCTCAGCCAAATAGGCTCCAACGGTTAATTTATTCGAAGCCTTGCATTTTTGGCCTGTCATCAGCCAAAAATTTAATTCCACCGAAATGTTCTGTGTGTAGCGAATTTGAGCGACACCTTTACAGGGTTCCACCTACCAATATTGTTTGGCGTACGGTTAAATATGACTTATTAATTGTTTAGGTCCTAAATTCGCGATCGGTGATGACTACATTGATTAAAAATGACCGTCAGTAATAATACGGTTAGCAAGTGCAAAAGTATTTGTTTTTTCAGATACAGTTTTAGCTATAGAAAAAAGTTGTTGAAGGGTAGCAGTTCGTATCTCAAATGTCACCTGTTTGCTATATCTCAACCTCGTAGTTCTGCTTTCATGCGTCTCATTGTTAGAAACAATCAACATAGATGAAAACTACAAAAACAGATGATATGATTAACACGAGCAGACTATAGCCACCGAATAAGAAGTAACGGATGAAGAAGATCGTTACGATTCTATTTATAAAGTATATAACGTTTAAGGATCCTTCAATATCGATCATTTGGTCAGAATGCTTGTAGATGGACACATGGCGTTAAGAGAATTTTCTCTCCAACGCTCGCCACAATTCATAGTGTTGATGTCTCTCAATTTGCCGCGTCGCTCATCGATTCCATTTAATGGTTGAGTGTTTTCGAACGGAGGAAGTGGAAATTCTGAAATAGATAAATTGAATGAGACGTTATACCAACCTCATCATCGATTCCTCGTTTACTATACCGTAATCGTCTGTTGCATGCACTGTGGGGTTTACTGGTAAGGCCGAATGGATCGGCAGCCGGACCACTAGCAGCATTTGATAACACCGAAATTCGACAGAAAAATAGTTGTGATGGTAGTGATTTGCATAGCTTCTACCGTTAGGCCACTGTCGCCGGCATGTCACTCCACCATCGCTAGATGGAGATGTTTGTTGTTTTGTGCATTGCTATTTTAAATCTGCGCTAGTAAAAGAGTTGTGTAACGTTAAAGAATACAACCAACTAACCAGCGTTTACCAGGGTGCAGACCTAATAGAACCCGTAAGTTTGTCCACGTCATGTAAGCAAAAAGTACGCGTTAGAAGAACCGTCATAATTCTATTTGAAATTTCAGCTGCACCCTCGCTTATTTATATGCTCATGTAAGAATACAATCCTTCTTTCAAATAATCTACCTGTCGGTGGTGTTGGGCACCTTCAAGGGTAGTTGTACTCGTGAGTGAAGTGAAAATTGATTTCTCACTCCAGAACGAATTTGGACTTTTTAATTTTCATCATACATAGGCTATTCGATAGCGTGTTCAGTGCAAGCGAGTGAGATTAGCCACTTGGGCTAGTCCAAGCTGTAAGCTCCAATCATCTTCCCAAAAAAATCTACGCTAGGTGTATTGTGTAATCCACATTGACTAGTGCCCAGCATAAGTAGCATTGCAACTAACCTGTTTGCCTAGCTGGCGATTCGTATTTTTGCAATTCAAGTGTGATGGAAGCTCTTCTTTACCTTGACAACTATCGCCGACGAAACCCTACGTCTGCCTCAGTTGTAAACTACTGTCAAGGTTCGAAGATACACGCATAGAATATGATACCACGTCAATTTGTCTTATGCGATAGATGTCTTCGTGAACGGATGCTTCCTAACCTTTCCGTTGTCAAAATTACCATTGTGCGTCCTTTTTAACCTAAGCGCATTCTTCACCATTTCTGGTCCCAAGCGGTCAGTTTACCTATTACAACCTGGTTACGCAATTTACAGCACAACCTACAGGAGTAGTAGCAATTAAAAATAGGGGACAAAGGTTGTTATATAGAGGCTGAGCAGCCATTTTTATACAAATTTTTGTTTAAAGAAAGCACTTGCGCCATATATTGATGGGTCATATATATATATATATATATATATATATATATATATATATATATATATATATAGGATGCTCTAAAAAATGCACGCACTAATTTTATTGGACCATCGTTCCTCGACAGCATAGTGACTCGTGTCAGTTACTTGAATTTACTGTAAGAATCTGTTTTACCATGCATTCGGAAGTGCTTTGGTGAAAATGGAGAATCTTATTCCCAAGAGGACAGAGCACCTGCTCATTGTCGCCTTGGTGTAGGAGTCTTTTTTTTGCTCAGAATCTTCCGAAAAAGATGAATAGGACCGACGTTCCTAGATCTGATACCAATGGGTTTTTTTCTTGAGGAGATACCATAAAAATAAAGCTTGCACCAAAAAAGCGATAACACTGTAAGATTTGAAGACCTCAATAGAGAAAGTTTATAAATTACTAGCCCGCCTGCTATCAGCAATGCATTAACTAGAATAGTAATCATTTTGAACATTTGCGGCATAAAAAAAGTTTTTACATAATTTAAATGTGAATTATACATAGAAGGGCTGAAGTTCAAAAGTGCATGTATTTTTTTGGAACACCTTTTATATATAGCACTGTATTATATAGTGTGGCAAGCCAAAATGTATCCGCGAACAAAAAAGCCGTTTGAATAAATAAACGCCATCGTCTTACCAAGGTAACTGCAGCTAATAGTCTCGAACAGCCTTTGGAAAGCTTGCATGATGTTGGTTGAGTATTCGGGCTTATCTCTGCAAGAATCAGATGTTTACATTGTCGTCTACATCATGCCAGTTGCGATTATCGGGGAAAACAACGTACCTCATGATCTATCCTTCACGTATCCTGACGTATCTATCCTTCCGTATCATGTCTTGTATTGAATTCGATGACCTTAACAACGCTACATGTCACGGTGCTCAGTAAGGAGAGAATTTGAACATATTCTACTCATTGCGGACCTACCGGTCAAGAAGGAGAATTTGCAAAGAACTTTAACCGCATTTGTCTTAGAATGCAGTTACTTCACCAGCTATAGAGGAAGTTCTTTAACTGCTTTCACCTGATATTGTTCTTGTTGGAAATCACTCGCAGACGTTAATTGCTGATTTTTACCTTTCACTAAATGTAGATCTGCCCTATCCCTATCCCTACTAAATGGTGCTATCAGTACGCTTGTGCGCGCCAACATTTAGAAGGATAAGTTTACAGAGCAGCTGCCTACTGCCATGAATTGAATTGTCACTTTCACTTCGAACTGATCACATCTTAAATTGAAAATACATTGAATTAAGGAGCGCTGGTCTAAGCTTGTCGTGGATACGTTGCACACATATTGATTTACAGCTGCTCTCAACAATGATATTTTGTATATCAATGACATATTTGTAACTCGGATATGATTAGTCTGAAGATTAAAGCAATATCTATTATTATTACGTATGCTTTTCCAAAACTCGCAAGCAATCAAGTGTATGAGCCCTTTTTTCAAAGGAGAAATAGCCAGTTCTTCGATTAACTGCAGTTCGTTCTTTGTGAGAGCCGCCTGAATGAAGACCCCCTACAGTACAGAATTTACATTCGGAAAAGACGACCTGATATAAGCGCAAAAAGATAGAGAAAAATTGGAAATAGGTACAATGTTATTGGCAGAAAAACTAGCAGCTAAATGTACTTGGTAGAATAATCGAGGCAGAAATGATATTTGTATATTTTATCAGGGAGTGTGTATGAAAGAAGAATATCTTTTGACTTTCCTCATGAAGGCAAGAGCAGTCAGAACTAATGACTGGGACGATTGATTACAAATATATATATCTCACAGGCGCAGCTGCACTCGCACGAGATGTACCTCAGGCCACAATACGACGTGGGGATTACTTAGCGACGTGGTGCCAAGAATTTGTCCTCGTCTGGATTAGCCTCCGTGGGCGATGTCCCATTGCAAGCGGACACCCTGCAATCGACCAAATGACGTTGAAGCTCATACACTTAACGAAGCCTTTGAAAATTAGAGGGGGACTCACGAATCATGTACATAAAATCCGACCAGTTCACAGTAATTCTGTGTCCCTTGAACACATTTATTAGGTTGTCCGGAGCTATTTAACGGATCGAATAACCGGGATTACTTTTGAACTATCTTAAACTGAACCGCAGAATTGAAGACCGTGTCTTATGTATTTATCTTCATTGTTTAAATATTGACACTCGAAACAGCAGGGTATTTTCACTCTGTATTCACACACAGAATATCAGTATACGACGCCACCTATCGAAATTGGTTACTCTCCTGTTTAAAGTCCTTTTTTGACCTAGTCGTTCTTTGTTCGACCGCAAAGACTGGCTCGTGCTTTATCTATATCGACGGTGTGATCCAGGCGAGGTTTTTGCCAGTAGCGGTCGCGCAAGCTGTCTTTAGCTGTGTTCATTCGTAAGAAACGATTTTTTTTGCGGTTTCATAATACGTGCCTCGCAAAATTCCGTACTGAGCCGGCATACATTTCATTGCCCATACTACTTTCGGCTTGAGAGCCCCTATAATTCCAGCAACTTGTTTCTATAGTTTGAATCGTCGGGGCATAACTACCTCTTTAATAATTTTCAGCCTCCATATTTATTATAAGTAATGGACTGTTATTTCCAGTGTTTTCTCTCTAAGGTACCGGCAGACTTATGAAACGGAAATTTAGCCGCTAGGCGCTGAATGTAAGCGTTAAATTATATCTTTACTTTTATACTATGGCACTCAGCTTGTAGTCGTGTATGTTTGTCTGTTAATTAATAATAGACTAAAGTTATTTAGAATTTCCGACCCGCTGAATGGTCCCGGACAAACTAATACAAAAACGATAAAAGCACCAAGAGATAAATAGCTACTCTTGAACGAAAGCAAATTCAGGAACATGTCAGTGAACTAAGTCAGCTGCATTCAAATACAAAATCGATTCGTCCCAATTCCTATCCAAAAGTTCTTCAAATGATTTGTGATGACCTGATTTGTGTGCTAGACGCCCGTTTGGCCCCTCTACGTTTTTCATAATGCCTAATACACTTCCAATATATCGGTTTACCCGTGGTGAATTAGGATAAAATTTTGTAGTACCTAAATACAAATTTAGAATTGCTAATGAGCAAACAATTATATATATATATATATATATACATATCTAGCATCTAACTTTTTGAATAAGATCCGTTGTCCGAAAGCAAATCGATGTAACTCGTTCGTTCTTCCAAGCAGAACGTTACACGTATGCTACAGTTCGCCACATTTGCAGAGGATAATTCTTGCCCTTGGCGACACATCGTACTTTTTGGTATCGCTGACAGCTTTTTCAATAAGCCTGACATGTACAGGTTAAATGACGGCGAACGCATAACATAGAACACATCTGTCCTAACTAGAAGCGCTGCCAAGGCGCACAAAACGTGTGGCTTGTCTCACATCACAGCCATAACTGTCTTTTCGTCATCAACAATTGTTTTAATTCAAAGAAGAGAAGTTGTGTAAGATCGTTTGGAATGATTCTTTAACGCTTTTACCACAAAATAAACGATTTTTCCAGTTCAGTGGCCGTGAGTATAATAGCGCTCTTGTAGAGTGAAATTTTTAATTGCCGATCAAATCGTTACGCAGGCAGCAGCAAGCGAAAACATTAAAGACGAATTCTACATACAGCAATCTACTAAGTATCCTACCTGCTGGCAATACAATACGTTAATCAAAGCGTCTAATTACCAAACAGTGTAAAGTAGTTTGTCGATCTGGCAATCCACGATGCAAAAGTTCACCAAGGACAAAGAAAGATAGAGCTTCCAGGTTAAGTAGAGTGCGTCGTATAGACCGCCAATCCCAAACGAAAGCCCCGCTTCAGTGATTGCCGCTGCTGGCGCTAAGCGTGCAAGTTGAACGCGACAGTTGAGATAATGTAACACCTTGCCGATTTTCAGCTCATTTTCGCGTTCGTTTGCTTAGATGAATTTGCTGTTACCAGTGATTACCGGTGCACTGATGTATGAGTCATCCGAACAATGTGGGTTCACGCGCAGGGTTCCCTGTTACACCGCAAAGAGTAGGAATAACACAGTGGGAACGATTAAAACTTTTAAAGTAACATGGTTGTGATAAGTTTTGTGTGTAATAGTACAATGTTAGTGTAAACAATAAAACTGAGAGCCTTTTCGGGTAGACAAACGTTTTTTTGTGGTTGAACAATCAAATCATCTGACTGAGACATGGCTCATCGGTACATCGTCTCAGTATAGTTTAGTTGGCTTTGTATATACAGTGTGCTAGACAGAGCACAACGTTTATCGCAGTCCATGATACTAGGTTAGCACGTTATAGCTTACCACTTGTATTGTGCGTCTTTTTTTCACCAATAAGTACACTGTTAAGAACGTCGACTCTTACCTCAAAGAATTCTCCTTTTTTCAAACCCGCCTGTATCTCGCACAAGGGAAGGAACGCTTCAAAGGCACAAAGCGCAGAACTACCGCCCGTGGTCCCATGGCGACGGATTCGTGCGTTTGGGGTCGACGGAACCGAGTAAGAATATACGTGGCCTATAATCAACAGAACCGTGGTACGACTCTACTAGTGTGTCACTACATCGCATACTTAAGCAGTAAAACGTTGTTTATGTCGTGGTATACACAGTTGACATGGGCGCGTGATAAAAAAAAACAGGCTTTTCCACTCGAAGACTTAATGTCCTACTGCTTATTAAAAACGCCAACTGCTGTTTTAATTAAACATGTACATCGTTTGGACCACATAAACTACCTTGACGCTTATCCCCAAACTCTGTATATGCACTTGGTAATTTTGGTAAGTATACGAAACAGCTATTTTGAGAAATTGGAAATTGATCGGTTTTTATAAAGTGTCCTACTAACCGTGTGCCCCGGCCCGAGGGGGTCCCGGGGAAGCTAGAAGGTCAGTCGAGGAGCGGCTGCTGCTTCCAGCACTTACACTGGCACCATCTGTGTAGGAACATTTGTGAGCCAGATGTTGATTCCTGAGCGAAGCCGGAAGAGTGGGACCCCACACGCTGGTGTTGCCGCTCGACGACGCTGACGAAAGAAACATCATGCCTCGGCCACTCGTATTGGTGCTGTTCGTAGCATTTGAGTCACTTTTTCGGCGAACGGTTATAGATCCGCTGTGGAACTTATGGTGTCGATTTTGCGAGGAAGAGTTGCTTCCTTTTGCAAGATCTCCGCCTCGTCCAGAAGGGTCTCGATGATTTCGACTCCGATGATTGCTGGGTCCATGCTCTCGTGTGGAGGCATGTCGTTTCGGATGAAGGTTCCCCGGGTCTGACAACGATAGAGAGGGGTCGTGCGGAGCCACTCGTAATCTAAATAGAGTAAAGCAGTTTTCGAATTAAGTTATATTAATTAAAAAATGAGTATATTTTTACTTTTTAAATTTACTTTTAGACCTGTATTGAGTAAACAGCACTAATTAACTCAGACCGGCGACCTAGCTATTTTGAGAGCCCCAATCTTCTCCATTAAGAAACTAAGTTCGTTAGCAGGTTAGTAACGTAATTAATAAGCAAGAAATTACTGAATTAATCATTACTAAATCCAACCATATGTGCGTTGACTATTTTTTAACAATATAATAAATAAAAATGTATGTTTGTTTTTGCCGATTTACGGTTGCTGCTGTCCAGGTTTGTAGGGGAGATGACCGCTTCCACCAGAGGGCGATTTCGACTTTCTAGCTTTGCCAATCGATGAACTTTGTCCTGCTCCAGCTTCACCAACAGCTAAGGTTTTCTTCGCTGTCCACCTTTGTGTACACCGACTATGACCAGCCGAGTCGCTACCTCGTTCGCGGGGCTGATCAACCTCGACCCGATCGCTCTCTTCAAAAGTCAACCGTTTCTGTAACTCACGGCCAAGTTCTCGGTCCCCGACATCGCTTTTAAGGTCCCAGTTGACCCCGACATAGTTTTCCGACATGCCCTGTCCAGATGATGTGTTTGGTTTCTTTCGACGGCGGCGCACTTCAGCCGCTCAGGGAGGCGACTCGTATGAGATGACTCGAAGTATTAGATTGATAGAATAACTAAAAAAGTCACCAACAAAAGTAATAATATAGGTCACTCCTATAAGTGCAAGGTTAGAACAACAAGTTTGTTGCCTATATAAAAGACCGTTCCATTAATTTGATAGACCTCTTTCGATTCTTTCTCTTCATCCACGGATTGTGGCCCATAGGCAAGTTATGAAGTTATCGGAATTTGAAAACTTCTTTACTACCGTATGTTTAGAGAGCATTATATGATGTATGTTATTAAGAACCGAACGCTGACAAAGAGACAAACTGGTGTTTGCATATCCTGCCTTCGCGTATATGGCGTCTTAACTATTGTACACATAGGCACACCTATAATACATACAGGTCAGCTTGGTTCTTTGAGAACACAAGCCGTATTTATCCAGCGTTTTTTCTAATGTTTTACAGATTAGGCCAATTTTGCCAATAAATACAGTTTGATATGATGTCTGTCACATAAACGGAATTAAAGTCTCTTAGGACAATTCCGGAATGCGACGAAGTACGAAAATAAAAGGTAACTTTTTCATCTTGAACGTTCCCTTATTTCTTCGAAGTTTCATTAAACCACAGTCCGTCATTCTTGTTTTTTTCAAAAATATCTTTTATTTGCTTGATATCTGATTTCTATTATCTTTAACCGACGCATTCTATATTCGTGAACAAACGATTGTGAGCACATAGAGAAAAAGTCGCCGTTAAAATAAATAGAGAGTTCTTTTAACTGTCGATTTAGAAATTTATTAATTTTGCTTAGTTATACTAGTCGACATCATAAACAGCTGTAGCGGATACGCGATTAGAAGCCCTTCCGATGTGTTTAAGAAGGAGGCGTAAAATATCGGGCTCCTAAACAGCCGATATTGCGCAGTAAAATTTGAAAAGTCGGGTTTGCAAGAAAAGTACGCTGGTTACACAACTAAATCGGCCCACAGACTTATCTTTTATTTATAAACTGCTTTTCAGTCCAAAAGGAGATTAGCATTTTTTGCCGACTCTGTATGAACTTAGAAAAAGACGGCTGATAGTTTTGTTTCCTTTCTTTCCTAGTGAAACCTTTCAGTACTGCAAAGCAATTTCCGTTCGGGCGCAGTCAAAATATAACGTAGGCCCACATAATTTTCGCATTCCCTTTCACGTCTACCGTGCCGGCGTAATACAAAAATATAAGAAACTTTTAAAACACGAAGCAGACATCGAACAGAACCACGCGCACACATTTATGGTAATCAGCAATAGTCACGATAACCGATAGTATAATAAATCGCTTTCGTTTATTAACATAAATTGTTGATCAGCATCAATATGTCGTGCCATTGTTGTCGTTGGCAAGACTTGAGGCAGCGATCCCAGTCCTTTTCTTCAGCTGGAAGCTAAGTCGTCCATCGATTGTAAATATAGAGCATTCAGCTAAAAGCTACAACCAAAAATAATTGCACAGCAAATAGATGTCTAAGTATACTGACGCCGGCAACAGCTTTTCAGTATGATCTGAGACTCCGCATAGTTGAGGATCGGATCGATCTCCTTAACCCAAACAAACATAATATTGCCTGACATTATACATGTCTCTTAGCAGACCAAAGCCGTTGCTTGAAGCAACAAACTGCGAATTGACGAATTATTGACATCTTATGTAATTGGGCTTGCTTGCGATGTGACAATCATAGACGAATGACTCGTTTCTTAATTTATAACATGGATTTCTAATATAAAGCTATTTTTTTACTTCCCTCTGGTTCTACAGTTCTCGGAACAAATAAAGGCAATTTGCACACACTTTATAGTAGCACCGTATTGCCGCATCTCTAGTAACGGTTAGACGCTTCTCAACAGCGGTACGATACGATTATACAAAGAACTTTTAGAAAGTCAGTCAACTAACATATCACATTAACCCTAATGTCAATGCAGTTGATAAAATCAAGAAAGCGCCCCACAAACGATGTATACTTTCAGGCACGTGATTACGAATTTATTCTGCCGACTGCGAAGGTCGCAACACGATCCAAAAGATAGTGGGTTCTGTTCACCTGCAACACCCCACTCAATATAGTAAGTCATTTGTAATATATCTGGAACCGATAAGTTCCTGATAGTTAACTTTACAGTTAACTCAGTAATTTGGAGTGAACTGATCTATCGCTGAGCAGGTCAAAGTGGATTCTATTTTCGCAACCTTCAGGATTACCATTTACAAAATACGATTACGGAAAGATGTATTGTATGACACCTGACATTATAGCGTATTCAAGATACTGACATTATGCAGCACGTGTCATGAAAACATAGACCCAAGTGGTTTTTACGTATAAATGTTAAAACCGTAGTTCTGTAGTACTGAACCTTCCACAACAAATTTACCGTTAAAAATTTTACTTGTATTAGGAAATTTACGACTTACTGTCACCTTGAGTCGGTTGTTGTTACTATTTACCCTTCGCAGTAAACAAATATGACGAGATAAGAGACAATAATTTAGGCTAAAATTAGCTCCAGCTCTGCCGTCCTGCCATTCGCAAACTACTCAAACGCGCTGACACTCCACAGTACCATGCGGGAGCGTTACTCTTATTCCAACTGCGATAACTGAATTCCGGACGTAAGCTCCCGATCTCCTCTATTGTGCCCCCCATGAAAACCTTCTTTCAGACCCGCATCCTATCTGCGTATTTCGCGCATCGCTGGTGCTTGCTTATGACATAAACTAGCACAGTGTGTTACCAATCACAACATATATTATATAATTTTTTTTTCATACACACCGTTAAACAGAGAGAAAGAAACGTTTTACGCAGTCAAAGTTTGTTTGTTTAAAGCGTACCCATATGGGTTGCCGCATACATTTTCGCGGACCATTATAGATGTTAGTTTTGCAAGTCCGTTCCTTCTCACCTGTAATGTTTCTTCCTTGGCTACTGGCATTAGTTGTGTTTCTCGGTGAGTACAGTACAGCGTCTCAGCTGGCGTATACTTCAGTGCTCACTGTAGAATATATTCGTAATACTATAATTTTCGTAAGTTTCGCATTATATAAATGTCTAACGTAGTCTATGTTTAATTTGACCACCACTTGAAATCTTCTTTTCCGCTGCCAGCTGTCGTCTACCTTTAAGCTGACAGCATCAGCAGAAATCGATGATGGGAAATATGGTGATCATGGTGATGATGATACTCGGAGCAGCGGCGGAAAAGAACGAGATTCCTAAATAAATTAATTAAATAATAAATTCCTTTGTGCTTTCTTCGATTCGACGCATTCGCGGCGGTTAATTAATAGTTCACAATCGTATTTCTTTCACCAGTCCTTACAGCTTTGCACGGCTCTTTTCATATTAGACTAATATCTAGGGTAAATGAATCTATCTCCACTTGAGTCCTTCCATACACTCAGCACACGAATGTTCTTCTCTAGTTGTGCCACAGAGTTGCCTTGGCGACTATGGCCAGGCACATCTTGTTTGGAAATCTAACTTTCTATGGCTGTTTGTCCGGCAATCTAGCACCAGCACTGACCGCAACGACCAGAAAGCGCGAGCCGGAGCCAACGCAACAGACACAATCAATGCCCCCTGGCTATAACACCGCGCTCTCACTGCATGACACTCATTGCAACACAGTCTACGGGGCACAATTGCCGGGAAGGATGGTCTGCTTGGAAAGAGCGGGCGCGGGAAGCAGAACTAATGTGAATGAATAGCTGTTCTGCTACTGCTATCCGAGTAACACGGAGAGGCAGAGCGAATTCAAGCAGAAACTCGAGATACCCTTTTAATCAACGGAACGTGCTCCATCACCCTCGTAAACACTCGGAAATCAGAAGAGTGCAAATTGGGGTTTCTGCGGTTGTATCGGAACAGTTGAGGAGAGTAAAGTACGAGTTGCTCCCACTGGCCTTGAATCGTTGCATAACAGGGCAGAGCTTCAAGCCAATAGTAAATATGCTTATGGTGACAGGCAGGGATACCTTTTGAACCAGATGGCCTAATACTAATTTGTTTTCTTGTATACAGTGAGTGGTAGGGAACGAAGTTTCCAGTCGTCTATTGTAATTTTGATTGAGCAGAGTGGCAACGATATTATGAGCGCACTATTACTATTTGTAATGATGGAACAGTGGTCGGAAACATCAACTTAGCGATATCCGGAGTTATTTAGTTCTTAAGAATGGAAAGAACTGTCCTGGACGCTTGCAGAATATAGACATACTGCCGATATGTAGGGAGGGCGCCAAGAGAGCGTGAGAGAGGATGTTAGTGAGATTTGCCCCTGACGTTTCTATGATACGTTTCTCGTGTTAGTGCCGCGTTTATGGTTTTAAAATGATAAACAGCGCATTTTCGACAAAAAATCCATAAGTTACATCCCTCGGCGGTGGACATATGCGGTGGATTCCGTGCCACCTTGAAACCCGGAGTGAGTTTATAAGTACAGCCGTTTTAGCGATATTTCGTATTTTCTTACCGATTTTGCGCCTTAGAAAAAGCATGCGTATGTAACCAAGCTGCAGGTTGTGCATTTATGGTGTGGAGGACGCTCGACATTCGTCTATTGGGTTTAGGGCTGCGAGAAAATTCAGTACACTGGAAACAACCCGAGCAAATGTTCGGCGCTAGTATCGCAGTCCCGCGATGAACTAAAGTATTCATTATAATAACGCAAACAATTTTCATAGACATCTTAAGCACTTCTGGACGTTGTTTTTTTACTACTAGAACTGTATGCACTGACAGTGTTCCGAACTTCGAAGGTGTAGCCGACTGTCGGAACGACAGTGCTACTGTTGCGTAATGCAGTACTACCTAATATGGGTATAATTTTTGTCGGCAACAAATGTGATCTTTAATGTGATACTATCCGTAACAAAATAGCGTCTAAGCGATTGCTTAAGCGACGTTTTCCGCTAAAGCTATAGCTAAAATATTGTAATCTGACAAAACGACGGAAACTGTCTAGCAGAGATTCGACAAAACTGTCCAGTATGCTAAGTAAAGCATCAGCAAATAAACATTTAGGAAGGGGAAGCAATACAAGAGGTTATCATTCATAAGCCAAACTAATAAACCCATAATCAAATCAGCGCTTTTCAGCCATAGCTTCAACTGCGGTAATGCATAATGGCAGAATCAAGATCATATTGAATGTGAAAGATGACAGAAGCAATAGCTTAGCTGAATAATATATTTCCGTCAGAACCATAGTTAATGCGTTGTTTACGCGCAGGGAGGGAAGCAATAAAACTATTGTAATAACCCCTTGAGGAGAAGCGGTGCAAAGATTTAGAGATACAACGACAACTACTATCTAATTTTTTATAGGACTGGTAACTTTTTGTCGTTTCCTTTACCGCTCACTACTTATTTATGTCCAACAAATGAAGCGAGCATAATGAAGGCATAAGGAAGGTATTATTGTATGAAAAGTGTTACAGAAACATAACCAGTTTCGACAGAGAGATGTCTTAAGAAAATTCACAGGTACACATAATAATGGCACATAATAATATAATTTGATGGAAACGAAGTCTGCGCAAAAATTAGCACTTGAATAGATAAAACGGCGTATACGTGGCAACTCGATGGATATTAACACTTTGCAGCGCAGCTGTGGTAGTTATGGTTTTGTGTACTGTAATGGAACAGCACGAAGTGTCTTTTGCTTTGAAGCATTTTTCTCTCCGAAATGTTATAAAATCTTTGTCAATACAGAAATCTGTCACGGATGCTTATCATGCGGTTAAGGATTTAAAAAATGATGCTCAAACAGCTATCGCGCTAAAATTAGTTAATTAATTTTCGTTATGTTATTTCGCAACAGGATAAACACCGACAGACTTGCTTGATAGGCGGTCGAAGAACCAATCCTTGCTGGTTCTATGAATTTCTAGCTGGGCAGCACTCAATCATTCTCCAGGAGAGTCTGTAACTTTTTATACCCGCTATAACACATATGCTCGTTAATGCTACCTTTAAATTATGTGCGTTCACCTTTAGCTGACTCCATTAATTTTTCTTTACTTCCAGAAGCTGAAAAACAAATATAAGAAACTTTCTACTATTTATCACCAGCGCCAACTCTGTAGAAATAACTTATATTTCTTAGCATGGGGGAAACATACGAGGGAAAAATCATTCGACGGAAAAAATTCTCTTGTGTGAGACCAGAGTGCTTCAGCTGAAGCGATGCGGCCTAACTAAGGCGATAACGGACACGGAGCACGGAATGACTACTCACTTAAAAATTTTAGAAGATCTTAAATTTAGAATAGAACATCCTCTCTTTCATCCTCGCCCTATTTACTTGTAAAAAAAAGTATCCTTTTGTCAAAAACGTGGTTTTCTTGGTTTTTTCTTTATCTTGTAAATATTTAGCATTATTTATTTCAATAGTGCCATCGCCGTTTCTACTCTAGCGAAAAGTTCCTGTTTGTAAAACTTCAGCATCCAAGCAAATCTGCGGATTGTCTGTTGGCATATGATCCGTACGCAACATTTTTTTAGCATAAGTTTATAATCAGAATTACAATGGACATTGAAATAAATAAATTAAACATGAATAACTGAGTTCACTAAGGTATGTCCAGTTTGGCTGGTGTTTTAATAATGGAAATTAGAAAAAGTTTTACAACGATCTGCTGTTCTATTCCAAGAGAAAGTGTCAATTTTATACTTGTTTATAGTTGAATGTTCGTCTCATTGCATTTATGTATGTATCAGTAGAATACGTAGTAACGATAGAATAGCGAAGGTATCGAGATCATGACCCACAGAAGACTTTCGTGTAACAAAACTAGCTCAAAGTTAGATTATTTACATTCGACATACTGTCAAGAATGGCATGATTATTTATTAACATCATTAACTTGCATAGCTGATGTTAAATATTTTGCTTAGACTCAAACCCGTTTTTAGCAAACTTTTTCAATCATACCTTTCTCTAAAATATTTTAAGACATTCGCTTCAGCATTTGCTCCAGTCATGGTTCAAGATCAAACAAGATGAAGGTATGCGTATTGACGTCGCCTTATCGTTAGGCCTACCTATGATAACTTCAATTTTAGCTAGTTGTTGTCACCCTCTCTATGGAAGTACGGAGCGCTGACGCCTGCCCTGGAGCTTCGCGGACAACAGTTCTATCAACACCATATAAGACTGCGTCCAAGAACTGCTTTGTTTGTCCCTTATATTGGTTATCTACATATCATCATATCTGGATAGCTGACTAGCCAGCCAGTTCGAGGGCTTTAGTGGCAATGCAATCACTATTAGTGCAACGCTATGTACGTTGGCTGCGAGCGAGGGCAAGCTCGACCTGTGATCAACGTACCTCCGAACAGTTGACTAATACCGGCCGGCCACCCGTCCAACGAGTCAATCCGCTGAGAAAAGGCGGGCCGATGCTCTTTCAGTGTTCGTAGTGGCAGCTGCTGCCGTCTTTGCCGTTGCCAACGTCGCAGTGTGAGCAATGACAACAGTTCCGGTTCACGGCAAGCTGTGCTGGCAGCTGGCGGTGTACGCGGTGCCTGATCGGCCGCCTTCGTCGCCGCCCGAAGGAAAAAGGGACAGCGAGCAATAGGCAAGAGGCAAACATTACTGTTCGATCGACAACCCCAGCTTAGTTCGCAGTGAATGAATCGGATCAAGTCGCTGCTACTGCACCGGTGCCCGTTTGCAGCCTTATCGCTACTTAGTACACGGTAAATGCTGTTACCACTATAGTGGTAACAAATACCTATCGAATACTGGTTACCCTGTTAGCGCCGTAATATGACCGTCTTTGTTTCCGCATGTTTCTCAGCTGCCGCTGCCGACTCCAGCTGTGGTGGTGACGACCATGAGACAATCCAATGCGCTTAGACAGCTGCTGTAAACAACAACATTATTAATGTGCTGTTTGACCTAAATGTGTGTATTCAGCTTGTATGGGATAGCAGCAGTGTTTTTGATCAGAAAGGGCCGGCAGTTGCGATAGCCGAGCGTTAGTGAGTGCATACGCCTGCGGACAAAACAGAATAGACAAAAGGTGGAAATGATCAGAATTTTAAACTGGAAATCAAATGCTGCTTTGATGCGTAGTTCGCCGTATATTGTTAAAGTGAATGCATCTGTCCTTATTTGTTACTAAGACGAAAGATAAAAAAAATTACGTTGCTAGTTTGATTTGAATGTGAATATGAGTCAATTGCATTGCTACTACATAAAAGGACACTTGTAGGCGCCTTACTTCTCTATTCGCCAAGTGCGGATGCGGCAATAATCGATGATAGGTAACACAATATACTCATACAAACTGTATTGGCAATCGCTAAATTAGTATTCGTTTATTTGTGCGACCTCAATAGCCTATCTTCTACAGATTGACAATCTAGAACAAGAATGTCATTACTGCCAAAACTGACATGACGTATGTAAATAACAAACATTTGGAGATACTGTGAAGTGCTGATACTTGTCAATTATTAACGTTGGAACGACTATGCTGTTACGAGCAGACCTGGCATCAGCAGCTCTTACATATTATGCATCTTTGGAGGCTCGAACTTTGTGCTCCGGAAGTTGTGCCGCTTTTCGATCAATTATATTATTATTATTACTCGATCTAATATGTAAGGTGTGTCAAAAACCATTTGACAATTTGAGAGTCTCCATTGTATCTTTTTCTATCTAATTTCCGCTGCGTTTTGGCCTCTTGCTGCTCTAATAAATACAGAATATCGAAAAGCCTTTGTCCTACCCTGTAAAGTACCGGCAAGGACGGGCAACTTTAACGATTTTACACTTGAGATAAGGCCCTAAGCTGCGGGGTTCTAAGTTAGTTACATTCACCCAAGAAGCTTACTTATATCCTCGATAATACCTTCCATAGAGCTAAAACAATCTAATCAGAACTTCTATAATCGTAAGATCAGGATCATACACCGGTGTAGCGAATTCAAGTATGATAAATCTACGATAATTAGTTAACAACCCTCAATGAAATATAAGACACCATGGAAATTAGTGTTTTAATTCCAGGCTTTGCTTACAGTCGATAGTCAGTCGCACTGGCTTAGCGTTGGAAAGAACATTACCAAATTGCTAGAATTGCCTTCGTATGTCAAAATGCGTATGCCTAAATGGATATCACGTGACGCCTAATTGGATGGGAAGACAAAGTTTTCTAAAAGAACTACCATACAGCCATCTCCAGTAATTTTTTCGGCTCATACCACTACGATGAGATTTTTAGGCATGCAGAATAGCCCGTGCCAATAAGTCATAGGGGATTTTAGCCACTGCAAACGGCCAGCAGTATCATTCATCTATATACCTTCCAGATTGTTTAAAGAGACGGCGAGAGGGAGAAGAAGGAATAAGAATAGAAGAGGAGGCAACCTTTGAAGGCAGCGCAAAAATCAGAGACATCTCCTTTAGGTTTACATTTTAGCGGACCGTCGTGTTAGAGTTTAATGTTGCTACTGGTAAATCTATGACAAAACCACCACTCTTAAATAGATCACAAAGTCTGGCACCGTTTCGTCGATGCCTGCTTTGCCGGGTACACTAATGGTTATGCCTTTTAACAAATTCAGGCTGTTTTAGAAATGCTCTTACTATTCCATAATCTATAGTGAAATTCTTATGCTCGATACGTGCCAGAAAGATTTCCTACTCAAGTAATATATAGGGTATATGTAATGCTGTTAAACATTCAGCCAGCCCAGCAAACTAGATGTCATTGTGTACGACTTATCACCTGATTGTCGTGTAGGCATCTTATTAGACGTTTAAATCAAAACATGCAAACTGTTCCGCAATATTCGGTTTTGTGGCCGTCATAAACTTCTGTAGCCAGCGATTTGTAAGGCTAAAAGGTATGTTATGTATAACTTCATTGCAAATCTATTGGGACGAAAAAACCTATATACAATGTCATACTAAGAAAAAAATATTGGTCAAAACTAAAAGTTACTGCATTTTCAAACTCTAAAATTTTAAATTATAACTGATAAAAATTCATGCATTACTTAAGTTTTGATTGCTATAAGAAGCTCGGAATCGCCTCGGAGTTAATTGCGATGAGCAGGCTCATCTACATCAGAACTACATCCGGGACGGGATGTGCGAACTCCAAGCGCCATCTGTTCAAGAACGGAAAAATTAGTCGCAATTACTTAAACAAATTGTCGTCAGTCGTTCTAAAACATCACTGTTTCATTCAAATGAACGGGCTAATCATAGTATTTTCTATTCAGTTTAGTTTCAACTTCTAAAATTCGGCACAAATACGTAGAATACTGCACAATAATACAGTACTGCTAGTGATTAGAGAAATGGCTTATCTAGTAATACAAATTATGTTGACTGATAAGAGTTTAAAAATGTAATTTGCCACCGTTTTTGTATCATAGATTTATTACATTTTCGGCTCGCAAAAATGGATGCCACGAATGTCTATGTCAACTGTGGTGATATAGCCAGATAGGTTCAGGTTAAGATGCTGTTAGATATCAATCGTCACCCGCCATTTTTCTTTCGTTTTTAATTGCGATAGTGCGCGCGCTGTTCATCTGGTGTCATCTCATCTCGTTATTTAGTCATAGCATTACTTTGTGTCAAATAACTGTGTCTTTGACGATGTGGGTGTTCCACGGTGCCTACTTAAATTTCGTAAGCGCATACGCTCAGGTCAATCGCAATGTTCTCAGTTCTGAATTTCGGCTTGAAGTTGCCTAGTTCAATCTTGATTCTTAAGAAGAACTATCAACAGCATCGTCACTGTCGTTGATGCGGTCAACCCAACATAATTGCACCATATTCATGGTAACAATAATTGTTATTAGTCGACTTTTCGCTATCCATATACTGGATAGTAAAAACTGTGATTTACTTATTAAACCCTTTGATGCTTGTCAAGTACCGGCAGGCTTTCCATCTGCGTATGTGCACACAGTACTACGTTGACTTATAATAGTCAATTTCATATTTGACATACAAGTTACAATTGGTAACCTCGAACCAATAGAACTGCAGCATAACACAAACAAACAACCAGCAACAGGCAATGCTGTTCATGTCATCGTTGTTATTCTACAATGTCACACTACGAGAAGCAAACTTTACATGTACTATGTAAAATTAACCCTATGGCGCCATTTACCACTGGCACTGATAATTCATGCAAACAGTGTTATTTTTGACCGTAGGCCTTCTAATTATGTGTTTTAGAACTCTGTTCATGGGACACCACACAAATTTGTACTGACTATGCTTTCCAACCGTGTCCTCGAAAGAGACCCGTTGCAGAAACATATTAGTTGAAAGTTTACAGGCTTAACGCGGGAAAATTCTCTACCAAGCCAATCCTAGATATAAATTTGGAATTTGCGAGCTGATGAAACTTATGTTCTCATGTAAAGTTAACTTCACTATTTAATATAACATTTACTAAAGGTTATTTCATAATGGTCTTTAATGTCGGCTTGCGACGCAAGTTATTCTTTAATGTTGTATCAACTATTATAGCTTATTTTAGACAAATTCAGTGAGAAGCTTTCGTGGCCTATATTTTCTGAAACTTAGCAATAGCCTGCAGCAAAATATTTAGCCTGCAGCTTTTTGTCTGCGACGCTTAAAAACTGAATATTACATAAGGTTTTCATTTCGAGGGTTAACTCTCAGCCTCTACATTAATTGAATCATCCCGCATCAGAGTCGTTAGATTTTACTAGGGTGCTTACTACGTAAAGGTCATCCAGAAGGAAGCCCTTTAGTTCCTGCCGAAGCCCGCGATGAGAAGGCTTACATTGCAAAGTGGCAGATCCGTCATAAAGTATCACATGCCATGTTTCTTTCAGTTGGTTGTCGGCTACTCAGCCTGTAGCATGAAAAAACCATGGGCCTACTAACTAACATCAATCTGTATTCTGAAATAATTGCTTTGAAACGATCGTACTAATTACAGAGTGGATCTTAGTTTCTCCCACAAATGTCCACTTGTCAACCAATGAAAAGATAATCTACTCACGCTTTTACGTATTAACCGCCCTTAGTGTCATCACTACATAGAGCGATGCATACACCTATGCAGATTCATTATGCAAGATCTTGGTTTGTCTGCATCAGGGAAAATGCAAAATTTTAACTAGTATCGTGGCCAATACTCTGTGTGAATTATGTTCAGATGAATCAAATTCGCGTCACGGCCGCTAATCGACAGATTGACATATTTCAGATAACGGAAATGATGACGGCTTTAAATATACAAAAAGGAATCTTTTTTTTTGCAGCCTTGAATAGTTACATCCAGTCATGCAATCCGCGCGGCAATTCGTTGGCCGTGGGGCGCAATGGTTGCAAATATCAGCTTGGGCAAGTGGCCCAGGTCGCTCTACTAAAGGTCAATGTAGCCACGGGCTACTTCGTGAAGGAGCAACTCTTGATAAACGGGCGTCTGGTCTTTCAAGTGCCAATATCGTCCGATTCCAGTGTTCAAGAACCCCTACAGAAGACGCGTTTGCTAAGGAGTACACGCCTGTATTTGGATCTCACCTAGCAAAGGTTCTTGAGCGACCTGCAGTACAAGACGATACCGGTAGTTATTCTTATACAGAAGTGTACCAACTGGCAGGAGCTATTCACGAGCGGATTATCAACAAGGTACGCAATGACAACACTACATACATTTATTTATTAGCGCCTCGCTTGCTATGCGAAGAATAGGTTCTGTAATCATTGGGTTACAAAATCTTTATATTCAATACAACCCTACATTAGTCTAATCTGCCTATTGTCGAATAAGCTACCTACAAGCAAGTTTCAAAGGAATCGGGTTCCTGAGTATATGTTCGTTATGGAGTAGAAGGTGTCGTTTAATGCTTATGCAGTAAACGAGCTCCACACCAATTAAAAGTCAAGTGTAACATTATCCTATTTGTCACTTGCTCGATACGATAATAGGGCGGAGTTCAACCAACTATCGCTGGCGATACTCCTTGCATAGATGGCGGTGACGGAGGTAGGTTACGAATTGTGCCGCGGGTAGCTTACCTCTGTCCGGGGGATGTACGCTACGTAGCTACTCTTTGGGCAATTTGGAAGAATGGCTTGTGTGCTGTCCCCCTGTTCCACGAACATCCCATAAGCCTAATGGAGTATTACGTCAACGACCCTCAAGTCAGTCTGATTATAGGTGAGTAACAGCAGATAGGTCTTAATGTCACAAAACATACTTCTTCCAAAGTGTTGTCAATGCTAGAGGGCAAGATATCGGAAACGAAGTGTGTACCACATGTGATGTTTATTATGTTTCCCTGATTTACTCAGTTTCATTATTTATAGCTGCCATTAAATTTAATTTAGGCCTTCAACTAAATTGCAACTTAGTAGTAGAAACACGATGTCAAGGACATTGCTGTAGGACTAGACATCAAGGCACTCAGCCTTCTAGATGCATTGCAAATTCGCTTTTATACCTAGACACTGGTATACTTCTGTTGTATGCTTATGATTATTATCATGGCCCGCAAGTAATAATCACAAGAATGTTTACTTTATTGTGCATACTACAGGAACTAAGGAGTTTGAACCGAAATTAAAAGAACTTGGAAGTAAAACCAACACGCCAGTACTTATTCTCGGTGACACGGAAGAAATCGGTCTAGGACCCAGCTGGGACAATACGCCCAAATGGGTATAATGCTTTTTTTTCTGTAGTTCTTGCTTTGTAGGTGTTAAACAGAAAGTATCAATAAAATTATTCTGGACTGATGTATGTGATCTCATATTATTTCTACTTATTAGTTCCTTTTTTTGAAAAAAAATAAGAAACATTTTTACGCTAATTAGTGTGCGGAGAATTAAGCCTGCAGAATGAAGAATAACGGCTACAGGCAAAAAAACTTAGGGAAATATTGAAAAAAAAAAAAAGCATTTTTAATTATCTTCGATTTGACTGAAATGAATTAAAAAAGAGAGTTGGCCAAGCTAAAAAACGGCAAATTTTTTAATAGGATAATCAGCCTTCATTCGCAGCACATTGCAAACATGTAAACTCACGAAACGACTTAAAATAATGGATGAACAGTAATAGACCTACCCTTTGTTCATTAATAAAGAGATTCTATAGAAAATGTATCACTTTTTTTCTTTAGATTCAACTGCGGTCTCAGTTTGCGCTACATATATGGTTTGTCGGTGGCACACTGCGATGGCAAATACCTACAAGTAGGATTTCGTATCTCTGCAAGAAGTTTGTACATTACCCTTTCATAATAAAAGAAAGACTGCCTGCCCGAATTTGGCCGTTTTGTATAGGCATAGAATGCACTAAATTTACCTAGAAGTTTGCCGAGTACATGTTTGAAGAGTACATACATAACTGCATATGTTAATACTTACTAAAAATAATAACCTGCTTTCTATAATGTAAAATTAAATTGCAGTATGGACTTGAGACGTACGACGCTCTAATAATGTACACGTCAGGGACAACCGGCCCGCCGAAAGGTGTAGTGCATCGTCACGTTAATCTGTGGTTCCAAGCATCACAAATCCGGGATGCGTGGCAATGGACTGATCGCGATCGAATGCTGCACGCCTTACCGTTGCACCACACGCATGGCATAGTTTCCGGTCCGGTTTAATATTATGCTGCGTTAAACTGTTTCACTTTAATCGTAACCACTGTTACTGCTGAGATTTTGAATTCAAAAGTACGGTATTAGATCAACGGAACCTGTCCTAGGCTGAAACCATTTATATATATGTACCTATGTGCAATTAAATTTCCGCCTTCCAGCAAAATTGTTACAGTCTAGGAATTTCCTGACATAATATTAACACGTTTTTGCATTTTGTACACTATTTAAGGAATTTTGACACCGCTTTACTCAGGCGCCTGCATCCGTATGCTTCGAAAGTTTGACCCTGCTAGAGTACGTATGAATGAGTAAATCATTCTCTATCCTATTTATTGTTTAATATCATTTTTGGCATTAAATTAGATAATATATATTATGTATTCTTGTCACTCAGGCAATTAGGATTTTTCCTTTCATAAACAGTGCTTAAGCTACCGTAAAAACCACTACCGTTGACAAAGAATATATACGCCTACTGGACATTTTTCGACAACTAAAATCCTAATTTGTAAGAATGATGATAGTATTCTAATTATATTCATAGTGCATTCTAAATGAAAGTTAAATAAAGTTATTCCCTAATTTTCCAGATTTGGCAACATTTGTTGCTGGAAGTGGAATCCGAAAACCCTGTGTCCATATTTATGGGTGTTCCCACAATGTACGTCCAACTTCTTTCGTTCTTTAAAAACCACTTAGCATCCAGTTGGCCTACGGACAAGGTTCACAAAGCAATTCGCAGCCACATCAGGTCAGATTCTTTATAGCTAATTCTTCCCAATAACCCCTTGATAATTTAGAATTTTGCCGAATTTCCATTAGAGGTCAGTTCATTACTATACTACGTTACACATCCGTTAGTAAAGTATTAATTTATTTAAAGGGATATCACTTTGGCGCTTGGGCCATACTTCGTGTTGAGCCAAAAAAGCATGGGCTTACGTTTTCAAATGAGAACATCGATACTCAAGCAGCTTGTTTGTCACTTCTAACAGTTATCCAATAATCATTCTCTGAAAATCTCACGTCTACTCATAAAAGCCGTTGGTAACCGCTGGTAGCCATTTCACGATCTAATATAAGTCACACAGTATGTGACGTCGAATAAAATAAATTATATAATTTGGCAGGCACTAACTTAGATGTTTACTTAAAAATCTTACAGGCTCCTCATCAGCGGTTCAGCGGCTCTTCCGGAACCTATTTATAGGCAGATTAAAGAAATTATGGGAATAGAGGTTCTCGAACGATACGGCATGACTGAAGTGGGAGTCCCACTTTCAAATAACCTTCATGGAAAACGATACGTTGGTTAGTAGCCAACACTTTTTTTGATAGAACCTCTTTATACTTTGAAAAGAGTTCATGAGCTTAAGGTTCGGCCGGGGCATGATAATACTGTTTGCACCTTGATATTAATAAATCAAAATAAATTGTATATTTTAATGCAGCTATATCTTGGACGCGTACTAGGGGCGATCGTTTTTTCGCACGCAGTTCAACTTTGTGTTCCGCTACCTTTTGATTGACGACATCAGCGATGTGCGTTAGTAGAAATGCACTAAATACCTTAGTTTAATATTTAGCATACTTTCTGCCCGACTCTCCCTCCGCGCCGCCGTCACAAACTGAGTAAAGCAGCTTAGGAACAAATTATATTGCCCGACTGAATAAATAATTACCGTAATCATATAAAAAGATTTTGTTATACCTTCTTATATATATGCAGGTTATGTTGGTTTTCCTACGAGAGGTAGTGAGATCTTGATCGCAGAGCTGGAAGGGCGACGAATCGTAAAAACAATAGCGAAAGGAGATTACAACGGAAGTACCATTTATGAAAAAGGTTATTTCGTCTTTTTGCACATTTATAGCATATAAATAGTCGATCTCACCAAACACGCTCGATCCAATCGGAATATTTTTAAATTATTTTTACACAAAAGTTTAGATCGTATTCGCAAGCGTTTGGATTTGACAAGAATACGATAGTACAGAGCAAAACGAAGAGAGTTCGTCTGAATCTCAACGAGCTTATTTACTCGTAATCTATATGCAATATAGCTGTACCCTATGGTCAGGCCTTATATGATTGCCAACTATTAAGATTAATGTTCTGTATAGTTTGAGAACGTCTGCTTGGAGTCTAGCGAATACATTTTAACAAAAGGGAGCAGACCCTGATGACCTGTTGTGTAGGACTTACATAAATATGCGTACATAGAGAATTGCTCTGTATTGTGTGTTATACCTAACACTAATTTCGCTGCTGTTACATGTAAATTGTAGATACGAGCGGAGACTTACTACTGCGCGGTCCGTTTGTATTTAACCGTTACTGGAATAAAAAGGAAAGGACAAGGGAAGCCTTTAGTGAGTGCGGGTGGTTCATAACGGGAGATATAGCTCAGTGCATTATGACTGAAAATAACGGATCTAAAGGCGTCTACAAGATCCTGGGTTAGTTGCAGCTAATTGGCTTATGACGAATATCTCTGCTGCAATCCTGTCCAGCTTCTATTCCAAAATAATCTTTCATCTATGAACGTCTTGAAGACGTTTAGCTATATTTATTCATTTTACGCAAGTTCAGTTGTCGAAAGTGTTTTTTTTGTTTAATTAACTTTAACTTGATACTATACATAACAGTCCGTACATTGTTTTCACTAGAATTTGCATTACTTCACTGCGCAGCAACTCGTGCTAAATTAGGTTCGTATTTTTCTTATAGCACATATAGTTTATAGGTACCTAGCTAAGAGGCCGCGCGATGGGTTAGTAATTCAAAATACTACCATACCACTTGAGACACATATTACCTCAAAAAGTGAGTTTCCGACCGATTGGTGTCAGTGGCGCTCGGTAACAGGTCATATCAATACTTTAGTCACTACACCATGCATGTAGCTACCACGTATAGCCTACAAGATGGCTGCCTCTCAAATCTGAACATCTAAACTAGATGTTAGTTCAAGATAGTAATGTTTATGTCGAGTTTTTTTTGTTATAAGATGTCAGTTGCCGATACAAAAACTAGAAAAAAAATTATATACATATATCTATATAATGAGTAAGCTAGAAGTTGGACAGTCTGAAAACAGTGTGTTGTTAGTTGGAGAGTTTTATTTCATTTCTGTTAAAGCACCAAACGGTTGCGATAAGGAACGGATTTATTTATGAAATGTAGTTGTTACAGGGACATCCTATTTGAGCTTCTAGATTACAGTTTTATAGTACGGCGCGGGTAAATGTCTAAAACGCAATTGTTAGAACAATAACTACTGTCCAACAATTTCATTGGTTGGCTAATATCAAAATACTCCGTAGTATGTTTATAACATAGTATTATAGAAATCTATAAACATTATATTGGGATAAGCAGCTCAATCCGCAATATATATATATTAGGCTTGTTTGCGACGTCTTTGCGCAAGCGGTATAATCAGATTTCCAAACTGAGACAGATCCCTTGTTACTTAAGTAGCTATTATTAATAACTGGATACCAATAGTTATTGCTGATATTTGTGTGGACAAAATAGGACGTGCTTCGACCGACATAATCAAGTCAGGTGGTTATAAAATCAGCGCTCTTGATGTTGAAAAACACCTGTTAAGTCATCCGGATACTGATGAAGTAACGGTAGTTGGGGTTCCTGATGAAATATGGGGTGAGCGCGTAGCTGCTATCGTTGTGCTTAAAAGCACTGCAAGCGTGAGTAACAAATGAACGATATATTTTTAGGCATAGGACTAAACAGCTAATTAAAGTGCCGTATATTATATATAAAGAAACTATTTACTACCAAAGCAACTAATTTCTATGAGAACGATTCCCGGATGTCAAAGCTATTAACCGATATAAAAATAATTTACAAGAAGTTACACGACTTTAAGATTTTTCAGTTGAAATTATAACTGCTGTCGATTTTATAAAACACTTGTGAAAAAAAGCCCGCTTAAAAGACTACAGTAGTGTAATTCGAAATAAATAAAAATAGTCTATTTATTGTTTGTAGTTCAAACTTTATACGTTTGCAAAGATAATTGCTACAATAGCCTTCCAAACAGAATTGGGTGCGCTTTTGTCTAAATGAGGTTATTACTCGGATGTTAAAGGAGCTTCAGCTGGATTCTTTGCGAGCCTGGTGCAAGAAGCGCATGGCATCATACAGTGCACCAACGATCTTAAAAATCGTGCCGAAACTGGAGAGAAATTATCTTGGGAAAATCAACAAGAAAGAACTGGTCAAGAAACTATTCCCAAGCTCCTCCTAGAGAACATGGAAGACTCACTAAAACAATTACGGCATCATTGCATGGGTGTCGCATTTATGTATGTATATATATATATATATATACAAATGTTGATTGTTTTACAGAGTGCCTGGTTTGATCGCATTCGTTAATAAAAAAACTGAAACACTATGTATTTTTTGCATTATTTCATATCTTCACTTATAGCTACTTTTTCATAAGCACTATAACTTGAAATCATCCGTAAACATAAATACAAGAGAGATCCTTGCCTATAATTTTTATTTGATGATCTCAGCTTGATACTACTTAGTACTGTTAGGTCACATGCAGTTTTTTGTAGCTTTTGCTGGACAGCGAATTTCATGATAACTGTATGACTTCGTGAGACTGTTCACATGACTTCCAACACGACTCGCTCAGAAAATATATATTCTTACCTGACACGTGTACATTTCGATGTTGAATCATTTCTAATAAACGAATGAACTTATTTTTCTGATATATTACAGTTATTCGTGCTGTGATTGCCTAGATAAAAGCTAGCTTGAAATATGCTATTCGTATCAAGTTATGATTTCCATAAACCGGTGGCAGTTAGAGATTAATTGTGATTATTACTTACAATAATATTCTTCTTATTAGACATAAGGTTTGATGTAATACAATTTGAAATAAAAAAAAAAACGTACTTATGTCGAGGTACCTGACGAGTACATTCCAGGTCTACACCTTGAGTCGCTATCAACAAGGCTCACCGAATAATAACTACTTATTGACTAGAGTTTACCTACTAAACGACCTTAAAACAAAAGCATGCAATTAAATTAATTTTAAGCCAAGCGGCTGTCCTCAGCTTTATGAGGCTGCAGTTAGGTTATAACAGAATATTAACCGAATGCATTAAATAGTATTTTTTATACCAGTTAAAAATTAAAACAGGTGACTAAAAGTTGGAAGATTCGGGTCCTAAACGGGTAAGACACTTGCTAAAAGTCAAGTGTCCTAACTTAGACCTTCCGTTACCCGTGACAAAATAACATACCTAAAAAATTACATACTGAGTGTCCAGAATAAATCGGAACAAATGTTAAAGTGTACATGCGTGCATCTATTATCCTTAGTGCTAACAAAAAGCCAGTTGAACCTAGAAATATACCACAGGCCTGTCACGGCAGAGGCAAAAAGCTTCTGTTCAGAAAATAAACAAAGGTCAGCATACGAAGGTATTATCTAATATTTTTGCAGCGGACGAAACCTGGTTGTAAACTTTCTCGGGTACTCGAAATTTACTGGCGGCATTATTGACTCAATGCGCCCTCCAATAGGCCTAAGAAAAATTTTCGTGAAGCAAAGAGGAAATCCATTAACCGTATTGCATTGAAAGGGCTCGAATATTATTAAAACGGCTCTGCCATCATTTGACTCTGCCATTTTTAATGATCTCAGCATTTCGAGAAAAGGTATCTATCGCCAATTTAGCCTTACAAGTAGGCCCCAGCATTGTTTGTTGTTACTATTTGCGTTTGTTGCAGTTTTTGAACTTGTTAGTCTCTCTGGACCCTTGGATTTTTGAGATTTCTGGCCTATTATCGACCAGAAGCTTTAATCTGTTAGTCTTGTTTTTACACATGGCGTGTTTCAGCGAGACTTCAACGTGCCATACATACGATCTCTTTAAAAGATATCTGTCAATTCAGCGAAGCTGCTTCTAGGCTTTAACTAGCCAGCTATGTAAGCCCTGAATAGAAGCTAATGGCAGTGGCATTGAATTTACAGTCCCACAAGAGAATCGCTTATGACACGTACAGAATAAAGTCACTTAAGTATTTATATTTATTAATATACAGTGCCAAACAAATGACACGAATTATGTCTCAATTCAACCTGAATATTTTCATCTGATCAAAATACTGGCAACTTCTCATTTTTTTACGTATTTCTATTGTTTTAGTTAGGACAGACAAAACATGTGTTAGTTCCTTTGTTCGCTTTAGTGATATGTTATGTCAGTGTAATTCACTGTTTACTCAAGATTTAATCGATGGAATCCATTATTGCAAGATATATCTTCTGAAGAGCAAATACAAACTCTATCGTTCAGAAATGATTGTCGTTTTTCTAAATAGAGCCTTCCAGCCAGTAAGTTTTATCATATTTAAAACACTATTGTACCATTAAATCACTATTAAATCCTCAAAGAAAATATAAATTTCAATATCAAGTCGTCAGTCGATGCTCAACTTCCTTTTAGCTTGACACTTGTTATTTTTGCACTGGCTATTATGTGGTCGTTCACAGTTGTGTTGTAATTAGATAATAAGTTATTGAATAAACCGTGTTTGATTCTAAATTAATCTGAAATCACATGCACTAAAAGATGCTCCTAAAATGAAAAAGTACAACACTTAAACCTTCTCTTGAATAGACAGCCTGGCCAATCGCATACAGAAACAGTTTGGGTAACATTTTCAAGCGAAGCACATCTATAATTTTGGACTTTCTTGTTTTCATGCCGCGCGCCATGCTGTCCTCTCCAAATCGGATGAACGCCTTGGCCATACGGGAGCCCCCGTCGTCTGCATCAGGTGAATGGACCAAAACAGGGACATCTTGTTTTGGTTATGTAGCTCCTCTGTGTTGTTGCTGTGAATGATTGTGTGGGCCTGTGGATATGCCAGAGAGCAAAAATAGACTACAACACTTTTAGTACAACTGTCTCTGTGAGGACAAATATCGACACGGTCATTAACAATACTAGCAGCTGTAGTGCCTGCAGTTGTAGCAGGGTGAACAAACAACACCTACAAAGAGCAGAAAACAGCGAATGCTGGTTACGGCAGCAGTATCTGTCCAGTATCAAAGTAGGAGCCGTATCACGAGTAAGAGGTTAATTTTTCCTTATTCAGCCGGAAAATTGCTCGTATGTGTTCCTGCAGAGGCAATAACGATAGGTTCAGTGTCGTTTATCTAGCCTTTTTGGCTTCTTGTAGTGAAGATAAGAGTCGGTTAGTTGGTGCATCAGCAGTGCTCGCCTTTGTAGGTACGAGCAAGGGGTCGACCAGCCAGCAACGAGTGAGTTCCTACACACTGCGCTAAATATCTTTAGCAGCGGTGGCTTGCCATAACTCCTACAACCATAACAAAGCAACCAAATAGTAGTTAGAAAAGTAAAGAACTAAGAATGAGTATTGGGCACCTCCGTTACTGCCACCGATTTAAATGCTCTGCGATGTAAGCTCACAGCAAAACAACCCTCACTACTGCTGTAATTACAAGAACTGCAACTGTTACCAGCCAGTACCAGTAGTAATGAAGCGTAACACTGGTGTTCATATTAAGAAGAATGACTACAAGATGGCATTGTGTTGACTAGCCACTACCAGCAGCAAAGGGCAGTCTGTACTAATAACAGCAATATTATTATTATTATTATTTAGAAATTATTTAGGTGCGATAACAGGGCATCAGACGTGTCCTCTAATTTATGTTGGCGGCGTCTCCTGGTGGACTGTCCCGGTTAAGTATACGCCGATCTTTGTGATTCATCGAACATAAGAGGATTTTTTGATGAGATAAAGGCAGCGGCGGCCAACAAGAAAATCGTACGCGCGATTACGTAGAGTATTGATGACTGGTTGTTCTTAAAATATGTACTGACTGACGACCCTGTCGCTTTCTTTTTCGCGCTTCTATTTTATTGTTATTATTAGTATCATCGTTTTTTATGGAATGCGTCTATCAGCATGTGTTTGTACTTGAGGAGCTGGAATAAGAACGATCTTCACCCTGTGCTCCCACTAACGATCCTAGGAGGCCACGAGGTATACGATTTACCAGTAACGATCGATACAGAAGAAGAGTTATTAAAAACCTCGAAAGCGGTTAAGCTGGTATTGCTTGTAATAGAGACGAAATTGTCAAAAGCTGTTTGGCCCAATTAGATATGACGTTCTCACTCTAAACTATTTCGGACTGCTTCTTTTGTTAGTGATAAAATAACGCGGAAGGGGTGTAAAGCATCAGATATTTATCATATATCTACCCCCATAAGTCACACTGAATCTGTTGTCGAGCGAATAGACGAAGCAGCAGCACGGAATCGTAGTTAACTAGACGCGACTCATCATTCGCAAGGCGCACGGACCTGCTCCACTACATTATTACGGTTCAATGTACAACGGTATTGTGAATCTGCAGAACACAAAACACGGAGTTCAAGTACGAACATTATAGCAAACTGTTGGTCGGCGTAAGCGCCGGTAAAAAGGAAGTGTTTTTGATGAGAACGTACCCATCTTCGAATTTAGTGACAGCTGGAGTATCTCGAGTGAGAATTGTCGTCCACTTTGTTGACGTAATCAGGAACTCAACTCGAGGACCAGATGTGAACAGTGTTTGTTTTGGAGGAAGGAGGGAACGCTGTTAATACATTTCACACAGTATCCAACAGTTATTAAGAGCGCTCATATCAAGGCATTGATAATGCATTTTCCCTACTTTTAATGCAATGATTATGCTCATTATGGCTACTGATACGAAACACAGGAATTGAACTGATGACTATTCAGGTGACGTGACGAAAAACAATGCAATAACACCACCAGTACTAGAGACCCAGCGCAGAAGAAAGCATCCTCTTGAGTACAGCCGTTCAATGCCAGCTATCTGTTTGTCTTCGTTTCGTGTTCGTGCCTCAGCGTGTTGGCGTGTGCTCCATTAGGATTCGAGTATCGTCTACATGTAGAGCGTGCTTCTGTGATGACTCGTAAATGTATGATTTTCTCAACTGTCATTCACGCCCACCTCTAACAAGTCCTCACTACATCACCATTGTCACCTTTCATATTTGATTGTTTCCTTACGACCACATAATCGCATTCAATAAAAACCGAATTCAAAAACGGAAAGATACAATCGATAGAGAAACAAGCCATTACTCAAACGATCAAACCAGAGTGACCGGTGTCCACCTGCGAAACTGTTTGCTACTAACAAATCGCCCAGCTGCAGCGTCCTGCGGCAGTAATAGCAATAGTGCGAACGCAGAATTGACAAATAAAAAACGGCCGACCTGATAATTGCGTGCTGCAGTTAACAATCGGTCGTTCGTGTCAAAGTGTCACCAATAAAGGTGTGATTCTCACTGGACGTAGTTTGTTACTGTTGGATGCGACTTCCCGAGTGGCAATGGAACAGTTCGTGTGCAAACAGTGACGAACTGTGGCGTTAAAATTAAAGTATATTCAAGTATTATCATAATGTTATATGATAATATTTACTGCGAAAAAACAGCTGTAACTGCGGCGTTTACTGTGACGGTGACTGCTACTTCTAGTCTACCCGTAATAACGTTTCGCGTTTCGGTGATGCCAGAGTGCGGGTGATGCAACGTATTTATACATCAGTAGACCAGTAGAATAGATAAATATCTTGCTATTTAAATTATGACTATGGTTCGTCTCATAGGATAGTAATAACAGCAGCAACGTTAAAAAGCTATCTCAAAGTAAAGCCGACGTCAAAGAATTAATCGAGCGAGCGGAGATCCTGAACTATACTGAACGTTTGTGAGCGAACGGAGGATATGGTGTGCCGTTGCTAACTTCGGTGTCCTGCATTTTCCCGCGACGATATCGGCTTTGCAATTTAGGTACTTTGGCTGCGCTTTGTATTTGTGCCAAAGGAAGAATAAAAGCGCTATTTATGCGTGTCTCGCTGATACGCGGGCAATTATACTCCTTGTATCAATCTGTCATTTAGAGAAGCATCTGTCATATACGTAACATCAAAGAACGTCGGCCAACAAAAAGGACACAAATAGGAAAAGAAGCTCTAACGAGAAGAATACGAACGATAAATATATTCACCCAAAGTTGAAAGTGGTTCGTCGGCACGTGGCAGGGTTGATAGCAGGGGTAGCACCGTGATTCGATTTAATAATGCAACGGCTACTTCTGGTTGCAACTGCACTGGTGCAGTTGTTGCAGTTATTCATGGTCAGGGCAACTACGACCTGCAATATCCGCTTCCGACTGTGAATCTGCGCTGTAAGATGAATGCGCGCTAAGCTAAGCCGTAGCAGCAGCAGCAGGTCCTCGTATCGGACCGAAGCGTGGCGGCAGTCTCGGCGGCGGCGACGACGACGACGACGGTGGTGACGATTATGTAAAGAGCGATGACGACAATACCACTGTTCATGACCGCTGCCACTGCCTAGAACGAGGCTGTACTAGAGAAACTCGCTGGCCTGAAATAAGTATCCGAATACGTATAAAACCTGGTGAACGACAACGTGTAGAGTTTTCAGTTCTGGCTATCGGAATTGGTTTAATTTTTTTAGTACGTCATAATTTCTATCAACGGTACCATCACAACGATCAGCACCAGTATCTTCTCAATCTATCATTGCTCTCTATCACACAGGCAGTTGTTGGTGACCTATTTCACCTGCCAGACACTATCTTCCAATTGTTGTTCCAACTACCGTCACCACATTTTTTGTACGTCTGACTATTGCACAAGCATCCGCTGAAGTCTGCCGATATAATGGCAGGCCGATGTAAAAGCCGGACCCGATTTATACCGGCGATGGCCGCATGGCTGCTGCTGGTTGTTGCGACCGGAATCTTCTTCGCCTTTCCGTAAGTAGAATAATATTAATAATTAAAATAAGAATATATAATTAATCATATTTATATGTTGCTGTCAGCATAGTTCTTCCATTTCTTCTTACGCAAGTTCTGTATACATAAATATAATAGCTTGATAGGTAGACTGCGACTAAAGTTTAACAATAGCAGTTTAACAATAGTTTCTCATACTAAAAACACAACTAACGGAAACAATCTTGCAGGACATCACAACTGGACCGTATTTCTGCTAAGTTTAATTGACTTTTTCTGTACTTAAAACAATGCGATGCTATCGATAAAACTGTCATAAAGTCTAAAATGGACCTAAAGTCTTCTGCTAATTGTTACCACGGTTCTGCTCAAAATGTGTACAGTCAACCATTATTTAACAAATTGAATTTTACAATTTCCTTTCTGATAATTCGCCTCGTGCGCGCCACACTACTATAACGAGGTGAGATATTGTAAGGTATAATTTAGTTTGCAGTCAGATTATTTTACGAACGGAAGAGTTCCATGCCTGAACAGCACCGGTTTTATATAGCGTTGTAACGCATTTTCAGCTAGTTAGCATCCTCATGAAGTCTTGCACATTTCGAACTAACGAAACAAGTGAGTGAGGCGGAAACTCTCGCGGCGGCAAGTACCAAAAACGCAAGACAAAAAACGTACAACTCATCGCTTAGATGAGTCATAGGTATACTAGACACAAAGACTAAAAAATAATTCGTTCATAATTTACACAACTCGACAAGTACAAATATTTCTAGTAGAATTTAAATATTACACTAAGTTGTATTTATAGCTAAAACGATAATACTTGTAATTACCAAAAAATGTTAGATAAATGCTTCAATTACTAGACAACGCGCTGAACCAAAAATCGAATGCGATAATTTTAATCTGGGATACTTACTTAAGATTTTCACATACAACTTTAAGGATCAAGTGGCGTTGGACAAACAGTACTGCTTACTAAGTTAACAGGTATTAGTGTTTCACGACTGCATTATGGAATACCGGTCATAACAATAATGACCAAGCAACGGTCGTGATTATTAGTTTGAGATCCCTTAGTGATTGCTGTTTTCCCCATCCTTTGGTTGGATACGTTGTTGAATACTGCGAATACTGACAAACAAAATCGAACCACAAAGTTAAGAACGTCGTGCAATGACGGACCAAAGTCGATCGAAAATAATAGTTTGTTATGGTCGATGACAATATAGTTCAGCCATAGATTTAGTATAATAGCTAAAAAAATTCGAACCGTAGGCGTTCGAAGAAACGATATAAAATACAATTTCGTTATGCAATATATGCAGTCTTTTCGGCTATTATAGAAACCGCTAATGATATCAGAAGACGTTAGTGCTCGGTTTACTACTGTATTATTTTGTTTCAGCATATGTCTTATTGAATAATGTTGGTAGCGCGGTCTATCTAATTTAGGTGATATGGTTCTAGTTTTCTCTGTGTGTTCTGAAAGTGCTCTGAAACACCGGTGACGCTTCCACGAAATCCTTCATTTATCTATTCATGTAAAACGCAGGCACAGTGCTTGTTAATGGTGGAAGCAAGTTCTGTACTGCTTATGAGCATTATTGGACATCATTCAATAGATTCGTCCGTTCATCAACAGCGAAGTAATGCGTCCCTCCGTGACTAAATTATTACTTCATTTTTAACGTGCTGATATTTAATACATCGACGACTCAGCTCGGTGTGTGATACTTGTTCTAACTACGTGAGAAGTATGTTTAGGTATTACCAACAAGGTTTCAAAATTAAGAAATCAGAATCCATTTTGACTACTTCGTGTAAGTATGTGATTCAAAACAGGCTGCATAAACACAAGCTTATGCATTATTTATTAGTATCATTATTGCTTGTTGGCGTTTTCCATGCTGATTGTTACAAATCTTTATCGTTATTATAGCAAATTATAACAATCTGGAAAAAAATGACCTTTAGCACTTACGCCATCTACATACCCTTATAATATATATATATATATATATATATATATATATATATAGTAAACAAAAGCGTAGGTTTGCCCGCACCTGTTTTTGTATTGAAAACATTATATTTTGTCTGTGCTAAGTTAAAAGGCTAATCATATTTGAAACTGAAATTCCGTTTTATTCTGAGGTTTCTCAAAATTAATTTGGTGCTTTAGCCTTGGGAGCCCTGAAAAACCAAACACTTCTTTTTTTCACTTTTTTCTCATTTTGAGTTTTGTTCTACAGTCTTGTTATTAGATGATTTATGCTATTGGCGTAGTAGCATCAAGGCTTCAGGTCCAGACTTTAGGGTTTTCTGCCGTGCATACGTGAATGTAGATTTATGAATAAGAGGTCTTTTCTTTTTCTTCATACAAATAGAGCGATTGTTTCTTGTTCTTTATGAACTCCTTGACGCTGCGGGGAATTTTTCACGTGATTGAAAGTAGCATCAAATTGACCGCGACTAAATGCGGATTTTTTGGTAGCCATTAAGGCGTCTTATATTGTCTGTTTTTGTGTTCTGTGAAGCGCCATCGTACAGTGTAATTATGCTGGAAATTGACGTCGCTGAATTGGGACTATATTATGTCCTGAAATATTTAGAAGGAAGCGTAAGGATGTAATCCGTAAAGTTATTGCTTGTAGTCTTCGGTGTAAAAAGATAGTTTTACAAATCATAAGCTCTCATGCTTGTGTGGTTACAAATTTTTAGGAGGAGTGAATTTTCTCATATGGATGATTGATTTCTAGTTATAGGTTATAAAACAGCAATCTGGACATCTCAATACTGTCAAGAAATTCGGTGGGAAGGTGCGTGGTATCGGCATCTTCTGTTACTTGATTGTACGAGTGATACTTTTCACGATTTTCCAAGATGTCTACAGAATTTTCGAATGATATCGACGAGTAGATAAGGCCGGTATATTGTGCAGTAGAATCCCGTTGTAATTCGAATTTTATCGGGCAGTATAATTTATTTACTAGCATAAAGTTTTTAGCGTTAACCTCGTTCAATCAATGATTAAACTGTATATTTAAAAGTGCCTCTGCAGATACGATTTTTTAATACAGATGTTTTCCATATCGATATGGCTACCTCGTTCGACTACTGATAGTACTTGACACGAGTCGTCTGAACACATATTAGGATTCCTCCTAAAGATTCATTTTTACTGCATATATCGCAAAGCGTTTGAACAGCACTTTCGAAGGCCTCTACTCTAATAATGTAGCATTCATCCCAAACAGTAAATGCTGTCTTGTGTAGTAAGTCTGCTTTGAATGTATCACTCTCTTTGGTGTTGTATCTTCCTTGACGTGAATGGGAATCCTGGATTGGTAGTCCGGGATGCGGCCTTCATGCGTCAAAGTTTCTAATGATGCGACTGTATTGGCCACTTTTCTATTTTTATTTACTTTTAGCTTGTACTAAATTAGTCACAAATGGTTTTATTTCTTCCTTCTAGGGTGTCACCAAAGGTCAATGAGCCGTTGCTTTGTTCTAGACAATCGCAAGTTTCGTCGTAAAATTCTTTTTGTTGCTTAGCAAAAATGAAAATTTTCTGTTTGAAGGGGATTTTAGACTTAGACCTACCTAAAATTAGCCGGAGGACATCAAGAGAATTCTCTCGTATTAGAATAATTCAGCTCCCTGTGCACCTAGTATTATTATTACTTTCTAAATTACACGGCATTCTTGATAATAATTTATTAGTTTCAATAAACTTTTAGATAAATTACTTCTTTTAGGAGAGTGGTACTGTTTTTCATAGGATTGTTTCGTTTAGGAATATGACGTAAAGATAATATCGAAGGTAGAAAAATGTAAATCGTGGTACGAGTAAATCGACACATATATCATACTCGACGTGGTACATAAAAATCGTACGGTTTTTAGTTGCACTTTTCATGGCGAGGGAACAATCTGTTTTGGTTCTAAATAGAGTGGCAATGGCAACTCAATTTGAATAAAGTCATCTGAAGTTGGCGGTTGTGGCTTTCAGACAGCGGTCATTGGTACGTTACGGAATCGCTAGTCATGTCCTAACGTCTATATCCCAGAGGGCATCTTCAATGGGGGTTATGTTGCCATAGTATTCGACGGATTGCCCTAAAATTATAGAGAAAAAGGGATGGGGGAGGATGTGTGTGTGTGCATTTTTTTTATATGGTGGCATGGTCTTGCCTTTAAGAGCACCTAAAACAGAGTCCATAAAAGCTGCTGGTATTATAATAAATTACGGGTGTATTTGTCAACGGCAAGGTTTTGCGATCATCGAAGGAACAATGTTTCATTTTGATAGATCTCGACATACCGAGCACTATACTTCTTATTCACATGCATTCTGGTAAGCTGCTTGCGATACTCAGGTTTACATCGTGCATAGAGCAATTGCTTCCTGAGAAACATACGTGCAGGTACGGCGTTCCGCGCCGGTGATATGCCCTATAGGGACAAAAATATATCATTGCCTTACATTGTAATCTACTTTATACCTTCTGAAATTCAAATGGGCTTCGCAATATAGGACATAATTCTTCTTTGAATTTTCTTTCCTTTTTTGTTCGTTCAGAAATACTCTACAGAATTACAAATAAAGACCTGAATTACCTTTGTTTGATAGATGACCATGAATTACCTATGCCCAATATATTTTTTAGCCTAGAAGCATAATTATACGGTTTATTGTTATAATGTGTAAGGCACCCTTCATCATTTTTCAGTCTAAAAAATAGCTAATAACGAATCCCGATAAATGATATTCTTTCATTGTTATGGAAAATAAATACATCTCAATAGCCATTATTTATACACCTTTTTTCCTATAAATGTCTAGTAACGTACCTTTTTGCACCGCCACTTTAGCTACAAGCCAGCTCCTGCTTCTACCTATTTATTTTGATGGATCAGTTATTATAATATAAATATACGAATGAATAATCGTTTAAGAAATCGTTAATCACACGGAATAAGTGGCTGGGAAGTGTCCGTCCTTGGCAAGCAACAGCGAAATCTAAATGGTAGCAATGAACGAATCGTTGGGAATATGGTCGAAGCCACGGAAGAGCTCCATAAACGCCTGACTGATTTAAAATCCCCACTAGTGTAATTCAACGAAAGGAAACCCAAGCGACGGTCGGAGAACTATAGGCGATTCCCGAAAAAATAGAAATAACTACCAGACCAACTTCTAAAAGGGCGTATATGTATCAGCACGTAATGACCAGCGCTTGGTTCGGTTTGAGGACCGGTGCAAGGGAGATAAGAGATTTAAAGTGGAACTGTGTGTACGCGTTCCTTCTGTCTAGAAAAACTTCTCAGTTTTTCAACCATTACAGAAGGGCTAACAAGGCGTTCAGAGGGTTCGCGACTGTCAAGCGGTCTTTGCTACATAAGATGGGTATGTATTTAAGTTTAATGTGTTCTTGGGAAGCTTTCCGAGAACGGCAAGGTCAGCACCTTTTGCTCTTTTTCTTGTCGCAACGAGAATAAGGTGATCCGGATAGTGCGAGACTATATAGACTATCTGGCGTTTGCTAGTCGAATTGTCCGCGAACTGTGCTAACTCCGCACTTTGTGGGGACTATCAGGTTCAACGACGGGAATGCAGCTCGCAAAATTGTTAGCCTACGAACTCGGATGTCTACAAACTTTGATGCTAACCTCGCGGCGCATCAATTTGTAAGTCATTCATGGGCGCCAGGGCACATACCAGAGGAGATCACGAAGAGGCCTACACAGCGCTAAAGTGTATTGGCCGTGACATGAGGGCATTTCGCCGAATAAGTGTAGTCAAATTATAATAAATACATTATTATAATAATATATCGATATAATGTATAAAGTAAGTAAATACTCAAGTTTTTAAGTAAATAGGTATTATTGTTAAATATACTAATCAGATAATTCTTCATATGTGCTTATCTGATTGTGATCTGCTGTGCAGAGCCAACTTTATACGGAGCATAGAAGCTCCATGAGTGATGATGCTAAGTTAAGAAACATCTGCAAGGATGTGTTGGTCCTATTGATTAAAGATGTTATGGGAGGGAAATTGGCCAGTAGAAAAATGTTATTGAAAAACACTGATTAAAGAGTAAATTTGAACCAAACCAGAACGAATAATGAACGAAAAACAGAAATAGGAAAAGCCGATCTCACTTGTAGTAACTAAATTACGTCGAATGTCGGATTGGCAAGAACTGAACCACGTTGAATATGGCAGCGTGGTTAACAACGTGAGGGGTGTACTGATGCTCCTATAATTATTTTCCATGAATCATCAAGACGTTATAATCAGACGTTATAATCGTTGCATTTAAGAAGAATTTTTGCATGGTTTAGTTCAGAAACGGACTGTGGTTCTAGTAATGATTTGGACTCCCAAATGACTAACGGTTTCAAAAAATATATCTTATTATTAAAATAATACCTCATATATATCATATTTGGCTGGCTTGGATATAATTTGAGTTATAAGAAGTATTTCTCGAAACTATAACTATAGTATCAAAAATTGTCAGAAAAGGTGGTAATGTTACCTTCACTAAAATTCTAAAAACCAGTTACAAAACATAAAAAAAACATCTTAAATAATTACTGTTATCGCCGCCTGTTAGATTTAACATTATTCTGTTGCTAAAAGTGTTTATGTGCAAAATTAGCTATCAATACTGAAGTCATTTGTGTAAAACTGTTTGGTCTGACTGAAATATACTTATAAGTTGTCCGAACTATTTGTTCGCCCGTCCTGACTGGATTTAGTTGAGCAACTTCAATTTAGTATGAATTTGTTATGCGTAGTACATACATATGAAATATCAATGTTTGCTACCGGAATCTTTCGTCAAGATACTCGAAAATTTCCAAATTACATAAAGGTATACAATAGCAAGGCTCTCAGTGAAGAGCTAGCGGAACTGCCTGCTCTGTTCTTACGCGTGCCTTCTCTCTCTCGGCAGCCGATATTATGACTGTTCGTATTTATTTTCAATATCGAAGTTAGTCAAACTCGTTGGGAACGAAAATGGGCATAACGGTAGTGAAGAACGCAGCGGCTGATTTGCAGAATGCGATAAGGAAGTGATCATGTATTGGAGAATGGGGAAGACGGGGAAAAGCGGTAAAGAGAGAAGTGAAACTAGCCTAAAGCCACGGCAGATTTTTGTACACAACCCCATCCTCGACAAGTAGCCACATTTAAAGCTGCCTGTTATTTTGCGCAAACCACGCGACGTATGTCTTTGGTAGTAGCAGCATGTCAAAATACGGTGCTACCGCAAAATCGTTCGAACCTAAAGCGCGGAGCACAAGCAGTAGTAAGCGAAGCTGCAACGTCTGTTTGGAGTTCGGTTGGGGGACCGTTATTGCTACCAAGATTAACAGGACAGCTTGTACTCCAGCTTGCGAGTATGCATATCTACCGGATGGCGTTGCATATAGTGAGAAGTTCTGTTCACCCGTCGATGATGGATTGGTTGCTGATGTGGTGAAGTAGAGAATCGGCAATTAAAACTCGTTACTTACTTCAAGCCAACCTTACAATGAGCGCTTATCTCTTCACATGTTTTCTGCCGTGAATGTGACAGAAACCCAAGGGTGCTGGCCAAAGGCATACCACCGCAATCTAGTGGATTGTGTGTTAAGCTGTGCAAGACACACGGCAACGTATCGGTGGTAACTACGGGCGCAAGCAGTAAGACAGAGTTAAGCAATCCGCCTGAGTACAAACACACACCCTCATTCACATGTAACGACTATTTAGATAGAACGAGAAAAATGTATTAAGTGTTTAGTTGGTGTTGAGTTTATGAATGGAAAAATTTATATGAAGGAAAGAAATAATTTAGCTTGCATAGTATTTGAGCGCTCTTGCTATTACCAAAAATATTGAGGGCTTAAGTTACAAATTTTTTTTTAATTTACTCCTCTTCATCGCACCACTGAGTTCCCCGCGAGTCTGAATTCTGTTACTAGCAAATGGATCAAAGAAATAATTTATTTACTGTAATCATTACTGGGGGGGACAATAAGCAATTCTGTTTAATGAGCTTAGCTTCAGTTGGCTGCCTAGCACACACTGCATTTTAGACAGCTAAAGGTAGAGCGAACCATTCCTAAAGAAGTTCCTATAACAAACACCTATAAGTGTCAAATACCCACTGTATTTTAGAACTCTGATTTGATTGTTTTCGGTTGAGAGGTGCATATTACTGTACATAGCTAGCTTAGGCATTAGGCGTCAGAACACACTTTAGTCAACCTATGCGGAATTATACCCATATTCGTTCAGTTATGGCGTTTGCTAGCATTACCGCCATATACAGAAAAAAATCTTTCGAAAATCCCAAAAATTATGTGGAGCATATATTCGAAGATTCTATTTTTATTTTAAATATGTCAAAGTTTTGGGAGGGCTATAAAGACATTAAATTTACCAGTTCTTAGTTTTGCATCTTAATGTAGCTATTTGGTGTTGCGTTAACAGTATCGGCTTTCAGGAAGATTTATAGTGCTTTTTAATAGATTATTTCCTGTAGTTTTATTCAATTTTTTTCAAACCTGCTTTCCTCGCAAATCTAGCACTGGTAAAAGCTCTGCCGTAAATATGTACAGGTGAACTTTCGTATTAGATCTATTTACGTACACAGTTAATGTGATCCTGTATACGACTATATCTGCTCACAACGTGTATCAAGGGTCAAGGCGTAAGTCAAAAACTTCGAGGTTAACGGAAAATAGTTCCAGCTCCTGTTTGACACAAAATTGCATCGTGGCTATGATTAGGTCACTTTTGCTAATTGATTTCTGTTGGCGCTGCCCGCTTAGCCCCGGGATATACCATTTAAACAAACAGCACGGTCTGCTTATGACAATTTAACTAGTGGTTTGTGGACACTGCTAATAAACAGTGGAACTACTATACATTACTCATTCACCAGCAATGATCGAGGTAGTTGTGAGACAGACAACGTTGCTATCAAGTTAGAGATTAGACCAGAATAATTCCATCTCTGAAGACGTTATTTGCGAAACAAGCTTGCCGTGCTCTACGTCGAGTTCCCAGTATCGACAATGTAACAGAGCACTATATAGTACTGTTAATAGAAGAAAAGAGAATCGCCGATGGAAAAATCATTGACTGATTCTAAGTGTGAAATAATGAGACATAGCGTCAAGCTAACTTAGAGTCTGCCACTGACACATGTTGTGGCAATTTCTATTTATTTGCCTTGGAAAATGTATAAGCGTTCTCGCGTACGATTTTATCCGAGCATTCAATTCAAGTCCGGGGCTAATTTGCGCTCAGTTCTAGTAAGGTGTGACCTTTAAAAGTTTGATAACTACGGTAAAAAATCGTACTATTATTAAACATTTCAGAGAGCCACGAATAAGGCTGGTTTTCTGTGGTTATCTTGTGTTTCTTTTTCAGGTGTGCATCTCTTGCTAGTGAGTATCACGAAAGTGTGTATGTCGTCCAAGGCATAATCACATTTTTTGTCGTCATCAACTTCGCGCTAGCTACATTCACCAATCCAGGTAAATTGCACTGTTTCAAAACATTAAAATAACAGAAAAATGTGGTAATAATACATTTTTTAGACATTTTCTTTTTAAGCGAGCGATTGAGCGAAAGAAGCTTACTTCGGTATGTCTTAGCTTTCAAGTTGTTCTCTTGTTTAGAGGTTTCAACTAAAAGCTAAGTTACACACCATACATCCGATTGTCTTCCATCCTCCATCGTTGCTGAGGAAGAGCTGAGAAAAATAAGTCCAGTGCACTCCATAACTATGCCTAAGCCATCTCTTTCCATATGCATTCGGCACAATAGGGATTTATTTGGGTAATATATATATATGTTTAAGGGAATGTTTAAGATTGACGATACGCGTCGAAATATTAGATTAACGAGCAATGGTCCTTGCAAAACGATGTATTTTGGCTGGCTATTCCAGGTGTCATTCCGAAAGAGAAATTTGTAACAAATGACAATGACGACTTTCGGTGCCCGCTTTACAAGAACACCCAAATCAATGGCGTTTCAGTTCGACTCAAGTGGTGCACAACATGTCAATTCTACCGGTAAATAATTTAGCATATGTGTATATTATGAGCATTCATAATATTCTAATTATGATGTTGCTACATGATAGTAGATGTTTGTTCTATTTGACATAGCGCCTAGTGTGTTCACCGTTTGTGGGGCTAAACAAGAATATGACCACAAATTTGTTGAGATCATTTAGGTATAACTCAGTCCTAGATACATACGCCCTTATCCGACTAAACCAATAGTAGATTCACTGTAACTGAGCGCGATGCAAATTGCATTATTCTAACTAAAGTAATTACATTTGTACCAAAACTGGTGAATTTTGAGTGTTCTGATGCGGTTGATGATTCACAATGCGAACGACATGTTATACGCTACCTTTATGACAGCTTACCATATTACCATAAAGTTATGCCTCAATAACAGCTAATGGTCAAGTTAAATAACACGAAAATTATCTGTACAGAAGTGATTCAGTGACAAGGCTATGTTTGACAAACGCAGCGAGGCTGTTAAACCACCATTGCCATATATAAATGCCATACCAACAATAGTGAGGGCCTTTTCGTCTGATAGTTTCAAAATGTGTAGAAATATACTCCAGTAATAGTAAAAGTAAGAGCAATAGAAACGGTTGCTTTTATCCTGTTGACTTTTTTGTAAGCTTCATGCCCGTTCTATTTACAATGCCCGTTAAGGCCAAAAGTAGTAGTAGCAGTAAACGATTTTATTCTGATTTTTCGTCAACGTCATCCTCAACTCGTTTTTACGTGCTTGTCTGTGTGATACCTTCAAGGCCACCTCGAGTGTCGCACTGTTCTGTATGTAACGCCTGCGTCGAGACATTCGACCACCATTGTCCTTGGGTGAATAACTGTATCGGGAGGCGGAACTACCGTTTTTTCTTCCTGTTTCTGGTGTTCCTGTCGCTACACATGCTTACCATCTTTTGCTGGTGTGTCATTTATGTACTTCGACATGCGAACCCCACCGGAGTAAGTAATGGAACCGATAGTGTTACAACTGGACCCGAACACGTGCAGAATGGAGCATCAGGGCTAACCTCCCTAGAGGGATGCTTTACGCTTGGTACGTACGTGAATGCCACAAAGGGAGTTTGTGCCTCTTTACTCAATAGCCTCCTGTAAACAGACGCCAGATGATCGACGCATGGCACTACGCATTCGCCATTCTCATATTTAAGGAGGAGCGCCATGCAATAGTAATTCTCCTCTTCTGTAAGGCTAGATTAAAGATCGACCACATGGAGAGAGAAAACTTACGAGACAGACCTTGTGCTTCTTTCTGTTCTATAAAGTACAGCCTTAATTACGTCGTGTCAATACTTTATCTATTGTTTAATAAAACACAATATATTACATATTGGTTCAATCTAAATTTCTTTGTTTATTCGGTTTTTACCCCTCCTTGCAGGAATACTGGTTTTGTGCGTCATACTGTTCCTGCCAATTTTGGGTCTAACGGGATTTCACATGGTGCTCATTGCTAGAGGGCGGACAACTAATGAACAGGTATCTAATCACATTTAATTAATGTCAACGTATTTTTATTCCTACCTATCTATATACTATTCAAACTCTGTGCCTCTGTGCGTGTACGTATCTTGCTCTTTCGATTTAAATCGACTTCTTATGATAAGCGAACGAAATTCATCATCGGGCTGATTGCAACGCAATAATTATTGCTACTCGATTGACTGGATTAGGAAAATAAAATTAGTATAACAGGAAAGCTGCGAACAAATGAGAAACTAGTTGCTAGAGAATCTGAAACAAAATACAATGGAATATGTGTAAACGTATAGGTCTGCCATAACCTAAACTACATGTTTCATTAGATGTGGCACAGGTCAAATCTTTCTTTCCCTATTAGTACCTGTCCGAATCCGAAGTTTATTTTTCGAATTGCTTTTTGGGATTTTTTTTGATTGAGATATCTTACACACATTTGTGGGAAGTTTAGCGGCTAATAGAAATTACATTTTAGAGATTTTTTTTAAAATAAAATCTCATAGAATGAGAGTCAAATATTTATATGGTCAAATATCTACATTGAGGGTATCTTTTGGCCCCGATCGATAGATCTCGACGAGCTGAATGATAGTGTAATGCATGCCTAAAATTGATATTTCAGCGTTTAAATTGCGATAGACCGGATATGGTATCTCTTTACCGGATGTGGCAATGAGATGGAAATTTGTTCCAAGGGAATTTTGAAAGGTTTATAAGTTAATTTCTAACACATATCAATTTTAAAGTTGACTGATTGAGCGGTTTATATAGTCAATATTTTGCTAACACAATTTTTCAAAATTTAATGAAAACACCAAGATACTTTCCCTATGCAAAATACCGTTTTGTGGGCGCCATTTTTTGCGGTAGTCGATAGATCTCAACGAAGTGAGTGAAAATGTGAAACCTCCTTTTATATTTGAAACAGAATATTTCTGCATAAAGCAGGCCAGACGCGGAATGTGGTAATTGTTACTTTTATGTGACACTGGGATGAACATTTATTACATAGAGGAGGCTGTAGAAGAGGTTTTTTGGTGCCAACTGGAACCTTTCGATATGTTAAATCGAAATAAAATTAATTTTCCTACGCTTAATTCTTTGTTTTTAGGTCGTGCAATGCGACAAAGAATGTTTTCATGTAAAAGGCGTTTTTTTAACCCTGAACGATGTGTAAAGTGCAGCACATTTTCTTATATCTAAAATAAATATTTTCAAATGAACGGCGAACTCTTTTCGCCGTATAGGTTTATCTATGTAATATTAGTGTGAAAATGTGCCTTAAGCTGTTTTCCAATAGTTCTTTATGCGAATTTTTACTAACTGTCAATCGAAAATGTAAAATGGCAAATCTGGAGTTTATTTTCGTAAAAAAATCCATACTTTATTCTCAGAAAAAGATGCCAAGGTGTCGAAAAGTATACGTAAGTATTAATTATAAAATGTGTAAAATAAGATTTAAAAAATCCTCAAACTTTAATGATGTGTGAGCCAGTACGTGAATCGAAATATACCATATCATTATGTAATGTTTTTATCTCCGTTTAATTTATTCAAAGATTCATTATAAAAGAAAATATCTTTAACCTTTGGTAGCGTCCTGGCAACAGAATCGATACACCAAAACAACATATTAATTAAAGGGTGGTGCGTTTATATTGAGAATTTCTCTTACGTTTCGTTTCTAATATATATCGTGTATAACAGTAGATTGTGTGGGATGTTATTCATGACGATGATCTCTGTTCAATATATTTACTGCCCACCGCAATCATGGACTCAATTATGGATCTAAACCGCCTACTAACGATTTTCAAAATATTCTTTCTTCAATTCGCAGATAAGTTTCTAATAGTAAACAGGCGTCATCTTACGCTCAAATCCACGCAAAGATTGTCGTTTAAATGCGCTATTTACAGAAAATTCCGACAAAATTGAATTTCGGGCTGACAGTAGGCCAGAACCATCAAAAACGCAGGGACTCAAGGCGACCAAAGAATTTAGAAAGTGCGAAGGCTTGATACATTATGTGTAGGCATTTCTTACATGATACATTACGATATTTACCATTTTTTTTAAATGTTTAAGCCTTCGTGACCCAGAATCAATAAATCAGTCGCAATGTGTATTAAAGGTGGGCCGGATGCTGCCTCGATTCGTCCCGTTCACGTGCCTCCTGTAAACCGCGTCAATCAACCAACGCTAGAAAACGCGTAATTGCGTTGCAGAAATGTATCAAAAGGCAACATATTGTGGACGAAATAAATTTAGAATCGCCTCAGCTTTTTGGAAAATATTTCAGAACAGACTGTGGTATTACATGACCACAGAGGGGTACCGAATTAAATAAGGCAGGGCGTTTGCAACGAAATAGTTGTCGCGTGTACTATAATCTGAGACAGACCGGGTACGACATCAATTAATCAAATGAGCTAAATCAACGACAAAACAAGCACAAGGCAAAATTCACCAGGTCTGTTTGTTTTTCGGACACAAATCGGTCTGATGAAGCTGATTTTCATCGGGACCTATGCTGTTTCTCCCCAAGAAGAACTTAAAATGGAGCTGATCGGATTAATTTTTTTTTCTCTAGAAGGTGAAGTTTTCCAGATTTCATATAATCTCAACCCGGACAAACTGACATTTTTCGGGAATTTGCTCCATAACTGTTGAAAATTTCTGTTTAATTCGTCCGAGTTTTCAAACGTTTCTAGAGCGTAGTTTTTCTGTGAAGAAGATACGTGACGCCAAATAAGTTACAAAATAGTCCGTTAATTCTGAATCATGTTGGTATATACGGTTGACATTCTCTGATTGGATGAGTACTTTCCTTGGGACTTTTTCCATGTTGCCGAATGTCAGTTGGCAAACTGACCCAATCTAGCAATTGATTGAGAGTTTCTGAAAGGACTATTTTGGAAAGCTATTTGTTATATTCTACAAAATCGAGTTACCATGGAATTTAAAGAGAAATGTCTTGCGATTTAGTGGTAAAATGGTGAATTATTGGTAATATATGACCTCTCAATATATGGTTTATGCTTCTCAGTTGAGAGTATACCGCTTATATGGTGGCAGGATTAATTGAAAAGCGGAAATGGAGTATATGTAACAGGGTATCGAGATCACAAAGATGTTCCAATGGTAAAGCTGAAATAAATGGAGCAGGCTATGGGGGAAATAGGATCTCAGACTGGCGCCTCGTGCGCGGTTACAGCTTAACGGTACGTGTAAAAGCCGAATAATTATAAAATAGGTTTTTAGACTTATATGAGCAATTTCGAAGGCGCTTAGTTTAATTGAAACAGCAGGATACTTGCAACACTGATTGCAACAAAGTAATAAGATTATATGCATATTCATTCCAGCAATGTGACCAGTCATTACTGGAACAGGATAATGGAATGCCCGTACTAGAGAACAGGGTCACCCACGTAAAGTTGAAAATGAAGTAAATGAGAGAAATATTATTAATATGATCGAATAGTTGCAATGGAATAACCGAATTAATACGATAAAGTGTCAGAAGAACCGAATGCGTGAACTGACACTTTTACATACAAAAGTGTCAGTTTGCAATCGAACAATAGTTAAGTTGAGTGTAATACGTATCAAGTATTGCAGCAGGCCGATGAGGTAACATCAGGCTGGCAACAGAACTATTGGAACATTCTAATGGAAAAAATACATGGAGTAAGGTTATATTGTTAATGGATTTACGGGTTTTGGGAGGTAGAATTGCTGCAACGAGATAACACAGTCGCTCTGTAGCATCCGAGGAAAATTAGAACCGAACAGTATAAGTCTGTAATCGACCTATACTGTGCGTTGTGTTAGGTGTAACGCAAATGAGATTTGCTCTCCTGAAAGGGGCATCGGCTTAAATGGGACAGCCTAATTGAAATGGAATAACTGTTGGTGAAGTGTACGCTATGCTGGGTCTAATATCAACGAATCAGACTAGTTAAATGAAACCTGGGGTACGTCTAGTATACTGCTATAAATCGAGAGTGATGTCTTTGTCCGAAAGGAAAGTTTGATGCTAATTTAATTAATTATCGAAATATTGGATGAAATCTGAACTATGGTGGCACATGTAGTTCACACCATTTAATTAGATGAGTACTCTTGTTCGAAGATAATTTTCTCCTTTCGTAATACCAGTTAGGTCAATTTGCGAAACGGTTGATGAAATATTGTTAATCTCCGCATGTGCCTCAAACTGTTCAATGGGATAAACACTTTTTAAATTTGAACTAGTTGATCTTTTTTTGGAGATTCGCTCGACAGTTTCCAACAATTACTGAAAGGTTTACATTGAAAAATGGTTTTCTCTAGTTATAAAGAAAAGCGCAACGTGCAATTTTAAGGTATTTAAATTTTTACTTTTTTTTTTTTTTATAAAAGATCATTCTTGCAGAGACGGGTCGAAGATGAGATACGCCACAGTGAGTATTGCAATAGCGGTTTAGTCAGGACATCTGGGTTACTGTAGCAATCATATATCAATAATTGAGCTCACACACTGCGTATGCGTCGTTCGTCGAAAGCCCAGTTATCCACTTCGATCTATTCACTACAGAGTTCAATGCAAGCGTATACCAGTTCTTTTTGTGCTTTTCACAACGACTCAAGCGCCAGAAAGTAGCATTGCTAGCAACATTTTGAGGTATCTTACATTCTTGCGATCTATGAATCCATTTGTAATGATTCTCGAGACTGTAAACACTCAATTAGTTATATCGGTGTAAAAGCTAGGGAACGAATTAACTGAAACGACGAAATTCAATAAATGCTACAGAACGACGTTTTACCGGCAGAGCGCAAAATCACTATGACGGGTTGGACGTTTGCGGTTAGGTAAAGTTTCAATCTAATGCCGCGTGCATGTCTTGCATACGTAAGAATAGCTTTTGAGTTTATATAATGTATGTGAAAATTGAGCTCAGTTCTTATGAGTTCTAAGAATATAAACTTTATAGTAAAAGGACTAATGAAAATGAGAGCCCAATCCAATTGGAACAGAAGAAGTAAAAAGGTCAGTAGAATAATAAGTAGATTGACTGAATACAGGAATTAAAACCCCTATTACAGGATAACGAATTGGGGCTGAAAGATCTCAGGTTCATTGCTACTGGATAACTGTAAAGATATAATTAAAGATACAATGACCTATGATTAATATTAGACTAAGTGTAATGCGGGTCAAAGTCGTTCATCTCTAAAGCGGTTAATGGAATAACTACGCAAGGATAAAGGGTTTGGTAAAGCAAGATAAGCGCAACTAAATACCTATTCGTGTATACGAGAACAATAATTTACGGTAGATGAGTTTAACCAGCCTACGGTGAAGCAGGTATGGGGTGGGCTATATGTGTATATGAATGAGGATTGCTGAAAACTTTTATCCGATATAGGTTCTACCGATGAGAGACGGGGTGTAACAAATGTTATTCTTCTAAATTTCATAAATTCGTTAACTATGATTAAAGTGTCTGTGTGCACACTTCACGCTGGTTTCATCAACTTGGCGAACGTTTCCTAGGTAACTGGTAAGTTTCGTGGGGGCTTCAATCCGTTCAGCCAGGGCTGTGCCCGAAATGTGTGTCACACTCTTTGCGGACCCGTGTATCCAAGCTATAGGAAGGCAAGTAAAACGCGTGTTCGGAATATCGATGAACTCAGAGTTGTCTACACAGACAATAAAAGGTACGCCTAGCCCTTGCTTGGTTTATATTGTATATATATTACGTCAGGTAAATAGCAAACATTTAACAGGAAGATCTTAATAGCAATAATGAATTACTATCTATATAGATATGATCATTTTTGCTTCTACATAATCTATATAATCCTTATATAAAAGGGCTGTAGGAAAAGTTGACAGGTTCAAATGAAAGCTTTATAACTTAACACAAATGCTATTTATTATATTCGTCATATATATATATGTAATATAAAGAGGTATTTATTATGTTCGTCAAGTGTGTTTTATATATATATACTAATCCAAAGCTATTATACTTATTTGTCGGATGTGCCAGTAGAGAGGTTCGGTGGACTGGAGCCGGTGCAGTCGTTGCTTCCGGAGCTAGTGTAGGCCAAAGGGAGGCTGTTTCATCTGGCATCGCTTTGCAGGCGAGCTCAAATCAGACAAACACCAGTCAAGGGCAGGCTCCCGCTAGGAAACACACTTGCATCATTGAAGCAAATACGGCTCCACTTGGTGCGAGGCCAACGGGGGGTGTTCGAGTTCTGCCAGCAACCGCACAGCCTCCGAAGTGAGCTTCGTATGCAATATATTGAATGATTCTAGTGGCAATAACTCGAATTTTTTCTATATGAACTCAAGCTTTTTACACTGAAATCAGACCTTTTATTCAATACTATATTACTTACGTCACAAATTTTTTCAATGACATAGCCGACACCAAACAAGTTCTGAACAGTAAAATTTCCAACTTGAATCACTTTGCATAAAACTTCGGCTTATGACCATTACTGAAATTAAATTTTACTCAAAGCTGGAGAACGTCTTTTCATACACGAAATAAAAATTTAAAAGTTTATAGATTTTCAAACGGTAGGCTCGAAATGCGTCCTTGAAAAATCAACTTAAGCTCCTTTCGTCAGAAGGAACTGCAGTGCACGCTGCTGTTTCAGACACTGAAATTTCGAGTTTTTCTAAACTCAGCAAAAAAAACCAACTCAAATCTAGTAAGGCCTTAAAGTTATGGAAAATTAGTAGGCGCTATCATTTAGGTCAAATTTAGACAAAACGATTTAGACCCCTTAATGGAGAAGCGCCTGTGTGTATGTATATCCATAACTTTTATACATGTTATGCTTTATACATTGTACGTTTATGAATAGTTGCCGTGTGAATAACTTAATAATATATATATATATATATATATATTACTTGCACAAAAGGCTATTATGTATGCCAAAACTATTTTCACCTTCAACTCGACAAATCGTTCCGATAGATCAAACTGCCTTTAACGCTGCATGACATCGGAAGTAAAGAATTGCTTACCCATGCAGAGTCCTAAACCTAATACCATAATATATCTTTCTCCAATTTTACTTTTTACATAAGTTATTTGGGTTTTGTAGCTTACATAAAGGTCTAAATTAATACTGGGATTAAGAAACGTTTTAGATACGGCAAGTAGCACGTCCCTTTTACCTTAGCATTTGCTGCATTCACTAATTCATTGGTGCTATTTCTATTACTAATTTATTATGTATTGTTTGGTTTCTTATTATTGCACCATTCGAATAAATAGAATGTTGTCTTTAAGCGGTGGCACTGAAGGCGGGACTTCACTGGTGAGTTCTCCACGGACCACTAGTCCACCGCTAGCGAATCATGGTCAGCTGACATACGCGTCAGGTAATGGAAGTACGTCTCCACCGAGCACTCAGTCTGTGAACGTGAACAACAACACATCAAATAATAACAATGGGACTAATTCGCTAACTGGTTCGCTCAGCAGAAAGGTAATTATTCTACTGAATTAGAAACATTCCGACGTGTGATCTGTCTGTACGCAATTTGAGCAGTAGACGAACTAGCAGATACGAAGCTTCATACTGACGCCGTACTTGTTAGGCTCTTGTATTTGTTCTTTATACAATAAATAAACGATCATTTTCTATTCGCACTGAGCGACAAAAAAATGTTTGGTTCATTGATCACAGGGGGGAAACGGTATTGGTACTACGACCAATGAGTCCGATTTGTTGGTAACGACAATCGGAATGGATCGGGGTCGAGGACAGCTAACCGGCACCGAGATCGGAACCGGTATGGCAATCAATCGTACAACGTTGGTCAACTGGACAACAGGTGAAAACAACAACCGCGCAGGTCAGACTTCACAGCAACAACAAGGAACAACGACCGTATCAACGCCTTCTCCAAACAGCAATAGCGTCCACCACCAGCTGCAACAACAACAACAACAGCAGCAGCAAACGACGAAACAGCAGCTCATGACGCCTGGTACGTAGCAGGCGTGCTCTTCGACTGGCACTTATAGAAATACAGGGGGAGGGTGAAGCATAGGAAAAACCGTCCGCTCTCAGCAACATCTAAATTTGAGCTCAGTATACATGCTACAATAAGCTCGGATACCAATGACCAATAGGTCCCCAAATGAAACTGCCTTATAAAAGCCCCTCTTAAGATATCTACCCTTGTTTTTTGCCAAGTAACAGTACTATTTCCTTCCACCACATAGCTAACTCCAAACGACTTAAAAAACCTGGGGTTGAACTTTTTGAATGTCAATTGTTTATCTATACTTTGGATCTGTATCCGCGGGGCAACTTACGTACGTTTCTTCCTTTGTTTTGTTTTGTCGATACTTCTAATTTCATTGCAGGCTCCCGACGCCCAATTCTTTCTGACGGCTCAAGCAATTATGAGATATCTGTATAGACATGTCAACCTTATTGTAATTAGTAGTGTAATATGCTAATGCTGTTGCAACTGGCATCATGGAAGTGATTTCCAAGTAATGAGTGATGCACGGCGCGGTGATGGCGATGGACTTTCTGCCATAATCAAAAAGTCTACGGGGGAAACAAATTATTTCTCATCAACAACTTGCTCCAACAAATCTACAGCCCAGTCAACCAACAGTTGCCATCTAAACGTGAAGCCGGATAACTATATTAGGGTTTCCCTAATGGATCACGCAAATATAATGCACCAGAGGCTTATACACAGTCTCTTCAGTGGCCTTTTCAGGAACTGAATTGAATTTAGGAGGCATTTCCGCACTAGGCGCATATATACGTAGAATCAGTGGTCTGTTATAATAGAAATAGCAAGATGTCAAATAGGACATATTGTAAAAGGGGGTGCAGGTGAGCATCAACAACAAACAACAAATGTAGGTAGAAACGAAAGCAGGTTTTGAATCGATTTCTGTCATGTGGGTGTGAATACCGAGGGAGATCATGCGTAAGCTGCATGAAAGAGTCAATTGCGGCGCCTAGTCCAAGCTACTCGTCAATGTATGTATAATGTACAAAATAGCGCAGTTATAGCCATCGTCGTCTTGTATCCCCCGACCTGCTTTTGTCGTCAGTACGTTGTCGAACATTGTATGTGTGTATGTTAATACTGAGCTGAGTCTTACTGAGAGTCAGCAGCAGACTTGCAACGAGCGGAGTGCATGTTCCTCTTTTCTGTCTGTACTCAACCTTCAGCAGAGCAGGTAGATCACCGCTGCAGGCAACTCAACTTCTCAGGGTGCCTGGTCTTTTCCTTTTTGTTTACTGATTTACACCACCGTTAGTAGTCACCGTCACCAACAACATCTTCGTCATTTTAAAACAGCTTCTGCAAAACGTATGTGCCGTATATATATATATATACACGGCATAGTGTGAAAAAAAGCCTCTGAACGGTTGGAGGGCTATATTTGCCAAAGTAGCAGAGGATGTACAAATTATGGCAGTAAAAGACAGATTTAACTGTGCAACGAATGCATAGTAGAAGAACCCTAATGTCATTTCTCTGGTTTCTGTCATACTATATTGAAATATCGTAACGTTAATATATGTCTAAAATGCAATAGTTACAACAATGACTACTGTGCTAGTTTTGATGGTTTTATTGAATAATATCAGAATTCCCTGCAGTATATCTAGACATAGTACAGGGTACCTTTGTTACGAAAATGTCGCGCAGTAAAATTCACTCTTTTCCGCAATAATTTGTACATTCCCTGCTATGTTAACAAATAGAAATACTCTTTTTTCGGGATTACCTAATATACATTTACAGACTGGCGTAGTGTAAATAAATTAACTGATGATGCGATGTGCGTTAATACATGGTTTAAGAATAGTATTTGTAAAGCAGTAGGTAGCTTTTCTTTCAACAATTAATTTCACTATTATTGCGAAAACTGAGCTAACCAGGGGCAATTCCCCATAGGATATTAAGGCATACGCGTATATGAGCCACTTTGTAAAGTATCTGCTTGCATTCTTGTGTGAACACAATTTGCGAAGATATTCTTCCTTTGTTTCATGATACAATTGCTATTCGTTTCCCTACTGCGCAAACCCTCTAGTTGAACTTTCTGCCGAAATCTTAGCAGGTTACAATCCATCAGAAAGACTCAAGTACCCAAGCTTACACATTCTATTCTATTTGCATGTGAGAGTACAAATGCGTTCTCTCACTTTTTTTTGCTTTTGAGTTCCGAATCTATATGAAATGACGCTATTGTTAACTTATACACAGCATCTACCTAATAGCTCAAACTGATCGACGCATCTGTGTATAATCTTTGACCATCTGTGCGGAAAAGTATGGCGTGCAGTGGTCATTTTTATAACTTCCTCGTCCTCAATAATGTACGATAAATTAGTCGGTGTATAGCACATATCCCGTGCTTAAATTACAAGATCTGCTTGTTATACGAATTCATTTGCTCGAAAGGATGTATTTATTTATAGCTCGTTACATGACAATGACATAATGCTGATGTGTTTATATGACGACTTCTTTCTTACCTTCTTGCCAAGTGATTAAACTATCACCGGTATCCGATTAACAACACTGACACGTTCCGCTGCATGACTTACAAAAGGATGTTTTGCGGCAACGAGTTGAACAGAATCAGAAAACACGATACGACGAAGCTGAGAAGAGGGAATGTCAAAAATTAGACTAAACTTATACTCACACTGTTTATACTGTTTAATGAAAATTTAAAGCTCGATTAGCAATGGGCAATATGGTGAACATTAAGCAATACTTTAGAGCATGTTAGAGGCGCAAAGCTTTACAATGGTAATAATAATAATGACGTTGACATCCTTTGTGTATCAGCCGGTCGTTGGAAGAGTAGCTAAATCTATGAAATCATTTGACAAAATCCATGTTGAGGATAACGAGCGTGACCAGAAGGAAAACACGTCGATGTGTGTCAGTAGAAGAAAACTTCCGCCAGAAAAGAACCGACCCCGGCAGTAAAATCAACATAATGAATTTTTACAGTGTATTAACATTACTATTGTAACAAACGACGTATTTGTACTGAATGTGGCAGGAAACAGATGACGAACCCATGTTTATAGCGACGATGAACCCCCATTTTTGGCCCTAATGGTGAGAAAGAAGCTGTACTACTGCAAACCCTTACTTACTTTTTTCCAATGTTGATCATGATAGTGAGGATTACCATTTTGTTATTACTATTATTACTGTGTCATCAAGTAGGAATTATATAATTAAACGATAATAAATGTCAAAAATACACAGTGTTGATCATTGCCAAAATTCCTAACATTGTACTACAGTCATCAAACTAATTTCCTATGCAAGGTATCAAACTTGAACGTAGGCTGTTTTGGGAAAACAGGTACAACCTGTAGAAAAGCGTTTGTTCCTTGTTCAAACTGTGGTAAAATTTGTATAACAACACGTCTTTGTTTATGGGACTTTCTCTTCTAATTTAACTGGCTGATTATTCATTTTGAAAAGGCACGCCGAATAACGAGTGCGCGTTTTATATCTGCGTTGACGGCAACTGCATCTCTCCTTATTTTTGGGGCCAGTTTAAAGAGATCGAGCAGCTAAAAAAGTGCTCACGAAATTTGATGACTAATCAGGCAAATAGCTCAAGTTTACCAAAGTTTAAGCTTCTTCTTTAGCTGGCTCCTGTATTGTCGGGCTGCTGAATAAATACTCACTCGATGCCGAAAACGTTGCGGTGCGTAAGACTCCTGTTGACATTTTACTCAGGGATAGAAGAAACACGTACATTGTACATGCGTATTTGGCGTAACATAAACTTGAAGCAAGAATCCAGCGTCGTAGGTTAAATATAAGACATTCTCGTCATCGGAGCTAAATACGCTGTGCATCGAATGAACATATATTTTTTATAATGCAGTGACAATATGAATGTGAAAATTGCATGGTACCTTGTTGTCACTCAGCAGAAAAAAGCAAATAACAGATTTGTACAGTAATTGTCTAATGTGTATGTGCGTGCTATTGTAGTCGGAATCGGCGCTAGTCACGTAAATAGCATTAATTACAAAAATCGAAATACGAATGTTATTGTCTATTATACCTAAGGTCGGTTTTCTCGGTAGTACGTATGATCCACTCTTTTTATGTACGTTGTGACGCGTATTAATTCCGTGCGTGTAATTTTAATCAAGTGCAAGTGAGTCTTATTCAGAAACACTTCTACTAACAAATCTTTAGTAACATATCGAAACAATAAAACATGAAAATCTGTAATTAACTGAAAAAACAAGCAACTATTCGAAATTAGGCATGAACATTACAGTAACATTACAGTGAAAATAAGGAAAGCAAACGCACTACTGAATGGCAGCGTTACAATTCCATAATTACACGCTATTTGGGGAGCCAATAGTAGTGCTCCCTTGTTGCCGAATGTTGACAATTTGTTGATAACCAAAACTCCGTCATCACCAGATACCACGAAATCGCCTCTTGAACGAAGTCTCATGTGAATTATACGATAAAATATGCCTGAAACTACACATAAAATTATCCTTCAACGGCAAAAAAAGCGGTGTGATTAACATTAGTCGCATACATCTTGCAGTATACGGCGACATACAGAGGCGCTTAAGGCAAATAGCAGTACGCACAAAATGATGAAGTAACCGTTATGATCGGCCGCATAAGGCAGTCTCATTAGCGAATCGTGGTAAAGTTCTGATTAAAATTTTCGACCGTTGTCGAAGTGATGAGAGTGTGTTGGGTGGGTCTTGTGGCTGATTAAAGGCATGCCGTCGTTGTCATCACTCAACCTATACTATACTGGCCCTGTTTATAAGTCTTCGCTGATGTGGAGTCATCCGTCTCTAACAGAAATAAGGAACGCGAGTCAACTTTGAAGCAGATAAATGTCAATCTACGTATATAGCTAGGTTGCATTATGTAGTAAGAATAACGATGTTCACTATGATGCACAGGAAAACTATCAAAAGGAATCTCTATCACAAAAGGTGGACATGATTGAAGCTCACAAAGATTACGAGGGCATTCACACACACGGGACGATGTGCAAATCTATAATAGTGTTGATTTTGCTTTTTCGATGTCTCTGGATGAATGCAGTTATCCGCAAGTTGTTACAGCCATCACGTGTATTGTAATATTATACATTTGTAAAATTAACAGCCACTACATGTATTAATTTTCTGATCACAGCTTAATTTATGTAGTGCAAACTAATCTACGATCCAATAAGGGCCCTAGGCGAACCTATTCACAATATATTTTGCCTTTATTATTAATGGGTTACAGGAGTGAACATCGAATCGCTTTACTCTCTGTCAGTTATTCAGAAGGGCCACCAGTAATGACTCGTTTTATTATTTACGTACGAGAAGGTCGAGGATCTTTATTATCCCAACATATCTATCAGTCATTATTCAAATTGTTCTATTACATAGTAGATATTTGTTTTATAATATATTTGTTTTGCCCATCTATATTATACAGGTGTATTATCCCATCAATGCATCGTAGTGAAGAGATACTGATCCATGTGATCGGTGAATTGGCGATAATCGAACATTATGTAGGATCGTCCCATTTACAATCGCATCTAGCTCCACAGTTGTAATGCTACTCATTGGCACAATTTGTATATATCGAGTTGGTATAGGGAGATTTACATAGATGCTTGTATCATAGTAATAATGGGAAAGAGAGATACAGAAGGCAATCGTGATTTATCCCTTCAAACATTAATACATCTGTGAATATAAACAAAAAGAGTTTATATATATATATATAGTATAGACTTATTATGATCTTATATATCAATTCTGAGGTGAATGGTAGTCGATCGTAAAATAGATATTAGACCAAAGGGGTGTGAATAATCGGTAACGAAGTGAGTGACTGAGTGTACAATAGCAATAAGGAACGCTTTGCGCTTGAATAGCCCATACGTACGGATATATACGCAGCACGTAGAGTCATGAATATACCACATCAAGGCAAAATACGATCTATGTACCATATATATATATGCTACCAGTGCTAGGACAACATACTATTTGCCTGGCCGCGAGCTTCTTTAGGAATGACTATATTTGTTCGTATGTCTGTGTGACAGACACCATTATTATTACACACCTCTCTCTGGCTATATGCTTCATATATAGAAGCACGTATATAAACGTAGTAATATAACTAGGAACACCGTCAAATAGTATAACAACTACTGCTAAGAAAATCAGTTATAACGTTAGTTGTTGTAGATATATTATGCAAAGCCATAACGTTCCTTTCCTGTTGCTGGTTGTTCCTTTAGAACGATTTTCGTGTATAAACCAGCAATAACAGTTAGATTTAAATAATTATGAGTAATTGCAACTAATGAAAAGATACGGACGATAGTCACATGAAACATAATTATTAAAATGATGGAAATGGTGTAAAGGGAAAGTGAATATGAAGTGTTACGATGAGTCGTTCCCCTTGCGTTACCATGATGACCGCTAACACTGTTTATAGTTCATCATTTGATGACTGAGCAGTACGGCGATGTGATGATGAGATGATAACTGAAAAGAACTGCTCAGTAGCAAATAGGAATGATATATACACTAACCTCTTCCAATTTTCGTGTACTAATAACGAGCAGCACTGCTGAACTCTGATCGAGCAAAGACTGTCAATAAAAGGAAGAAAGATGAGATCGACGGAAAAAGTAAAGTCAGCACAAAACTAAGCTGACGCTGGTAAAGAGTTTTACACGAAATGCTTACCATAGGCCACATGCTGAAAAAAAAATATGTATGGAGATAAACAACACAATGTGGAGCGAACAAGAAATAGACTGCTGCGTAGTGGACTGAACAGTATAATACTAAATATATTTGTGCCATAAAACAATTCTAAACGGTATCATTCTTTTAGACTTTAATCCTCTAACAAATGTGATACTAAAAAACGTCTATACAGTTCTGTGTTGTAAATGTAATTGATTAGGTTTGGTTCGTTTATTATAGCCACTAATATTGTGTTGTTTCGATGGCAATAGCTAGGACACGACTGTAGCCATAATCGGAGTTGAGATGTTCTCACCCCTTCCTCTAGTTCTGGATTATCTCTAAAGCAGAGAGTTACTCTAGTCCTCGTACAACTCATAGGACAATCTTTGAATGAGCAGCCCATCTGCCGAGGTCACTGCCAGTGTTTATGCCTGGATTCAAACCTGGTCCACTACGTGTCCTTTAGGTTAAGAGGCAATCAGGTTATCCTCACCGTTACCATGTTAACACAAAATGTATAATATTCTTACTGCATAGATTTTCATAAAATATGTTTTCGAACAAAAGTGCGGGTTTTTGTGTGCCGTTTGTTGGCATCGACCCTAAGTCGAGGACAAACGTATGTTAACGTTGACGTTAGCGACGTCACGCGCACAAAAACCTATCTGCTGTCGGTCGTGTCTGTCTACTTGCCTGTCATTCGTCCCGCTGATACGAATAATTTTATTTTTTCTTCAGTTTATCACTAACATTCTCAGTCGTCCTCTTTATATAGACAAATTCTGGAATCGTCTCTTTTTTTAGGTATAGCATCACCGACTTGCTTTACCAGGAGTCACTGAAGCACGAAACTGCTACTGTTGCTGCTGCTGCGATTCCGTCTGCTCGCGCTATCTCGTCGGACGGCTTCGCAGTCGATCATAAGACCAAAGTAACCGAACAGAGGACGAAAATAATGAACAACTCTTTTTAAAAGGTGTTAAATAATACTGTTTTCTATACGATGAGTAACTATCAACTTATAGATATAAACATATAGATATATGTTTTCGATCTGAACTGTGACAGCAGACGCTGCGTGTCCACTATTATTATTAGCCTCACTCTTCCGCTATGGGCGCCAAAATAACGATATTGATCCCGTACTCGCTCCTAAATAATAAAGCTGCTGCGCTACTGCTGATAGTAGGGGCAAACTATCAGCAGCGGACAATCAATCACAGTAACAAACTCCGGCATAAATAGCAAACGTCGGTTGTGTCTGCGACAGCGATACGCATTATGACCGTTCCATTCTACGCTGCTTTTTTTAGTCTATTGTCTTTGCTCCTCAGCAATGGCCTCCATTGGAACGGAGATGTTTAATGAGCCGCCACTCAGCTCAATCGAGTCGTAGCAAGTTGCCCCGCGCTTCCACAGCGCGTATACATAGGGCTAATGGCTCTGTTTCTGAGTCCAGCTGCAAGTCAAGATACGCCCACGGAAATCGCTTATCCTTAGGATACAGCGGGCAGTAGCGGGCGGCGCTGAGAGCGCAGCAATAGCTATTGACTACAGTGAACAAACGCTTGTCTTCAATGAGTGGATAAGTCAACGCTCCTTTCGACTTGGCGATGGTAGTGACAGTCGCAGTGGGACCATTCTGATGTAACAGTCCGTTCCGTTTTTATACAGATAGTGCCAATATTTACACATCGCCCTACGAAGTGACAGCAAACAGCGGCCCCTGGGCAGCTGTTGTGTCGATTCTCAAAGCAGGCGACCGCCGTATGTCCGTCCAACCGCCCGTTCGCCCGACCGGTGTGTTGTTGTTGTTTGTGCTACTGCCAGTCTGGCTATGGCAACCAGGCAAGCAAGCTAAGACACAACTCAGCCTCGGCACTACGGCCTGAGCGGTGCAGCAGCCGTCGTGGTGGCGGCGGTGGAAACGGTTGTGGCAGCAGCAGCAGCAGCAGCAGCAGCATCAATAGTAGCGCAGAGGCGGACACCGCAGACATCACCACAGACGGCCACTGACTGACTGACTGACGGACGGAGAAGCGGATCAGCTAGATAGCCTGCTGCAGCAGCAACAGCGACGACGACGACGAAGGCGGCGATCCATTGAGGGATTGCTGGTGGTAGCTTTCATCGTTGCTGCTGCCGGCGGTGAATTATCCACTGTCTGTTCGCATTGTTCAATCATATTCGTTCGTTGTTCTGTAGTTTTTTTTTTAATAACGTTGATATACTACGACTATTAAAGTCCCGTTTCCGAGAAGTGTCTGTTCGTGAAACGAAGGATTTTTTTGCGGCTTTGAAGCCGCTGGAAGCCGAAAAGCAAGGACAATAGTATTGGATAAACGTAGAACTTCACACCGGAACGATGGCGCAGGCTCTACCGATAAAGTTCCAAGAGCACCTCCAGGTGAGAACTCAAGCCGCTAGGTGGAACCTTTAGGTAGGCACATGGGGCAGACGAGAGCGCTGCCGGTCAGAGTGTGCAGGATGTCAAAGGTATGATGAGCAACAACTAGTACTAGCGCAGCCTAGCTAGCGATGGCAGCGGTAGTAATTAATTCGTGTATATTGTTTGGGTGTTCGGTCAGGTTGAGCTGGCCGCCGCCGTAACTACTGCTGCCCCGTCAGGGGCCGTCAAATAGACAGTCACGCTAGGCCTAACCCAGCCGTACACCCACCGAAGTTCGTTTTCGCCATCTGGTAGCCGGACAGTTGACGGCTTTTTATCTATGGAATTGAGGGTGATCCCTGTGAGGCTAGATGAGACAGGAGTCTGAAGTTTTCTCTCGTTGGGCATCTATGTAATAGAGTAACATTGGAGCCATGAATAGAAAACATAGAACTATACATGAATGGAACTGCTAGAACATCTGCAAACGAAGGGACAGGAGAGAACATGATGAACATAATGAGTGACGATGGATTAAAGCTCTGGGAACACGTTGCCGACGTGATAGCTGCTAGTTACATTAAAAGAAACAGTGGTAGTTATTGTGCGAGTACCCGTTTAGGGATCTACCTCATTATTTGTATATTCTTCTACAAACTACTTTATTGACTTTTAGATGTTACTTAGGTGAATTGGTTGAACATTCTTGGGACAGCCTTTGACGCCGCTTTCTACAGGCACAGACTCTTGGTCGGTCGATGTAGTGAAAACACCTCCCGGAGTATCAATTTAGCAAAACATGATAGAAAATTTTACTATACTGATGGCTGTCGCTGATAGATTAAATGGACCGTTATGGCTAGAGGCAGACAAATGTTGACTAGTTTACATCTTGGCTAGCGTTTCTGCAATTTATCATAGAACAGGTGGTGTATGTACATTATTATTGCGGCAATTTATTAAATGGAAAACAACACTTAGGCAAGGGTTATGAAATTAATTATTGTTCGGTTTATTAGGAGCTAGCCCATAGATTCACTGCCGAGTTTGGCATTCAATTAACAAGTTATTCCAGTTTTGGGTTGCCACCGTGATTCAAGTGAGCGGCATAAACCACTCATCTATTTATCATTTTTTCTCTGATACGTAAATGTTCTATTCTACATTATGATATTAGTTGACAATAGCGTATTTATATGGGGCAGTGTTGTGGGGATCGTTAGTGAACTAAGAGGCACGCAGTTTTGACGAACTTCATATTGTTGATTACTAAACTCGTGTTTTATCTGAATTCAGTTTAAGCATTTAACATGTCCTGAATTGCTGTGCACGTTTAAGTATTTAGCATGTCCTGAATTGCTGTGCACCTTCACCAAAGAATGTCTGCCCTCAATAGGGATGGGGATATGAAAGAAGGGGCTCAGTTAGATACAAGGATTCTTGTCTCCCTTGTGATCATGTCACGGCTTGCAAAGTCATGAATTATTTTTAATTATATTCAACAATTCTTGATATATGCGAGTAGTTTTCTTTTAGCCTTTACTGTTACAATCAGTACTTCTACTAAGCTGACCGTACTGTCTTTGCCGTTGGGGGGAGTTTGCTCATCTCTGAGAGTATGTGGCTGTGTGCGCGTTCGAGTTGACGTTATTATAGCGTGCGGCGATTCCATTAATTTCAGCTCGTGGTAAGCTTGGTTAGTGAATAGTTTCTGCTCCTCTATTCCTGGCCTACGGAGTTTGGGGTTGTCAGTTAAGATCATTATAACAGTAGTAAACGGGTGGCGAACAGCGGCAAGCGGTATGCTAACAATAGTGTTCTTCTTCCATTGAATGAAAGATTATAGCGGTCTGCGTTAGATTTGACATTCTAGCTTGACGCTGCTGAGTCTCACATTGTTGATTTACTGTCACAATAAACTGGATATCACAGGGATTTACTAGAAAGAGGAAGCAGGCAATAAGTGTATTAGTCATCATCCATGGAGCCAGCAGCACTATTTACCGATTAAATCAGTACGTGAACAAGCCGATCCGCGTAACAACCATCCACCACAAGAACACTGTTTACATTTTCAGAAATAGTCATAAAGGAAATATCTAGGGGTTTCGGAAAGCGATGAATTAAAATACACAACATTCACATGTTCTATTCATGTGTTTCAGCGAACGATTTTTAAACGTTGTTAAGCAGCATAATGTTACGGGTATTTTGTCTACAGACACCGGCAGCTGGGTCGAAATTTTGACCGAAAAAAACTAATCGAAATAATAATCAGTTTTGTATCACTAACGGATAACTGGCTAAGAAGAGAAGTTGTAAGCAAAACCAAAATAGTATTGAAATCATAATAGCACCGATAATTTTTATGACAATACGTATGAAAATATACCATGCTTATAGCCAATAGCAGCCTGTAAAATAATCGTGGTAGATAGATAAGTTTTTCCTCTTCTCAAATAAAATTCAATATTGCTTTTAACGACATCAGTACACTTTTAGAGGTACTGGTAATGTATTGAGGCTAAATTGGCTGGAGCTGCAAACTTCACGATTCTAAATCCACTGTCAGTTGATGTTTGATCACCGATGTGCCTAGAGTCCATTTCGACCTGTGTCAGCTGACGTATCGTTCTCGCCCTGTACGGGTTTCTCGATAAACATTTTCATAGAAACATCCTTAAACTCGAAGAAGCCTTCCCACCAATCCTACAAATCGCAGTGTTTCCAAGTCCATCTCCTCGAGAGCGCAGCTCTTCTTTACTGCCTTCGTACTGCAATAAATAGTCGTGGGATTAGCTGAGAACTTGTAGAGGAACCTGTCGTTGTCGGACAGCATCATGTAGCTCAGGAGTGATCTAGTGTCTTGAAGTTTAAATTGAAAATTTTAAAGCCTAAAAAACAAGCATTAGAGAGCCTTGACGAGCCAATTTAGTGTACTTTCTGGAACGTAAAATTAATTAATTTTTCTTTAAGTATCAAATAAAAACGCTAGCTCAGCGATAATAAATATATTAAGTGCTAAAATTCACTATGCCTATACAAACTGTGTGCTTTTCACGCATTTTGTTCGTTATGTGCCATCCCGCATTTCTTCAATTTTAAACAGACAGTTTCAAGCAACGTGCAAGCCAAGCAGAGATCAATAAAGCTTTTTGGGGCTAAAGTTACTCGTTTGGCAGATACTTGTTGTGCTTTCACAGTTGTTTTAAATGAGAAAATTGCGTAGGTCCTCGAGTAAATTATTTCACCTTTTCTGCTGATCTGTTTATTTTCTTGCTTTTCTCGGACTTCCCAGTACGACGTTGAGTACGACGAATGAAAAACTTCCAAGAGGTGTTTTTTTAATGAATGCTAAACACAGTAGGCCAGTTTCATACCTACTGTGACATTTGTTACCGTTTCCTGAGATTTTGTCACGGTAACCAATGTGCTTGATCTGTGTGCTGCGTGTCGTATCCGGCTTGGCGTTATACAACGAAGGCCAGCATCATTGTTGATTCAGTCAACTGTTAGTTTACAATGAACTACATTAGTCAGTACGCTTTGTCAAATAATGAAGCGCTTACTCGTATGAGGCCTAAGTTACACGTCAACATGATAGACCGAGCTGCCACCAGTGTTATTACAAAAAAATATTGTATATATATATATATACATACATATCTATTAACGCAGTGCAGTTTTGCTCATCCGTATTAACACTAGCCTTACTCGCATGCGTAATCCTATGTTTAAATTAAATATGAAATAAATGAAACTGACTATCTTTGAAGTTACATCCGGTTTTTGATAATGGCAACGAGCTGGTACCACCATTGTCAGTCGTACGAGACGCAACATAATTGGCAGCTTTCGAGCCAATTTCTACCTCAAGACCAATCTCAACCTCGTCTATTACAGCCCTTCACGATTGCAATCTTTCTATCCGATCTTTTTACCTCGACTTTCTCGGATCGAATTGCTCATGAGTACGGTGGAGAAGACCGTATCACCATCCAACAATGATATAAGTGGCTGTGTGGTTTCGTGGTTACCGTAATCGTTCTAACAAATGTCGTCTTGTCCCGTATAGGCCCATAATTCTCTTGTGTTAGGTCGAATGTATGTATTTAAGCCTACGTTTTCTCTAGCGCGCTTATTCGCGGATCTGGATGAGTTGGAAATTTATTGAAGTCATTGAGTAACACACAGGAGCAGGCCATAACATGCAAACATAATTAAAAGCACAGGGATATAAGAAATTCGCAATTGATAATTTGTTACGCAAACAAGGTACAAGTACGATAAGCATACTCACAACTATGTAATGCTGCGTGAAATAAAAATAAATTCGCAAAACTAATATTTGCTATTTTCTATAAAGCCATTGCGGCCTCTGAATGGTTAACTAAGTTGCTCTTATAACTTCTTGAATTCTGTTTTATAGCGAATACCGTTTCCATAAATAACTTTCGTTAAGTGCCACGTATGAAGTGCTGCTAACAATCAGGCAATCAGCGGGCAAGGCACAACTCGCCCTGAATGGGGACTCAAAGTAAACAAAAAGCAATGATCATTGGGTTCTATTTAGTACAAGGATAATAACCGAGAAGATATCAGCCATGTAACAATTTTCAGCTACGTGAAGGATTTTCAATTGCTGTCGTAAGGAGGCACTTCAGTGGCAAAAAACAAGTAGACCAAAGAATAACCGTGAATGATTTGTCAATGCGCACCCATTATTTCGTCAACCTACATTTAAGTCGATCTGTTTACTGACAGCAGTAGAATAACATAACAGACGCCAGGCGATTGCCCCCTTTGATACGAACGGAGCTACTACCATAATTTTTCTCTGAATAGAGTAGCGAATCATTCTAATGAGAGTATTTAGTAGCTCGTTGTTGCACGCAACAATGTTCGTTTTTTCCATTTAGGTTGTAAGTTTCTTTTTTTTTATACCTGTATGAAATGCTCTCGAAACCTATATCATTGGAGCGCTACCGCTGCTTACAGTACATGAACGTAAGGGCAAAGATAGAAATTACTAGTTTGTTAAACGACAGTTCGTAGTTACCGATATTGCTGTATTGGTTTCTTTTTTGAGCATCTATCTCGTCTGTAAAACGCTGCGCCTAGTAAGAGGTTATTAATAGAACGCCTAGATGAAGCATTCAATTGCGATCTCGTTTTTTATTGCTTGCTTGCCAATTTTACATTATTACTGAAATCATGTCTTTAACGCTAATACAACGATTGGTTAATAAACTTTTGATCTTTGGTAGAGGGCAGGGCAAGGATACTTTCTGGAAATTTTTTTGTCGCAACTACAAGCTTGCCGTGCACTGACCAGCACCAGTTGTATACCTTTCTAATATTTTGAGATTTCTGAAGCTATGAGTAATATGGATAACGGTTCTGATGATAGCTCTTTACTTAGCTCTCTCATTTTAACGTTAGCCAACAGTTAAATGTTATGCAAATGTTGAAGCTGTGTTGACCAAAATAGATACATCCTTCACGATCAATACTTGAATATATGTTAATAAAGATCTCATTTTTATTCGTACTTATTTTATCAATAGCTGACGTCGGTTGGCATTAATGCTGCTACAATTGGTTTTAACACACTAACGATGGAATCAGACAAATTCATCTGCGTACGTGAAAAGATTGGCGAATCGAATCATGTTGTCATTATCGACATGGCTAATCCTCAACAGCCCATCCGAAGACCTATATCTGCGGACTCCGCCATTATGAACCCAGCATCAAAGGTCATCGCCTTGAAGGCGAACAGAACGCTGCAGATCTTCAACATCGAGATGAAGTCAAAAATGAAGGTGAGAAGTTTTTATTCTGCTTTTCATTATTAAATATGATCATGTCTGACCAAATACGAATCAAGCATTATTTTCTTATTCATACCTCAGTAAAGAAGTTGGAACGTAAGAACTTCGATCTGAATACTAGGTATCGTGTGAGATATCGATTGACTCCGAGGTGCGTGATCTACAAAGGGCAGACCAGGGAATAGAAAACATGTTTTCCTCGTCTTAAGCCACCATCAATTGGTGCTAAACTAATTCGATTGTGTATCCTGTTTGTTGCATCGTTAGGCGCATGCGATGTCGGAGGACGTGGTGTTCTGGAAGTGGATAAACCTAAACACGCTGGCGTTGGTAACCGAGAGTTCAGTATATCATTGGTCGATGGAGGGTGATTCGCTTCCTATCAAAATGTTTGATCGGCATTCGTCACTTAACAGCTGTCAAATAATCAATTATCGGACGGATACCAAGCTACAATGGCTCCTCCTTGTTGGTATTTCAGCTCAACAGAACCGTGTTGTGGGCGCTATGCAGCTTTATTCCATGGAACGAAAAGTAAATGATTAATTAAAAATTACGCAAACACTTATTTGATACGTAATTTTTCTTTCCACGTATTCATAATTCACTATAATTAATGTGATCTTTGCTCTTTATTAGGATAAATTGCTACTGTTATTCGAAGTATATCCTCTAGCTCTCATTTTCCTCTATGCTCATGACTTGTTTTACTTGCTACTGTCTTCTAATCATACACAAATGTACAGGTATCGCAACCGATCGAAGGCCACGCCGCGGCATTTGCCCAGCTCGAACTTGAAGGCAACAGCCAACCATCAACAGTTTTCTGCTTTGCGGTTCGCACCCAGGCAGGTGGAAAGCTGCACCTCGTTGAGGTCGGCTCACCAGCTCCCGGCAATCAGCCGTATACCAAAAAGGCGATAGACGTGTTCTTCCCACCTGAAGCGGCCAACGACTTTCCAGTCGCGATGCAAGTGTCGCCTCGGCACGATGTCGTTTATCTGATAACGAAATACGGCTACGTACACCTTTATGACCTAGAGAGCGGCACGTGCATCTATATGAATCGAATTTCGTCTGACACCATCTTTGTAACAGCACCTCATGAAGCATCCTCAGGAATCATTGGGGTCAATCGCAAGGGTCAGGTGTTATCTGTGTCAGTGGACGAAGACAATATTGTTGGTTATATCATGACGGTACTAAGCAACGCCGATTTGGCGTTGCGCATAGCATCTCGCAACAATTTACCCGGCGCTGACGATCTGTTCGTGCACAAATTCAACGGCCTTTTTCAAGCCGGCCAATACGCAGAAGCGGCGAAAGTTGCGGCTAATGCGCCGAAAGGGATTTTGCGTACGCCGCAAACGATACAGAGGTTCCAGCAGGTGCCGCAGCAGCCCGGCCAAACCACACCACTACTCCAGTATTTTGGGATACTGCTCGATAAGGGCAAGCTGAACAAGTTCGAATCGCTTGAGCTCTGCCGACCAGTTCTCCAGCAGGGCAGAAAACAACTTCTTGAAAAGTGGCTCAAAGATGAAAAACTTGAGTGCTCGGAAGAACTTGGCGATTTGGTCAAACAGGTAGACCCTACCTTGGCGCTAGCAGTGTATTTGCGGGCGAATGTTCCTCCTAAAGTCGTTCAATGCTTCGCGGAAACGGGACAGTTTCAGAAAATAGTTTTGTACGCTAAAAAAGTCGGCTATTCACCCGACTATATACAAATTCTGCGACAGGTGGTGCGTGTTGCACCAGATCAGGGTCCCGTATTCGCACAGATGCTCGTCGCCGATGGAGAGCAACCGCTGGCCGACGTCGCCCAAATTGTCGATGTGTTCATGGAAGCAAATCTAGTCCAACAGTGTACCGCCTTTTTGCTCGACGCCCTTAAACATAACCGTCCTACAGAAGGCGCTCTACAGACGAGGCTGCTCGAAATGAATCTTATCGCCGCCCCACAGGTAGGGCTCGATCAAAGTAATTTCTGAATGTTCACTTAGTACACGTACATGTTGTAGTTCGAATGGGTCAGCAACCGGCCGCAAGACCGGACAAAAGGGTGGAGTCTAAAATAGCTTTCTTTGTACAGGTGGCTGATGCGATTCTAGGCAATCAGATGTTCTCGCACTACGATAAAGCTCATATTGCTCAGCTGTGTGAGAAGGCTAATTTGTTACAACGAGCGTTGGAGCACCACACAGACCTTTACGATATCAAGCGCGCCATCGTGAATACTCACTTGCTGAACGCGGATTGGCTTGTTAATTATTTTGGGTCATTGTCGGTCGAAGACTCCTTGGAGTGCCTCAAGGCGATGCTTGCACACAACATCCGTCAAAATCTGCAAATCTGTGTGCAAGTTGCCACGAAATATCACGAGCAGCTGACGACGGTATCTCTAATCGAACTGTTCGAATCATTCAAATCATACGAGGGTCTGTTCTACTTTCTGGGCAGTATCGTCAACTTCTCCCAGGATCCCGAAGTGCACTTCAAGTACATTCAAGCCGCGTGCAAGACCGGACAGATTAAAGAAGTCGAGCGTATATGTCGAGAATCGAATTGCTACAATGCAGAGCGTGTGAAGAACTTCCTCAAGGTAAATAGCAATCGTCATAGCAATAGTCAATCTGCCGCGTTCTGCATGTACTATTTTACTACAACAGCTTTGCCGTCCGGCCGAGCAACAAGCGCTCGTTTCAACACCGCATCGATGTATGTAGTCAGTTTGTCGTTGAGCTCAATGGGCATTAGCGCTAGTATCAGATCGTTGATTTCCTCAGAGAGTATCTAGTAAATATCAAGCGATATTTCTCACTTTGACTGGTGAGCTAAAAACAGGTCTGATGTTGTTTTTGTTTGTGCAGGAAGCAAAGTTGACAGATCAGCTGCCTCTGATTATCGTCTGCGATCGTTTCGATTTTGTGCACGACCTGGTCCTGTATTTGTACCGCAATAATCTTCAGAAGTACATTGAGATTTACGTGCAGAAGGTAAAGTTATTCTATTATAGATGTTTACGTATCCCTTATTCATATAAACTACGTAATTAACCTAGACACGGCGAAAAGCCTGTGCTATCTGCCGAGCTAATATCAGACAATTTATTGCCTCTGTATGTGCAGCGTACTCCAAGTTCTAATATTTGCTTCTCATGATAAAACGAAGTTAAGGATAATTACATTTTTTGATGACCATCATTTTTCGGATAAACTGCGGTGCTCTATGCTTGTTCCATAATTTTGTAGTCCTACATTCTTCTTCCATTGTTTAGCCATATGCTAAACTTAAGGGCGGCAATAAGCATAAGTCTAGTGTTCTCTGGCATTCAAGCTGAAAGCAAGAACAGGAATAAACGACAGGGCTACTCGGATTGCTTGATTCATAGGTGAACCCGTCCCGACTTCCCGTTGTCGTCGGTGGGCTCCTGGATGTAGACTGTTCGGAAGACGTCATCAAATCGCTGATTCTGGCAGTACGTGGCGGCCAATTCTCTACTGATGAGCTTGTTGAAGAGGTGGAGAAGCGCAACCGTCTCAAGCTTCTACTGCCATGGCTGGAGACGCGAGTGCACGAGGGATGCACTGAACCCGCCGCTCACAATGCTCTCGCCAAGATCTACATCGACTCGAACAACAACCCGGAGCGGTACCTTCGTGAAAACGCGTATTACGACAGTCGTGTGGTCGGAAAGTACTGTGAGAAAAGGGATCCCCACCTGGCCTGTCTAGCCTATGAACGTGGCCAATGTGACCGCGAGCTTATTAAGGTATGCAACGAGAATTCGTTGTTTAAAAGCGAAGCTCGTTACTTGGTCCGGAGAAAGGACTCCGAACTGTGGATGGAGGTGTTGCAAGAGGACAATCCGTATCGACGGCCGTTGATAGATCAGGTTGTGCAAACGGCACTGTCGGAGACGCAGGACCCTGACGACATCTCGGTCACTGTTAAAGCGTTCATGTCGGCTGATCTACCCAATGAACTGATTGAACTTCTCGAGAAGATCGTACTCGACAATTCAGTGTTCTCAGATCATCGCAACCTCCAAAATCTTCTGATTCTGACGGCTATCAAGGCAGATCGGAGCCGGGTGATGGATTACATCAATCGCCTTGACAATTACGATGCGCCGGACATCGCCAAGATCGCGATCGACAGCGAACTATTCGAAGAAGCTTTTGCTATATACCGTAAGTTCGATGTGAACACATCTGCCGTTCAAGTGCTCATTGACAGTATCAGAAATCTCGACCGAGCGTACGAATTTGCCGAGCGGTGTAACGAGCCCGGCGTATGGAGCCAACTGGGTAAAGCTCAGTTATGCCAGGGTCTTGTGAAGGAAGCCATCGACGCATTCATCAAGGCTGGTGACCACACCACGTACCTGGATGTTGTCCAAACCGCTCATCAGAAGAACAGTTGGGAGGATCTCGTAAGATATCTACAGATGGCACGCAAAAAGGGCCGTGAGAGCTATATTGAAAGCGAGTTGCTGTATGCGTTTGCAAAGACGTCTCGTCTAGCCGATTTGGAAGAGATGGTCTCATCGCCGAATCACGCCGATGTTCAGCGCATTGGCGACCGTTGCTTTGATGACGGTCTTTACGAGGCCGCTAAATTGCTATATAACAACGTCTCTAACTTTGCGCGGCTAGCCATCACCCTTGTGCATCTGAAGGAGTACCAGGGAGCCGTCGACTCGGCTCGCAAAGCCAACTCGACACGCACGTGGAAAGAGGTTTGCTTCGCGTGCGTCGATTCCGCCGAGTTCCGCTTAGCACAGATGTGTGGCTTGCACATCGTTGTGCATGCCGACGAGCTGGAAGACTTGATCAGCTATTACCAAGATCGTGGGCATTTTGAAGAGCTAATCGCGCTCCTTGAGGCTGCGCTGGGGCTGGAACGAGCGCACATGGGCATGTTCACCGAGCTCGCCATCCTCTACTCGAAGTATAAGCCGGCAAAGATGCGTGAACACCTTGAGCTCTTCTGGAGTCGTGTTAACATTCCGAAAGTGCTTCGAGCCGCGGAACAGGCCCATTTGTGGGCTGAGCTCGTATTCCTTTATGACAAGTATGAGGAGTTTGACAACGCGGTGAACACGATGATGCGCCATCCCACAGAAGCCTGGAAGGAGGGCCATTTCAAAGAGTGCATTCAAAAAGTGGCTAACATGGAACTGCATTATCGTGCCGTCCAATTTTATCTTGACTTCAAGCCTCTATTACTAAACGACCTGCTAATGGCGCTGGCACCTCGAATGGACCACACGCGCGCTGTGCACATGTTTGCGAAACAGGGCCACTTGCCTCTTGTTAAGGCCTATCTACGCTCTGTGCAGCCACTAAATAATAAAGCCATAAATGAAGCCCTAAACGGTTTGCTCATTGACGAGGAAGATTTTACCGGGCTACGCGCTTCGATTGACGCGTTTGACAATTTCGACAACATTGCTCTAGCGCAAAAGCTCGAAAAGCACGAACTGATAGAATTCCGCCGTATCGCCGCATATTTGTACAAAGGCAATAACCGATGGAAACAGTCGGTGGAACTCTGTAAAGCTGACCGGCTATTTCGTGATGCCATGGAGTACGCCGCTGAAAGCAAGAACCGCGAGACCGCCGAAGAACTACTCGAATGGTTCCTGGAAGAGGGCAACTACGAGTGCTTTGGTGCGATGCTGTTCCAGTGCTATGACTTACTTAAGCCTGACGTCATCATGGAGCTCGCGTGGAGACATGGCATTACAGATTTTGCTATGCCATACTTCATTCAGGTAAAAAAGATGGAAAATTCATTTCGTAATTTCTTTCTCATTCAGGTCAATTGTTAAATCCTCCTTTGTTTTAGATTAACCTCAGCAAGCTAAAGTTTTATATATTCACGTTTTGTTTGAGCGTTCCCGAGTCAAATCGTCGTGTGTGTTCATTAGCATATGGTAGTAGCGCGCGGAGATCATTTTCTTGAATCCTTGCAATTGTTGTCTGTGCGGTAGGTGATGCGCGAATACACGGCCAAAATCGATAAACTGGAAGAGTTAGAGAATCAACGGTTAGAAGAGAGCGCACAAAATGAAAATAAGGGATCTTCGCTGGTTTATGGTCAGTATTAATCAGAAAATTATCATGTAACCAATAAATTCACTTTATTGTTTATTATAGTTCAATAATAAGGCTATGCATATATAGTCCATATAGAACAGCAATATACGACCGTTTTCATGAATACGTTCCATGTCTTGTATACCTAAAGATATATAAATTTTTAAACATTTCACCGTACATTATTCAAGTAGACTACAATTATGAGCCACACTTTGCCCCCCATCCTCCTTCCTAGGTTTTTAACCATCAAACATTCCACTAATTTCTTCGATCCTTAATGATGTCCGTTTCGCAGCTTCCGAACCACAGCTAATGCTAACAGCGGCTCCAAGCATGATGGGTAGTGCGCAGGCAAGCGCGGCGGCCTTTGGGGGCGGCTACACGGCGGCAAGCGCCATTGGTGGTCAGATGAATCACCCGGTCGTTGGCGCGATGCCGCCCGGACAGCCGCCCCTGCCCGGCTACCCGGGATACAGCATGTAGAACAGAAGCAGTAGCAACAACCATAACAAAACTAGCAACAACACAACACGCACTTAGTAGACACGCAGCTGGGGTCAAGTCAGAACGTAGTTAGACACGACGAGAAATTATGTTACAATAACAACAGCACACAAAAATCAGACCGCCGCCGAAACGCCAGAGTGAGACCGAATTTGTCGAATCGAAGAAGTACCTAAATATTTCGAACGATAAGCAACAGGACGGCAAATCATTCAACGACATCTGCCTACGGCCCTAACACTTGGATGTCTAGAGAAAACGGTGTTCCTGAAACAATGAAGGAAACTAATTTCAAGAATGCAAGAATATAACACAGGCGGCAATAGCTGATCCGACGATTAAAGGAGTCTTTCAAGTGCACGGTAGTTCTCCACGATATATCAGAATATGTAGCATCCTTTCATGGCCCTGACAACTTGTCATTATTTGATTTTGAGCTTACACCTTCCGACAAAGTGACATTCTCTGTTCGCGGTCATCCTGTTTAGGTTCTTCCTTTTTGTCGTTTTGTCTAGGCCTCTACGCGTTGAAAGTGAGCAAGTGCTGCTTTGAACGATTTGCCCTCCAGTTAACTAGAAAAAAAAAAGCATACAGAGATGTTCTCTACACCTGACAAGTCGACCGCAGTTCATTATGAAATAGGTGACGCAAAATGCAGACGATGAAATGATTATGAATCACAAGCTAAAAAAATATGATGAACTCTGTGAGCTGGCTGGCAATGAAGTGTCGTACAACTCGGATGACTAAATAACGACGGTCGGCGAATACGCTGCATATTCAATCCGTTCAGATACGAATATTTTCAATTTCATTGCGTGCGGTTTAATTTTCAATTTCAGGAGACTCTTCATTTTATATAATAATTATTAGTTAGATGATTTATAGAAAAATCCATGACTAGTGGTTTCCTTTGTTGAATTAGCTGAAATAAAAAAGAAACGTGTATTATTAATGGACGATTGATTTAAATAAGCTGCTTACCATCTGTTGATGTTACAACAACAACAACAACAACAATGTTGTGGAAAGTAGAAAAAATAGCTGCATATACAACGTCGCCAATATTGTGACATTTTACGCACAGCTTTGAAGGGTCAATTACCTGTCGAGCGCGTGATAAACATGATCATGACCCATTTCGTGGCGTGAGCTCGTGATCTTTTGAGGCGAATGCGCAAAACTGTTACATTCTAGATACATGACATTAGAGCGTTTTTATATCAGCTAACGTTACTTTGGGGCACCGTGACTCGTTTGATTACATGACGACTCGCAACACTTTTTTCCGTTTTTTATTATATTCATTACATCTCTGCTGTGGTTTAACCAGCGAATGGCATAGGTGCATCTTCACTTCACCTTAATCCTTGCTTGGCTTCTTTAAAAGCATTATTTTCAACTGGGAGTATTTTTTATAATTGTGTTATGTGATACTTATTCCTTACCTTAACATATTATATCTGAATGATGTTGTTGGTATAATTTTCGTCTGCTTGTTTGCCTGAGTGCGCGTCTGTGTCTGTGTGTGTGTTTATGTGAATTATTGACTGCAGTTTTGCGCACTCGCCTCAAAAAATAACAAGATCACATTGCAAGACGGGTCATGATCATGTTTATCACGCGCTTAACAGGTAATTGACCCTCCAAAACAAATATCTGTGAGTAAAAGATCACAATATTGGCGACGTTGTGTACACATCTAAGAGTGTTGGTATTTTTTTCTGATTTCTATAGCGTTATTGTTATTGCAACAGTCACACCTCTACACACTGAAGCAAACGGGCAGACAAACAAAGAAGCTGAGCAACATCATTAAGATGTAATATGCTACAAGTATACAGTCTACTAACATTTTTGGTAGAGAATATAAGTATTTAAGTGTATAAATCAAAAAGTACTCTAAGTTAGTTAGAAATTAAAGAAGTCAAGCGAAGATTAAGATGAATTGAAGATACGTATATGCCGTTTCACAGATATAACGAATATAAATTTAAAAAAACCGAAAACTGTGTTGGGAGTCATCACGTAACTAACCAATTTATTGTATCTCAAGGTAAAGTCGGCTGATATAAAAGAGCATTTCCGTTTACCGCGATCGCGATATCCTCTGGCGGTCTCCTACCAATACATTTTCGTCTGTTTGAGCCGCTGAAGGGTACTTGATGCGATAAATTTGCTTCGAATTGGAAGACGACTTGTCGACTGATAAATTTCAGTGTGATTTATAGGATAGATTCGGGTTCGCTTAGCGCTAATGAATGCCAGCCGATATGAAAAAATCCGCAAGATTCTGATGAGGAGTTGAATTAGAAGATTAGCCATTTACTGTTAAAGATTGGAGCCGAATTTCAATCGCACTAAATAGATAGCTAACAAAGTACCGCTAACTATAAGCACATCGAAATACCCCGTGGATAAAGAGTGTTGCAGCTGATAATAAGTTCATAGAGAACTCAGTAAAAAAACATCCAAAAGAGGTACTACTGATAGGTATAGTCATAGAGTACTAACAGACAAAGTCAGAAAAGGTAGGGTTAGGTAAAGAAAAAAGCGGAGAGATGACAATATTTAATAAAGGCTAACAGCCAATGAAGAGGAAATGACGCTAGTGACAGGACCATGCGAATGTTTTTGACGCCCTACTGCTGTTCATATATATATATATATATATATATATATATATATAGCAATTTTAGTAAAGTTGAGTGCTCCTTATTATATATATGAATGTATTAACCATATATAATTAAGTGACGTAGTGGTGTAAGGGTTTAGTGATTCTGGCAGACCTAAACAAAAAAGAATTAAACAACAGAAATTTCCCTGAACGGTTTCTTTAGAGCGGGATAGGTTTGAGGGAAGCAATTCGGGCATGAAAAAATTAGAGAGCAAATCTGTGGAAAGCGTGCAACAACCGCTCGCACCGTACGGAATAGCCGGACGAGACGACATAAACAGCAAAGGAGAAGAATCCAACGTAATGGCGAAGCGACAGGACTACTTTTGTTATTTTAGTAACTATATGTAACAGCGGGTAACAATGTAGTGTCAAATATTACAACAACTGATCCGATTATATTATGACAAACCTTGACGGCAGCAATGCGAATAGTCAGTATTTGTTTCCGTTACTGAAACTGATGGGTCGGGCACATCTCCCATCATACATTTACTGGCGGTGTACGGGTGAAGGTTAGAAATTAGACCTGTCAAATGTGAAATAGGTTCAGTCCGCGGACCGTGAATAAAAACGGAGAGCCATCGTAAATGAAGTGACGATTTTGACATCCATACTATGTTTTTGGGGCTCGATTCAGCGGCAGTGCAGTCACGAAACAAAAAAAGCTTCAAGATCAACTGCAGGGCATCGGTTGTCCTTATGAAACGTACAACAAAAGCAACAATAGCAGCAAGGACAAAAAGACCCAAACATAATTAAGGAAGGCTAATAATAATAATAATGAAATGGCTTCGAAGGTAAAGAATGGTGCAGAAAAGGTAAAAAGAGCTAAAAAAAAAAAACATAATGAACGAGTAAATAGATTAAAAAGTATATACAAACATAGCTAGTGTAAAACAACACTAGTGTGTAATTTTCACAACTCGACAGCTAATAATAGTACTAATAATTAATTATTATTATCAGTGTTACTTCTGAGTAAAACGTTCCGAGTTCATTTTTTAAATATGGTTGCGTCCTAATTGTAGTACGTTCTGGCTGACCTTCGGAGAAGCTTAAAGGCAAATCGAACGTTTCATTTAGACTACAAATGACTGTGAAGCACAAAAGTATTGTAAGGTATGCTTAATATCAGTCTATGGAGACGCCGTTGGGAAGCAAAACTTCTGTCTAATAAAGGAACACCTTCCCGTTATTAAAAAGCCAGCCGTAGCAAAATCATCGCGTCGAGAGTTCAGCTACAAAATTGATTATTGGATTTTCGTAGAGTTAGAGAAGTTTTTTGACCGATCTTCCTGTACCTTGTTGGTATGTTGTTCGTTTCAATATAATATACTGAAAATGATTAATCGTACGCTAAATTTAAAAATGCAATTTCGTATCCAAGGTCCTGCCGTCAGTATAGGCCATTTTGCAGATTTAGAGATGAGCCAAATGGAAAATCTTGTTGTAATAGGATACTGTAGTGAAGCATAGCTGAACTCGAATGCACACACACGTATTGCTTCAAATGTTGGTAACATCTAACTGCACAGAGTTGGGTTTTGGAAGCGAAATTAGCGGCATGTGTGTCAATGTAAAGCTAATTCAAATTGCCTTAATTAAAAAACATTTATATAACATCGCGACATTCAGCCCAAGGTAATAATACGCTACCATTTACAGTTTTGAGAACGTGAACAAAAACGAAGTTTCGTGCTTTGCTAGAAAGTTTAAAAGCTCCGTATCTAACCACTAGTTAGATAAAACTGCTTTTGGGTCAGCGCACGCTTATCTTAGTAGATGATAACTGTTGTAGAAACCATCCTGTCATTTCGAAGTTGAATCGAAGAATGGTTCTATTTCATATAATAAGTTCATTCTATTGGTAAGTTATAGGTAGTCAGTTCGTTAGCGTATCTGCCACTGATGAGCTTTCTTGAAACTTGCTTGAAAATGTTAATAATAGCGCTACTTGCTATATACATCAAAGAGAAGAGAGTTTGTTTGCTCCTTCATCCATAGATCATTTGGAAAGCTGCTGAAAGTTCTAAAAGTTTATACGTGCGTACAATATTCGCGCCGGTTGAACTACTCAAATCAGTGTTCGGGATAGTAGACTTTTTCAGTAAAAAAGGTGTTTATTCGTCGATAAAAATTTACGAAAGTGCGAATCACGACTCCTGTGTTTCTGGTGACAGAGAACTGTGGTATACGGAAAAAAAAAAAGGTTTTCGTGACTCAGACCTTCTGATGAGCACAGGTACCCTGATAATAATATGCTCAAAACGTCATCTGAAAAACTCTTTTCGAACTTCTTCACAGGTTCTACTTTTATTATAAAGAATAACAAAGATCAGAAGTCATTGAGTGCATACATGCATGAATCAAATGCAACCTGCACCCTTTTTGCATACAACGCCTACGCTATACGTTAACATTTATCTGTCAGTTAATTGTCCAATTTGGCAATAAATAGTATCCACAAAAGTGTACGGTTTTGCACGCGCGTCATACTCTCCATATCGTTTTCATCAGATTCACATCTGGCTTATTCTAAAGGCTTAAGCAGCCGCAAGCTGCTTTGTTTTAACTTGGATTGCTCTATATAAAAGTTTCGTTTTGTTGTGTCGCTTAAAGGCGTAAACTCTTGTCCAACAATAATCAGGTGTTAAGAGAAATCTACAGGTAGCTAATTGAGGGCGTAATATTCTGCTGGATTTAAGCGGACGCCAGTAGACTGTTATGAATTAGTTCCGAAATTCAATAGTAACTGGGAAGTCTTGCTATAGTGGTAGGCTGCTGTTTCGAATTTTACGTGCGGTATAGCCGTTAAACATCCGTACGGCGCCAGCCGTTGAACGGCTGGCGCCAGTACGAAACAAACCATGTGTTTATGCCCGGATACAAACCTGGACCATAGTGGCAGACCTATTGCACTGGGCACGTATAAATAGAATAACGCGAGCTATATACTGCATATATTCAGCTTAAACAGCGCCATCAAACAGTACTCGCGTTTTCAGCAAGCAACTAACTAGGGATCTATAAGAAAAGAAATATAATTTAAGTGGCAAATAATCGTAGGTAAGTAGGGCTCTACCAATAAAATTTTATGCCTATTTCGTACAATACGTCTATCATAACATAGTATTTTTATTGAGGGCTATCTAAATAATAATTATTTATATAAGCATAAACCTTATTGTAAAATATACTGGCGGATGTGATTTCTTTAGTTTATATATATATATATATATATATATATATATATAATCTGTTGTCGCTGATATATTAGAATGTAGATGTTGCAACAACTGCGAACATTCCTATATCATATATCAATATAGTCCATAAAATGTATACGTATCATAATTTGATTCTTGCTTTGTATCTAGCCAGCAAGGCCTGCGATAATTTGTTTTAAACATATAATCTCTTTTACCTGAAATGAGTTCTTACTGCTGGTACAACAGTACGTGAATGCTTCCTTAAAAGGATCTTTTGGTTTCAAATCCATATCAATATACGCTTCATCAGTCGAAAAATTACGATCCAAATCCTTCTCTATTTTACGGAATAATATTGGAACCCGCCAGTTCGCCTTGACATCTCGCAATTGAGAGTGCTGCAATATGTCCGGTACCAACGTCATCTTTACTCTCCTTATTCTAGTTGCTCAGAAAAATGTAAGATATTGAGCCAACCTTGGTATATCCGCCAACGTTCAACCATATAGACCTTTACATTTTTCCTTAGGCAATTCTACATTCCCACACGTTGAATTATAGACTGTTCGTATCAAGGTTACGAAGATACGCTTCTTATAAAACCTCTTAAAACTCCTGCGCCGACAATACATGGCGTCTCTTGCTACGCTTAGACCTAGTGAAGGTATAAATACGACTCGTACGTATAGCCATGTCTCGGTCAAGTACCTCCGATTGGTACCGGCTAACGATTGCCCGATGATAATCAGCACTAAAAGATTGTAAATAAGCAGTAGTAACCCTAGCGATGATTAAAACAACACCACCTTTGCCTCTGATACCTGTCCCAGCAATCTTCCCTCCATAAGCTAATGGAGGACCAACACGCTTATGCGAAGCGACCAGCGGCGAAAGTGGAATAGCTTCAGTACTCATGTTATCATAAGCACTAGCCACTTATTTATATAAGTGGCTAGCGCTTATGATGGGTTATTTATATAGCCCACTTTTATAGAAATGATTCAATGGGAAAGGGTTACATGCCATGACCACAGTATACATCTCGTTTTATCCTGTGAAGCGGTAATATTTGTACCCTTCGCGAATAACCTACCACTACCATGGCTTATTACCGTAAAACCAAGCAACAACTACTACATGGACACCGAATTTGACCAAATCAGGGAAAATTCAGAATTATTCAAATATCTCGTGGCTGGCATTGAAAAAGGCACACAGGGAACACTTCACCTTCCATTTTAGAGGTTATTTTGAAATAATAAAATACAAACTTCATTGTATTATAAAAAAAGACAACAACTTCATCGAATTTGGACCCATCGGAAGACCTAACCACCTCGGAGAAGCCCCCGCCGATGCGTGTGATCCATGTGTTCCCGATCGTAAGGACGAATACATATTTGTCGTACAATACAAAACTGTATTTGTCAAATATTGGCGTGGTTTTAAGGAATTTCCCAGCCTCGCAAATCCGGTGGAACCCTGGGACGATGCCACTAAATTAATTCCCACCGGAACAGGAAAATCAGAGATGTAATCAGATAAAAAATTCGCATTAGAAAAATAGAGGGCTCTGGTTGGACAATTATCATCAACAGACCTCTGTCGTTATTGATGAGTTCTATAGATGGGTCAAATGGGGTGATTATTAAAAATTTGTGATAAATACCCACGTCGAATGTAATACAAAGGGGCTCCACAGATATATACATACGATGAGCTAATTGTAGCTTCGTCTTTAGTCACACAAGACTAGTTTTGTCGAGCTCGTTTGGTACGAAGTACGCCTGTATTTATTTATATTTATTATATTTTATCTACCTAGCTATTTATTATAATATTATCAAGTGTTCAAATTTGGTAGCTTTAAGAAATTTGCCGGCGGATTTTGTTCCTTATGTCTGACAAAAACAAGCGTCAGCAGGTTGTCCAGCAGCATGTGAGGTTTGTAGTGACTGAATGATAAGAGAGTTTATTTTCCCTATTGTAATAAAGTGTCGCCCATATATCGAGGTTGGTGCGGAAACAATTGATTAAAACGGTTCAGACATACTCGCCGATACAATATGGCCATGGAGACACCGAACCGAATGAACACACTGAGCCGAAATCACAGCATCGCTGCAGTGAAGAATGGTATAGGCGCCTAATCGAATACCTTAACACGACGTCATGTTTAATAGTTGCTATCGAGGAACGCTCTGCGACTTATTTTGATACAAAATTTGCGTCTTTATTCCTACGAAGTATCATTGACACAACCATTAAGCGTCGTTTGTTTTACTAATGACATGTTGAAGCGTCACATACGTGCTAGTGACTTGTTTTGTCCTTAGATGAATCGTTATTTTCGTGCAGTGTCTATAAGATTAAAGAAAATTATCGCATTTGGGATCGAGAAAACCCAAAGGTGAGTTTTAAGTAAACACTTCAATTATAAAGGTCACCGTGTCGTGGCTCTTTTAAAATTGACGTTAGGTTCTAATTCTTCGAAATGAAACGACGGTAAGAATCGATGGCAAGCTCTACCGTGACACATCGCAAACCGTTTTGTGGCCCGAAATGAAAATCCTAAATGCGAATAACCTTTACCTTAAAAAAATGAGGCAACGTACCACATCGCGCAGGAACAATTGACCTCTCAAACCTTGAAATCACCTTCCCAGATTAACGTGCAAGGGTAAAATCTCGATGTAATTAGACTTTCTCTTTTGCAGTTATTTCGTGAGCCTTTTCTAATGTATTCGCCAGGGCCCAGCCAAGTCTGTTGTCTCGTTCATGTACGGTACATGTTCGATGATTTATTCGGTACCAGGACGCAAGTGAATATTCTTTTTTATTTATAATAAACAGTTATGTATATTGTATCAGGTAGCAATTGTTTTTGTGCCCAGAACACCGGCCAGGACCTGTTTTTGTTCTCGATAAATAGGTATATTTTTCTATATTTTGGCATCTGTTTGAAAAAGAAGTAAGACATTTTTTTTTACAAATATTAGCCCTACATTTGTTGACTCACTTTTTTAATCCTCTTCACTGAAAGTGCCCTTAAAAACACTATAAACGCATTTTACTCTTTGAGTACATAGGCAAACCGATATGACTAACAGGGTTTTCGCAATCTTCACTCAAACGTACCATTTTTAGGAAGAGGTACCTGTATTGCAAAGACTTATTGATCGGTGTGGAAAAAAATTCCCCGTATATGGTACACGACGTCAGATTTTCACCCTTCAAATTGCATTTTTGACCAAAAGGCTAGGTAGATAAACATTGATAGTCGATCCAGTACAATAAATGCTTTCGATTAATACTAAAAACATCTCTTACATCGACTTTTGAAAAAAATTTACATAAATAAATGGTGCTTCACGTGCAAAAAATATTTTCAATATTTTGTTTTTTAACTAATTTTTTTTGTAGTGTGTGTTCAAAAAATAAGTTCTCAAGTAAATATTCATTATATCAGCCATTACTATTTTATAATTGACGCTTCCCAAAAATTGGCGCGAAAAAACGCATTTTCACCCCACTGTCACGTGGGCCAAACAAAGCCCGGCGTCGAAACGGGAGAAGATGGTATGGCTTCGAATCCGGTCGCGAACATTCATCGTTTCGAGCTAAGAGCCAACCATCCGGTGGCGGTAGCTTCCGAAAAATTTACACATATTATTCCGAGCGCTGTTGGTGATTGCCCCGGTGTTTGCAAATGGCACTATGACGTAGCTTTCGAATATGATACACAGGAACAAAATCGCTGCTGTTGCTTGACGGCTAATCGAATTAACGTTTTTCTTTTAACGAAAAGCAAACGTTTTGTTCTAGGGAGCAACGTATTTGTCCAATCGGCTCTAGTGTCCCAGAAAAGTTCTAATCTTTCTCAGATTTTACAGTACCAATTGTTGTGTTATCGCATCGCAGTAGTTATTTTTCAATGATTCAGTAAATTTTTCTGCCATATTTATTCCATTGCAGTTACTCTGCTTTACGTATTTCGTTCTCCCGTCGAAAATTTTTAACGCACTGCAATTATTTCATCAGCATCTCCTAATACATGATTCGTGTCAAGCCCGACTTTTTTTTTCTGGATTGCACACCGATTGTATTTACCCTGTTATCCCGTCGTAATTATCCGGTTACAGGAATGATACTATAAGAATAAGAAATCGGTTACGCTGCAACGAATATTCCAATAAGCTTGTCACTTTACTGCAGTGAATCTATTGATGCACTGTATGCAGCTTATTACCTTAAAAAATAACTGAACTTGAACCAAAAGCTATGACCGTTCAGAATGCATTATTTATAAACCGTCTGGATACAAATCACAACTGTCGCATTAAATCGAGAAACAATGAAAGACTAAAAATTGGTCTTTTCAATAAAAACTTTTCAAAAATTCTCAACGGTTGCCCAAAATAATATTACGCTCTACGTAAAAATAACTCTATCAAGAAAACTTAATTTAATCATGGATATGCGTCATATATATCAACATGGTTATATTTTATCAACCAAATTTTACCAAATTAATCAAATGATCATTACACCGCTTTATAGAAGATAGAAACTGTACTACTTCTTTATGGACAGAGATAGAAAATAATGGGTTTAGATAGTTCATATTTTATCAAATATGTACCATTAGGGCAAACACGTTGAAAGAGTGAAAAAAAACATAAAGATTTTTCTTCAAATTCAATATTCTGCACAGCTTAAAGAACTTTTTAATATAAATCCTTTGCGAAGTTCTAACACTATTTTGTCGAGCAAATAGCAAAAAGTAATCAGTTTGCCCAGTTGTCATTGCATTTTAAGATAATAAGCGCTTTTACCCGGAAAAAATATTCGATTCCCAGGATGCAACTCTAGCGACCTCTAAAAATAGCTTCGATTCGACAACCTCAAAGAGAACATTTCGGCCGAGCAAACAGGTGCAGATTTTTACTAGGATGAAGACAGGTATACCGATTTGTTCGAGTCTCGAAAGTATTACGGTTTATCGACTACTATAATCACTTCACAATAAGAAAAGGTGTTGGTTTATATAGGCATATTTAAAACACAATTAACATGTCCTACTCCAGGTACCTGTTTCCATTCCTTGACTGGGCCCAGTGGGCTAAGTCTAAGACCGCTTCTCTTAGCTCCTGGCAACAGCCGATAGCGCCCCCTTTCGGCTCTCCTGAAAAGATGCGAATGTTTACCCCTTAATCCAGTCCAACGTTGAATAGATGCTGTTATTGGGGATCAGTCGATCTACTAACGATGCTTCGTCCTCTATCTGACTGTTGATAGCCAAAGGGAACGTGAGTTAACGTTGAAAGGGGCGCTCGGACAAATCAGATTGAGAAGCTGGTATTACATTGAACGCTCATATGCCGGACTGCTGAGTGCACCACTTCCTTTGGGGGCGTTTGTTAGGCAAGCTGCCAGGCCCTCGCCAGAGGAGTCCATATTGGCCGGCGCGCTGTGCAGGCACAGCATGCGGTGGGGAATTGGCCGTGCTGTCTTCATCTTTGTTTGCGCACGCATCTCGTAGAGAGGTGGCTAGAGACGAAAGAGCTGCTCCTCAGGTGCCGTCGAAGTGCAGAGGGCAACCGGCATATGACCGGCACGAGTGCTTCAGCATCGGGTGCGCGTCAATTGGGTCTGATTCTTCCATTGTGTTAAACTGTGTTGGCCGTACAATTAGGCATCACGAACGATTTAACGAATGCAAGGCGCACATTAGTGACCTTGGTCAAAGCGGCGCAGGCGAAAATGTTTAGAACCGATGAAATGCGATGCAATGCAGGACATGCAATAGCGACCCAACCAGTAGTTTCATAGTTCTCGTAGTATTAATAGCGTGAGAAAGCTTATTATTAGCATATTTCTCAAGAGTAGTATCGGTTGCGTATAGCATTCGTGCAAACGGTTTTTACCTCGGTGGGCGCCAGGTGCAGCTGCCTACTGCTTTGACGAGCAGGTGGGTAAGTTGATGACGACGGCGGAGAATCAGCAGCGGCAAGAATAAATTGAACAAGGGTAGAATAGAGACCGTGTACCGGGCAGTGGGTGCAGATTATTTTGTAGTTGCCGAACTTACATGAACTTCATCGTTCTTTGTTTCTGTCTTGAACGACTGAGTGAAATAGACCGAGGACTTGCATTGAGCTGCATACAGTTCAGAGAGACGCGTTGTAGGATCGTATTAGTGTCGTAGATTTTGCCGTGTTGGAACGCCCAAGAGAAAAACTGGCTTCTGCACGCACACCGATCGACAAGATCGACTTGCTCGTCACATACTCGCCGTAAGTCGATCGATTTTCAGGTAGCTTATGTAAATAGATAGCTTATCACCTTACGGCATCAACAACAAAAACAACAGTTTTTATTAGTATGATTATAGTTGTTAGTTGACGGACAAAGTTGCGCGAGTGCAGGGTTATACAATTCCCTAAGGATTGCACGCTATACGTATTTGATCTATTATAATATAGAAATGATACGTATAGTATAGATTTTATTATCATTTAGGTTATCTATTTATCATTATATCAATTAGATATGCTGAGTTCAATTTTTCTGTTTAGCTCTTTGTGTGTAATTCAAAAAATCTCTGTAACTTAAGCGATTTCTGATTTAGTGTCGGTGTACTTAATTAATTGTTAATACTTCTTAATCATTTACGTGTTACGAGCGATAAGTGAGAGGCAGGAGAAGCGATTCCAGTTTACTCACGTTTTGCTCTGACCACGTTACCTGATAACTGAAATACAGTAGATGGTCGATTACAGGTGATCTGCCATAACACATTATAAATATTACAAAAGCTTCGAGGTAGGACACGTCTGTCTTGGATAAACCTTGATTTACATAAAACGTAGTTTACGTGCGTTTACTCTGTTTTGGTCTACAGCTATCGTCGATCAACTGGCGTAAAGGTTGAACCACCAGATTTCTCATAAGTAAGACGGCGTTAACCTATACACTTTTCTTGTGTAAGAAAAAAAGCGAAGTTACCATTTTCTATGTCTCTTCGATAATCAGACATGACACGATCCCTTAAAATAGTTGGATTAAGCTGATTTTTCGAGGTCGCTAAAGTTTTGCCATGATATGGAAGCGTACGGAACATGGAGCCGATCGGCTAAACACTTCTTCCTGTAAAGGGAGAAGTTCTTGCGTTTTCCTATACAGCGTGAGGTTCATTTGATTGGTCATAAACCGGAAACCTTTTTGCCTTTTTGTCTGAGTACAATGTTACACCAGCATTTATGAAGCGGCCATCGGCATCGCTGGCACTGATATATCATGAGTGTGAAAATCGTGTAGAACGAGTAGCTTTTCTCAACTGTATTTCAAGTATACTGCGGGAAAGCTATTAGGGAATGGCTGAACGCTATCAAGATTACCTTTTTGGATGAATATTCTCCGCTGTTTACCTGCACACAGAATAGAACATGTTATAAAGTAAAATAAACGCGGTCGTGTAACATTTTCCTATGTATTAGATACAGAGAACATACTTCAGTAGTGACGTCGTACTATACGAAATCTATGAGAACGCTACAAACCAGAGCCCATTTTCCAGGCGATTCAATTGAGCACGATCGTTAAAACTGAGTAAGCTAAAATAAGCAAACACACATCAGTGCCTCATGTCAGTGTAAGGCCATAAAATAGTAAAGTGTAATCTATAGAATAAAATACCGGTTTGTGCACGACTTCCGCAACTTTACATATTACATTTCACTGTATGTATCAGTGTCAATGAGATGGAATAAACCATGCTTTCAAAAAAAATATAATTATTATATCCTCTTTGTTCAACTGTGTCAAATGGCGAACGCACCAACGTCAGGCCTTATGTGTGAGTTTACGGTGTGGCACCTAGCCGACCCTTTTCAATTCCGACTGGAACCGTCTATACGTTGTATCGGTGCTGTTGAGGCGCGACCATTTTTACCTGTTAGCTTTTACTGAGTTCGGCCAATCAAAAAAGAGTCTAAGTACACATTTCCTTTTCGCTGGGCTCGCCGACGTCCTGAGGAACAGCTTTTTCTTTTCTCCTTTGAAATCGGTCGTTCTCCTTACTACATTCTCGTTTACTATACCCGTTGGTTGTGCCGATGTTACATGTCGTCGCTCTCGACCATTCCAGTGACCAGCTGTGTCATTGTTGTTGGGAGTGCAGCGACTAGTCTGCGAGCTACTTCGAAAAGGGCTAGACAACGGAAGACTGCATCCGTGTCACACGCTGCACATAAAATACTTTGAGTCTTCCCTATTGTTTATAACGAAAAATGGTTATAAACAATAGGGAAGACTAAAAGTTAAGATATCTCTCAAATAGAGAGTAATAACGCCATGATTTCCTTTGAACCGTTTGTTCAGGCCAGAGGTATGGCGATGGGACCATCCCTTGGGTAGACCTCTGCCACTGGAGTGGATGGTTTTCCTGCTGCCAGTCCGGCTACGCTTAGCAACTTTGGCATTGCTTCTGTTGAAAACGTTCGCCTATGATGAGCTATCTCTGCCTTCCAAAGCCGCCGTTTCCGTTATGTTGTCGCCTTTGAGTGTGAGATCTAGGTAAGAGGCCATCTCACCTGTCTCAAAAATGGGTGAAAGGCCATGGTTGGCAAAGGCCATGCCTCGCTTGGCTGATAATTCTTTCATTTCCTGGCCTCTTTCTATTATTGCCTTAACGTTTCCCCATCAGGTTAAGGCCGACTGAGATATCTTTCACTAGTATTTTTTTATTCTGCTCTCTTTACTTTTTCGTTACATATTCGACGAAGTCTTTAAATCCTTACATCCTCTTGTTTAGCGAGATATAACAGCTAAGCTCGGTAAGTCCATGTTTAGTTTCTGTCCATATTCATTTCTTTCGCATATCCTATGCTTTTGCGATCAGGACTACTGTGATTTAAAGCCTTGCGTCACATTTTCGTCATCAAAGCAGGTTTGATCTCGCTTGCGTTTCAGCTACATCCTGTTCGGCCTACTAATAACTATAGAATTTTCTACCCTTCTTTTTGTGCTCCAGCTTACAATGGGTCGTGAGCCTTACGCGATCGGTAAAGGACAACTGGTGTCATCTTGAAGTAATAAAAAGGATTAATTTTAAAGTTTTCATTGTTGGACAATAATATAACTGATTCTGTCCCCCCATTATTTTATTATATTGGACAAACTCATCATTGTACTTCTAACTTTCCGATGGCTGTGCGACGTCACTGGCTCGCGCAGGACTCGTCACTTTTTCTTCCGTTGCCGCCCGTAGTTAGATTGTTTCCGCCGTAGAGTAAGTTTTTTCCCCTTGAGTTTTCAAGGCCTTTACTTAACACTCTCGATTCACTTGTCCTCTGTTAAAGTATTGTCTTTATGTGAAGCACTCTCAAGAGTTGGCAGGGTAACTTAGCTTTCGTGTCTTCCGTTCTCCGCAGTTATAACGTTTCGCTCTCTGATTGCGGCTTTTGGCCTCATAACCTAATGTACAACATTTATGGTACCTTATTTGCTCCTATTGTCCCCTATGACAGGTTCTCTCTAAGTGGCCGATCTCCCTGCACCTAAAATAGTACGAAAATATAATCCACGCACATAATGAAGGTGTTAGTGTTCGTCTAGCGAATACAGGTTTTCCTAATTTTTGTATTAGAGAAACCGTGACCCCCCGCTATCTATTTTCTGTTTTCTTTCCCGGATCTTACAAAATCAGTGTCGCTCTTTTTTTTTCGCATATCTACTTCGCTACACATGCGCCTTCCATTGTTAAGCGAAACTCGCTGCTTGTTTTTTGATCATTACTAAAATGATTGTAACGTCTTCGTTAAGGTTTTCTTGTTTTCCTACTTCCTAACAATGAGCAGCCTGCATTGGTGTATTTTTAGTTGCCAGTAGACTGTCTAGACTTACGGGACTATGGTGGGTCTCCACGGTAATGGCCTCTCCCTAACTCTTTGACAAAATGGAAGAGGTAAACTGTCCGGTGAATTAGATTAATGTTTTTGGGATGTTTATTCTAGGTCAGTATTGCTCGAAGCTCTCCATCCTGTATGGTGTTCAACCTGGCTAGCGGCATGTTCGTGCAGGCTTCAGGAGGTGACCGCTTCTATTTTACTATTGCGTTACTTCTCCTATATATCCTGCGTCCTCAAGCCTTCGCAAAATACCTTAGCCATTCTGCATTTCCTCCAGTGTGTGATTTATGTCTTCTCGCGTGCATCCTGCTTTGCCTGCCGTGGCTGTTCTGCACGTCTTCGTGGCTTCCTGCTTCTCCAGCTAGCTTGGGCGGTGCTAAAGTTTGTTTCTCCTGAGCGCAACCCGATCCTGAGCCTATTTATGTATCCTGGCTAAGTCCGTCAGAGTCACAAGTAACATTTTGTGAACCTAACCGGCTCATTCTTAAGGTTGTCGTTTTCCTTTCGCTTCGTAAATACATTTCTACCGAAGACTTTTTTAATGGTGACCTGGTCTATTACTGCCGTACCTTTATCTGCTAAACAAAGATGTCTTCGAACAGAAAATCCATAACCATTAGATTCAGAAAATTGATAGATGGATTGAACTACTAGTTAGAAGTAGTCAATAAATATCCATTAGATTTACACAACATGAGCTAAATGTCTCCCGCAAATCTGAAATAAAGGGTTACTTTGTGGCACACTTCTTTGTGGTATTGGACTTTTCTGGAAAGCGTTGTGTCCTACTGAACAACTGCGTATCTCATTTTATCAATCAGAGCGTAACACGTGCAAAAGACTGTGAGTCTTGTCCGACCATCCAACGCGTGTCTGCCCAGTTTTGCGGTCAAACGCCCTGAGTACAACCGTCTCCTTCTAATTTATCATAGTAAACCCTGTGCTTAATGGCGAACAATATGTTTGCGTCTTTACGTTCGTGTCAACTTTGCTAATGACTATACAAAAAACGAAAAACAGATATTAGGTTAGGACAAGATAATTCAGGTTAGCTAATCGTGTGTTTAAGTATATAGTTCAAGTTGATATTCGTTAATATTCCGCAAAAGCTGTATTGCAAATGCATTGGAGCGGTGTTTTTTTGCCGTTATGGAAGCGTAATGGATTATACGTGCGCTGTTTTTACAACTAATTCCATCTGTTCAGACTGCCGGCAGAGAATTTAGATTTGTCGTCTCATTTTGTCGGGCTGGCTATTTACCCGAGGCTAAAGAATTGTCGACTCGTTTGATGGTAGACGGCAGTGATTAAGAGATTGCCTGGACACAACAAGGGCGCGAAACTTTTGCCTTTCTTTTGTTTTTCCTTCTTTCTATACTGCAATTTCATAGAATAACCTACCCAAACGTGTCGTAAGCATGTGCTCAGGTATCTGTTAATCTGTCCTTTAACGTAAACCTTTAGAGATTAGTTGAGCCTATAATCAAATCATAAACTCTAAATGCGGTGGCGAGCGAGACATGGCAATTTAACAATAACCTTCCATTCGCGCCTGCACATCATTACCCAGGTATGCGTTTGTGTGCGCGATTTGTGATGGTCACTATAACTGACCCTCTAAATATCCCAAGATAGCTAAATTTGTTTAAACACGGGAAGGCTACGATCGGGACGCTTCAAGAGCCTCGATTACTACTGCTCTGATTAACGCACTCGAATAACTTAGCATTGACTTTATACTCAGCGAACTTTTATAGCCAATTAAATTGTTTTAACTTAATCCGCGATATCTGAAGATTACTTTAATCGGTTATCGATGCGTTACTATAAATTTGAGTGAATACAGATTTTTACACTATGCCATATTCTCGAATTCACGGCTGCCTGCACTGGCTTGCCCCTCTCCCTCACCGTGAGTCAGCTTATAAACCACAGATTTATGTAGCCTCGCCGACCAAAGGCGCTTTCAGACGCCCCTCAGTTAGCGAACAAGGCGAAGTGCGTTATAGGATTGCAAAGTATTACAGCTGCGGATGATAGTAAATATACAGATATCGTGGAATACCACTGGTGTACACATCTAAAAGCTAGCAACAAATGTAGACGGTTTTTTGTTGATTAATAGCATTGTGCTGTCACACGTAACAAGTGAAACCGTTATTGCTCACGATCAACTTAAATAGTAACTTAAGAAGTTGACCACTATCAGTTGATGCCACAGTAGTTACTTCGGGCTAAGCAGCAACATCGGATTATGACTTAATTATGCTGCAGCTTGTTACATATATATATATATATATATATATATATATATAGTAAATCGCATGTCGAGTCTACAGAGGTAAATAATAAATAAATGAAAACAGGTCTATCAGGAAGGAGATTTGGGTGTCGTTACAATTCAATTAATTATCTACAGATGTGTGAGTATTAATTAAAATATATATCGTAGTTTTCTCTGTTGCCAAGAACGTGCAAGGAACAGACCAGAATAGCACCTACTCAAACGACCCTCACCGAAAAATAGTAAAAAAAAAAATGTTTCTACCTCAGACCTCTTTGACGTAACCAATTTGGTCCAACTAATTCATTCGAGTCTGACATTTCTTACTAAACGTTAAGCGTTGCATCGAACAGCTGGCCTCCAGCACAGAACCAGATTTGTCCCCGTCCGGTATGTTATGTAATGGTATTAAGTTCATTTAGACTTACTTAATTGCTTTAGAATAGGAAACCCGTTCCTCGTACTTCTCCTTGCTATTTGGCACAGCTTTTAATTCAACTACAATATCTGATCTTACAATATACCACTGATCTTAGAAGAATGGCTACGATATATGTCATCTAGATATAGGTTAGTGATTGAAGGCACTGGTGTCCTTAACGGGTAGTGATAATATGGCTGCTTACTACACTTAGAACACGTGAGATGGTCTAGGACCGAAGCCGGCCGTAGACGCGTACGAACTGCCAATGTCCTAACATAAAAACTATTGCAATTAACCAATGTTTTGTATTTGTTACAGAAAAATGAACGGTATTCAGTTAAAGCCGGTAAGTAAACTGTCCATTTGTTAAGTGGCTGTTTCATGTCCGCCTTTTTAGTTGCATGGGTAATGTTTGACTAGATGTGTCCGTAAATAGCACGGGACCCTTAATCGCCTTTGAACTCACCACTGCACAATATTAATAGCTTTGGACCTAGACCTGACAGCCTTGAACAGATCTTCTTCCCAGCAAATAAAAACGCAAGAAGTTTCGTAATTGCCGAGATAATATATTCTATATCGGACTGTCTGAGCTTGTATGCTTCTGATTCGACGTAAATGATCATTATGGTCGCCTTCATTCGATCTGTGTTGCTGGTTGAATGATGAATTTCAGTGAACATCGATGACCATTTAGGATGAAATTATATTGTCCATTTGATAAATAATATTCTATTTTTCACCTTCGAAATCCTAGTAAAGTGAGCGTTACTTTCACCTGTTGCTTCTATCGAAGGAAGTCTCAAAGACAGCAGATACCCCTCAGTCAGTACGTTGTCCTTGCCTTGACCTGTGTTTACGTAGAAGAATAGCAGTTTGAAGAATAACAACACAACCAAGCTTAGATTGGGTTCTATTTTACATCTCATATATTGTATACCTATATATATATATATATATATAGGTATAGCTAGATATAGGTAACATGAATTGCCGTTTTTATTACATCCGCTTGTTTCATTGTCATTTATTATTAAATACTTTTTAAAATTTTTTTTTCAGATCGTTTACGTTTCAAGATTTGGGATTCGATTTAAAAATTTTCTATGTACAATAACAGATTAATTATTGTACACAGCATACTCAATGTCTAACGCAATGGTTTTGTCCCTTTAGCAGGCAGCACGCTATAAACGAGCGTCTTTCGACGAAGATGAGGTGTCAGCCGGGGGAGGCAGCGTCCCATCGGGAGTTGGATCAGCTGTTGGAGTAGGAGGTTTGGGTGGTGGAATATCGCCAGCCCTCGATGGTAGTAGTACAGTGCTTAACGTTGGACACGATCCCTCGAGACCATCGATCTCCCTGTCTGGACTCCACTTTCGGTGAGCGTTTACTCAGTAATCATATTCAAAGTTATGCTACGAACCTTTAAACACAAGGCTATGCGCAGGGTTAACAACGACCCAGATGATCGTTGTGTGTCAATATAGGCGATGCGATGCTTTTATCAGTGCCATCGCTTTCCTACAGATTGTTTTATAATCATTCGTCTTCTCTTGTGTATTAGTTATTGAGAGGAGGTGTGCAAAGCATGGACCATTGGCTTTTAAGTAAACAACAACTTTTAACATGTGTGCAGCCATATTCTGTACCCTTTTCGTATTTCAATCTCTACCTTTACCGAAATCTACCTTTACCCAAACTATCTTAGCCTCAACAGCTTTGTGCGCATAGCATCGAGGGAAGCATCTCAAGGAAAGCCACTCGCTATCAACGCAAATATGGAAGCTTAAACATGTTAGCCGTGTATTTCCAGGAGAAGACATGGCTTGTGCGGCCATCAGTGTACAACGTATGAATGCTGCCTGACCATATTGTTGATGTTTTCATCGGCCGCATTGCTAGCAGTCTTTCTTTTCGGACCGAACGGATTCACCCGAGGGACACACATGACCATTTCGACCCACGCAGTTCCGGGCGTCTGCCTTGCCCCTGAATGTATAACGGTCGCAAGTGCCATTCTTTCAGCTATGAACCACAAGGTATGGCCCACTGTCAGCAACTATCGGGTTATAACATGACTAGTTTCTCCCTTATCTTTCCAGTGCTTGTTTGCAGTGTATCTAAGCATGACTGCGAAGTACGCTTCCTGCTTCTTTCTTCTCTAATCTCGTTGTACCTTTACTGAGCAGAAAACGAAATCCGACGTTGAAATCGGGTGCAAAAGATAGACGTTCCTACTGAAAAAATGCCATTTCTTAAAAACAGGCCATTGCTAGCAAAGAATTAAATGTACCCTTAATAAGAAAATATGTAGTTATTATATCTACGAGAGATATAACATACGAAATGTAAATATAATGGAGTTTCCAAAACAATGTTGAAGAAAACAAGTATGCTCCGCTCGACAAAGAGCTGTATCAGCTGTCGTTTATGATAGTCCATGAATGGCTAATCAGGTAAGTAAGTGATGTAAATATTACAATTTTCTAGTTCCAGCATCATCCCATCACCAAAGAGCTTCTGTGCTTAAAATGTGGCAGGTGATCTTTGCATCCTATCATTAAAGTAGAACTAACATTATTAAGAAAGTTCTGTTCAGATCAAAACAAACGATAGTCCAATGGTAAAAGAACTGCATTATTCGGTGTGTGCATTAAAAGTTCGAACCCGAAGTTCCTTCCAGTTTTTTTTATTCGGGAATACTGTGCCTTTCCTGTTCACTGATTCCGGACTATTTTTCCGATGCTTTGTTGCAATCCCGTCATTAACAAGGGTCCAATTAATCGTTTTGGCAGGCAGCAGTAACTCGTAATCCATGATCCTTTCCGACTTTACCAAACATCTAGTACCGTTTTCTGTCTGGAAATTGCCATAGATAGTAGAGTGCATTTTTATTAATTGGTCACTTGTGGTCAACCACTTTAAGAGGGGTTCAGTGCCGTTGCATTTCTGTAGAGCTTCGCAGACAGAAATACGATCGAGTGGTATCTTTTGCATCAATTCCGTTGGCACGCAAATGTCGAACTCTTTTGTGCAGCCTGGTTTCTTCAAATGGTTTAAAACTAGCTGGTAGTGGATGTTGTCTCTACGTGATTATCCATGTTTAGGACCATTACTCCTAGTAATGCACCTTGATCATAGGAAGCACACGTTCTATATAGGCTTGGAACGTGTGTGAATTGTGTGCCTGTCGTAATAAAATGGTTAAATATAGCGATTTTTTACAGAAATTTCACTCATTTTTAAGGCGCTCTATTCTGAGTCTGAATAAGGACATTTTGGCTATTTTAGCACATCTACCATTGTCGAATCTTGGCTTTAAAATTCATGTTATTACCTCAGACATGTGACATATATATATAGAGATATTTAGTTGAATGAGCAGTCTACGGTAAACCCGTTTAATGTTAACAAGCCTATAAGCTGCTAAGCTTCGATTAATGAACAGTATCGGATATATGACTGCTTCATACATAAAACAAAACTTTTTATAAGTGCATAAAGTTCTGTAGGTATGCATCGTGAGCGATGGGAGATTATGTGTTTGTCTTACAGTCGACTCCGAATAGAAATATGCCATGGGAGAGGCGCTATCGTATCACTAAGAAGACTATTTTTTACGAAAAATGTCAGCTCACGCGCTAACAACACACAACCACTACTTAGTTGACTATGTGTGTTCTACTTACGAGCAGCTTATTATGTTATTTCTAAGCAATTTCAGGTAATTGTATTGAGCTTTTCAACCAAATACGTATAGTCACAGTCGTTAAAAAGGTAGATTATGTAATAGGGTAAAACATGACTGCAAATGGTTGCTTTCTGCTCGACTTCTCACGTTTAGTTTACATGAGCTAAACGAAGTGTCATTAGTCAGTCATAAGCAAACAAAAACTGCAAGAGATGATGGTGGCAAACTTTTTTATTTCTCGATACAGTAGGGGCATTATTATGCTTAACAAATATGCAAATATATCTATCTGTCTAGATAATATATATCTCTTGGTTGAAATAGTGTCTGTAGTAATTATTATTAATGTTTTCACGTGTCGTATCAAGCTGTTGACTTAAATATATAATTGCGTAGTGTTCTTTGGAACTGTTAGTCTAAGTAATTTTTCTTTATCATTGAAGGAAGCATCCACTGAGATCAGCTTCCTCATCTTTTATATACTAGTATCAAATAGAATAATCTTTGCTCATTCGCTAAATAAACGTCGTGTTTTTCTCGACTTTTTTAAAAATTCTCTCTCAACTCTATCTTTGGAACGTTTTTTTTAATGATTTCTTTATTAGAGCTCCAACATTCGTATGGTATTACAGGGGACGTCGCTACTTTCAGCGAACCACTATTTATGTGACAGTTTTTTTTTTTTAATATTTACGGGGTCGTTATCATAACCGACGGGGACAGGTTGCAGCGTCAAACCACGTCTCAATTTATCAGCCACATTTCTTGGTACTGATCTCACGTAAAGCCAAGCAGTCTTTTTTTCTAATTTTGTTTTTTAAGGGGGTAGAGAAACGCTATTTAAGCGCGACTAGGTTGAGCAGAACAACGTGTATCTAGTGTGAGCCGATCAGTGTGGGACTTAGCCCCAACGAGTGGAAATAGTTTTTTCAAGACCACTTCTCACTAATTCTCTTTTGTTTTCTATACGTCTCTCCAACAATCCGACTCTTCAGTTAATATAATGCAACAGAGAGTATCTCTAGAAAATGGCTTTGGCCACTGAGGCGCTAGGCCGCGGTTTTCCTACCGCGCAAGAGGAGCCAATGGCCAGGCTGAAGAAACTGTTTTTCTGTCCGTCCTGCAAACCTAACCTTTAAGCGTCGTTTATCTCGGTTAGTTTTGTGGGTCTAGCTTTGATAAGCCTTTTTTTTCTACCATGAACTCCATGGTGGGCAGACATATGTTTCTTGTGAAGCCCCGAGCCTGATCTGTGATTGCAGCCAGTGTTAAGGTAGTCGTGATTTACTAATTTCTTGCAGAACGTTCACTTGTTAACGTTTTTCACACCTTGCGCCCAAACTGACATCAGCTTTGACAAGTGGCGGATTGACACTCTGTATAAGGTTTAAGCTTTATAGATCTATTGTAGTTCTATTTTATATTAGCAGGCACAAAGCGGTCATACCCAACGAAAGGTCATGACCTAACATTAACTTTCTACACCTTTATTAGTTTGCTTTTTATCTAGGTCAAGCAGCTGCTTCATGCACGAGAGAAATACTCAAACGTGGCTTGTAAGCTTGAATAATGTCAATTTGAAACTGGAAAATGGCATCACCCAGCCGATACGAATTACGTAAAGCGACTTCAAAACGAAGAGGGCGGGCAAAAAAGCTTGTGAATTGGGCTAGCAAATGAACCGCGGTCATGTGATTATCAGCAGGCTCTTAACGCCTATGAGATTTACTCAAAAATGAGAAGCTTGTGTGTTTTCAAAAACCGAGTGAAAAAAAACACAACAAACTTTTTATAATGGTCCAACATCTTGCCCGGTAGCAGGCAGCTAGCGACCACAGTGACAGATTTGTGCACAGTTATGGGTGACACTAAGTCGACATAAGGCAAGGAAAAGGCTGTCTACCCGTGGGGGATATTTTTAAGTCCAGAGTTAGACTAAATTTCCGTCCGAATAAGATCATGACTTGCATCTGCTGAGAAGCCTTATGCGCTAATTGTATGCTTGGCAAAGACAAGGCATTTAATATAAATCCTTAGACAGCCGCGGTGGGTTGAGTCTAATGAGTCTATGCAACAAAGAGGACACGATAAGCAAAACAAACCTGTTTGCCATGACGACGATGGGAAATCACGTATAGCAGGTGTAGTTAAAGCGGCCCTACAAAATTTTAAGAAAAAGCTTTTTTGGACCCGGTGCCAACAAATACCATTTCCTCTAATCACTGGCAAGTTAAATTAGTACCCGTACACTTTAGCGTGATGACAAAAACTAGCTGGACGAGCTTTTTAACCATAGGCCCGAAAAAATCTGATGAAAAGAAATGAATCGATTGACATTGGAGAGACGGACGACGAGCGTATTACGTTGCGACTTGTGCTAAGTAAGGAAAACGATATTACCTATGTTACAGCCTAATTATTTCAAATACTGTGTCGTTTTAATTAATGCTAAAGGCCAATATTGTAGAACGGATAACAGTTAAAGCATCCTGTTTTTGTATATTAGGAAATTCTTATAGAATTGTATTTAAAAATTCAAAAACGACTAACCTTGAATGCCTGTCATTTGCGTTTTAGGTAGACCCCTGCGACGATTTCTACGAGTTTGCTTGCGGGGGTTGGGTGAAGCAAAACCCTTTGCCTGATGGAAAATCAATATGGAGCACATTTGGAAAATTGTGGCAAGAGAATCAGCTAGTGATGAAGAATATCCTTGGTAAGTATTATATTTTCTATTATATTTAGCTTACGTCCATAAATGTGGGACAAGCTGGTCAAGTAACTGAATTCGTTTGTACCCACAGATCGACATTAATAAATGGTAAACCAATATTGAGTAAAGCTCGCCTAAGCCATTATATACTACTTGTGAAATCAAGCATTTAGTACATGTTGGTTTCTTTGTTTAATCACATAAAATTGAACATAGGTACCACTCAAATTTTGCAGATGACGATACCCGGCCTACGAACTCCGTGGCAGAGCGACTGGCTAAAACGTATTATCTGTCATGTTTGGATCAAAACAGCACTATCGAAGCTTTGGGTTCTACGCCTATCGATGAACTGTTGTCGGTAATAATGTTCTGTCCTATTTCAATTTTAGTCTATCCGATGATAATAAAAGGGATAATTATAGTCTGTTGGCTGGGATACTGATATAATCCGTTTTTGCGTAACTTCTTAGCAACTCGGTGGTTGGAACATTTCATCATCGGGTTTTAACGTAACGTCATGGAAGCTCCAGTCTGCTATAGAGCTCGCTCAGAACACTTACTCCCGTAGCGTTTTTTTTGCCTGGATGGTTGCGCCCGATGAAAGGAACTCATCACGACACATTATTACGGTGCGTATAAATATTTATTAATTACTTGCTCAATTCTTTCGTCGTAACGTAGTGGGTTCTTGTCCTTTCATTTTGTTCAAAAGCCCGTAAAAAATACTCTAGAGTAGAGTAACGTGTCCAAAGAGGTACGGCAATGAGGCAATGATGAACTTATCGCAGTGTTTCTTAGTATAGGTTTCAACTTTTACAGCGGCACTCTATACGCCCAGCAACATCATACGCTATATATATTTATCTGTATTTTAATTCAATATAAGTTCTTTACGATTTGATTGCAGTTGGACCAAGGAGGATTAACGTTACCTTCCCGAGATTACTACTTAAATAAAACCGATCGAGAAAAAACTGTTACGGCCTTAAAGCAGTATATAACACAGGTACATAGGCGTATGTACGGAACCTAAAACTAATAAGTGAAACAGTTGCCCTATAACGTTAAGTTTACGAACAACATGTGGCCAGAACTCCACAGTTTACAGCCCACATTTTGTATGGAAAAACCCCTTTTTGTAAAAAGAAAATATGCTATGGCATATAACCTTTATATTGTTCTACTTCATAACCAACCAAGTCCAGTTACTGCAAAGAAATTACTGATCTATCGACGTATCGAGCATTACCTTCTACTGTTTGTTGCTTTTCGTTGCTGAAATTATCTTCACGAGTTTCAGATTGAAATACGCATGAAATCGTTCTTTGTCTTGCTTGAGTTACTGATCAAAGTTCTTCTCGATAGAAGTTGACTTCTTCTCTATCAAGATCCTGTTGCGCATCAGTTTGGAAATGAAGAACGTGTGTTATCTACTGAAATTGTCTCTTGGCAAAAGAAATATTCGAGTATACTGCTCTATTTTCAACTAGACTAGTTAGACGACGACCAATTTAAAAACTAATGAAAGTTCCGGATATCGTTTGTGAAACCTCATTGCAGGCTAACTCATTGCTCAAATCATTTCTAGTATTTAGGCTGACTGACACCGAATACACGCAAACGCTGAATTTGTTTCTTTAAACACTGTCATAAATCGCACATACTCAAATATAAATAACTGAGTCGTCTACCTGACCAGTAATGCTAAAAATCTTAGGTTGGAGTCCTTATGGGCAGTAACGAAGAAGAAGCGAAGACACAAGCTGAATCTATCGTGAATCTTGAGCTGCGCATGGCCGAAGTGACTATGCCCGAGGACGAACGTCGGGATGAAAAGGTAATCTGCGACTTTTTGGATGCTAATCTGAATGGTCATGGAAAAATTTAGAACAAGCTGTAATGAGAAAATATAGAGTACGCACGCTTGGTATCCCAGCACATTTCGATACCGTAGTCGTCGTGATACTCTGTGACGAGTTTAATAGAACCTTTTAAAACCTCGCACTAACTTTTCCTTTTTTGAAACATTTGAAGTTTAATACATGATGGTAAAAAGAGACTTCTAGTATAATTTTACTTAAATGCAATGTGTTATATGTTTTCTGCCAAAGGCATTATACAACAAAATGCGCATAATGGATCTTCAAAGACTTGCCTCATTCATCGATTGGGTTTCGTTCTTCAGGAGCGGCTTTTCTCTGGTAGGGGAAGACCAGAAATACTGTGCATAAGCGGTATCTGAGACTTACTATACAAATAATAATTTCTTATATACGAAGTTTGACTTCTCTTTCGGTTAACGATTATCATAGATTTGTGCCGTAAACTTTATAAACACAATGAATACAAATAACCTTGAGCTGCATGCATCATTTAGGTGAACATCTCGGTAACCGGCCGTACCGAGGTGGTCGTTCTTGTACCGTCCTATTTTCGACAACTCTCTGTTATCATAAAGGACATCTTGGCAAAACCAACTGGAAAAATGTAGGTAGAACAGATCGTTGTGTTATTTCGACGAGATATATGTCATCATTTTTATCCCTGTTAGAACATAAATTAATTCTTTAGTGTTATTAATATATTAATAAAAGTTTCAGTGTAACTCTCAAGTTGTTTATGCTCCTTAGATTACGGTTATCCCTAAAAATGACAAACCTTCCGATTGGTCCCACTGAACTAGATAACAAATACCAAGAAAAAAAGAACGAAATTTGGATTTAAGCTGTCGATATCATTGTGGAGACTAATTCTTTGGACGCATTACTCCGTTACTTTTCCGTTATAGAACGCTGGCCAATTATATCGGCTGGCAGACTGTGAATTCTCTCGTGGGTGCGCTGGCGCCCTCGTTTCGAGAGGCACAAAGAGTCTTGCAACGCGCTCTTATGGGCGCAGATGGGGCGGAAGCAACGTGGCGTCAGTGCATCAGTGACACAAATAACGTACTTGGCCTCGCTCTCAGCTCGATGTTTGTGAGAGAGGTTTTTGATGAACAGTCTAAGCCAGTGGTATGCACGCTGTTAATATCTGTACTTTTGAAAATGACAGTTCTCCTATATGTGTGTATGTCAGGTCAGACGTGGCATCTTATATATAAATTGAAGAACACAATTCTTTACTCGTCAGATTTCTAGCTAGTTTTTCTAACTACTGTTTGAGTACAAAACTCACTGGCACGCCTAATCAAGATTGGGAACTGGACAAGCTCAATTGTATAGGACAATGCCGCAGCTAACCTTTAAATCATAACACAGGCGGAGCAAATGGTTCGAGAGGTGAAAAATGCATTCAAGGAGAACCTTCCGTATCTTAACTGGATGGACGACGAGACAAGGGAGCTCGCTAAAGACAAGGTGGGAAACCGATAGATCTACTAAGGTAGGCTTCCTTTGCAATTAGTATGTGTCACGTACGCTTGGCAACAGGCAACAGCCGGGGAGTAGATGTTACCGACAGCGCGCCCGCTAAGACATATAGGTCAAGCCATATATAGACAGCATTGCTAAATAAGATTTTCATGACTCAAATAAGCTTCGAATGGCCCCGATGTATATTTAATTCGAGCCATTTGAATTGTTTGCTATCGATTACCGATGACATAGGCGGATCACGTCACCGATATGATTGGGTTCCCTTCATTTATCTCGGACCGTGATAAGCTGGACGCCAAATTCGAGGGACTGGAAATGAGAGAAGCCGAGTACTTCGATAATAACTTACGAATATCGCAATGGATGCTGCTTAAGAACATGCGAAGACTGCAAAGGCCCTCTCAACGTGGGGAATGGGACATGAGCCCTATTCAGGTAGTTTCTTATTAGTTCACGTATGTAAGCCGTCTGATCGATCATAAGCCCCGTTTGTTATAGGCTGAATCACAATGCTTCTGTAATAGTTGTACCTAACAACAAATTTTTGAGCTAACAGTATTGCGATGCGCTTGGTGTCACTCTATATACAGGACAATTCAGTAATTAAACCACGAAGGAACAAACAGGCAAGCCTCTTGGATGCTACCTATCAAGCTCAGTTATTAATTAGGCTAGAGACACCTTGAATGACAATCATTGTGTAAAGTTAAAATATTTGTAGACCGCTGTTGATACGTCTTCTGTATCCTAACCGCAGATGTCCTGTTGCTAGGTAAATGCGTATTATACGCCGTCGAAGAACCAAATTGTGTTTCCGGCAGGAATACTACAGGCTCCTTTCTATGACAAGAACTATCCAAGGTAAACAGATAAAGCGAAAACATGAAGCCTAATTGATAAATCTAAATTGAAAACAAGAAACCAATACAAGATACAAATCAAAACTATCTCTCGGAACGATATTATTACAAAATGTTTAGTATATACTCTGACAAATGTGCCTCGATGTGTTAGCAACACCTTACCTAGACTTTCTTTGCCTTATTGTTTTTGTAGCTTAGTAATTATCGTACTGCGACTTTCACGTCCTAACACGTTTCACTAATCCGTCTGATGTATCATTGTTGCGAAGTAGATCACTCAATTTTGGAGCAATGGGAGTGGTTATGGGACATGAGCTGACGCACGCCTTCGACGATCAAGGCCGTGAATATGATAAAGAAGGTACATTGTTGATATGTTTGAACTTTTAGAGATCTGCGTTTATAGAGCTGCATTTTCACACTCCTATTATATGATGTGTCACTGACATTTTTTGGTTCCTTTCGAACAAGCCTTGAACGAGATAATTTGCTACGATGTAGCAATTTAATCGTAACTTGTTTTTATCTAGCTCATTTGAAGCACACAAAAACTGTGAGGACTTTAATATGTCATCAGTTTGTACGCATGACGAGCACCGCCGGTTGCAGTCTCATAGACGAACTACTATACCGAACCGAGGAATCAACTTGTATTTAATTGATATTACATAAGTGGTTGTGCAGAACGCTCACCTATTTAAAGTTGTTCTACACTTTCTGTTACTAGATTTGCTCAACTCAAGTAAATAAATCTGTCAAAGGTAAATAAATGTGTAAAAGGAGATCTTTATGGCTTGGATAATAATCTTCTAAGATTTAAGACTATCTCTTTGTTCAAAGGTTATTTAGAAGCTTCGTAGCATGACATATTTGTCCTGCAAACTAGTTATTAACGGGATTCGATAGGATTCAACTGGAGGCCATGTAATGTAATGTAAAATGTCTGTTAGTTATCAGTGCACCATCATTTACAGGGAACTTAAAGCAGTGGTGGAACAACCGTACTATCGAAGCCTTTCAACAGCGGGCTAAGTGTTTCATTGACCAGTACTCGTCGTACAAGCTCAACAATGATTCGGTTCGTCGCCGTTCGGCCCTGTTCATTGCCTGATAACTGATTAGATAATGCTCGATCGTGAGACGAAGCTCCTGACGTATAGCATTTTAGGCTTTGAGACCTATTTAGTCAACTGCTAAGATGTGCTAGAAATTTTTTCGCCATTTCGGTAACATCGCTAGTTGATGCCGTTTCAGATAAATGGAAAGAGTACTCTCGGCGAAAACATGGCCGACAATGGTGGGCTCAAAGCAGCTTTTCATGTGAGTGTCTGCTTTCGCAAATAAGAGCATCGATACATTCTAAAATAAATATTAACCTATAATAGGTTTAAAAGAAATAGAGATGATGGGTAAAGAAGATATAAACATTGAACGGATTACTTAGTTACGATATATTGTAAGGTCCTAGCATTACATACCGCACGCCATTTCGACTTCGACGCTTCACACCGTTCTAAGATCGAATGAAGTAACCAGACGTATTAGTATTACGCCTATCTTATAGTGAGCTACAACACAAACTTGACTCATTACTGCCTGTTCTATGAACAAATGCTATGAGTGCTTTAATCTATATGTGGACTCGATATACCTTAGACCTGCACTTTTGCAGTGGTCTAGCTATAGCAATTATCCTGAGGTATTGCTGTAACACAAATTCCAGTAGCAGCTAGTGATATTTTCCTATTTCAAATAATCCCTTGCGCCGCTATACTAATATAGTTATATTACTCTGCTTGAGCGATTGGTAACCCTAACGTAACGTAAACTACAGCTCCATTACGAGTACCCCGTCGTAGTAGCGGCTCCGTTAGTAGTCCGGTGTCATTTTCTCTATTTTAGTTGTCTTATCCATCTATTGACATCTGTCTGTTAGCACACTGCCCCTCGTAGAAATGACTAACATTGACCGTGAAATCTACCTCATCTAACATCAAATACGTTACCTCTCATGGTTGTTCTGCACTCTGCCAGAGGAGGTCTCAATATTGTGTTGCATTCGTCACCTTTCGCCGTTTCAGCTGATTTGTTTTCAAGCTTCCGCATCAATGTACACCCATTCGCAACAATTTCGGCAAGAATCGTTCTATAAAATCCAATTTTACGCCCCTTAAACTACTTTGAACTCGGAGAAGTCGTGGCATGGCTATACTAAACATAGTGAAAATTATTTCGAACGGAAAAACAAGGCTTCGGATTACTGAAGCATGTGCAGTAATTGCAGATTTCCAAGTGCTGTAAACAAGTGAACATTAAAAAAAATCTAGAATCCAATGCTGGGCCCACATAGTAGAACTTGGAAAATAATTAACTTATTTGGATGTAAAAACAAAATCTAGCGCCTCTTGACCGAATTATCAACTTACCAAAATTATGTTCTATGGAAGAAAGAAACTCATTCTTTATTCACGCAATCGGCCCAGCCCTAGAACGAAATTCTAACAGAATTAGCTCAATGTAATCGTGAAACACTTGTGATCTGGGTCGAGCTGACCGGAACACCCAGTTAGTTGGAGTGTCATAACAAAGGAAGCAGACAATCTAGCTAACGTATGTCTCGATTCCGAAAAATAATTTATAGGCGTACCGAGGTTGGCTTCAGTCAAACACCGAGTTTGCTCCGCTGCCTGGAGTGAATCTTACGCACGAACAATTATTCTACGTTGGTTTCGCACAGGTATGCCACTGGTCACCGATCCTTTTTTCTGAATTTTCATATTAACTTACAGCTACGCTTATGCGATGAGGTAGCCTCACTTAGCAACTAATGTCTTTTTGCGTCCGACTTTATAAGCCTGTATACAATCTCGCTTTGATTGCTCGTGGCGTAACTACCGGTCTGCGACATCGAAGGCCTGCCTCGCACAAATCTGCGGCAACAGGACCTCATAACGGGACCGTCGTCTTGAACTTGGTGTTGCTTTAACGGATATGTATATGTAGAAATTGCGTCTGTACACCTCCGGCAAGTTAGCTTACGTCGAAGCTGCGCACTGCCACAAATTTCTCTCTCCGGACAATGGTATCATATACCAACGAGTTTTTTTAGCGTCTGAATGATCCTCATGACAGTAAAGGTTTCAGTCGCCTGCGGAAGTGCGCTGGAATGGCAAAGCATGCTTTATTTAACTATTGAAACTGCCTCTTTTCCAGCCTTCTCTCAGTACACTGACCACTGCTGTCTAACTGGCTCGCCAGTTGATGCACTGCAAGGTTAGCATCGTTATGAAACTTCATAATAATCGAGCTGACGGGCTAGTTCCCGCCGTCGAGCTCGATGGTGCCCACATATTGCTCTGGAAGGTTGTACTTTTCCGGAAAATAATTTTACATTTCCGGGACTAACTCAGCATAGGAAGTTATTATCGTTACGGTGAAATCGTTAGCGTAAGATGCTGATCTCTCCATCCTTCAACTGTTACCCAAGAACACAGTAGTTAACTCTAGTTTCACAACTTGGCAAAGATTGCTTAGTACTTACGACCTGGCTGAACATTTCGCTTGTAACGATGGAAAAAGCGTTCCGGCGAATCGGTTTTCTCCAGAAGAAAACGTTTGTACAGCCTTACTTAGAAGCTTTCCCGCGCTTCCTCTGGGCCGATCTTCAAATCAGATCAAGCGCGGGCGACTTCTGGCAGATATCCACACGCTTGGCTCACGACCTGCTAGCAGCCATATATATATAGCTGCTAGTTTGGACGCGCTTAGAGCATAGGGGCCATAGTCACCGGCCAACAAGTTGAAGCAGCTGCTTAGTCATTCACAATTCGGTGGAAGCTCGACCAACTCTATAGAAGCAACCGATCTATGAGATCTCTAACCAGCCAACTGACCATCCAGTTCGAAGCATATCCGAATTTGGATTTCGAAAAGAAAACGCAAAAGTGACGTACGACGACGAAGGGCGAAAATTCGAAGGGTCCGGAACCATTTGAAGGCTGTGGTTACGGCCCGTAGTTACGACACAGTTGCCTATTGGTAGGCCCTTCAGCGAGGACATTGAGGCACTAGACCGTTTGCATACTGAGTTGCAAGGGGAACGAGAACACGGGAATGTTGCACGGATGCAGCATAGTTGATAGCAATGGCTGAGTGTTAGGGCCAAGAGAGTACATAATAACTAGCTTCTAGTTTGCATGCGGTCAGAGTCAAAAACTCTAGTTGGCATGTTGTTAGTTTTTGGCCTAGCAGTTGAATTGTTCTTAGGGCAATGAAAACAGATGTCTTAAGAGTTTTGCGTGTGCTAGACGTTTTGCTCCTTTTATCTTAATATAATCATCATTCACAATGATTATAGTTTCAGTTGAAGACCTGAACAATTCATTAGACATCTTCGAACATCCCAAGGCACGGTGTGAACTCATTAAAGTGTCTCATAGGTACATCACGTGCAAAAATTCAGTGTCAGAGTACTTTTGATCCCTTAAAAGCTAATACTCTATTGAGGATCTTCAGTTTTCTCCTAAATATCTACTTGGTTGTCGTTAAAAGTTGTTGTTGTTAAAAAGAAATTCATAATATCAGTGGAGATTTGTTTTGCGTGAAGATATTAGACAATAGTTGATTTTTGTCATGTTGGGTTTATTGTTTTGTGGTAGAAGGAGCTGACTTTTTTGCGGCATCAACTATAGCGAATGAACGCGTACCTATTATTAAGTTAAATATTATATTTTTAATATATATATATATATATATATATATATATATTATAAGTGGGGGAATAATTAGAGGGTATTCATTATTTAAGTGGGTATTAGGTTGCATCCGTTACAAGTATGTTTCTTGATTGTTATTAGCTGCGTATCCCATGCTGCCTTAGCAATATAAAATGACTTCTACACAGGCTTTTGAGGAGCCCTATATCTGTGTATCGGTACATATAATAACTGATTTTGAAGAATATGAAAATTTTATTATACGTATATCGCTCGCCATCAGAGAATGCGTTTAGTTATGGCTTTTCCTCTCGCTCATTTTGCCAATCATTTGATAGTAGCTCCTGTTCCTTTACTATACTGCTAGTTAAAGACATACTTCTCGTACTTCTGCTATAGGTATGGTGTTCGACGGAAACGCCTGAGGCGACACATATGCAGGTTCTCGTCGATGCTCACTCTCCGGCTAAGTACCGGTGAGTGTGTTACTAAGTTAATAAACTCTCACTAAGTTAATAAAAAAAGATTTGTCCTTTCTTCGAAACGTCTATAGAAAATCAATTGAAAAAGCTCATGAAGATTTTCAAGATTAAATCCAAGCCAAGGAACCTTCTTTTCCATGTGCATTCTTCGTTTTAGTAACTCATCTAAGAGCAAACTCGTTTTACAAACAGACTCCCGATTTTAGTAAGATATATTTTTGAGGCGTTTTATTCAGATTAAATCGTTATCGGCTTACATATGTTATGCAGAGTAATTGGGACCCTCTCGAACTCTGTCGAGTTTTCGAAGACATACAAATGCAAACCCACGAGCCCTATGAACCCGCCCAGAAAATGCGAAGTTTGGTAAAGAGCTCATCGCTACTTAAATCCAGGTACCCATAATATGTTGTCATCACTGACATGCTCTAAAAATTCATATAAGCAGAGCGCATAAATGCCTTGCGTAAATATTCTTCAATTTCTTGCTGCAGCACCAGTTGAGAATATTTAATAGTGTATTATCTATTTTGTCACTGAACGTTGAAGTTATGTTTTGGCCTCCGTTATCATCTAAAGGATACTGACGCAGTGCTACAACTTGTCTTATGACAGCGAACAACGCCGGAAAAGTGTGGCTTCTTCATTACTGCAGGCCGGCTTGATCTGGCCGATTTCCTTACTCGTCAACAGCAGACGTATGTTTCCTGTGATCAGTGTTGTAAGTGCTTTCCTCACCTATAGCTAAATATATTATTCGTAAATCCATAATATATATATTCTTATCATATGATACAGAGATCTGTCTTTCCTGAGAAAAACCTAAAACCATTTTTACAATAATGTATTCTTTCAAATCCTCTTGACGCCTTCGACACTCTGACCGACAAATTGTATCGGAAAAATGTGCCACATCAGTGTTTCAACAGTTGGCTAAAAAGACATCAAACGTGGACATGTTTAGGGATTTCCGTATGAAGGTGCTTAAATCAATTAATTTCGAGACAAGGACTACAAGCGAAACTTGTCAAATTTATTCGAATAACTAAACTCAATAGCGCTATTAGTTCGGGCACAAAGATCATGGACTACCCCTATTATCTAAAAGAGCGGGCAGCCAAAAGATTCTTACTTTCTTTTTGAAAACTACAGTTACGATTAAATGTTGAAGCTAAATCTATTTCTGGGAAAGTAATCTTTGGGACACGTTGTGGTCTAGATTCGAACCCGGGCATAGACACACGGTTCGTTTCGTGCTGGGAGCCAGTTATGGGAATGCCTGAAGGCGATGCCGGACGTGAGCGGTGGACACTTTATGGTGCACAGGTCACCTTTGCCGTTGACAAGCGCTAAAGGTAAAAGTTTATCTAACAACTCGAGTCCTTGTTGCTAAGGGTCATCATAAAAACGAGTGTCTCGACAGCAAGAAAAAAACTAAATGTGTGTCAATTTCACTAGTGATCGACAGAGAGTAGATGACGATGAACTTTTATTAGAGATAAGAGATACTGAGATTTGTAAAAATGACATGAGCAGTAGGTATACAAGTTAGGTACAGGTTCGGTCAGCTATATCGTAGTACTTTAGTGCCGTTTATGTGGAAAAGCAGATGCCAACACTCAATTCGTTTGATTTCAAGTATCAAATGTTTAATGTTAAAGAATCATATGTTTCTTCGTACTATTAACTAGTGCACTAGTATTTGATTTACTGTACCTCTATCTAATAATATACCGATTGTAACTTTTCATCATCACTGAACATATGCGTCGTCCCAGAATTCAACTCGAAACGAAACGAATTAAGCCCTATCCAGACCTGGGATTACAACAAAAAAAAAGAAACATAGTAATAATCATATATAAAGTGATGATTACTAGTACCCATATGTGTTGAGACTAGTATAGGTCTACATGGCAAATGACTGTGAACTGAGATATAATTGTCCTATACATATTATTATTAATAATACTATTGTTATTATACGGGACAATTGATCAGAGGGATAATAACGGTGTTAACGGTTAGTTGATCGCTAACCGTAAGTGTGTTTGTTTGTTTGTCTGTCTGTCTGTCTGTCTGTCTGTCACGTTCGGATGAATGGCTCAGCCGAAAGTAGCCATTGAACCATATATAAAAATCACTGAAACGGCAGTTGTTGTTCACAGAAGCACTTCGAATCGTTCCTAGTTACCCGTGCCTTTAAAAGGCAACGCTGTATATAATTTGCTGACCTATTGTCGCTAAGCGTAAGTTTAGACCTGTGTTTCTACTTTATAGAAATACGTATTATAGGAATATGATACTATTTTGAGTTTCAATTAGAGACTGCAACTAGCTGGACGCGTAGTCGTACCCGCTACGAACACGCGGTCTTGCACGAAATGGAAATTTGTTAGATGTCTAATATAAAAAGCCGAAACAGTTCCCGCTTCTCTAAGTCATCTACGGCTGATTTTCGGACAGTAACTTCTATATGGGGCACGAATGCAAACGATAATCATTTTCATGTGATCAAAATGATCAGCGGAAGAGGGAACGCATTTTTCCTTTTGCTACCTAATGTACACAACGTTTATTTAGATGGTATAACCAATGGAGCACTGCAGGATGTGTGTTTATGTGTGAGTCTGCATGTTTGTGTGGGCGCGTGCTCCGCGATTTTGTTCATTATACAGGTAGCTATACTTGTAGCTACTGTTGTACAGCCTGCGTTTGTTACTATGTACATAGGTACATACTGTATGAGTACTTATAGCCGACTACAGGCGGCGTGAGTTAACGTGAAATCGGAATAACATCGAAATGTTGCGCATAAACGTCTGGGTTTAGCCTTCTTTCATATCTTATCCCCGTAGCTAGCCAGTTTTTCTACTGTAATATTGTCTTATAGTAGATAACTTTTGTATAGCAACAAGATTTAATCACATCTAAGATAATAGAGGCTAATTAGCGCGGGGGGGAGGGCAACCCAACGTGAGGATTGGTAAGGTCCGGCGGATTATTTCCACAATCAGGCAACAGCTTGTCCATTGACATAACGAGAGATAAATGAACATGCTTTAGTGAACTTAAAACCGAAATAATTGGCACGGTAAAGTAGTCTAATTATTATTCTGTGCATTGGCGTTTCAAATAAAAAATCGACGCTTAAATTGAAGTAACAACAACTTTGCCACAAACAACCGTGAATTTACCGGATGCCCAGCTGAAAAATGCGATGCTTAAAACATTTTGTATAACAACTGTTGTACGCAAGAAGTTAATGCTGTGTACGATATCGGTAGAGGAAATCAAGTTCCTATTTCCTGCTTGCAACTAATGAGTCTTTGACAACCTCAAGGGTCTAGATATGCACGTCACGCTGTGAATCCACTTAATAATGGGCCTTAATGTTGCATGAAGGCATTAAAGCGTTTTATGCAGTATTCATACCGATAAACAATAACTATGTTATCGAAGACTGTTAACACACAAATATACACAAAAAAAATATTAATAACGTTACAAAATCTTCACACTACATACAGTATATGTGAGAAATGTTGTATTTACTCTTAAATAGTTTTGGCATTATTCAATACATAATGTTATTATATATTGATAAATACATATGTAAAAACAGTCTTACTAACAGCCGCTATGACGACGATGATAACTATTGGATTATTTAGTTATTATGGCAAATATTATTATGAAACAGATGACCATTGATGACCATGATGATTTGTAAATTCCAAAAATGCGACTTTTTAGCAAGATCTTTTAATCTTATATTGTCTTGACTTGTCTGAGACTGTGATGTATCAACAACAGCAGAATAAAATAAAGCAACTCTAACGTTGGTCGAAAAACACTTTTCTGGTTTTTTAATTGTTTAATAACAATATTTCTGTCACGCTACTAGAACGTTAAGCACAATTAGAAAAATTCTGTGACTAGCGATAGCTACAACGTTCGCAATATACATATATCAAAATATTTAGTATCCGATTTCTTTAGGAGCTTGTGCCTAAAACAGATATATCAATACAGTTTTTTTTTTTTTTTTTTATATAAGCTGTAAATATCATCCCTAGCTATTTTTTTATAGCTTTAATATAGCTACCATTTATCGCGATTAGAGCTTAAACTTCGGGTCGAAGCCAATCAGTATCCCTCCAAAAATGTTTCTTCTTTATGCCATTACAAGCGATATTGTTAAATATAGATTTGTTAAAGTGTTGCTCGAATACGCTGTCAAAAAATTAGATTGATAGCAAGACCAATGTTCCAAAAATACGAGGCGAAAAAAACCTAAAAAACTGCAAAAGAAACCTCACTACGAGCGAAAAGGTTTACCGTTCAAGCTTATCTGATCGAACGAATCGGGAATTTTTAAGTTACTCTACAATTAGTTTTCGAATCAAGAATTCAAGTGTATAGAGGATGTTTTCTTCGAACCATTTTGATGAGTTTTCGACGCCTCTAAATCCAGCTCGATTGAGGATTTTCCGGTTTGCCCTATCAAGACCCTTATTAATGCTGTTTGATAATTAATTCAGGATTTTAAAATATTCCAGGCAATCAAAATGATTTTAAAAACGTTATTAAAGTAAAAAAAAAAAAGATTTTGATTAAAACTACATTGATTAGATCTTACCATCTATATCGCTAAACATGCTCTTGGGAGTTTCAAAAATTGTATGGAAACTTACAATAACGCGAACTGTCAGTTCCGAGTAAAGCAAACTTGGTGGAGGCTCGTCTAGCGGAAACAAATCAAATCGCTTGAATATTAAAAGCTATACACTATTTTTCCCCATAATGAGCTTGTTTCAGAAAGAACTGGCTTTCGTCTGGCGGCGATAATAGCGAATGAATGCATGCCCGCTAAAATAAACAACCAATACTTTATACGATACCCTTGAATGCAATAAGCGTTTGTGTCTATTTACTCTTTTGACCCAAATCGATCTTATAGAACGGCTGGATTGGACTTATCCTTGGTGAATCGCTAAAGTTTTATCCTAAAAAGAGCTGCGTCGAAGATAAAATAGATTGGATAAATACGTCTTTCTCAGGGGAGTTTGTTTTTATCCATCCCATCGAGTGTTACATTAATTTTGACAAATTGTATGCTTTTTATAATCTTCTGCTTTTCTAAATTGTTTTTTGCCGAAATATCTTTTATGTAAATATGAGAATGTTTTAGGCGCTGAGGTGGCCTATACATTCTGATGGAATTGTTGAAAGTTTTTCTATAGTCAAAATGTCAGATGTTTATTTAAGGGAGTCTTTTTGATACCAGTTGAAAGCTGTGCTATGTATATTTCTATACCTAAAATGGATATTTGGGCGTTTACTTTGCCCTTGCGACAACAAATCGATCCTGGCAGGCACAATGCAATACGTCTTCGTATAGCCAAAACTGATACGTTGGTGTGTAGAAGACTAAACATCGAATGCGTTAGCTTTTTCGCTTGTGTAAAAAATTTTTTACACGAAAAAAGTTTTCAGTAAACTCAAGTTAGAATGCAATACATAGTCATAGATCCAAACTTCTGTTTTCTGTCGAAACTAGTGCCGTGACGAAAATGCCGTTTGAAAGACGAAAACTTTTCTATATGAGGAGGTCGTTTTTGACCCGTATCAATAGATCTCGATGAACACATCTCTATATCTAAAACAGGTGTCTCTTTTTGTGAGAAAAAATGGCGAAAAGTTTATTGGACTTGCCGGTACTACATGTATAATTAAGTGTTAAGAAAACGATTTCGAGTAAATTTTGGAGCAAATTTTTAGTATATAAGTCAATATAAGTGTATAAGTCAATATAAAGGTTACAGTCGCTGATTTTTGTAGCAGAATATTTTCAACCATTCTTAAAGAAAAATGGTAAAAAACAAATGTAAATACTTCTTATCAAAAACTTTGGTGACATCCCAAAAACAAATCACTATGCCGCTCAAGACATATGAAATATTTGGGTTTTTATTTAATATATGGAAGCTTTTTTGCACGAAAAAAATCAATAAAGAAAACACCTTAGGCCTTGAGAACGTGCTAGAAGCACAGCTAGTATATCTTCTAAGGCACATAGCTTTAGTTTTATCTATGTAAATACTTGTTATAAAAAAATGAGATAAGAACTCTTAATGTTTGGTGATGTGCAGAAACAGAATGAACAGCTTAATTAATCTGTGGATCTGCGAAAGGCCCCTCAATATATCTACGTCTTTCAGAAGTCCCTACTCTTCTCACTGCGTCCCGGAAACAGATTCAATCACCCAACATAAAAAGCACTGCAATCACGTTGTAGAAATAAACCCAAAACAAAGGGCAAACGAAGAATTTGAAGTTCTCTATCGAACATACATGAACAGGCTTATGAAATGAATACAACCAGGTAACGGGTTAGGGTAGGCAGAATAACTGCTAGCTTATCTCATAGCCTATATCAGGCGAGATGTTATCTCAAAAAATCAAATTAGTTAAACCAATAGCAAGATAGGAGCAGGGCAAACCCTGCCGGTATATATAGATATATATATATATATATTTTCAGGTAATTTTGATGCTGTTGTCTGAAACAGAATAAATCGCAATAAGTCAGTGCTAGCTTTCTTACTGGTAGCAATATGCCGCAGACGTTCTTAAATGTTAAACGTAATTTAAGAATTACGTAAATAACTCAGCTTTCTCAAAAACAAACATTATAATTGAATTTAAATTCAGCAGGCCTTGCACAGGAAAAAGAACAGAGGCGAAATTTGCCCGCATGCTACAAATAGAATAAACTCGAGCGAAAGGAAAATGAAAAATCACACTTTTTTTCGCCCATTTTATTTTTCGGTTAATATTCAATTTTTAGCATTTTTAAGATGGTTTTATATGTACACACAAAATTTGTCAGATAAATGAATATTATATTAATCTTACATGATCAATAAACTAGCAATTTAATTATTGCGGAAGTTGTATTTTCGATAATACTTATATTACATCCAACTACCACAATTGTCTCTGCTGATCGTATTGTATTATACTTGCTACAACGAGGTCGTACAGCGGCAGCAAAACAAAATCGCCTGGGTGTTTCTAAATATATCAAATGCAGTTTGATACATCACAGGGCTGATTGAAACGTGAAAGCTCGTGTGGTTGAACTAGGGGATGTTAGAAAATTTCAGGTTGTATCGTTTATAATCCTATGTGCTCGCGTTTATTTAATAACAAGCTTCACGTAGAGCTGAATTAGGCTACACTTCAATTTTATTTATTCACAAAAATCGTGTGCGATTTATGCGCCGTAGACGGAACGTGAGGCAACAACTATAGCGAATATATTGTTGTGTAATAATCTGAAGCCAGTGAAGGTTTTCGAAACATTGAGATAGTTCGATCTCGAAAGGGTCGTTTTGCTTGCTACGAAGTGTGGTTTACGTCAGCGACCACACTGTTTTGCATCGACTTCGTTATCGTCTCAGGCTCAGAGATGCAGCGAACAACGTGCTGCATCGTAATCCAAACGCCGGGACCAAAGATAACACATACAGTTCTGTAAATCGTCGCTGATTAAGGCATGAAGTCCTCCATGTTTAGTCTGCCGTTCGGGAACTTCTGGCGAAATAATTTGCGCCGGCAAACCGGCATCCCCTTTGCAGCTCGAGCCCGTCGGTGCTCGCTTCATCGACCTTGAGTCCGCTGCAACAGGCAAGCGTTGACGTACGCCACGGGACCAGGCACTAAAATACAACGTAGCAATAAAAGCGACAGTAATAATTGTGTCCTAAGCACTTCCTTAAAATAGGTAACAGCAAACCTGACTGGCTAGATATAAGGCTGAGCCCAAGAATTTTTGAGAGATGATGTGATGCGCCTTCATAAGCTAAGAATTCAAATAGCTCCCAGGCTAGTGATGGCGAGATCCCAGGTTGCTTGAAATATCTATATTTCAGAACAGTCGAAATTAGTCATTTACCATTTTCTAATGTGACACAGAGGGCAGGCAAACCAGGGTGTTGTACACGTTGGGCATTTCGGAATACCATCGTCAAGAATGAAGGGGAAATAAGCATGTTTATGGAGTTTTATATTGCCTGTCAAAGGTCTTCGCTTGACATTCTATATACTTAAATCTACCAGTCGGAACGCGTCGCATTCCTAATAATAATCAATTTGTATGCCAAATACAATCTAGTTGCAATTTTTGGTTTTTTTTCCGAAAAGTGGGTTTACAGCATATTCGCAGAACTAAAGGCTAAGGATAACCCGTTAGTCATTGAGTAAACCAGAATAACAACCCGTCACATTGGCATAACTCTGAAGGCTTTGGTAATAAATGAAAACACGTTGGCGTACTGGCCCATGCGACGAGCTGTAGGCCAGTGCCTGGAATGAGATAAAATTTAAGGACATTATCGACTTGTCAGATGTACAGGCTAAGGTAGATTCTTTGAGAACTCGAGAAGAGGCCTGCCTGTCACACTCACATCAAACTAGTAGTTTAAACCTTAGAAATAATTTATTTATTCAAATGACTTGATGCCAGTCATGTTTTAAATATCCTTATTTACGACGCCCATCCGGTTACCGCTGAACAAAAACACCAATTTTAACGTAAATTATTCCACCTGACAACGTACTTCTTAACAAACTCCATAAATGAAGTCAGATCCAATACTGGGAAACTATTTAAATAATTTCTTACTTGGATCAGAGTGGAAAATTGTGTTTAAAAGTACATTTTTATTCCGTTTGTGTACGTAAGACTGTCTAGGACGACCGTCCATCGCATATTGAGGATTTGTACTCCGGTATGTCAACAAGCATATCCAATCTCGTCCAATATCCCCCAATATCGCCGAGTGTCCAAATATCAAAAGCCGTGGGGATTATTTGGACCTCCCGTAGCTATAAAAAAAAACAACGCTGTTCGAATAGGCGTTTTTTTTTTTAAGTAATGCTTTCGGGTGAAAGATTAAAACTACGAATGATTAAACGAGAAGACACGGTCTGCTAGAAATGTATTTGCGAGAAAATCTCACTACGACTTTCATGGTAATAATAAAAGCAAATCGGTCATGCTATACGTGAGCTAGAGTACTATAACAAAGATATTTACCTTGAATACATCACCCCAGTTGGAAAACACCTGCGGTGTTGTAAAGCTTACATCGCACCTGGTCTCGGAATCAATAGGGGTTTCACCCCTAATGCCTGAGACGTCGACAACGGACCCTTCTCGAGCTACCTCGTTTCCTGATCAAACATACACAGATTCAAATTTGAGATTTTCGACTATCTTTTGTCCAAATGAGTCTACGCGTATGGACTCACTATATAGAAATCACTGATATGAAAAATCATGCGGTAAGTAGTAGTTGTCGATTGCTAGTCTGTATCCGTAACGAAACTTTAACATATAACTTCAAGCTTTATATAAAACAACGCTTTATACAAAGTTCTTGCAATCCAATCGTGAGCTTTCCTCTGAACCAAACAAATTATATTTTCGGGTTCGTGAGACTTTGAAACAAATTATATTTCTTTATCAAGTCCGCAGTCTTTATTGTTTCAAAGAAGAAAAAAAAAGGTTAACACAGTTATTAAAAATAAATTGTTCTTGTTGAACGGTAGTGAATACAGTGATTTCAACATATTTTTTAAATACTATATGGGTCGCTGCTTCGAGTCCACACACACACACACACATGTACCATTTTCAACTTCCTTCGTAACTTCATATTGTGTATCTTGTTTCCTTTGTGGCGGCGTTCTCGGAAACGGTAATTGTTTTGTGGATGGATCGGAGCTCTCATCAATGTCTTCGGAGTGTACGCGTTCATTTGGCTACAAAACAATTTGATTAACAACCATTCACTTTAAGCTATCGAATAGAGCGGAGATCCGTAATTTTTGATGACATACATACACGTTACCTACTCTAGTCGTAGACATGCTCAAAGTAGTAGCATTAACGCACGTAATCATTCGCTAAATGCATACATCACTATGTCTGTACTGGATAAAAGTGACAAAGGTTAGAGAGATCGTGAGGAAAGCACCAAATACAGAAGAAAATTACCGTAGAGAGGCATCTTGACCCACTTGATGAGGGAGAACGACGTTCAGATACAATTGATTCAGTAGGATGCAACTGAACGAAGTGACCAAGGCTAGTATTTGTCCAATAAGCAGACTTGCGTTCCAGACGATCTAACAGCTCAGGAGCTTCTTCAACCTCTAAAAGGGCGTCCCAGTTTACATTTTCTGCTGTTTCCCGGTGCTTCTCGGCGTACTGAAACCGATTTTCATTACCAACTGAATTAAAAGTGTTTCAAGAGCGCACAGTAAAAGTCTATACCTATAAAAGATAGAGCGATAGCCTGAGCACGTTCTCCAAATTATCCAGTTTGAACAGTTAGTGTTTAAACATTTGCAATAAACCCGTTTATTATTTCACACCGAAATTTTTTCCTGATAGTAATATCAGAAGATGAACCTGATGGTACTATTTAAGTAGCGCATATGATGCACAACTTACCTCTCCGAAGTTAATATGGTGCCCGGTCAGCCCAAGCTCATCACCAATTGAACTAAGCGTTCTGAAAGCATGGACCTCTTCAATCTGAAACGATGTTAAGCAGTCGTTCCACCTTGTGAAAGGGAAATGCAAATAGATTCTCTAACAGTTGCTTCTGAAGCAAAGACGTATAGAGGATTTTAAGGTTACAAGTTCAGAACCACTGAACAATAGCTGCAATTTTCCAAATTTTAAAACTGTTTTTAGTAATATTTATTCACGATTCTAGAACAGCTAACTCAATACTAAATGCTAAAACCAGTAGGTGTATCTTCATGCATATACTCTAAAAAAGAACTCGTAGGTGACCGTTATGCTGGTACTCAATTATTATACTGGCAATAATGGCGTTTGCAGTCATGCCAAATGGTAAATCGTTTTTGTGCAGCTTCATGATGAAAAAACACTCTCTCTTACTTCGGCCAAAGGCCTTTCCAGGGAAAGGGTTCTTCTGTGTTCAGATATATCGGCAGCGTCGCGTTCAAATAAGTTCTGAAAAGAAGAGGAATGTAGGAACACCTATCAAAATACAGTCAGACGTCATTAGGTTATTAACTTAAGAATTATTGTCAAAGGGACCGATCCAGCGGAAAAGGTGCACATTTCCTTTAGTCATATGAACTAACCCTTTCATATATTAAACGCTCCACCTGATTTACGAGTTCGCCATAAGCGGTCCTTACGCCGAGTAGCTCCTCTGTAAGCTCCGCTATCTGAAAATATTCCAAATACTTTGAAACTTAACTTCGAGTCTTTTAGATTACTTTTTTTTTATTACAATTTTAAGATACTTTAGCAAGAGTAATGGGCACCTTTTTTTTTTTCGAGCGAAGACAATTATTCGACGAAACGAATCATTTCTACGATCATTCAGCTCACTGACGGTTGACAGGTGCATGGCTTCATCAACATTTACCTTTATCATCACCTATTATTGATGCACGTACAACACAGCGTCAGAAAGATACGTATAGTCCAAATCGGGTTACCTGTCGGACTTGTTGGTCACCTTTTACGAGCGATTTAGCGTTCGCCTCTTTCAAGTTGGCTATCTGTAAAAAATATCAGGATCCACACATGAGTATCTTTAAAAGACTACTAGATGTTTCAAAGCTCGACCATAATTCTTCAAGAAACAAAGACGTTCCTTCTGATGAGACTGTCAGGCTTCTGTACTCATTCTAGTAGTAAAAGTCGAAATTTAATGAAACCGCGCTTGCGCATATATCATCTACGGTTGTACGTCATTACATCAGTGTTGCCTGATTCAGGACGTCAGAATATGTATGTGTTAAGAGGGATTTTTTTTCAATACACAACCAAGTTAGTTAAAGTAATTAGGGGTATGAATATAGAATACATTTGCTTTTATTATGTTCGAATTATCAGCGATAAAAGGAAATCACTTAAAGATTTTCCGTTATGGCCAAATGCTACAAGATACTATAACTATAGTTTTTTTCTTTCATATGGCCCAAACGCTAATGGGACTAGCTGAAGCAGTGAGTTCATTAAATAGGTTATTTGTTGATACCACAATAACAACTCCTTAATAAAAGAACCGTTAATCATATCATGTTCCTGACGTCCTCAAGAAAATGACTCGCGTTTTGTAAGATATTTTTCATATCGAAGTTGCACTCTTCATTATAGGTACAATTTTTTTCAAAGTTTCCAGGTGTTGAAATAAACGATCTGTCAGGGAAAATGCTTGATTTTCTGGAGAATCGGCCACAAGTTTTGAAACACTTTGTTACTACCAGGAAAACACTCAATTTTTAATTTTTTAATTATTGCTCATATAAAAAGGAAGCATTGTATTTCGTCACCTAAGACAATAAAGTAGATTAAGACTTTAGACCTGATCTTGAAGCTCGCGGATATTATTACCCAGCGCGTTATTTTCGGCATCATTTGAGCGGTACTGCGCACAGCCTAAATGAGCTACAAGAAGGGTATTGACTGGCGCAAGTGGTCCACCTTCGGCGTGGATCTCCGAATCTGTGGGCTGGGTTGACAAACATGTACTTCGACATCGTCGGTTCAGCAGAACTGATTCAGTTTTGCATCGGTCGAGTCGCTGCAATGGCGGAAGGTCACCGCTCTTTGAGACAGGACAGCTTCCGTCATTTATATCCTCGGCACTCGAATGCCCGGTGGCATCCGGTTCGCTTGTTGGAGAATCATCGGCTTCCGATATATCTTGTTGAAGACGCGCCTGCGATGAGTCATCGTCTTTTTAGTTTTAGCAATAACGTTTGCAAGTCCCAAGAAACAGAAATTTTACGTTAAAAGAAGGTTGCGGTAGTAATTGGCGGGCCAAGCTCCATCGAGCACACGTAATCCGCACAGAGGTAAAATTGCGTGTATTCATGAAGAGTAAGCCTCATAACTGGGTCACTGCAAATGATAGGAGTAGTCAAATCTACTGCCAGCAGTTTGACAAAGGTAACTCACCTTTTTTTTCTCAGCATCTCTTAGCGCGGCTTCAAGCGCTTGATTGCGGTCATGAAGACGTTGTACTTCGGTTTCATACTCTATTAAAAGGCGTTTTTGAAACTCATGTGCTTTCCTTTGCCGAGTTAGTTCGAACCTGAGATACAGATCATGTGAGAAGCCAACATTTTGACAAGACACTGTTTTACTAATGCGCAGAGTTGATGTCACATTAATTTAATTTTTACCTGATTCAGACTGTGAAAATCTTTGTCCAGTTGCCATTGGAATTGGAAGTCTGGGACACTGTGGACGTTTTATAATGGCAAGGCCACCTATGTGGTATTGATGCATGGTATGTGTGCAATTTTTGATAAAGTTACGTAGGGATTGTCTAGAAATAAAAATTTGGTACTTGTCGAACGACAGCAGTAGCTATGGTTCCACCGTCATTTAAAGGACTCGATGCAAGTACTTGTAGAAGACTTAAGAGTGAGGCACAAACATTTGTTCTTTACTCGTGCTAATATCGTTATGCGTCCTATCTTATACTTAACCATTCGTTCAAATCACAATTTCTTTTTCTTTCCGGGTATTCTGATATCATAGTGGACGCTAACAGTTTAGCCCCTCGCTCACCTGGCCTGCTCATAGAGTTCCACGACATTTTCTTCTTCTTCCAGGTCACTGGCTTCCATCATTTTAGCAAAAATTTTAAATGTATACTCTCGCAGCAATATCAGCAATCGTAACGCTTGTCATGATGCCAAACATCCAGCCTTAGTCAACAGGGTTTTTATGCAACAGCAGATGACATGCTGTGTAAAAGTTTGATCTTTATCAGAACTCGTTCTATGCTGTATGCCTTTCTGGCAAGCTTGCACAAAGTACAACGGTAGCAGAATAGAAAGAGCTTCGACTTCAATCGCGTCCACTGCGAGTGGCGTGCGCGTGTACATAATGGCTTTGACGTCCCAGGTACGTCAGCTTAATCTGTCGTGCTAACCCGGGGGAGGTATCTGCGTTCTTCCACTGGTATTCCGCCTACCGTGAGGGCCTTTTGATGAACATCTTTAATACACGTCACATACACGCGTCACGTGACATGATGTCTCGCGTTTGCGACGTAACAATCTGAATTGTTTCTTTCTTTCTATAACGTTGTCAACTGGCAAACATTAAAATGGGTCACATTGCATTTCTTCATACTTTTATCCATTGATGCGTAGTAGACAGACAATGTCTGGCAAACTGTCAGTTATGACGTAGAAATCAGCTCCCCACACAGGAACAGCCTATTGCAGATGTACTAGAGCCTTCCCGCTTGCCATGATACCCAAATTTGATCGGGCTATGTTCAGCACGAGTTGAAACGCTCCGTCGGTAAATAACTGGCTAGAGAAAGCTAGACGTAATACTTCAAGAAACAAATGGTAGTTCCAAGAAATTCGTCACGGTAAATTCAGTCTCAAGTAAGAAGTTGTTTAAATTAGGCATAAGTGAATCAATCTCATGAACAACTTAGTTTGTAGCAAATAAATGACGCTCCTGTACCTGTTCGTTCCGGCTAAAAACGATCTTCGCGCTAAGTATCGATTAAGTAGGCGACGGGGGTTAGATATCAACAATAATTGTCATTATTTATTTTTACTATTATCGTGTTTACTCTTTTCCTTTCTGCCGCTTGTCATCATCCTTGTCCTGCTGGCTCTTTTTTTCATCATTATCAGCATCTCAGTTTCTTTAGTTATCGATTTATTACTTAGAATTTATATTTTATTATTCCTGACATAACTTTGCTACTAACACACACGTATTATTCTTATATATGTATGGATTCTGTATTTGTGTCGATTTTGTCTCTTTGTTTGTCGTTATCATAAGCATCTTCATGATAATGGTTCTGCCATGTTGCCTTTTAGTATTATTACTATGATTTAATACACGCTTTATATGCTCGTCTGCTCAAAGTCGAAGGGGAATATGAAGACTGTGGGGGAAGAGCAATAAGAAATCGTTACCCGATAGCTCTGGGTAGATGTCACTGTGTCATCATTTGTAGAAAAAAGAATCCCGTTTCTAGCAGACCGGCGGGCCATAGAGAAGACGTTCAATTGTTTATTTTCTTGCTTCATTGCTATTACAATATGTTATCGAATAAAAACCTATATAGATAGTCGCTACTATCACTATTAGTATCGAGCTAATGATAAAAATACTCGTAAGAATTATATCAATTGCAATCATGATAGGTGTCTCTGTTATTAAAGAGCTTTTTGCTGACGAAACGTAGGGGCGCAAATTGCTTACTATGAAATCTCTGTATTTTACCGCTCGTTCTGCTATCCCGAACATCACTAATATAATAGTACGTAACAAATAAACATGATCGTTATTTGCGAGCTACTGATGTCCGTTTGGGCTCGCATGGAAACGGCTGCAGTTTGTAAGCGCCGCCGTTTTCGTCTGCTTCGTGTGTCGGATCTTTGTTTTCTACTGCCGCTCATATATTGTTCATTATTATTATAATCATACTACTGCAATTTATCTTTGCCGTACTTAATCTTATTCAATACATACCGTCGTCAATAATAGTAGAACTACAATTGTCGTAATAAATACTTGCTGCGCTTACGTCACCTTTGTATCAGAAGTCATTTCTATTTCACATTTTTATTTTCGCATTACATTATGTGTGTGTGTGTGTGTGTGTGTGTAATTATTATTACATAATTGTTCCATTATCGCTTTTACTGTCGTCGTCGTCTAGATAGTTCATTGCTTGTTCAAGTATTTATATCATATTTTCATCCATAGTAATGGTTTCATTTGTCGTCGTCATCATCAACTATGCGCATCCCAAGTGTGTGTGTGTATATATATATATATATATATATATATAGCTGCTATTTCGCCCGAGATGACAGATGCTTCTCGTGTGTTTTCTCTCATCGTTACGATAGCGATCATAGACAGCCGTTTCCCGCCATTTCTATCATCTGCTTGATTATTACTGCCGTTTGTTTTTCGTCGATTTCTGTGTGCGATTGCTTTCACTAGAACGAGGAGTGTTAGCCTCTCTTTTTTTTTTTTCACGTTTTCCTCCACGTTTCTGTGCTATAACGTAGTTTCTTTCTTAGCGCCGTGAGATAGTCGCTTCGTTTATCAGTCGCTCTGTCCGAGGTGTCGGCGCTCGGTCACATGGTTGACGGTAGATCGCGCTGCCGACGACAGTTAGATCATCTATCAGCGTTGCTATCGTCAGTTTTCGTTTGTTACTTGATCAACACGTAAAATCGATGTAATTATGACCATTACTGTTGTTATTACATGTGTATTTTTCTCCTCATGTTACCATCGTATATATAATTTGCTCTACCTCGAGCAATTTTGTTATCGTATAGCAATCATCACCGTGATAATAATATCAATACAGATATATAGTAATAAAAAAACCTACAACTACAATTCTAGTAGTAGTACTCATATGAATATATATAGTCGCAAAAATCCTTGTAGCATCGTTTAGTACTAATCATTACAGCAAATTGTTATCGTCATCACACCGATTCATTGTGATCTTGCTAGCTGTTATTTCCCGTACAACATTGAAGATATTGTATGGAAGAATGAATACATTGTCGTGACCTTCTACCTAGAATCTAGATCCATTATATTATACATAGACGGTCAATCACCACCCACACACACACACACACACACTCGCATATGTAGTAATCACACACATTATCTGTATATGGTAATTCTTAGCGTACCGTCATTCTTGTCGTCAGTCATTGTACAATGTACATAATTCCGATAGGTGAATGAGTGCTTGAAGAGATGTGTCTGAAGGTTTGTATATATATATATATATAGATAGAGAAGAGTTGTATGTGTCGCTCATACTTCACTCCACGTATGTATTGATAATGAGCTTGTTAGTCTGTCGCTATTCGGCTGCTCGCCAGCCCACCACGACAGATAATCTCTGTAGGATAGGGCGGAAAAAGAAGGATCTCGTTTCTGAGCTATCACTAGCTTCTGCACCATCGGCTGCTTCAGACGCCTGTAGCTAAGCCTGACAAGCCTATAGTTTTCTTTTGGTTGTCAACTCTCTCTTTACGTCGGTATATGCTAGCGTCCCCAAATGATAAGATTCGAACGTATTTCACTAATTCAATCCTGTGTACTGTCTAAAATGATCGTAAAGCACTGCTTGACTGCATCTGCCACTGGAGTATAAGTCCACACATCATTACACCAAAATGGTCTGGGATTTCTTACGAAGACGGATTTATTCATCTCCTTTTCAGCAGCGTTGAGCAATGTCAGCTATCGGACACTGCAAATCTAGTCATACAGTAAAACATAAACACGTAACCATATGATGTTGTTCATTCTGCAGACGTCCGCTTTTACAGAACGTTACTGATGTAACGAAATGCATCAACAAACTTCCGAAGAATTTATTTTTCTATTTTACATGCACTTCTCTCACTTACTGGTTATAGTGTTATTGCGAATTTTGTATCATAACCACGCACCATTCCTGAATGCAAGCGAAGGTAACGGCGAAGTCTAGTTCACCTTAAAGCCGGAGGACAGGAGCGCTATTTTGTGTTATTTGAAGTACACTCAGAATCAGTGGACTAGGTCGTCAAAGAAACTGCAAATCTGATGGTGAAGAAGCATAAAGATATAGGCTAACCATCCGCCGCGGTTGTCTATAGACAAAGTACGCTGTCTTAAGCTTTCGTTTTAATGGTTGCCACAAAGAGTACAGGAACCTCTACTTGTTTTCAGCGTAATCTCTAATAGTGAAGATGTTTAGAATCAACCTATCGTTCTTCACGATCTATGAACGAAGTGATGTCTACGAGTGTATCATGTTTTGCGTTTGTCACTTTTAATTTAAAATCCCCGGACGAAATCAGTAGCGTTTACCATCTAACGTCGTGTAAAGTAATAAGCGCCCATCTTTCAAACGGTTTTTTCTAGCGTGCTTTTGGTAAGGATCATTCTTCTTACTTGTACACGATCTGGGCTCCGTCCACCCGCATGAAGGCTGAAATCCAAAATATGATTCTCGTATTTCTATCTGAACTGGCATGCACGTGCGCCATTTGACATGTCCATCTTCTATGAAGGCCTTCGAAAGAAGGTGCGTTCACGATTCTCAAGGCTTCAGATGATGGGGCTAATATAGCGAAAGGAACATTGCTATTGGGCTTACACTATAGGTTGCGGCTTGCAGCATTACGGAAGACGTATTTCATTGAATTTGGGGCCTTCAGAGTTCGTTCCATGGCTGTGTCACGTAATCGTATATCTAATAATTATTGTTTATTGGTGTTTCACTGAGTGTTTACTGTATTATTGTCGTTTTTTTAATCATGGTAGTGTTTGTAATGTACCGTCTAGCCTATACTTGTTCTATATATATATATATATATATATATATATATATATATATATAGTCTAATTTTTACTAAAGTCTCACTCTCTCTCGCTGGAGATTTGAAAATGGTATGTGATGTTGCTCTGTCGTCTGGCGATGGGGCCATGTTCAACGAAGTTTGGTGCGGCGGAAACATTTCGCAGGCAAACAATGTCGTGATGACAACGACGTAAATCTCTTATTTTATATAGAGTATCCTACCTATTCCAGCATCACTTAAGCCATCATTATAGTCATAATTAGATGTAAATATTTTTTTATACGTATGTATACCCATTTACACGTCGACACCTGTTGTAATCAATGTACACGTAGGTAAATACAACGACATGACGCCAATTTTAATAGGTATATTAGCATTATAATTGTTGCTGATGTTGATTTTTTTCTTCTTCTTTTACTACTACCAGTACTCTTACTGCTATTGTTTCTATCTATGCTCACCTACTTGCTTATCCGAGCGCCCTAGTCAGTGTAGACTCAATGGAGAAATCATGTACAGGCACCCGGGTTAGTAGAACCGCCTGCTGATATTTTTCGTGTTTTTCTTACATCCGTATGGAGTCTACCGTGTTTAGCTTCTATTAGTTAACATGAACTAGAAACTATTTGTTGTTGTTCTGTTTACATTCATTACATATTTGCGTATTCTATCTCTGTCTGTGATTCGGTCAATGTTTACCTATTGAATAGGTTTAGTTCAATTAAGGGATAAATATCTTATGTACAAAACAGTGTCTTCAGCTGGATAATGGTTGGTGCAAAAAATGCGACAAAGAATGCGCAACTTCTCTTTCCGCCCACTTTACCCGGCGTGATTTATTTGAGAAGTACTCGTTTTGGCTTTTTCTATTTGGGTGTGGGGCCAGCTAAAGCCTAGAAAATATCTAAAAGAAAGAAGAGTCTGTGTCGCGCGTGCGCCAAAAAACCATCAGACCAATTTACCCGAAAAACACCCTGCGTCTCCACCGGTTTTCTTATCAGCAGCTGTACACATATGTATGGAAATTGTATATACGTGAATCACGCAGTCGCAGCAGCAATATATACGTGTGTACCTGAATAGCGGAAATAAGGCTATTTTGTCTAATTGCGTTGGAGTGGTAAGCATGATATTGTGTGTCCCTGACACATCAAGCACTCTGGGTCGAGCCAACATCGTGTTCTCGCGTGCAGATACCAAAATCCGTTCACGCTTAAACTTGTTCCCACACAGAAGCTTGATCTCATAGATACAGATGATTAATGCAGCGAGCTATTGATACTCAACGAAGGTCGATGTCACTGTTGAAATACGTAGACGAAACGATTCTTTGATGTGAAGCAATTCCCCTTCGTCATCGGCATGTTGTCTGTTTTTCTGTACAGCTGCTATGCCATCTTATTGTCTGTAGCGCCTCTTCTTGAGGAATGTGATTCACTTTCTCATAAGAGGGCATGAAGGGCATGATACAACGTCAACAGGTTCTGAACATGTAGAGGCAGACAGGAGGCTCGATCATGAGTTGTCGGACTCAATCGAAGCCATGAGAGGGCATTATAGCCCTCCAGCACATACCTGTACAGAAAAACGTCATTTTCGTGTAAATATATATCTATGAAACGTTGGAAAAACGATTTCAGCGGAATGAACCCATTTTTTTTGCACCCATTTTGCTCATGTAGAACAGCTTAGGTACATATTTTTCTGATCAAGGAATCACCCGGACAACATAAACACGATAAAGATTGGCCGAAACGAGTGATTTCAATTTTAAGACGCTTCACTACAAAACCAGTTACACTGCTAAAGAGCCCCAACAACATTCTATATGAATGTATGCCCTTCTATACGAAAACATTACCTTTAGACAATTTTTGAAATGTTGGCGTCACGGTAAGTAATGTCTAAAAGTTATGGCAAAGGGTACCAAGCGGATGCAAAATAACATATATTTATGCAACAAAATATTTGGATCTACGGTATTTTTGACAGCAACGTGTATTCTACTAATTATTATTATCTAATTATATGGTAAAATATGAATTTCCGAATTTTTGGGCCTGTAAAAAGCCAAAACTTCCTTTGATCTACGTTATAAATAAAACCATGAAATGTTAGCATTATTAGGGTGCTCGAACTAAGAATGTGTATCATTTATGAAAACTGCGTTATTGTCCGTCGCTCAGATTGAGTTGACAACCCGATATTCATAATGGTTTTAACGGCGCTTACCGCAATACATCGGTAGTGAGATTAGAATCAAGCGGATGGCCATTACGCTGATTTCCGTGCAAGATGTCGTCCTGGTTCTGGTGCACTGTAGGTGAATGCAGGACTAAAGCACTCTATGAAATAACACAACAACAACAACACATATAGTGTGTTATCAGAAGGCTTCATATATAACCTAATTTAGATCAACCGGTTTAACATATGCAAACGTTTACAAATCTCTTCATCGTATTTTTGCAATTGAACCTATTAATATATAACATACAACATACTTTTAGGAAGACGGGGTTGACACCTTCAAGATGTGGACACGCTGCCCAAAACCATTTTGGCAAGGGTCCAGCCGGAGCGGTTGAAACAAGGTAACCTAGAGCGAGAGGCTGCTGCAATAATTGCATTGGTTCTTCACCGCCCAGTAAGAACTCTCCATATCCACCAGCTCCCAATCGATTTCCATTAACACCACCTGATGAAGGACCTCCAACCGACACCCCTCCACTACCTAGACCGCCCGACGGCAGCCCGTTGTGAAGGCCCATCCCCGATCCACCTCCGGAGCCCATCATGATGCTTGCCATCGGGTCATCGTTGGGACTTCTTGCGTTGCGCATACTACCTAGCCCCCCGATACCGCTGCCTTGGGCGCTGTCATCACCAATACCCCCGGTCATATTGTTTTCCGGCGAAGCATCGAGATTCCAGTTAACAATGTCGTCAAAGTTGTCTGGTCCATCCATGTCTTGTGTGATCGTATTGAACAGCTCGTCATCATTACCCAAGTCCATGTGGTCTTCCGCTAGATGATTGAAGGTGGCTTGGGAACTCTGGGTGGTTGCTGAAGTCGGGAATACGAGTATGTGTGTACACGTTGCATCACTTGGCGTGGACAACTCACATCGTTGAGCGTTGGTCGAAACGCGTTCGTCAGGTGAACACTGGTCAGCAAACACCTATACCATTATTAGACGGGAAATTATTATTTAATTATATATATTAAACGTTTAATCTGGTTATGATGATAGACGTAGCTAAGATTAAACATAAGCTCTAGTTAGATGCTTAATGGATATTCAAATGCTAGACGAAAATACAAACGTTTGATTTATTCTCTCATCGCTAGCTTCGCTATTTGCTGGAGAACACTATATTAGCTAATTACCCTATGATGATCAAGACATGTACCTGAAGGCAACTGTCTGCCTCTAACGACACCAAGCAGGCACTGAGGATACAGGGTACATCGAGAGGTGAAGATAATACCCCACACTGAGCACAAAGCTCACGCAGATGCCGTGAGTATCGTAGTAGACTCTTCCGAGATAGTAACGTTGCCCACTCCTTGAGTTCGCCATGACCGATGCGGCCAAGTCGCCCGATTACGAGACGCCATGGTCGAACCGCTCCTACGGATACCACATCCAGCACGAACTCCATGAGTTTGTTGAGACCAAGAAAACGGGCCGATGCCCGCTTACGTCGTGTCCGGTCGGGTACCGCGACATTGATAGACGCGTTGCGGAGTAATTCGCCGCGTTCTGTGCTCACACTGGCCAGTAGCCATCGTTGATCTTCTGACAAGCAATACGACACAAATAGAATAGACGATCGCTCCTGGTGGTCGCCGAACATTTCTCCCAACTCCGCCTGTTTATCTTTTGTCGGCGCGAGTATAAACGGTGGATTGAACGTTCGAATATCGTCTACGATGCTGCTGCTCGCGTTTAAAGTCGTGTCCGTGTCTGGACTTCCTGCAGGCCGGTGATTTGATGTTGGTCCATTCAAGGTAGTAGCGGTTTTACTCGATTCGGCTATAGCCTGTTGACTTTGCATTTTTCGCTTTATGAACTGGTCTTGCGAGGCTGCAGGGCCCATACCTGTTAAGCTTTTTACCTGCAGAACGCAGTGATCACGCAGAATTAATCATTGTTCTGTTGAGAAACAGATTCGCTTACTTAATACAACATGTGCATACACAGATAATTTATGTATACTCGTGTATATAATGGTAACTCTATCTGTATAGAACTAACCTGTCCGGGCGGGGTAACCGCTGGCAGCGTAGGTCCGCTCTGGTAGAAGAGCGACAGCGCGGTTTGAACAAGCAGGTCATGACGTTTTGCAGGGCTAGCGCACTGCTCCACGGCCAGCACCGCTTCAAGCGGGACAATTTGCAATTGCACATTGGCACGTACGTGTCCTGGTAGCTGGGACAGCGTACGCTCGAAGCATGCATGCAATGCAAGAAGCGCAAGACGGCGAGCCTCCTCGTCGCCAGCGGCGTGCAACGGTGTTGGGTCGACCACGTAGAGTACGATCGCCGGCGTGCTGTTCGGTTCCGCGCTGTCGTCGGCATTCAGCCCGCTTTGCAGGCTTGCCATGCTACTTGCAGGACTTGCGTAGCCGGTGCTTGTTCCCGTGCCATCGGATCCAGCCGCGGTACCTGCCGTACCGCTTTGTTGCGAACTGCTCGTGCCATCCTGGCCACTGCTACCGCCAGGGGCATTGTTGTGCTGTTGTTGCTGCTGCTGCTGCTGTTGTTGTTGCTGCTGTTGTTGTTGCTGTTGCTGCTGTTGCTGCTGCTGCTGCTGTTGTTGCTGCTGCTGCTGCTGCTGTTGCTGCTGCAGTTGGTCCTGCTGGCTGGTGACAGAATTGCTACTTGTTGTTGAGTTGCTGGCCGCCGCACTTGGTACGGCGCTACCACCTTCTTCCTTTACGTCGGCTTTGTTCCCGTCTGCTGCTGAACCTGAGAGCAAAGCCTTATCGACCGATGGAGTGGCAGGATTGTCAGGGGTAGTGGGGGCTCGCGGTGAAGCTGCTGGCAATTGCTGCGTTTTTGGTGCGTTTGCCTGCAGGGGCCCGTCGAGAAGGCTCTTATCAAGACGCTGTAAACCAGCAAGTTGCGGGGCTAGTTGAAGGCGACAGGTCTGCGAGTACAACGTCAAGCTAGCGGTTAAAAGGGCGTTCCGCTGGATGAGCCGCTCGCTTTTCGGTGGTTTTGGCGCAGTTGTTTGCTGAGCAGCCGCAGCGGCGGCGGCGGCGGCTACTGCTGCTGCCGCTGCTGCAGTTGCAGCTGCGTTCTTCTGCTGCTGCTGTTTTTCTTTGTTGCCGCGACCTTTAGACCCACCTTTAGTGGTTGTAGTAGTCATAGCGGGGATTACTGTGGGAGGATTATTGCCATTGGTATTCGCAGCAGATGCATTGCTTTGCTCGTTACCAGAGTGCTCCTCTTCGGATGCGTCGACAAGACCCAGCTGAACAAACAGGTCTCCTAGCCATTCATCGGGGGGCTGAGGTCGGTCATTGGTGCTTCCCGATCTCTGATCTGCACTTTGCTGAGATGAAGGTTGTGGTGTGCCTGCTGCTGGGCTCGGCTGACCACCACCTGGAGTAAAAACCGCTCCATTGTCTTCAGAAAAGGTTTTGGTTTTGTCGATGCTGGCAGACCGATTTCCGACTTTCAGTATTCCGTCCCTGGAAGGTATCAAACAAAATGATAATTCATCTATTGGAGACGTTTATTTCATGGTAGTTATTCGGTCCACGTAACCTGTTTTAATATTAAAATATTTCAACAGTTATGCCGTCACTTTGGAGACATCTCACCAACCTCCTAATATTTCGTTCGCGTTCCCGCGTAGCCCAAATGTATAAGCTACTGCTGTATTCGAAACCTACTTTTTACAAACATCCAACTGCAGCTTTAAAACCACGTTAAAAAAAAGATTACGGAAAAAATCATCCGTGTATTTCGGGAAAACTCTGCGGTTAGAGTTGCTCTATTTATTTTATTTAGCTAGTTCCGTAAGTGACCCTTCGTAAGTTCCAATATTGATTAGTTACTTGCGTAGAATGGTTTTCCTAGCAGAATTTTCTAGCAACTACTTGACTTATTGCAATAAATCCGTTCATGCATTGCACGCATCGCGCTGCTTAAAAAAATAATTAAGCTCAATCAGACAAATTTCCTTTCAGACAACATAAGATTAGATTTCATCCTTGAATAATATTTTCGTCCTAAAAGCTAAAATCTAGATATAAGACTATATATCTCAATTCACTTCATCGAGAGCTTTCAATTCATATTAAGAAACATCCCTTTCCGTGTAGAAAAATATTAATCCAAATAAAAAAGCTACCACTATCGGTTTTTGATTCTTTTCAAGCTAAAGTATCCACTCTAGTTAGAGAAAGTTGTATTGACTTGTTACTCAGATCGTGGAGATTTATCGATTGGTATAATAAACTTCAGTCCACAAAGTGGACCTTTGCACAGAAGGATATTTGTTTTCAAGGGAAATCATTCAACTAAAACGTTTCCAGTTGATGCTTGTCAGAAGTGCACTCAAAAATCACACAAGAGTAATTCGAAACAAATTTCCAGCTGACTGCCCCTTCAATGGGTTTTTCACCATTTTAAAGTCCAAATACCAATTTTAGCTAAAGCGAGATGTATTTTTTAGTGATGCTACAAAGCCCATGCATAGGGCGCCATGTTAAGTTTTTGCCTTTCAAGCGGCATTTTCAACTTGAACACTGAGATTCAGCAATATGAACGTCTATAGCATTTTACTTCAGCTCAACGGGATCTCTCGATCCAGAACGATCTACTTTGCTTAAATCTCTATATAAACGTTCGGTTAGCATTTTGTCAGTAAAAAACTTCAACGAACATTCCACCAACTTACAGCCTACCTTAGCTTTTTACAGCTTTCTCTCGTAGACGGATATAACAGAGTCGTGTAAAAAAACACCGCTCAAAAAAAGTAGAACTGCAGAAAAATAGACAATTCGCTTAAGTTAACATTACGTTCTAGAGGACGGGAGAACAAACTTGCTCGGACTGAAAATTTTAACTGGCCTCACCTTACGCGCGGTTTTCTTCCAGAAAAAGCGAAACTAGAAATGCGACTACTTTACTATGTCGGCCAATGGACAAACAGACGCCAAATTTCAGTGATATACAGATAGTAGAAAAGATAGACAATAAAGGTAAATGTCACCTACGTTAACACCAGATGAATACAACAATTGTATATATATGTGTCCACAAACCTGAATGTTTTGGCTAAGGCACAATGCCTTCCGAGATTGTTAGCTTCATATATTGCGCTCAGCTCTCTGAAAAACGTCTTGATTGGTGCCTGAAGTGCATCTGCGTCAGGACACACAACCACATATGCTACATCGCGTGGTGCTGCGTATGGCTCCAGCAATAACTTATCCCAATATTTGAGGGCAAACGGCGAGATCGATAGCCAGTCCTGTGAACAAACAGATCGTAATCAACAAGGAAACCCTGGTTTTCGTTAACTGCATTAACAAAAGAAGTGCTCAATGTAGTGTATTAGCACATAAAGCCAGTCTGGGTTATTCAAAAGCTATATTTAAATGGATAAATTTTGCTTATTAAAGACGAAAATCAAACCTTATCGTAGCCGATAAGAAGTGATGGTATAGGCTGTGGTTCGCACTGGTCTTCCGTACCACGACCGGCTAGACGATGAAATTGCCGCCAAGTCAGCGGACCCACCACTCGATACGTAACTTCCCACATATTTTGCGACGGACCTTTTTGTGACTAAAGAACAAAAATGAAAAGCCAACAGCAGTTGTTACTACACACTCAAAGGCTGACATCGTTAAGCATAGTCTACTCTTAGAATACGACGTTTAGTTGTATATTGAAATTGATAAAATTGAAAGCAGCAGTATACACCATTAAATTGGAAAAAGTGCACTCACTTTTCGTTGGTTATGAACGCCGTCCTGTAAGATCGGTTGCAAGCTTCGGAGCAATTTGACGACTGTTGCATGATTGGGCGGGGTAGCGACTTGTAGGAAAGCCCAACGGTGCAGGAGTCCCGCCCGGGTCGCTTCATCGAACGAATGTCGACCCGCCCATTGGCTAGTAGGTTGAATCAAGGCTCCCATGTTACCAACGAGTGCCGCTTCCAGTGCTAAGGCTGCTACCTGACAACCGTCGGCCATTAGTTGTGGGCTTTGTAACGCGCTGACTCCGTAAATGGCCGCGCTACTGTCACCACCGCTACTCGTAACAGCAAACGAATTGCTGCTACTGCTGCTATTATCACTGTTACATGTCGTTGAAACTGGCTGTTGTTGTCCCGTAGAGCCTGTCTGATGAAGCAGTCGCATTGCCAATGCGCTAAGTGGAGGCGACAGCTCTCGAGGATCGAGACCCTGAGGCTGGCTGCACTCTGGACTACATAGGCTAGAGGCGCATGTGCCGCTGAAAGCGGCCAGGAGATGGCATGGTGTTTCCGTCATACCAAGACACTGCCGCTGCACATACTCTACGAGCTGCTTTTCCGCTATTAACAGTTCGTTTTTTCCTGACAACCGTCCCTGACCGTTGTTTTGTTGTTGGCCGGCTTTTTGCTGATTTCCCACGCTGACTTGCTGTGATGCAGCTGCTAGGGCAAGTTTACTCTTGGCCGGTGCTGATTCATACGGAATACCCGTGATCTCTACTTCATCTTCGTAAAACAAGCCAGCTTGATAGCTCAAGTGACGATTTACCTATGACGCACGCATTATGTGTCAAAGTTTTATTACAAACGTTGATTCCGGCTCAATAAAGCCTTGCCTATGACGCGATGCTTTTTTTGTCAAACGGTGGCAAACAACCAAGGTTGTTTGCAAAATGCAAATATATTTTCCTTAAAGTATAATACCTGTACGTAGTGCATCCTTTACTTAACTATTTTGCCAATGGTAAACAAGGAATGATATCGAATAGATGTCGGGTGCAATTAGTGCTAAACTGCATACACAAAGAGTGTGATATATTTGGAACATATGGAGCAAAGGAGGAGTGTGAGAATAATAAACATTTGCAGACCGAATCTATTATACTCACCACCGCGCTAAACCCGCAGGTGCATTTGTATTGTGCGTCGTCAAAGCCGCTAAGAGCAGGACCAGAGAGCAGTTGACTTGGGAGGTATAATGGTACGTCTGCTCCTTTGATGTTCATGTTGCAAACGCAGATAGTACATGATGTGAAGTTGTGATCGCGGAAAATGTCTAGTTGTGAATCTGACAGGAACAGGGTTACTAGAAGACTCGACACTTCAGGAAAATTGGCAGCCTTATCAAGAGAAGAACCAGTCCCGCACGTCTCCCGTACAGACGGCGGCCCAGAAGACATCTGATAAGGGTCAACGGATGATGGCCTCGAGGCGCCGAAACCAGCCGACATTGGCCCAACGCTACCTGGCATCGGGCCCGCTGGTGACATCATAGCTTGACCAGGCGTAGCTCCAGCGCCGTAGCCTGGTGAACCTAATGGATAAGGTGGTGCAGGTCGACCTCCATCGCCGGGACCCCATTGTCGAGATCCGATTGGGCCTCCGACTGAGCTCTGACGGCCTTCTTGGCCTAAATGACGCCTTTGAGTGTGTCCCGGTCCATTAGCCCCAGTAGCGCCAGGACTGACCCCATTGACCTGAGTACCCGATGGAATCTTCTGAGCGGCGGCGTTAGCTCCACCGCGACTACCTGCCATTGTATTCAAACGTGTTTGCCAGGATGCTCGATAAACGCATTCTGATGGCAGATTAATTGGCGATTGAAGTGACGATGGAAGCGGTGCTACTGGCGCGTATAACGTCGACGAGACTAATTTGTTTAACAAAGCAGGCCGGTGCACGTACATGCTCCATTCGCTGCAGTCGCCTTCTGGTTCAACACCCTGCGCCGGAGGTTCTTCGTCAGCCAGGGTTGCGTGCGTTGGACCTAATGGAGTCCCTGGTCCTATAAATGGAAAAAATAGACCTATTGTTAGAGTTACCTTAGCCAGCACAGTAGAGGATAAACAATCAAGCGTCTATTAATAGAAAAAAAACCGCTCATTCTGTTACGAATGAACTCCAGTACTGTTCTTATAGTGTTTCAATACTACCTTCTTCGAATGACATTTTTACAAAGTCCGCCAACTGGACCCAGTTACCATTTCTAGCGACATATCGCAAGCAAAAGGAAGTAGTTTTTTTCATTTGAAATTATGATATGTTACCATTGCAAGGTGACGCGGCGGCGTTTGGTTCGAGGGATGGCGGAGTGGGGTACATTGTTGTCAATTCAAGTAATCCAGCTGTCTTACGATGAAGGTCATCACTGCAAGCGCCAAGATGTTGCGGGGGTGTCGACATGAGGCTTCCTGTCGCTTTGGTCCCGCCCGAACCCGGCGTTGGGAAAAGCAGACCGTTGTCAGGAGATCCCGCATCGCCAATGCCATCGGACGACGAGGACATGTTGTCCAAAAGTGGGTCCCCACCTCCACAGTCGAAAGGCGTGCCAGCACCAGTTCCTGGCGCTCCTGCTTGAGTTCTTTCCACTGAAGACGCCGACTGTAGGTGACCATGGCCTCCGCCACCAGGCGTCAGAGCGGCTCCGTGCTGCCGGGGCGTGGACGGGTTGTTTGAATGAGGCCCACTGCTGAGCGGCGTGAGAGCAGCCGAAGTCACTTCCGAGGGGCTTACACACAGAGCACCCAGTAGAGCGCCATCGTCTGCTAAAGTTTGCTCACCACCACTTTCGCTACCTGCTTAACAACACGATACTTATTTAATGTTGGCGACTGGCATAAATATATAGTGGCGGTGAAAGAGGTTTGTTCTAAAACAAAAACTTTAGGCTTTCATAGACGTGGTCTGTGATGTGTCGCCTCCCGACATTAGAATATAGTACTATTAAGTAGTGATAATATGAGTACCAAAAGACAAGGACGTCACTTCGGTGTCGCGATTGGTATCTACCTACCTAAATTCTCGTCGGTGCCGTTAACACTTTGTTGATGATGTAGTGCGGCTGGTCCAGCTGCTGCTGTTGATGTGTGGCTGCCGTGAAGTAATGTCACTGAATGACCATCGTTTGGGCTCTGCTGGAACCACGGGCCGGAACCGTTGTCATTGTTATTCTGATTCCACCGATCATCCCCTAACCGTAGCGGGAAAGTTCGTTTAGATGGTGGCGGAGCGTCCCACACGAGCGCTGTACTCACCGCTGAATAATCGTACAAAGCGCTTACATCGCCGCTTGGCGGCACAAGCATATCATCATCGTCGTGGGCCACCCATGGAAGAGTCGGCCGCTTCAGAAGGTTACCTCCACTAACGCCCTGTTTCTTGTTGTGCGATCCGAGGTGCCCAAAGTGTAGACCAGTGGCAGCTGAGGCACCTGGTGGACCTCCATAAGGTACTGGCTGGTCCTTTTGGTTGTCTACGGCTGGGTCTTTGCCACACTTAATGGTGGTAGAATCAGTAGGTACGGGTGTCGAACAGCAATCCATGTTAGCGACACTTGGAGGCGCCGACCCCATAATAATCTCCTGTTTAATCGTGACTTGAACACTCGATGGATTGCCGTCTTCGTTAAGAGGAGAGAGACCACCAAGTGTTGGGCGTGAACTATCTCCCGGTGTTGATACTGGCGAATGACCAGGAGGTAAACCGCCACCTGCACTACCAGGTGGCTCTAACTTAAGTGCTACTTGTAATCCCGGCTCGAGCTTTGGTTGAGGGAGCGGCGAGAGTAAACTCGTTAGGTTGCCTGTCTCCACTGAGGACACTGGCATTGAGGCTGCTGACCTTGAATCAGCTGGCGTTAACTGACCTACGACAACAGGCAACGGCGGTGCCATTTTATCTCCATTTTCTTCGGTGGTTTGTATTACATTTGGCTGTTGCGTGATCTGTCCTGAATTAGTCGATGATAGAGATGCAAGACCAAAGCGGGTGGCCAGAATCGAATCAAGAGCAGGAGGAATGTCATGCGACCCTCGACGTCTAAGATAAAACACAAGCAGACAAATTACATTAGATTCTTATCTGCCCCCCTTTTATCTTTTAGAAAGAAAATAGCATTTTAAATTGAATGGATGCTACTTGGCTTAAAGCTTTGTGATATCCGCACCTTTTAGTGGCTGTAAATGCCCATATTAGTAAAAAGAGTTTCATTCCAGAAAGCTAGCAATTTTTCAAGACCTAACGTAAAGCTGTTGTTTTATTATGGCATTATAGAGTATTGAAAGAAAGTAGACTGCAAAAAGGTTGAACTTAAACTTTTTTGTTTGCATAGAACTAACTTGTGAAAGAAGCCGGCGGAGCCCGGTTTCAGCTGAGGAAGACGTGGCGGCAAATCCTTCTTGCTACGATCCCGCTCATCCCGCCGACATCCGCTGGGACCTCCTGGTGCAAACCGGAAACAAGCGCATGTTGGAGCTTGTGATCCGCAACAAGTTAGTTCACGCAACTGCCAACAAGCGGCTCCCGTCTCACAATCTCCCCCATTCCTTTCCAATTGGTCACTCGTCGCCTATACCGAAAAAAAAAAAAAAGACAAAAAGAATTCATCTGTCATCAAAAAATTATTCTAATGAAGTTTTTTTTTCTCTCCCATCGAATAATTAGAACTATAATAAATCAAATAGAAACGTAAATTATTGTCGCTTGTTGATAATGCTACGTTCCCTTTTTACCTCTCCAGCGGTACATACAGTATGTTTACTTGTATCTAGCATACAAAAGTACCATCTTTCAACTGTAAAACATTGTACATTCAGCGAATTGAATTCTATTTTGAGTTCAGGCTCTAAGTTCCAGCTGAAAAATGCATCTTTAAGATTCTATTTCGTCTTTTGCGAACGTCAGAAGCTGCTGAAGCGGCCTAGGATATTTGTGCCCTACACAGCTAGGATTACTGTAAGTGATAGGACTGCTTACAGGGGTTTGCTAAATTCCAAAGTGGAGTCTTATGCCTGGAGTGTATACCTTGCCCCGACCGATTATCCGAGGTCGGCATCAACTGCAGATGGACCAAACTATCTTTTGATTGCCCCAGAGGGTAAGCTACGAACACCGCACTATCGTTTTCTTTAACAAAATTTTATTAGAAACTAGAAATCTGGGTGAGGTACACAAGGAAATATAGCTTTTTATTGGCTTTCAACGCCTTGCCTGGACAATGTACAGCTACAGTAACTAGATATGTTACGGGTTAAGAGAAATCTTTGCTTTGATAACAGAGAGGGAAAGAAATAAGTAGCTCCGGGAGATACTTCTAAGCTTAGAATTGAGTTAGATCTCTATTCCAAGTAGACTATGGTTCGAGTTTGGTGAAACTTGAAGTACTATGCGTGGACAAATGCTTTTAGAGGACAAGACGCTAATAAGGATTCGTATATAGCTTAGCTACGTCGAGTGAATAAGGCCGTCGAATGAAAAAGATGCGAAAAACGAAGCAAAATCGACGATGGCAGCTCACACGTATCAAAGATTATGAAGGTCATGCTGCAGGAAATTCAGTAGAAGCTGCTTTTGCACCCACTATATCCTCAAAATGTTGCTCCGATGGGTAATAAAATTTTCCGGTCACTGACAAGTAAAATTCAGAATTGTGCATTTGATAGTAAAGAGGATTTCAAAACCCGACTGGACCAGTCCTTCAAATATAGACCTGCAAGTTTCTGGTGAGATGGAATAAATATATTGGTTAAGAGATGAGAGAAGATCGTGGAGAGCGAAGGTGAATATATAACGCATTCACTTGCTGCTAGGATCCGACTGATATGCTGGTTTCTTTTTTATTAGGTGAAATAACTTAGGTTCTAACCATATAATACACATATGTGACAAATGTTCCGCAGAGAAATTTTCGAGAATTTGGCTGCTAACAGCTGCTCTTACTGGTATAAAAGACAGTTAGGCGTTATGTATTTGCTGTGTACCTGTCGGGATTGCTGTGCAGTTGGTAGGAGTCCGGTCGTTGAGGTCGCATCGGCCCATGCCTTGTTCCGGATATGTCTTGACGTAATGCGACCTATCCGTGATACTCGAGAAGCGCTGCCGGACGTCGCTCTTCCCAGACCGCCTGCCAATGGCCCCAACTGTTGATTATCTTCAGGCGCTAGATTCTTTAAGACCACTCTTTGCTGGTTAGCTTCACCGGGAACTGAACGTGCCTGATCCTTACCATCCTTCGATGCCAGAGCTGCGCTGAGTATACTTCTAGGCGGAGAGGTGCTACCTTTTGTTGAGGACCCTTTATGAAACGATGTTGTCGACACACTACCTGGGTTTCCTAGAGAAAAAGCCGTTCCTCCGGCGGCAACATTTACCTGTCCATGGGCTACTTCGTCCGTTTCCGAAACGAATACGTATGCTGACGGGTATTTCATGCGTACACTTCCAACTTGCACATTGACTACGGAAGGAAGCTGGCCAGCGCCGCCGCTTCCGCAAATTGTCGGGGCGTCATGCCCATTGCCGGAGGTGCTACCATGCTGCGTGTCTACCATATTTGGTGGACAGTTCTCGTTACTACCAGCCGTATTCGTCGTCCCGCTATTCGTCGAACCACCATCTCGAGGTGGTAATGGATAGAAATGGCTCCACTCATTTAGGATAGTAGCGGCTTGATCGGCGTCTTTGCCGACGGCAGCCCCTACCAATGTGGCCTGTAACCCGAAAGGACTCAGCAAGACACGCGTATTGCCGACTCCGCTGTTTGCAATGCCAGAGTTTCCACCAGAACCTGTAGCCATGGTGCCACTTCCTGCAGCAGCCGCACCATCACCATTTCCTGCTCCGGCCGATGTACCTGCCGTTCCAGTTCCCGTAGATCCCGCGCCCGCGTTGGTGGCACCACTTCCTGCCGTTTGCTGCGTTACGGCTAGATGCGCCCGCGAAAGCCGCTGAATAGCGGGGTGCTGGCGAACATCGACGCCGACACAAACGGTCGAGTCGCCGTGCACGAAAAAGTTGAACGCAAATGTTATTTGAAGCGGGTTGGTGCGCACGTGATTTGTTGATTGGCAGCGAGTGTTTTGGCTGCCGCCACTCGAGGAAAATCCTCCGCTTTGACCATGCTGACGTGTCTGGCTAGTATGGTTGGTAGGCCATTCAGTTGGCTGGAGGAACCACCGACCCAAACGAACGAACCCCCTTTGTAGCAGGCACCGTTGGACCAAATTGTGTAAGGCCTGGAAGAGCGGCAACAACAAATGTGATTAAGTAGGGTTCTTTTTATCATTACTGTAATAATTTAATCGAGATTAACGCTAAAAAAGATAAGCTTTCTTTTGTAATTGTCTCATTTAATACGTGAGACTAGAATAGATAATTTTAAAAAATGAGGATGACGTCGATGAGTATGGGACAGAATGGGATAAGCGATACATATCCAATATTACTACGTGGCATTAGCCCACCTATATGATTATACGTATCTATCTGTTTGTGTTTGTGTGTGTGAAAGTGTGCAGATATTATCGCCGTACCTTAAATAACAGGTTGCGTGTTTCATATGCAAGGCCGTTCTCCCACGAACCCTGTTCCAGGTCGATGAGCTGATGCGACAGCAGACCCCCGCTTGACGTGTCTGGCTCATCTCCACACCAGAACAACCAAAGCTCCTTTGCTAAAGCGTCCTGGGGACCCGGAGGTAGCGGATCCACCATTAAACCTAGAGTCAACATAAGTATTTCTTGTTTACCGCCATAGTTTATAGTTCTGTAATTATCAAGTATTTCTATCCATTAACATATATATATATATATATATATATATATATATGAATCAAAAAACGAAAAATTCGCAAGAAATTACAATACAGATCAGTTTAGTATTAGCACCATGCGGCTTAAGAATTTGAAAAAGCGGAAGGGTCAAATTGTTCTACTAGGTTAGTCGTTTATGCAGCGATATTGCTTAAAAAATACATGTTTTATGGACTAATTCTTTAATAACACATCTCTTTGATGTGGCGTAGTTGATTAAAATCTTACGTCGTACGTCTTGAAGACCATAAGGGCAAAAATAGAGTAGCAACCAAGTAAAATCTATATCTTGTCTATCTTCAGTAAATTTCCTTTCACTGCTCGCGCAAGTCCCTTTGGCTATCGTAATTAACTATTTTAGCATTTACGCGTAAACAATATTGATTCAACAAAAGGGCAACGTACACTGTGATTAATAGAAACGAGCCTTTTGTTAAAAACCCACAATCAACGTTAACACAAAGAAGGCAGTACATTTCATATTATATACCAATAAAGGAAAAAAGTTGTGTTTATACTAGATGACCAACCATCATATTAACATTATTTACCGACACTTATCCGTAATTATCTCTGACCTGCATGATCGGTACGCGGTACTCTCCGCCAAGCGCAGAGTAGGCCAGCTTGAAGGCAGCGCGCGAATGAGCCAAGAACGGGGTCTTCTAGGGGACTTTGAGGACTGCCGACAGATGCCAACGAAGAACTGGAGTGTTCTTTTGGAAAACTTAATCGACGCCATTTTATTCCGTTGAGATCCGCCTAAAACCAAACAAAAAACTGAGCATTAGGTTTAATATAGTCAAAGTAGCAGAAGCATTGTGTCTGTATGAACTGGGAAAACAAATTTTGATCAGTATCACCATAATAATTGACAAAATACATGTGAATCAACTTATCAAAAGATCGAGAATATCCAGTCAAATGGCGAAGCAAAATTGTTTCAGCCGTCACATTCTATTCTTTTTTTTGAATAATTCAGTAAGCGCTAGAATCCGTTAAGGATAACAAATCTATACGATAAAACTGAACCTCATGATCTAATTCGCGTGCACACATAATTAGTCAAGTCGTAGTCTTCAAGATTATATTTCAAATAAAGGGCATACCCAGCCACAATAATATTGTTTCTGAATTATCTGAGCTATTACGAATGTTGCTACACACGTAGCGGCATGTTCGCTCAGGAACTAGCCTAATGGAAATTACAGGCAGGCTCCGCCATGAAAATGTGGGCAGGTTAAAACTGATTCTTCAAGTAAAGTGCAAAAAAACATCCCAATTGATTAACGTTAATGTACGTCAATAAGGAAATATAATACTCTGCGTCATAAAGACAACCGTCCATAGTGACTTAACCTTCGCAAAGAAGGTTTGTGCTAACAGTACAGTGACTAGCTTCCTTAATTATTTTGACTAAATTATTATTTCCCTATAAGGTATAATATATGACTATATTATAAGGTCAATGAGTAAATGGGCAGGCTAACTCTACCTTTAGGAACCTATGTGAGTTACTGATTAGCTAAAACTGATTACCACACACATTTATGCTAACTTGTCATGAATATTCAACTTTGCTTTATTAGAAATATACTAGCTAACAATTGACCTAAGGGTGAAATCGCAAATTAATCATATCTTGATAAATCATCACCGTAAGACCGTTTCCAACCTGTGATTATATACATTGCAACATACAACCCATAGAAAACGAACTGTAGGTAGGCCACTCCATACGGATTCCCAGTTTCACATGAGGAAAATTTATTTTCAGATAATATTCTTATTGTTGTATAAATAGAGTTCGCTGAATATATGACGATGGTATTTTGTTTTACTATAACTTGACGCATAAATATCCAGGCACTACAGGCTGTTTTAGGTTTACCAAGGAAAGCGGATAGCAGAAGTCCGGAAAGGAGCGGAAAGTCTTCAACAAGCCACAAGGATATAGGAAATTGTTGAGGAAATGCCACGTGCAAGCAGTACTCTTGACAGTCCACTAAGTTTCTACGGTACTGTGTTGCTGAAGCTAGTTAACTAAAAAA